GTATTGTGTCGCATGGTTTGTTTTCCTTTCCCCATTTACACCAGTATTTGCTGTTTGTTTCACTTAGGATTCTTTTATTTGCCCCGGTGCATGCTTTTGATTTAGCTAGTTTTAGTTTCTCTATTTCATTAATTCTTTTTGTTAGGTTTTGGACTTGGACCTGGGTCATCTCGGCAAGGGTCTCATCCGCGGATGTTAGTCTCAGCATGGCCTTGTCGCATCTGTGTGTGAGGCGCCTCATTTCGGAGTTGAGTTTGCCAGCTTTTACTTTTGCAGTCTTTCTGGCTAGGTGGGTCACAGCAGATATGAATTCATGGAAGGTGTTTTGTATGTTATTGTTTCTGACCATTTTGTTGAGGGCCTCGTTGCCGATGGCTTCGACTTCTTTTAGGAAGATTTGGTCATTGGTTAAGTATAGAGGGATGGCCCATCGCCCTTTCCCGATTGCGGTTGTGCGGTCATCCCTTAATTCGACGGAGACAAGTTGATGGTCAGCTGTAGGTAGGCTGGGATTTGTTATTTCCCATGTGTAGGCTCTATTTCTTATGGAATCATTTGCATATATTCTGTCTAGTCTGGAGAGGGACACCCCTGTAGCGTGGCCAAAGGTGAAGTTTCTTTCAGGGGCTGGGTGTGATTCTCTCCATCCATCCGTGAGGCCGTTGAGGGAGGTGAGGTCATGGAGGGTGGTCACTGTGGAATCCAGGTCAGGGTGGGGGGGAAGTCTGTCCATGGCTTCTTCTACCATATTGAAGTCCCTGAGCATAATGTCTACAGGGGTGTTGTTAAGTTCCTGGCGGATGTCCTTCCAGAATTGGGAGTTGTCATTCTGGGGGTTGGGGGCATATATGGCTAGGATTTTGGTGGGGATATTTGGTGGCCATTCTACTTCTATGAGGAGTGCGCGGCCCGGGATGATGTCCTTTACCGATCTGGGACTAGTTTTTATTATACTTTTGTTAATGATTATGGCTACTCCACCTGCACAGGTGTGTTCTGAGTTGTAGGAGTGGATGATTGACCACTCGGTACTGTAGATGTTGTTTAGGTGGTTTTGCTGTAGCTGGTCAGAGTGTGTTTCTGAGAGGCACATGATGCCGAATCTCTCCTGTTTCATTTTTCGTGTGATTGTTGTCCATTTGTACTTGGTCGAGGGGCTGTTGGCACCTTTGATGTTTAGGGCACCTATCTTTAGACTGGGGGGTGGTTTTGGGGGGTAGGGTCGCCACCCCTCAAGCGGAGGACTTTATGTTTCTTTATATTGGGGGGTGTCCATTTTCCAGGACTTGGCAGCCATCATTGGGCATTGGCAAAATGGGATAAGCTTCCTGCCCTCCGGGAGCCAAGGGCGCAGAGTCATAAACTGGTTTAGAGTATTCCGTGGGATTGGGCTTTGTGGTTGTGTATATTTCTGTGGCGTTTAAGATGGTCCTCTCACAGGTTGCCAGCCCTTGTGGGAGGGTTGGTTGGGTGGATGGGTTGGTGCCGGGCTTTCCTGTTGCCCGTGGGCCCAGTATATTTGGGCCTGGCACTAGGTCTAGAGTGTTAGTTTCAAAATAGGTCATGAGGCATTAGATTTATATTTTTTTTAAACTATTTCCGGCACGGTTCTACAGAGGGTGGGAGGTATTTAGGGTTTTTTGGAATTACCTCGGCCGCCTCTGGGTCTGAACATATTCTCTTTCCTGTTGGGAGGGCCTCTGTGTGCGGTGCGTGGTGTTTCGGCATTTTCCATTTTTTCTGTCTGGGGGTTAAGCTCGCGCCAGGAGGCGTGGTCATGGATAGGGCAAAGCCAGAAGCTGTGGCCCATGCCTTTACATGTATGGCACATGATGTTTCCTTGAATGGCTCTACCTTCGCCCATCCAGTCATGAGGGAAGGTGGTTGTCCTGAAGAGACCAAGCCATAAATCATGGGGGGAAGCAAGGTCACCTGGTGCGAGGTCTGGGACTGAGAAGAAGGGGGAGGGGATGTGGATTTCCCATACTTTGATCTGCGAGTTCGAGGTCGGGTTTCTTTTCGTGGAGGGGTTTTCCCGATTAGTACAGGTGGCAGCTTCATATCCCCTGGGGATAGCTACACATCTGTCTGTGATGGCCTTGATTTCATGTTCGGGGATGTTGTATTTCTTGAAGAAGGTATGGAATTCAGAGTCTGGGTTAGCAATCTGGGCCGTGATAGCTTCTTGGACTTGGTCTGCTTCGTCAAGATTGGCTCCGATGTTACGGATGGTAACCACATAGCTGGTTGGGCTATAGGTCAAGAGGTTGATGGCTATAAAGCCGATGGCACGAGAGAGCCAGAGGTGTTTTGTGACAAGGAGGTGGGCTTGCATCGGGTGGAGACCACCAACAAAGAAGCCCCAGGGGGCACTTTGACCTTCTTTGTTGGCGACAGGGGGAATGACGCATAGGGTCTGGGCCGATTGTGGAAATGCCCTTTTTAGGAAGGTTGTGAGATCATTACGGATGGAGTGGAACTTTTCAGAGTTATAGTGGGCATCTAGGGGGAGCGCTAGGATCGCACCGGGGTCGGATTGCCATTTCTGGAGGCAGTCCTCACAGATGTTGCTTAGAATTCTCGCTGGTCGGACACCGTGGGCTCTGAAGTTTTCGAGTTCTCCCTCAAGGTCTATGTAGTTGTAAGATTCTAGGCCGTCTTTTGGACGAAGGGGGGAGTTTAGGGGTAGGCTTTGGGCGTTGGCAATGGCTGGGGCTCTGGTTGGACGCTCCGGGGTGGTAGGGGTTACAGCCACGTCATTTTCCTCTTCGAGGTTGGGCCTGAAGGTTGATGGAATGGGCCAGGGAGCAAATCTGGGGGGGCCAGTGGGGGGGCGGCCTTTTCCGACCTTTGGCCCAGCTTGCAGGTGCAGGGGTTCGAGGTCCGCCACGTGGGAGTCAAAGAGCAGGGAGCTCAGGGTGGGTTTCCTCCACTGAGGGAGGGGGGGGGGCTGGGTTGGGCCCTCAAGGTCAGCAGAGCCAGGCAATCTGAGGCGTTTTAAATTTTCGAGGTTGCTGTTGGATAGGGCTTCCGGCCTCGGGGTGTTTCTGGCATGGTAACAGTGCGCTCGGCAATGTGGGGGGTGTGGACCTTATTAGCAGAGGCGTTGGTCGACGAGTGGACGACCATGGTGTCGTCCTCCCTATAAGACGAAATGTTGGACTAGCGATGTTGTCGCTCAGTCCACTATGCATGAACTAGAAATATATAGGAAGTATTCACCTAGCGATGTTGTCGCTGGTGTAAGAATATTAGATACAAGTTGTTAAACACATAAATGAAGGAGAAAACTTAGACTCACCTCAGTCCGCTATGCGTGAACTGAGGAAAAGTCGTAAGGTCCAAAAAATGGTGTTTTATAGTCAGGCGCTATCAATGCGCACTGACTTTAGTAACAACTGATCCAAAAAAGGGAAACAAAGTAAATCTTAGCGCCGCAAGACTCAACATCAACAACGTGAGTTGGCCTCAGCGTACGCTTGTATCCCAAGAAATTTAACACTCCCCGTGGGTGGTCAGTAGATGGGGGCTTTCAGGGTCTGGGGGTTGACGGTCAGTTTGTTTGTTTGTGTGGGTTCGGACATAGGAGGCAGCCTTAGGCCTGGGGACATTTAGCCGCCAGGGGTGCAGCCGGTTTCTTGGTTGGGAAGGGGTTAGGGAGTTACTTACCAGAGGGGTAAGTCTCCATGTTATTGGGATGAGGAAACTTCGAGGGAGTTTCTCGTGGTTCGACCGACCTAACTCCGTTTCGGAGTTACCCAGGTGCCGAGGGACATAACTCCAAGAAGGTATGTTCCGTTCAGACGCACCCGCCCTCCAGCACCTATTCGGCTCAGCCGTCTTCTGGTGACACCCTGGGGGCCCAATGACGCGGCCAGGTGCTCGCCGTTGTCTGAGACATTGTTGGCGCCATTCCGGGCTTATTTACGTTTCTTAGAGTTTCATTCTTATGTGTATTTTGTGTGTGTTGTTTAGTTCCGTGCTCACCCGGCCGTAGTTTAACGACTTTGCGGTCGCCTGAGTCAATATTCTGCGAGCCCTGGACCAGACCATTTCAACGCAGTGAACCAAGTGCTGAAGTATCTTATTTGCACGAAGGACTGTAAACTTATGTACGATGGGGGAAATCGCGAAGGCGATTTTACTGCTTACTCGGACTCCGATTGGGCTGGAGACCCTCGCGACCACAGATTCTCTCTGGTTATGTATTCAAGGTGGCTGGGGGAGCTGTATCGTGGAGTTCGAAGAAACAACCCTCCACTGTGTTGTCGAGTGTGAAAGGAGAATATATGACGCTGACGCACGCGGCGAAAAAAGCCGTTTGGATGCAGGGATTTATCGGTGATGTCCTCCGACTTCCTTCCATTCCTACCACTATACTCGGCGCTTTACGCTCGCCATGAACCCCGCGTCTCATGCACCCACTAGGGCACATTCGCATATGCCACCATTTTATTCGCGATTGCATTTACGATGGTGATATCACACTCAAGTGCGTCCCAACTGCCGACCAAATTCTCACAAAGGAGCTTACACCCGAGAAACATGACAAGTTTACAGAAGGTATGAGGATTGTCGATAGGAACCATCGTTGAGAGGGTGTGTTGGAATTTCAACAACCGGTTCCGACATCCGAGTGGCGAGTGAGTTCATGGACGAAGAGGACCAACTTTCTGGACATCCTCTCCCTCAGAACTCTTGTACGAGTCTGAGGTGAGAGCGATAGATTTTTACTATTTTTACTCCATATCTCTGACTATGTACATATTGACGCAGAACTTACGCGTCATAGGTACAGGCCAATTTAGAACTCTTGTACGAGTCTGGGAACTTACATGTCATAGCCTAAAATGCCTGGCCTCTACGACCAATAGCTTTTCCATAGATAGGAGCTCCAGGTGTTTGCCAGGAAGAAGACTGGCCCACGCTACAAGTTGGGGTCCAAAGCACCGCCACACACTCGTAACCCCTGCAACTCACGCAACTCACCACATTCGATAATGGTGAAAGTTACGAACCAAGCATTAGCGGCATTGGCAGTCATAACGACTTTTGGTGTGATATACTCCCTCATATTTGACACCGCCCTCGACACCTCAAATCCCTTACTTGCCCACATACCCCAACCAAACAGGACATCTTATTTTGCCCAAAAGTCGAATATTTTCAACGTATTATTTGTAAAGAACGCATGGGGTTGGACTAGCATTGCTTTCTTGACACTCTATGCCACGTCTCCACCGGAGAAGGCAAAGCTGAGAAGGCTTGGTCGATGGGTAGTGACGACTTTCGTTTGGGCAGTGTTTGCGTCATGGTTCTTCGGACCCGCATTATTTGACAGAATTATCACCGCGTCTGGAGGGCAGTGTCTTATTCGCCTCCCTCAAGCCGTCTCCACTGGGACAGGGATTGCGGCAGACTCTCGCTCCCCCTATGTTGCGATTCCCGTGGAATATTGTGAAGCCAAGCTAAAGTTATCGCCTCGCACCCATCCTACACTCTTCACGGACCCAAGAATTGTCGATGCGTTCGCTGCATCACAGGGGAAGAGCCTGTCCGAGCTAGACATTTCCTTCAGACCGAAGCTGTACTACGGCCATGATGTCTCTGGTCACCTCTTCCTCCTCACTCTATCTATCCTTTTCCTCGTTGACCAGGTTGGCTATTCGCTCCCACCACCGTTCACCTCCTTGGATGCATCGTCCGCTCCCGCTTCTAAACCTAGCGCTTTGCACGTAGCAACAGTTTACGGAACCCTTGCACTCATCTCGTTGTGGTATTGGATGGCATTCACAACATGTGTATATTTCCATACAGTGCCAGAAAAAGTCAGCGGTTTTGGTGAGTCTCAACGCTGCCTGTGTTCGACATTCCCTCACATTCATGATCATACTAGTGATTGGTGTAGCTGGATTTCTTTTCACTACTCTCGTCGTTCCGTGAGGAACCAGTGATTTCATCTTATGGGTAGGGACATCAGATATCTATCTCCTGTGATGATTGTAAGTGCCTACCGCTTATATTCATATTCACACATATTAATGCTACATAATTTAAATGCTTGAAATGGAGGCAGCATCGATATCAATTGCCGCATGTATGACACTTCCTGAGCATACTAGTAGACCTTCTGCCTGAAAAACTAATGCAAATTCTTGACATCATTGACCTGCCTACCCACTCCTCGTGTTCCTGTTCTCTTCCGACTCATCATCCTTCACCGCGACAATGAATACTCCTGTTCCAACACCACCAGGAACGATTTTATCACCTAAAGCCTCTCTTAACTTCACCTTTGCATCGAAGCCAGTGCAATGAAGCGGGACAACGTAATCCGGTTTGTAAGAGGCAATGGCTTCCACTGTTGGTTCGATACGATATGCCAACTCGGGTCCTGCTAGATGGAGACCACCTAAAATCATGTGAATTGGCCTTCCAGGAAAGGTTTTAGATGCGGAATGCAGAACGTTCACAATGCCAGCATCTTACAAAGGGAAAAAAAAATGACGTTAGCTCACACCTCATGGAATTCAAACGTAGACTGACGTGAGCAAGAAGAGAAAATGACCAGTCCCTTTCCCCGTACGTCAACGACTGCGTATCGTTCATCCATGACAAGCTGGCATGACCAGCCAACCCCAGGCTCTCATTACGAATATCACAAATATGATGAAGATGGAAACGCACTTGTCCTGGTTCCCTTTGCCATGACCCATCCACCCATTCGATTCCACCCACGAGCCCCGTCTCAAAGTCGGTTACTCTTTGAATTTCTCCGCTGACCCATACCTGCCCATCGCAAATTGCATGGCCTTCTGCATTCAAAACAGGTTCACCTCCTGCTTCCTTGATCTCTTCAAGAGTAGGATCAGCGGGCAACCGAGCGATGGGCTTGAATGAAGGGGCAGGCTGCAGTGGAATCGGAGTGCAATCCAGAAGTTATTCCATTGCATTGGGTTGAGAAATGACCCTCACTAGCGAGATGGTACTGTGGTACTTACAGCGATCCCGCGTGCAATGGGGCGCTTTGGATGAAGGTCTACGGGGAGGGGATTGGAAACTCCCTCTTGAGCCTCGCGGATCAGTTGGAGCGCAGTCAGAATTCCCCCAGAGTGATCTGCATGCCAATGCTATGGTCAATGTGGGTCAGCTCCCCCTAATTCTGATCTGCAGTTCGAGGTGGGGCGAGTGATTCCACAGGGTAGAACCAAAAAGACGCGGGTTGGCATCCTCCCCCCCCCCCGGCAGGAACGACGTGTCCTGAGACGAAAGGCACTCACTGAAAGAACGATTCTTTCTATGGCTTTAGGATCAATCTTTAATGCTTTAATGTTTCGATCGATCGACTTGGACTCGGGTCCAGCGTCAAAGAGAATGGTATGACGCTGGTCACCGTGGGTTGTGGTGATAAGGAATGATAAGCCATGTGCCCCTTTCGAGAAGGTTCACAGGCGTCAGCCGGGAGTACCAGTAGTTCTGATCGTTCTCAGCCGAGCTCACCACAACAGCTGGGAACCACGAAGCCAATATGCCAATTAGGGAAAAATTAAGCAACATCAGTCAAAGGGAGCGTACTAATTCTCTAGATCAATGAATGGTAGTCCAGTCAATTTTTCATCTATGGGAGGGTTGTTCCTAAGCTGCTGCGGGACTTCATTAAGAAATGGTGGGGGCAAAGCTGTCATCCTTGGTCCATGTCGAGAATATTGAACAGGCCGAAGTTTCTAAAAGGATGATCATCTCTTACCATTCAATGGAGTTATCGACAAGAATACTGGGACATTGAGGACGTATTGAATGACCAGTGGGGGGATGGTAAATGTTAACTGCCAGTGGATCTTGGTAGCTTACTTGATCTGAAGAGAGTCAACAGGAACTGTTCCAGCCATCATTGTCAATGTCGTGTAGACCCGATATTTATTTACTACAACAGAGATGAATGAGCGATTCCCAGGTGATAGTGCAATGCGACTAGTACTGTTGGAGGATCTTGCAGAAACGTTTCTGTGGACACTGTTCACAACAAGTCAGGTAGTCCCTTAGCACACGTGTACGCTCTCCGCAATTCTCTCGCCGCTGATTCTTGCCGGGCCGTCGTCGTATTCTTTATGAGCGTGGGTGACGTGAAACCGACCTCATGGGCTGCAAGCCAATTCCCAGGATCATCTGATTTGAATGAACGTCTTGTGTCAAAAAGGAACCGCCCCGAAGGCCACTCCCTCAACCAACCATCACCCGTACTTGTCCGTTCACGGGCGATTTTTTAACATCGAAGGACATCTCAAAAATGGGTCTCGCCGATATGCCGATGGAAATCATCCTGCACATAATGAGCTTTGCGCGGTGGAACAAGCATCGCCCTGATTATCGGAGCATCAAGGTATGGGACGTAAACCGTTGCTCAAAAGGGGACTCGCTGAGTGCATTTCCCTAAAATCTCGCGATGTGGCCCCTTGCATGTTGGCGTATGTGCAATATAGTTGTGGTCGCTTACCTGCAAGTCTCTCTCGTCTTGTGCTCAAGTGATACTTTTCTCGCATGTGATCATTCGCCGTATCAAAACCATACGGGCGTTGAAGCGCGTGGTGACTGGGAATGGAAAGAGTGCTGGATACTTCAAGGACCGAGTCAGAGTGTTAGAAATCTATGCTAAAGACGAGTTGGGCGCGGATGCCATTCACTTACACGACATCGCTCAATTACTTCCATTGTGAGTGATTGGTGAATTCCCATCCTCACACTTCAAGCTGGCTTTAATCTAGTGCTCTTCCTTGGATGATTAGGCTAACCCACCTTCGGCATGTTGCCCTGGACCTTGATCGGTTCTACGCATTTTTGCCCGTCTCGCTGCCCCTGCTTCGGCATACCAGCGAGACCCTCACTTCTCTCACCGTGAAACCCTCTTGCGGCTGGACACTTCTGCAGATCCTCGAGCGTTTCCCATCCGTCCGACGCATTCATTATGTCGATCAATTCCCAAATAGCTCATCTCTTCTGAATTACCGTCCTCCCTGTCCAGTCGCTTTTGAGCAAATCATCTTCACCTCCGTTTCACGCCATGGATTCAGACCTCTTCATTGGCTCGTTTCCAATCCAGACCTGAAACTGGAGCTACTCGAAATTGGAAGCACCTTGCCCGATGGCGTGTTTTTTGATTTGATCATATCCAAAGTTGGTCCGCACCTCCGGCGACTGCACTTATACGAAATAAACGACTCTTGCATCATGTATCTAAACAAGTGCGAGGTTCTCGAAGAGCTCGTCGCAGGCTGTTCCACTCCCGAGTACGACTGGATTCCTCTCCTGCAAATCCTGCGATCGGTCCCCGTCCGACGGTTGAAGCTTGTCGGCCAGTCTATCTTCCCACTAGATGATTCTTTCCCAGGCATTTTTGAAATGCTCAAGAATCTCCCTTGTATTGATATGGTGACCTTTGCTGGTGACGACAACCTCTCATGTGCGTTTGAAACGCCGGAGATGGAGCGCCATTGGGTAAAAATGTGCCGAGCAGCTGGAATTGAACTGAATCTTTGGCACATCCGGGTGAGTCCGCTGAATTATCCTATCGATCCCCCGTGTGGCCGCGTGTCAATGGCCGTTATGATTGACGGCGAAGGTCACATCAAGTGTGGAATCGACATATATCCATTTTTGTATCGTGGTGCCTAGTCTTTCACATTCAATCACCGCCGCTTCCATTTATACCAATCGACGCTGTTAAAACTGTATGACATGACTAACCCTGTGATTCCCCCCCCCCCTGCAGGATTGTCACGAGAAGCAGTACTGCATGGAGAGTGAGGAAGTTGGTACATCATGGGGAATGATCCGCCCCAGCTTCGGCACACTCACTGCTCCCCAGTGGTAGGGGCATGCGTCCCGCACGGTAGGATATAAAACTAAACATTTCTGACTTCGTGTTGTGTCTAGATGCGGCGCACCATCGATCTTCCGAGATCTTTCATTACTCATCTTATCCTTGCATAAAGCTTTGTAACACCTTGTTTCTTCCACTTCACTTCATTCCACACGTGTATGTGTAATATTGTACACCCCTTCTCCCTCGTGTTGTTCTTTCGTATAATTTCCGAAACACTGTTCCTCACACTCATTTCCCCCATATTTAACACTACGCAAAGAGGAAGCTAATTCAAGTCCAAAATATCGATCTTTTTTTCAAACCGTCATTCCTCCATTCACTCGAATATTTTGACCATTCACCCAAGCACTCGCGTCACTAGCGATGAAGGTAACCACCTTTGCGATGTCTTCTGGCTCTCCTATCCTATTGGCGGGGGCCCAACTAGCGTTCAGCTTAACGATTTCCTCCGTTTTGCCAACAAAGTATGCCTCTGTGCCAACTGGTCCAGGTGAAACAACGTTCACAGTGACGTTTCGACGGCCGAGGTCTTTAGCCAGAACGCGATTCATTTGTTCGATGGCACCTTTCGTGGAAGCATAGAGGAGGTACGGCGGTGCAACTGACGTGACTGCAGTCACCGAAGTTGATATGAAAATGACACGTCCACCTTCTGGAATGTGAGGCGCAGCAGTCTAACAAAATGGGTGACTCAGTTTAGCACGAATCTGAGGGAGAATGAGTAGCGTATCACGGGGGGGGGGGGGGGGGGGGGAATGTGGAGATAAGAACTTTACCTGAACGAGGAAAAACGGTCCTTTGACGTTAAGATTATAGGCATCGTCAAAATCAGCTTCTGTAGTCGTCTCGATGGACTTATTCGGGAAAAGTCCAGCAGCATTCAGAACAAGAATATCGATCTTTCCGAATTTGGCGACACTCTGCTCGACGAGCGCTTTGATCTCGGTGAGTTTGCTCACGTTAGCTTTGAAGGCGATCGCCGATCGGCCCTCCCCGCCTGCCAAAGCCCCGATCTGATTGACGACCTCAGATGCAGGACCTTCGGAGCGAGAGTAGTTGATTATAACGGAGGCCCCCTCCGATGCCAGAGATAGAGCGATGGCTCTACCAATACCTAATCCAAGTGAAAAAACCCTGCAGTCAGGAATGTAGATACTGTAAGCTGATTGTGACATCCAGTCCGACCTGACGATCCACCAGTGACGAGTGCTACCTTCCCAGCAAGCTTTCCAGACATGTTGAAAGGCTACAGTAGGGATGCCGCAAAAGGACTCAAATGGCTGGGTTTCCTAAGAGATCATGGGCTATATATACACAGGCCCCTCTCCGGTGACAGGTACGTGTGTGGAGCATGATTCGTGTGCCGCTGAGTGCGGACCGATTGCGCGGTGCACCGTTTCTTTGGCTTAAGTATGGAAATCGAGGTTGCCGCGTCAACGCTTGCTGCATCCTTGCCCCTCATGATATCATCCGTCGGCGCACGCCGAGAAGTGCCCCTCCACCAACAGTCACAGCCAATTCAAAGAGGATCTCACTTCTGCCACCCAACGCAAACCCAGGAGCCGAAGACATACAGGAGATACCCAATAATTCAGTTATCAGTTTGAAGAACATGGATAAGACGGCAATCATCCAGGCAATTATTTAAGCTGTCCTTTCAATACTCGACCAAGTGGAGGAGATCGTGAAGCAAATCTAATGATGATTCATCGTAGGGTAGAATAAACACTGGCGGGCACAGAAAACGAATTACGAATGACGACGGTAAGAATGAAGCAAACCTCAGCCATCAACGTTTGCCTATTACTTTGGAAAGGGCGTTCTTCAGGACATTTGCGGCTTTCTCTGTGTCCTTCTTGCTCAACGCTGCAGTTGCACAGATTTTCAAACTGGGCCTGGGGTCAAGTGACTCTTGGCCTCTCAGCCGCTTCGCACGAGTGACCAGTACCCCTTGCGAGAGACACTCATCTACAACGTCTTGTAGGAGCTTCTCCTCCGTTGGGATGTCAAAGTAGTGCGGTTCACGAGGGGCGAGCGAGGCGGGATTTGACACGCGCTCCAGGGCTATTTTAGGTCCTGCAGCATCGGGTGACAATAGGGATCGATTGGAAGTTGAAGAGTCCAATGGCGATCGGATACAAATATGGATAATAGGACTATGAGGATGAGAAGGTATTGTGACGCACTCCAGCCTGTTGAGCACTGAGCGTATGGCGAGGATGTTCGTGTGCAGGGCTGTGAGGATGGAAGGCGTGGAGGTGAGGATATTGATCCCTTCGGATGCAGTAGTCGCAAGTAGTGGAGGCATTGAAGCAGAAAAGACGAATGCAGAGCCATTAATGCGCTATGGATCATGATCAGACAATGAACAAAATTGGAGCTGGAGAGACGCATTCACTTGGTGCTTTACAGCGACTTCTGAACCAGCACAGAAACCTCCAGTGCCGCATAAGGTATTTGAGAGGGAACCAACGATAAGGTCGATGTTGCCTGCCTGTGATTCATTAGGCACCGAGAGGAAAGGTCATGGGGAAGTGTAGAAGCTTACTGAAACGTTGTACAGTTCCGTCAAGCCACGACCAGTTCGTCCCATAGTCCCAAACGAGATGCTCTCGTCGAGGAGCAATCTGTACTTGAACTTCTCCTTCAATTCAACCTAGCATATCCCGTCAGTACAGTGGATCCAGAGGACTATCAGGGACTCACAAGTTTCGGTAAATCAGACATAGCGCCGTCATTCTCAAAGATCCCTTCAGTGATAATAAATCGTCTCGCGAGCGGCATCTTCTTTTTCTTCATCTCCTTCACCACGCTATTCATTACCTCCTCCAAACTGCTCATGTCATTGTGATCGTACCACCTGACCGTAGAGCGCGAGATTTGGATGCCCCTGTGAATGGCAAAATTGACACCACGGTCGGCGACAATAATGTCACCCCGTTTGCAAAAGGCCGGGATGACGGATGAGATGGTGGAGAAGCCTTGGGAATAAATGATTGCATCCTCGGTCCCGAGGAATTGAGCAATGTTGCGTTCGAGGTCAATGTGGACATCTAGTCTCCATTATTAGTCCTTGCACGCCGAGTGTTTGCAACAATCTACTCGCCAACGGTTCCATAGAATCCGGGGGGACCACATGCACCCAGGCCATGCTTCCGCAGAATTTTGACAGCATGTTGCTTGATAGCCTCATTCCCCGCTAGCCCGGCAAAATTATAACTTGACAAATTTGTAAGCGTCTTTCCCGTGCTCTGAAGCTTGGGCTTGGGTCCGGGATGACCAACGACGACCGGAATCGAATCAAGATCCATTTGTTCCTGCTCAGTGAGCGGTGAGACGAGAGGCTCCGGAGTCCATTCTTCCACGAGTTCATCAATTTCCTGCAATCATACGCAAATATAGTATTGAAATTCAGCTGCTTTGTTCCCTCGACACGCAACTCACTCAACAGACCTGTTCAGAGAATCGAATAAAATGTTTCCCGCCTCGGTCTGCGCGCGTACGAGATTGAACGAGAGTCCAGACAGCGAAGATAAAAAGGCAAAGTTCCAGTAAGGTGCGGAAGGGATCGTTCTGATGCGAGGATTTAACATATCGAACAAGAACACCTGAGCCTGGGACAGCATTAAAGCCCCGCTGAATGGAATCAAGCGAGACGGCAACGAAGTAGAATATCGGTTCCAAGGTCGGATTGATATGTTTGTCCGCCATCGTTGAAGGATTTCAGGTGGTTGCCTGACCGAAGTCCGGCTATTCCCGAATGAATGGCTCAGCTCAGACGCTTTAAAGTAGCGTTTCTGCCACTTCAGTGGGCGTATTGGGCCTTCCCTTTCCGGCGAAGGTCCGCCAACCCCATAAAGCGCTAGCGCAAGTCATTACCCCTGTTAGGAGGCCCCAGCAGTAGCATAAATGCCTCATCCGGCTGGTTGGGATTAAGGAAGAGGATTCTCGGACGATATCTGATATGGCTGTATGCGTCAGCGAAGACTTGAACCCCAATTCATCTTCGAGGTTGGTAGAGACTGGAACCACGCGTACGACTGTCCGTTGCATTGCGTCACGCTTACTGCTTAAACTCGACTCATCTCGCTCGCGTGGGTTTTGAACGCTCAGGCTCGGGTAGCGCACGAAGCGCAAGAGAGAATGCATATTCCTTCTTGGGATCGACGCTGATCTTGTCTCGACTCCTGGGGCTTGGAGAATAAATGGTCTGACCATTGGCAGCATTGAGATCGTAATTATCGTAAGCTTGAAAATGGTTGCTTTGTGGTTTTAAAGCTGGAGTGGGCTGCACAGACAATATCCCCCCTTTGATTGCCACTCCCGAGTTCGCTATAGAGCTCGAGGTCAGCTTTTCCATGAAGGCTTCCTAGGATCACGTTGGGGTCGTCAGAGTGTTCGGCGTGTATTGCATGTACGATTTCTCGCCCGTGAAACGTGGGCCAGGTGTTTTAGGTCTCATCAACTTGTAAAAGGCTGGGGTTCGTGTGATGCATGTCATATCCCGTTGACATTATGGCTAGTGGGAGGCTGAAATAACCTGCTGAAGGAACTGCCGCTCTCAACGTCAGCCTAGTCACTTTGTTTGTTCCTTGTGATGGCAGCTTGTGTCAGTGGGCCCAGGATGCTGGCTGGCGCGCGTCTCACATTATGGAGTCTCAGGAACTAGTTCTGGTGCACTTAGAAACAAAAGTCGTGTGCTACGATCAATATATTCCTCAACGAGCCGAGGGGTGGGGTTTCCACCCTCATGCACAATTTGCTTGCCCTAGCTGACTTGTCCTCCGAGTGTCCACAATCAGTCCTACACCCGTCGTGAGACCCGTATTACCCCAATGTTTGGATTTTGGAGGTATGGTGCGGGTATGCCAGACACCCCCAAGCCGGGCTTCACACCAGCACATCTCAGAGTGTTCTGGATTGTGCGGCTCGGACTGAATGATGCGAGTTGCAGGTCATACTCCTGATTCCGATTAGTGTAGACCAATTATCTGCATCAGTCAAGAGCGGGATGTGTATAAATTCCCCTGGGTCTGAGATTTTGACTTCTGCCTCCCATCACCGATGGTGTCTGTTCTCCAGGCTCGTAATCAAATCATTCACATCCAGTCCCAGCATTGTCAGGTACGCCTTGGATTCACCACTTACTTCTCTGCAGCCACTTTCGCCGCGCTTTGCAGAAGGGATTGTTTCCCAACATCAGTGCGAGGGAACCCATTGCGTGACTTGCTCATCAACAACAGTAAAGGCCGCCAGCGGGTTCTTGGGATCTACGAAGAACTGAATTAAAATGGACTGCGACTCACATTTCAAAGATTTGATAGCGCCGCTGAACTTCACGATGATCGGGTACCGTTCTTCGAGGCTCTGATCTGCATCCGAAGCTAATCGAGGAGTCCTGGACTTCCACAATTCCTTCCCTGTTAACTCTACCGCCATTGACCCACGCAAGCCTCCATGGTGTGAGCAGTTTCATCAGAGGCGAAGCCTTCGCCATTCCGGGTATATAGGATGTAGTGTCCTGTTGCAGCAGGGGCAGACGAATTTTTGTTACCGCAACTTGATATGAATCAAAACAGACGGTAGATGTTTAAGTAATGCTGGTTATTGTAGAATGAGTGGTATAGTCCGAGTGCGTATGGGGTAAAAGAGAGGGATAAACGTGACAACCATGAGTATTAGACATGAAAACTAATGGACGACGTGATACGCTAGGGGTCGCATGAAACTTCATCTATGGGAGATCTATTTTCTCGAGAACGAAGACCAGCTCGATAATCGAGACATAGCTGATATGCGGTTGGACGTGGAATTTGCGTCCTCATTTGCATGCATTTGCTCAGCATAGCTGGGGAACGAGCGAGTTGAATACAGTCGCAAGGAGTCGGTGGGGATCTACGTACAGCATTTTGTACTTGACGAGTTCAGCCTCTGTATCTTCCTTTTCAACTTTTGCCATAACTAACGAAAGCCTCTATCATGATTGCTCAAAATCGAGTAGAATGTCACTGACCTAGTTGTTTGACAATATCAACATGATCTTCGCTCATTTGCGCCAACGAGCTCTCCAGTGCTTTTCTGTCCATTCCAGCAAACAAATCAATCTCTCCGTCGTGATGAAGTCAGTCAGGCACCTACACCCGTTCAGTGAGAGATCTATTAGCAGCTCGTAGCGACTCTAGCTCCATCGTGTGGGCATTCTGCGCCCGCCGCAGCTCTTCCCATTCACTGGCAAACGTATCCAATAGGAAAGGCGTCACCTTGACCCGCATTGCGTCTTGGATGAATAAATCGGCTCTGTAATGGACGGGTGACTCTGTTGCCTGGACACATCCCAATTCGCCTCGGGGGGTTGGCACATCCTTCGATACACGTAATGTAGACCTCTGAGTTACGTGCAGAAGGACGCTCATTCTTACCAGGTACGCATCGAACAATGCATTCTTTAGAAAGTCCAATATACTATCAAATTTCAGTTGAAGTAGTTTCTCTTCATTGGACTGCAGTAGAACAATACTGAATCCAAAGATGGCCTCTATCCCAGTCGCAAACAAGTGGTCAAAAATCCGGAATACCACTTGAAGCGGAAATCTATTCATCTCTTCTGCTGAGTAAACTCCTTACGCAGAAATCGACGAGGGATTACATACCGGTAGCTGAACATTGTCAAGTACCACTGACTGCAATACATACTTGACTTGACGCCTTGCCGCAGGAAGTGAACGTAAAGAACAGGCACAAGTTCTTCGACAAGGCGGTCAAACTGGTATAACCGAAGCTGAAGGCCTGGCATTTCTGGCAGGTAAATACTCCTCAGATTGTATGATTGCATGAGCCGTACAAAGACGCAGAACGCTTCCTCATCAGGCATCTGAAAAGGCAATTAACGACATAAGTCCACTCTTATGTGGGGTGTGCAACGTACATTGAGTAGAAGAATGGCGACTATGAAGGCCAGCCCTTGGCAGTAGCCAACTTCTGGGTCATATCTACCAAGATGTATCGAGCAAATGATGGAAGATCTCAAGGGGGCCGTGCTTACAAGCTATATGCCTTTAAAACATTGAAAAGGTTCTCTTGGCCTATCCCTTTACCGTCCATAAAGAATGCATGGTGTGGAAAAGTGCGACCCAAGTCACGCATGATTGCTTTCTCGTGAGGGCTTGATTCCTTCAGGAAAGTGCTATAAAGCTGCTCTAATTCCGCATCCTTAGATGCTGACCTGGAAGGGGAATAAAAGGATGTTGCCCAAAAAAATTCAAGGAAGACTGACATGTTCTGCCACACCATCCCACGAATGGCGTTCGGTATCCCGGACTCAATAGCCTTGGCTAGCCTCGTGGGCTCGTTCCTCGCCATCGCTTCATAATCTGGGAAGTGATATGAGGCTAGTGTGCGCGACATTGAATTATGAATTACGGACCTGCCATCACTGCCCCCCAAAAATCTGGTCTCAAAGTGATCAGCAGACGGCGAGTAGACGGAAAGACAAAACAGACCCCAGTCAATTTCTGCTTCTGGATCATCTCGAGGCAGTTGCTGTTCTCGCTCCTGCAATTTTTGGAAGTCCTCCTTCAGACGAAGGTATCCGTCAATACTAGCTCGTTGGGCTCGCGTATCTAATCCGAGCCTCTCCTTTTGCTGGTCCAGCCGAGCAATAAGAAAAGGAACTGACGAGCGGCCTGGCTCTTCTCTGTTGGCCGGCAGCTGTGTTCGTGAAGGCTCCTCGTCAAGAATTGATGATCGAGGGCTCTTTTGGCCGATCATGGAACCATTACTCAGCCTCTTATTCAATTCAGAAGGCCCAGGATCATCAACGGGATCACCAGAATATACGGCACGGGGCGTGGTTGGTGTCTGAAGTGACACAGTGGAAAATCGGACGTCGTCGTCCAAAGCAAGCTCCTGGTACTCCTCACCGTTCACATCAGTGTGGGAGGATAAAACCGGCGTTGGAGGGGGGATAGACGACGACGCATGATCCTCTGTAGTGCCAGTAGCGGAGGGCAGATCGTTCAGAGACGATGATGCCCCGTGGCCGGAGTTTGAGTCCATCGGTTCTGCAGGATGTTCTGCCATAATTGTTTCACTAAGAGACCACGTGAACAACGTTTGAATTGAGCTAGTGCGTGTTTGCGCCGAACTCAATAAGCCATTTTATGTAAGTACAACGGAAGTGATTCTCCTAGTACTAGTCGTCTGGTGACACATCACCAAATTCATATATGCCAGCACGCTCCCGCTTCGCAACATCAGACGCCTCCCGCAATTTGGCCATAAGCGAGGTGTATAACGAGGCGTACTTGTTCCTCCGGTCGATGGTAGCAAGGCCATCCCGCACCAAGTCCACGTTAATGCTGGCATTAGGGTCTGCAGCTGCCGCGGGGTCATTGGGATCAATCAAGCGAAGGTATGGAATTCCGCCATCTTTGTAGTCAACATTGGCGATGAGCTTCCTCCCCTGAAATAACAGTTAATTCACTGTGGGACGGTGAGAAGTGAAACACGGACAGCGCATGAGGCCTGGAAGTTGTTAACCGCTTCCTCATGGTACTCGCTCTCTGGGCCAACTATTTTCACGAAGCTAAATGAAGGTAAGATCACGTCTCGAGCGTTCAATTTGTCAATCTGCACCTTAGTCGCGCCTCTTGAGCCTGGCCTGTCGCGACAAATTGATGAGCTAAGCACTCCAAAAAAGTTTCTGTCTGGCAAGGACTGACCAGGCAAAGACCGGAATTTATCGTCCAACGGTCGGATGCTGGGATACGCGTCAGCCTGAGCTCGCAAGTCATCAAGAAAGAGGGGCTGACTTTGCAAATGATACAGTTTCTTGATTCCCATAATCGCTAGAGAGTGAAGACTTCAGGATTTTTCCGCAGGTGATTACAAACCAAGCTCACATAAACGTTACTTCAGCTTCCTGGACAGCAAGGAACATCAGTATCAGACCTGAACATTATTCAGAAAACGCGCCTGAGTGGCTGGTGAAACGCGTCGAGTCCTCGCACGATACCAATTGCCGTCGCCGCTGAATCGCGCTACGTAGGAACTGAGTTAGGTCTTGTTCGGGATCGATGACTATGGGTGTACCCGAAATCAACTCATCACGACGAGGCGTAAAACCAGGTACCGAGGAGGCCGTGCGGTGATGAAGCGAGAACTCCTGCATGAGACGCTCTAATGATGCGATGTCTGATGGAGCATGGCCTCAGCATGTCTCCTGGGCGAAGTTTAAAGTGGCCTACCGTCGCTGTCGAGTCGTTGAATCGAGAAGGAGAAATCTGCTGAATGTCTGACATCCGATATCATGACGTCAAAGTACTTCAGTTCAGGAGCCACGTCCCCTTCTCTAGCGGGCCCTGACTCCTCGTCCTCGTAATTCAGCCATATCTTCATCATCCAGTTAGAAGCATGCCCAGGGTGCACTAGTGATGACTAACGTTCAACCGAGCAGCCTTAGCTTGTGCCTGGGACATGGACCATAATAAGAATTGCTCGGCAGGTAGCCAATGGCGCCTTACCTCTGCATCGAGCAATTGCCTGGACCACGATAGTGCATTAGCGGAATGAGCAAGCACATCAGCGAAACCGTTCTTGACAAGCTCGATCGCTGCATTGTCCTTATTAACAAACATCGTCCCAATGAAACCTCCCCCTTGTCAGCGGTGTCAAATTCGACCTCCACATCGCGCTGCATAAACTTTCGGATTGCAAAGTTCAAGGCTTCTTGGCCCCAGGGTTCGCCTTTCTCCAGTATTTTGTCCTTCTCGGGCCCTTTTTCGCCGAATGCAACCCTCGGTGGACGCGGCGTTCGAATTCCTGGGCATTTCGCTCAGTGGAATAACGACAAAGTAGACATTCTATCTCACCTGCCAATGCAAAGGTCAATGTCTGATTCTCTTTTGGAATTAACAGCCTAATGGCAGGTAAGATCATATGAACATCATCAACTATGTGTGAAGCCACTCAACTTGAAACGACTGCCGGCGTTCACATTTAACACCTGGGCGGACAAACGACCGGCCCGTTTAAATGAATATAAGAATTGCGTTGCCTTGGCGGCAGACTGTTTGGTGGCGCGAATCAATGGCAATGAAGTGCGAAATAACCCGGTATCAGACCAACCTCAGAAGCATTGCCTATCCGGGGCAACGTGATTGGTTTCGCAGAATGCATTCCTCGAGACTCGGCGATCGCCACCTGCTCAGCCGCCATGTATTTATCATAATCCGATGATCTGTTCTCGTCATCTCTCTTGTGTCGCAAGGCTGTCGCCAGCCCTGCTTTGATCAGTTCCTCCGCGATGTTGCTTCGAAGTGGGGCTGTTTAGCAGCCTGGTTGGAAGGCAGAGAGCCTAGCTTACGTAGTCGCACCCCCATAGTGAACAGTAGCACATTCTCGTTCCTCGTAGTCCCCTTCAGCAGGCCGAACGAAGTCCACCTTGACGCGCACATTTTCGCCTATGAGTCTCTTCCTTAGGAACTGTGGGCAAAACCATCAGGCAAGAGGGAATGAAGGGTCACAACAAGCATACTACCTCCTTCGCCTCTGAAGTATAAGCTGCGTTTTCGCCTTTCGGCGCCCTGAGGGAGCTCAGTTGTAAGCGATGCTCATTTGTCGTATCGTTCTCAACAACAGACTAGAAGCGGTCTGATCAGAGCAGCCTAAAGCAGGACGATGGTTCCGACTCACTATTTGATCACCGCTCCAGATACGGATCACCTCTGCATCAAATGCGGCTTTGCCCTTGAGCTGGAGTGACCCATTCGTTGCTCCCTGTGTGGACGGATTTTGTGGAAGTGAGGTGTAGATACCAGATCTCCTCTCTTTCGCAGCACTGTCAGTGGTCACAGTCAGAGTGGTTCATCAATGGCATCAAGGCCAACAAACCGCTCAGCCGCGCGAAGTTTCTCCATTCCACCAGTCGGGGAAAGCATCCCGGCATGCCAATCGACGATACGAGCCAAGCCCGCTGCGACCAAATGCTCAGCAATATTACCGGCAGGGTGCAGGACCAATCCAATTATTGAACTTGCAGGCGTAGGCGCGGCACTGGCTAACGTCTGGAATGGTATCCCGGTTGGACTAGGCAAAGCAAGAAGCTGGACTTGGACGATTCTCTGTCCTATCCTGGACTCCGTAAAGAATTTAGCCTGATATCCCATCAATTGATTGAGCACCCTGGTTCCTTAATACTTGCTCACTTCTTCGCCCCATGGTTCGGCTGGCTCTCCTTCTCTGCCACCAGCTCTTGGGCTACGAACGCCAGCCAATGTCAAATTGACAATCTGGTGAACATCAGGCAGCATAAGCCTGACTCGTACAGTGCTCCCATCACGAACAGACTCAACCAGCGCTGGAAGTGCGTAAGCAACCAATATCCTAAAACGCCAATGCGTAGACTCACCGTCAAGGGTTTTTCCTTTCCATTCACTGACGAATTGTTGAGTGTCTGCGGGCATTGTGTGATAAACCGTACGACGCTAATACAAAGTAGTCCTCAATAACTCCATCACTAGAATGACGCCTCCCAGCGGACCTGCCTTCTTCTCCGTGGTGTCCCATACACCTTTTCGGACGTATGAGTTCCACACGCCCTGAGCTGAGGACAACTGGCACCCACCTTTTCCGGCAGCCCGTGCTCTAGATTCCAGCTCCTTGAGGGCTTTATCAGCGTCCGATTCATCCCTTTTTCCCTCTTTAACCTTGGCCCATCCTTCAGCTAATATATGTTCAGCAAGATTTATGCCGTTGATCTGGGCGATTCCGATGTCACGAGGTGTATTGTCCGTGGTTGGAAGACTGAAAATAGGGGTAATTATGCCAACATACAGGAGGAAATGAAGGAAGACGAACGAAAAAGTTGACGTGAAGGTAACTTCTTTACCCAACACTAGGACACGAAGGAACTCGCGGGACTCGAACGCATAACCCTAGTCGGCGGATCGTAAACATGGAACCGTTCGTGCAAAAAGCTGCGATTCTTGCCTCGTCATCTCTTTGTGCATTCCCCAACCGTGGCGCAGATATTTCGGCAATGTGCAGAATACTGGATGCAAAAGTGGACCACAACGTTGAGTGCATGAGTTTTTACATCATTCCAAATATCCCAATGTCACGAACCGCTCCTTAGGGGGTTGTCCTTGGGGTCCTGGTCGCCCTCGGAGCACCAAGGTGTCCCCGGACTGGACAGCTATCAGGTAAACTGATCAATTCCATCCACTTGGGCAGTAAATGTCCCTCCTACACTTGACAATCTGAACAATAGGGCTAAATGATGCTATTATATGGGGAATCAGCAACAGTGCTCACCGCTCTCAAGGACATATTGTTAGCACGAGAATTAATGAAAATTTTTTGACACGTCCCAATCGAGAAACGCGGAAATGGTCAGCTGATCGTTACTTCCGTCGTTCAGCTGGGATTCAATGCCTGGTGTGATTTGTATCTCGGCGAGCGGAAAGGTTCTTCTGGCTGGGGGATATCTCGTTCTTGATCCTGAGTACTCCGGAACAGTAGTAGCAGCCTCTTCCAGGTTTTTTACTATACTCAGGCCTTCCAGCAGCCAATTGAGCGAGATCATTGTTCGATCTCCTCAATTTTACGACGCGCTTTGGAATTACAGCGTTTCGATAGAGTCTGGAGTTTCTTTGGAATCGAATCTGGCTAAGTAAGAGCGCCCGATTCCCTGTTGGGTGCTGCATTTACCATCAAGTAGTTCGAACAAGTTTGTCGAAGCAGCCATCCGAGAAACGTTATCTCTGGGCCTGGCACATTATGGATCGGAAAGGATTCAGGAATGGCTACGCATCGGACTGGAAATAGTAATTGCTGGAGATAATGACTTCTATTCGCAGAGGAACCGAGTGAGATGATACACAGAACGAGGCGAAAGCATCATTAACACCCTCAAATAGTTGGCGTCGTTAGGTCTTTCCCCCACTCTCGAGAACTCGCAAAGTCTGGAAAGATTTGCAGACACCGGCACGACGTTAAAGAACGCTCACAAGACTGGTCTTGGGTCATCAGCAGCATTGATTACTTCACTGGTTGCCTCTTTGCTTGTTTACCTCCGATTGGCCGGACCGGAAGCACCGTCCGGTTCCCGTTTCAGTGAGAAGGCGTTGGCACTCATACACAACACCTCACAGTATGTACATTGCCTGGCTCAAGGTAAGGTTGGTAGCGGCTTCGACGTCGCTTCCGCCGTATATGGAAGCCACCTATACACACGTTTCGATCCGAGTGTGATCAAACCGTTGATGGCATCCACACGTGTCCGTGAATCAGTTCCCAACCGATCATTGCACATACCGATCTACTCTATTAGCCCCCTCCTGCCGAGTTGCTGAACGTGTTATCACCTAGCAATATTCAGTGGAACCAGAGAGTTAGACCATTCCATTTACCCCCCCGCACAAGGCTTATGCTTGCGGACGTCAGTGCTGGTAGCGACACTCCATCCCTTGTAAACCGGGTGTTAAAATGGAGGGCCGAGAACGCGGCTCAAGGTGCATCAGCAGATTCCGCTCTTTCCAGTGGCTCACCATTGCAACAGCAAAACAACTGTGGGATACAATCGCGTCTTTGAACGAGCGTTTCACCGAGGCCCTTCATCAGCTCGCAAAGCTCAGCCAGGAAGAGCCTTTAAAGTACGGCATGTTAATGAGGGACACAGCAGAAAGCTCCATATCGACAGTAAGATGATCCCCCCGCGTCGTACCTACAGTCCTGACTCATGCAATCCGCGGGACAGTGGGGTACATCAGGAATGTCCAAGGAAAAACAGCAGATAGTCGAGGTCAAGGCTAGTGCTGAGGAGATTAGAAGAAAGATGAAACTGATGGGGGAACTCTCCGACGTGCCAATCGAGCCTGCCGAGCAAACACGTTTACTTGACGCATGCATGTCAAAGCCTGGAGTGATCGCAGGGGGTGTACCTGGAGGTATGATATTAAATGTGTACAATGATGGTTAGCTAATAAGTCCGTCTTATGAATAGCTGGTGGGTACGATGCAGTATGGCTGTTGTTGGCAGAGCCTGAGGATATGGCACTCGCCAAGCGGATCACGGATGAAGTACAGAAATTATGGCTGTCTTGGACCGAGATGGCTGTCACGCCACTGCCTGCAACCGAAAGTAGAGTGTCGGGGCTTAAAATTGAAGTCATGTCAGAAGTGGCTGGGATCCAAAATCTACTGGAGAAATGTCAATATTGAATAAGATGAAATCTGAAATACGAAATGGGTGCATGCATCAATCGTATGGTGATTAGATTTTGGTTGCTGACCTCGATTTGAGACATTAAAACTTCTATGAGCAAACTTTTAATGTTGTGTCGTGTAACGCAGCTTTTCGAATGCCTAAAATAACAGACAGCACGAGGACAGATAGCCCGAAGAACGTGCAAGCGACTGCACATATTTTGGTTGTACCCCATGGGGACTCTCTAGTCAGCTTCAGGTAGCAGATCGCCGGGAATATGAAAGCAAAAGCGGTTGCTGAAATCCCTCCTGTTATTTCGAGCATGACACCAAGGTCACACGTCATCATCGACACTGTAGGATAGATAAGTTGTAAATGATTTGGGACAGCTAGTCGCCAAAACTCACGGATCATGGCACTGAACAATATGACAGTTGTCAAAATTATGTGTCGGTGGCGGTCGAATTCCTCATGCTCGAAGAAATATTGTTCGATGACCTGTGACCAAATCATCAGTTGAAGTGTTTCTACACCAAGTTTAATGGCAGACCTCGCGACAGACAAACAGTTCCAAGGGGAGCGTCGTGAACATATTAAGGCCGAAGCAAAATCTGGCTACATTAATCAACGTGTCGTCCTGAAATGGATCAGGCTCATTCTATGAATGCCTTTAAATCCGACTCACGGGTGAGAAATTATTGAGGATATTTCCTCGTGTCTTGTCTGTAAAGACCAAATAGCCAGAAAGTCCAAGCAACATGCAAAAGAGGAGAGATACGAATGTCGAAATGTGCGTGACTGCGGAGAAGCGGTCAAGTGTTGGGGTTTGGAGGCTCCCATATATTAATAGCGAGTTATGATGGCAGACGAACGCAAAACTAGCAGGTGTCAAGCATGAATCGATCCTCATTCGCATGGAAAATAAGGGAAGGTACCTGATGACCCCGATCGCTTGAAATATCTCGGAACCAAAGAAGGTAAATCGCTTTGAAGGATCTCCTTTCAGATCGCTGGTGACATATTCGCCTTCTGTCACCACTGACACTACGATAATGAGCATGCCGACCAGTGCCAGACCACTGGCACGAGCCAACTTCGATATGTCACGATGCAGAGACAATGGATACGAGACAGTAATAGTGCACAGTGCGATGATAAAGTTTCGGTTCGCGAAGACGAACAAAACGGGCGTTGAAATCAGCTTGGGAAACAGCGCCCTTATAACATGGGGTATTGTGTCTCCTGAGGGCATGTTAATGTGCGTGTGAACAGGATAAAGCGCAGAATACTACCTATGATAATTCCAAATGCGCACATCCCTATGGAAAATTCTGCCTTAGATATGGAGGTGAAATGAGCATAGACACCTACCACCAAAGGCAAAGGCAAACTGAAAGAAAGATACGGCGGCTCTACCTGAAGGTCCAAAGCAGTGATCCATGATGCTAATATATGAATTACGACCGCTGAGTTTCGCATTGACGATGATCAAGCGAATCGTCCAATCAGTGAGAAGGCAGAGAAAAACCAATAGGAGAATCCCAGAGAAGAACCCTGCCTCCTTGATTGCATAAGGCAGACCTTCAGACTCGGTCAGAAATCATACAGTTTGGTAACAAGTCAGGCCGCACCAATGATCCCTGGGCATTGTATAAGTGTCAGCTTTCGCGAGTTCATTCATTAACAGCACACCTGCGCCCAAAATAGCGTTTGCCATATTAGCAATAGATTCAAGCATTCCTCCGGTTTTTCCGATTTTTATTTGTGTATTTTCAGCCTCCTCGCACTGGTTTGCTTGGCCGTTGAAGGTGTGAAGCGGGATCTCGGTGCTGAGTCTCGCCGAAGACTGAACAAGCCCCATCAAAAGTGGCATATCCTGATTTCTAACAGGGTCAGGGACAACCATGCGTGGGTCTTCTATCTCGTCTGTATCCAGGTCAAACTCTGTCGCGCATGAATTGTTGGTTTATCGAACAAACAGAGTTCCAGCGCTTCGCATACCAGCCTCGCGACTTTGCACAGTCGACCTTAATGTTGGAGGAATCATGTATTCATATGGCGTCAATTCATCAGAACGAGATGTCGCTCGAGAGGGATGATTGATGAGGTGGGACTGAGCGAGAGGTGTATCATCGTCATCATCATCACCAACAGAGAAGAGGGTGCGGTCATCGTGTAATGATGACTCGTCCTGGTCTAGTAGCGGGACACTGTCCTCGTCCGCACGCTTTCTCGAGGAGAGCATTGAACCTAGGTGTTGGCGCTCAATTAATTGTTGGGTGCATCCCGTGATGGGAACGAAATTTGAACGGCAAGCGCTCACGAGTCATCTACCTCTATGTCGCGCCTGCTCAGCACTAAAGTCCCGTCGGTGCGGATACGGAAGTTACAGCGCGACCACGTTGACTTTGTTCTCGAGAATGTGGACTTGGCGTGAGTATCGAAATTTCGGTGTCGATCTGAGTTCAGTCCAATACGCAGTGTTCATAACTCAGGTTCGCGAATTCTCTCCGGCGTGCAATGATAGCGGATATAGCCACAGTTGGTAGGATTCCAGCAAACTCTGCATTGAATCTCCACCCCTCACTGGTTCTGGTGCAGCAATCGACATGGTCGAAATAGAAACCAACACGACGGTGCTTGCTGATGAATTTATTGCTCATCGACTAGGTCAGGTGCCACTCATCAGTGCAAATTGCGACGAAGCTATGAAATTCTCTCGAGTGGGATCTCCCTTCATTCCAAGTTGCGCTGCTGTTAACACCCCCCAATCCAGGACTGCGATTGTCTTTCATCTTGTGACTTGTGTTCGATTGAGTTGCGGCTAAACGTGATGTGTACGGGGGACGAGACGGTGCATGTTACAACGGACGACTTAGCCGTAGTTCTCCCTCAACAATCGAGGATAGTTGATGCACCAGAAGAATTTTCAAGACGACCCCCAAACTTTGGGCATCCATACAATAAAAGTAAGCTTTGAATTAATCCAGGAGGACTGTACGATAAATGCTGTAACAGAATCAGAGGGCTTACAGCCAATCCTTCTGGCGAAGATCCGCAAAGGCCAAGAGCTTAAGCTCCGATGCATTGCGAAAAAAGTCTGTAAATTTTACGCATATTCTTCTCCATGATCCTCAGGATTGTTCCATGTCCAGGGACTGGCCAAAGAACACGCGAAATGGTCCCCATGTGCTGCAGTGGCCTTCGAGTACGATCCCCATAATAAACTACGACATACAACTCATTGGTATGAAACAGACGAGAAGGCTGAATGGCCTTTGAGTCATAATGCAAGGGAAGAGTTGGCGCCCGCAGATGACGAACCTTTTGATTACACCGCTCAGCCAGAACGTTTTTATATGGATGCCGAGACTGTTGGTAGCTTGAGCCCAAAAGAAGTCGTGCAACGAGTACGTCATATGTGCGTCCTCATCAGAAGAAGTTTTTACTTATCGCAAATTGCTCATGCTCTGACAGGGCTTGGCTGAGTTGCAAAAGAATTTGGGCAGTCTTGTGCATGCTCTAACAACGTCAAACGCGACAGATGATGTAAATCAGAATGGTGTGATAGAGAATCCAACTGCTCAATCAAACGGCTTCCCCCCGACGTCAACTTATGGTGGCCCGAGTGCTGCCGCCAATCCATGGAGCGGATCCCCTCAAGCGAATTCGATATGGGGTGGCATGGGAGGTGGTGCCAGCCCCACTTGGGCGAGTGGGACAGGTACGGGCGTCGGACCTAGCTCCAGTCCGGTGTGGTCAGGTGCAACAAACGCAGGCATTGGATCTAGCCCCACTTGGGGAGGGGCTACCAGCACTGGGGTCGGAGGCAGTAGCACCAGTCCAGCTTGGAGGGGACCTACTGATGCAGAAAGCACAACCTGGGGCAATGAAAGTCCCGCTTGGGGAACTTAAAAATGGGATGTGACGCAGACCAGTTATAGCTAAAAGACAGCTAGGTTGTATTGGACAGAGTCCCTCATAATCTATACTGTACAGCCTATCTAAATCAGAGAAGTTGATCCAACTCACCAAACAGCGATAGGACGCCTTCAGAGAGGTAAGGGATTGAAGGCTAGAAATATGCGCCGGCACCCTCATAATTAGCGTTCGTCGCAATCCCCTTTCCTTTTTCATCCTCGCGGTCTCCAGGAAGCCCAGCTGTCTGGGGGGCTAAAGGTGTAGGAGTGAAAGGTTTTGGTTCTACTACCGCTGATCCAGACATAAACTGGCTCAGTTCTGCTCTTGAGGGTACTTTTTGAAAATGAATCTTCCAATGTTGGTAAGTGAAAACTCACACATATCCTGCGAGCCATGACTCACGGTATTGTTCTCCTGCTTGTATGTATCAAGAAAAAGCGCGACGATGGCCAACTCGTCCGCAATTCTCTCCTTACGATTAGCTCTGTCTTTATCTTGCGGAGCTATGGTTGGTATCTTCCGGGAGTGATCCTTTGCCTCGTCAAGCTCTTCAATTGCCCAAGATAAGTATGCGATGGCTTCTCCTGGCTTTCCGCTTTCTCCTCGATCCACTCCTGACCATTTATGGACTAATGCTTTCGCGAACGAACTTTCATTCTTGACATACATCCGGAGGTCCGCAGAGACTTCTGCTTCCCCATTTCCTACCCTGCCGGACAACTTGCTGCCAGAACCGGGGTTCAGCATACCAGTGGCTGATTGATACCACGAAGAGACCTCCACGAGCAGCTTGGCGAGCAGACTGGGCTTAGGGTGAGAACTAGGAAGGGGAGGGCCGGGAGAAAACGCCGCATCCGCCGCAGACTTTGACAGCAGCTTCCGCACGGCAAGCATTTGAGCGTCGGCCAGGACAAGCCTGGTTGGTATATATCCATCAACTTCGAATCATTAAAAGTGACAAGTATACCCACTTCGACAGCGCCTGAATAACGGACTTATTAAGATCTGCCACACTAGGGTTCGATTTTCCTCTATCTGATTCCTTGCTAAGTGCCACTAGTACTGTGTCGGCTATGTGACTGAAGACCCCACTACTCCTGGTCAGAAGGGAAACCGCCAAGTTCAGGCGCTTTCCCTTGGCCTCAAGCTCATCTGCTGGCGAATGTCGCTCCCGTTCGTAGGCCCCAAGTGACTTCACTTCATTCGCGGCAGTGTTACTCAGGGAAAATGCGTACGTGAGCAGGACGAAGGCGAGTTCCGATTGAAACCCATAAAAGTTGTGTCGAGGGGAATTGTTGAATACGTTTGACGAAAGCGTTGACCTCCAGCTGAAGGCTACTCAAAAATGAAAAAGGCATTATTCTAGACAGAAAACTAGTAGCTTAATCGTGGCGCACCGGGAGCCGGGTTGCGAAGGACAAGATCACCAGACTCTATGCAAGCAATGACAGCATAAAGATGGGGGAGATAATCATCCAGAACCTTCCTCATGATTGGTCACTACGACACTGACTGCGATTGGAGGACTGATACCTTCAGCACTTTGAGGAAGTCCCGATCTCCGGATCGTTTGCTTTCCTTGAGGATCGCTCTGACACTAGCGCGTGCACTTGATGCTCCATCTAAACGTGCGCCGTACGCACTACTTGGGTCGATGATGATGTCCTGAAAGGACACGGAGCCGGTAGTCGGAAGTTCGAAGACGAGCATTAATATTGGTTGTCTGTCCCTCACGTGTAAAACATAAGCGCGAGACCACTGCCAAATACATTGCATGGACAAATTCTGGCAATCACCACAACATTCAACGTTCTGCATTGCATTACATATCTGATAAAAGATTAGAAGGCTTTGGTATCGAAGGGAGGATAGAGGGGTGGAAACAGGGACCACAACGTGTTTTTCAGCATGCCTTTCAAAGAGAATCCTCGCGATCCTACACTAGTCTATCTTATCTACTCGAACTTCCCAGATCACACATAACACACACAAGTTGCAATTGCCCACGCAGCATCGCAGCATCATGCAGGCGTTCCCCACGTTGCAGTAGGTTCAAGGTTTCACATCGAAAGGCTCCAGCGCCTCGACGACCTGCTCGCTATTTTTCGCATGGCCTTGTGCCTCCGGATGCGAGTTGCTAATAGGGGACGCTTGACGCGTTAAGGTCACAAATGCGTGCGTCACGTTCGAGTAATGCAATTGGAGGGGCAGATCTGCCATGCAAAACGCTAGTCGAAAATGAGTATTTGATCCGCTTGCGACACCAATGTAGGTCCAAATACCATATGCATGCCGTTTGCATCCATACCCACTGGCGAGGTAAATATTGTCACTATGGGAACGCATGCGAATTTGGGGTTGGTCGATTATTCGCAGTGTTTCGTGGTGGGGTGGTGCGAGTAAGAAATGTCTTGCTAATGGCCATCCCCGAGGGCTAGGCGGTCTCTGAAAGATGAGACGCAGCAGAGCCAGAAAAGCGTTCCGCATGGGGACAGAGAATGTCTTAGTACCGCAGGCATTGCTGACGGGTACCGCTCGAAAATTGGTGAACATTTCTGAAACCACGAGTGCGAGTCTGTTGAATTACTAGGCCTCAAGTGCAGCTACTCCAGGCAGTCCGTTGCCATCGCTGAAATCTGCGTGTCCGAGGCTGCCAGGATCATGCAGCAGGAGTGATTGCCACTCACTCGCTGGACTCTCCCGGTCTTCCGAGGGAAAAAAATCCCTCAAAAATCTTATGATAAGCTACGCTCCAAAGTATTGTCGGGTCGTTAAGTGGAGTCCCGAGTGTGGACTGATACGGCCTTGTTTCATGCCCCCATGTCCAGATGCTCCGACTGTGACTGAATTGCCGATCGGGGAAGACCCCTTGTCAGCTTCGACGACAGACATCCCACAAACTAGGGGGTGTAGACACAATGCAACACCAATGAGTCTCAACAACGCCAAGGTGCACGCGAATATCTCGCCTCCCAAGAAACAGCCTATCATAACTCCGGATGCGGGCCGTGTGCTCACAGCTTGTTAAAATTGAGCTTTAATAAATGAATGCAGTGTCTCTCCGCACCGAATTTGGAGAGCGTGTGGAGAGCTGTAAATGGTGACCAACATTTTGGAATGAGCTGGAACTAATCCAATCATGGCATGCGGAACTGTCGTGTAAGAGTCAAAACTAACAGATGAGACTTGTGAGACTTGGAACATGGAACCTGAAACCTTCCCAGTCACCAGCAGTCGCCAATCCAAGGGTCTGAGCATCCGGTGAAAATGAGCATCCTCGCTAACGTGCTTCACTGCCAGATGTCCGCAACTCATCATGATTTTCCCATGATCCTCCCCTTTCACTCCGTAGAGAAACGAGACCCAGAATCAAAGTGTTTTGAAGAGCAAACACCGCTTCGCATTTGTGATGGAATAGGGACACATAGGAACTTTCGTGGCACCCACCAGAGAGTCAAAGACCCTATGACTCTATCCTCAGTGCAAAGACGTTAGTTCTTTGGGTGCTGCAGACCATTTCCGTTCATCACCGACGTGGGAAATTTGATTACGTGATGCGAAGGCCAAATCCTTCGATCTCTCGACTTCAGAGTTCTACCTCGTGGCCCTTTCAAAATGTCATCTAAATCCGTCCACACGGAACACGATAAATCGTTGCGCCTGCTCCAAGGGCACGTTTAGCAGATCATTTGCATTCAAAGAAAACATTGTTGCGCGCGCAACCCATCACTTATGGGTGGGATCGCTCGGTTCCCTTTTGTTGACACCAGCTAAGGACTCTGTAAAAAACGCCCTTCTCGTGCGATGGTCTTATCAATGCATCCACACGTCTGCTCTCCTACTCTGAACCAATGCGTCCTAGCTACTGCCGTCGGATAATCGCCAGTGATCTTCAATGCGGCACGATCTACCGTGTCACTTTCGTACTTGTTACACGTCGCCACTGGGCAGGCTGAAGTACGCGAGGTTTAGGCGTGTACTGTTCGTTTGTCATTGGATGGGTAGTGCTTCTGATACATCAAAACATACCAAAGCAGCGCGATACCTGGCAGCCTCATCCACCCAGCTTGGAGCGTCCAATGCCAACAGTAGTATCCCACTTGATGCTGATCTATTCACTCCTTCTGTTTGGCTACTACCCGGTCCTTTGCTAGCAACTATATTCCACCTGGGATAAGCCGCGACTCGATATCTCCTTACTCCGGAACTGTACCGGCAATATGACTTGTCACTGGACACCCAACACCTCCAACGCGGGACCCTATCATGTAAAGCGTTGGCTAATCCCCCTATATTCTTCTTGAGTGCTGGGATACGGCTTGCTGGACAGAGAAGGCTGGACAAGCTCATATGAGCTTGTGAAACATAAATGAGGGATCACCTTCTTTCCTTTGTATTGCACATTTTAATTGCCTAAAGCAGCCACCGACGCGTCTGATGAGGCGGTGTTACGTCGTAATGAAAGCAGAGCGTATTGTAGAGGTGCTGCGTGGGGTTTCTGCGCGTTTTAGCCATTTTTCTCATCCTATCATAAATCGCAGGCATATAAAGGTCGTAGGTTCCATACCCCGCAACCCCAAACTACTTTTTCCTGTAATTTTATTCTCTCTGTTCTTTCTCGACATATTGTGATGCCGACCCAACGACGTGTGTCCCAACCTCCGTCTTCAGAGCGATGCTGCAACTTACACTGCGTTTGAAGGCTCCCAGTGTGCCTCTGGAGGACACTCCCGCCAGCTTAATAATTTGTCAGTGTTGCTAGCTAGCCCGGAGACCCGCTTCCTCACTTCCATATAGTCTCCAATCCTGCCGCGGCAGCCACTCTTTGACTTGGGAGGTATGCCATCCAGCCGCATACTCCAATCATATTTCCCCTTTCTGAAACCTACAAATGTCTTCGCCCTCGCAGGAAAAAACTGTCGGTCCACTTCACCGAATTACCTGGTCGGTCGTCTGCAAGAGTAAGCGTTCTGTGTTTTACAACTAATGGACCCATTTCCAACGAGCCCTATTCTCTCCCTAAGTCGATGGGCATCCTGTGGGTGAGGCCCAGGACTTGAAGAAGAACATCGCACGCGACCAAGCTGCCAGGGTAAAGTCGACGGTTCTGGTCATGGGAAGCATATGCTGACTACACCCCCAGGATGCGTTGATTGCTCTCGGAGTCATATATCCAGACGCTGAGGCCGGAAATTAAGTATAATATTGTGGGCGAACTCGGTTGCCTCATGGACTTCGCCGAGGGGGCATATGTGGCGGCTGGCTGCCATTGGCACCTACACTATGTCAGTGTCCTGGTACTGTAGTTAGATACTACTGTCTATGCCATCGCTCATTTCTGCCATGATGTTGGCATTCGTAATCCAGTGGCGGTGAGGTGCACTGTTGCAATGACGGACACAGCATTACTCGCCAAGCCCACAGACTTGCAGCTACTGCATAGATGAAGGGAATGCCTCGTTGCCGAGACGGGGAGTGATCAGAGAAGATATCAGACATTAGTGGCTGAGAATTGGAAACCGCAGTTCTAAGAACCTTGAAGCCCCGAGGGTTTAGTCAGTAGCCTCCATAGTTGAGGCTTGACTTCAGTCTTCCTCGGCGGAATGCCAGGGGAATCCGGGCTTCCACTGAGCGAAAGCAACTAAAAAATATGAAAAAGCAACCATGGTGAATCTGTCTTGTTGCGCCGCTAGGTTGTCAGGTGGCAGTGCGACCATCATGTCTAACATCGCAGCATGCTGGGGAATGCGGGTTGGCTGGTTTGGGTTGTGTGATGCTCTTGGTTTGCACGTAGTCTGGCGTGGGCTTGCTATAAAATTAAATGACACTGAGGCAATTCAAATACCAACATTGACATGGTATAATCGGCCAACTCTGCTGCAATGCAGCCAAGGCATGCCTTGATTGAAAGTCATCCTCCCTGAGCCTGTTCTAAGACGGAAGAGGACACGAAAAATGGGAAAATGGGATACCACGCACGACGCAACGTGAAACCGTCAGAGGCACCACGCTCGAAAAATAACTTTCGATAAAGGGAGATGTCCCTTGACCAGCTCCCCTGGCCATGCAACGATAAGATACTGCACTCAATCCAGCCAAAAGGCCTGAATAATGAAACAATGAAATGATCAAGTGATATTTCACACGACTAATCATGACGGTGCAGGGTTGGGCTGATGGCAGACGCCCTTAGGCAGGTTACCAGCCTCAGACGCCCTATCAAGACGGCCTGATTTTATCCGTCAAATTTGTGAGACCTGAACATGTGATTGCACAACGGAGATGTCGATGTCTTCTGGCCGAGTTGGCCGAACGGCATTGGCAGTAGCCACCTCTCAATGCACAGGTGTGTCCCGCTCAGGCTGTTCCGCAGGGTCATGACAAGCTGACGAGAATATTTTAACCTGTCAATGTCTGGCCACGTGACCGATTGTGACTGTGACGATGGGGTTCGCAGCGTTGAGGCACAAGTGTTCATCATGCCTTCTTGCCTCTGACTCGGAGGGAGATTCCCTTAGGCATGTTATCAGCCTCTATTGGAATAGAGATTTCCTTCGTCCCCTCCGCGCTTATTGTTTCATCAAAATTCCAGTCAATGGATCACGTGAATGACGCGTCTCCAAGTCCACGTCCACTTTCATGTCGTGTACACTTCGGTTCCCTTCCGTCAACGATGAGCCGTCCCCGCATACCGCATACCGACTTCTGGAATTGCCCCCTTCTTTGCTTGCTGAAATAGAGTCGCGATCATCAGATTTGAAGCTCTGCATTAAGGGCAACAAGTCGGACGATGCGGTTCTCTGCACTCCTAACACCACATATGCGATACGGTCAGTAGTTCTGTCAAATACAGAAGTTGTGGCTACCTCTCCCAGATGCTCTTCGTCGTGGGGAATAGAGGCGAACCTTGACCATACCGAGGTGCCCCCAGATGGGGATGTGGTCATCCGGGATCAGCTGCGCGAAATCCTTGAACTCGTGCCAATTATGCCTAAATTGGAACGAATAGACTCGCTACTGAGGGGGGACGAAGTCTTGTTAGGAACAGAATTGCTGGACAGGGATGAGCCGCAGGTACACCGAACTCTCGTAGGCAATAAAATACAACTTATAGAGTCTCCAGCCAAAGCGGAGGAGGCTCACATACGATCGGGCAAAGGGTATGATACAGGCAAGCGACGCCGAATTAGAGGAGGGATTGAGGATTGCGAGAGTCGTCACTATTGGAGGCATGTGCTGAATAGTTTTCCTTTACACGCAAATGGGTGACGATTTGGCAGGTGTTCTTCGACCACTGTCACTGGGAACACTGTCGGACCTCCTGCAAAAAATACTTATTCTCATTGTGGCTGGTTCCTATTCTCCTTCTGGTGTTCCCCTCGACCAGCTACTTCAAGAGCTCCATGATGAACACGCAATTATCCCTGAACTAACAGATCAAGTCGTGCGATGGTTTGGGACGGTGTCGCAAGGCTCAAGTGAGAGTTCCTGGCACTGTGACATAGGCGGAGTTGTGCGACAAATAGGCCTAGGGCTCCTTAGCCATCATAAGGTTCCTGTCTTCACTCTCGATTGCGCGAACTTATTTGAACGTGGCGTCTCTTCGAAGGACATACCGATAGAGGAACCTGTTTTCGTCGAAAACTGGAAGTCGGTTGTGGGTGATTCTTTTGAGAAGGAAGTGAATATCGCCCAACTGAAGGTCAGTCTGGTTGGGTCCAAGAGCTTCACATAGAATCTGATGATTACTCAGGGGTGGTTCCTCTCTTCAGATTCATTACCTGGAGCAACATCATCCATTTCACCGAAGCTGCAATACTTCCCTTCATCCGCGCTCCCATGTGCACCCGCAGCCCGGTTCTCGGATTTGTTTCTAACACGCCCAATATGGAGATCCGATGTACTTGAGCCATACTTGGGTGGTATCGCTAAAGACGGTAAGGAAAGAGACAAGCTTCTCCTGAAGTTTTGCAGAGTGGTGGTAGATGAAGAAGGATGTAAATGGTACAGTGCGAGAGCAAAGTATTGAGTTGAGTTAGGCACCACTTCGAATATTGATCAGGTTGGCAATGAGATGTCCAAGATAACGGCGGCCTAATTTAGTAATTATATTTGGTAGAAGCGTGAGTGTCATCACGTGCGTCACTCTTTCAACTCCTGCTTTCACTGCAGTGGTTGTTCTACCCCAAATTTGACTTCTACTGCGGCAGCCTATATGTCTGTCGTCCCCGAGGTGGTACATGTCACTTTCAAAGGCGAGGGGAAGGAGACAACCTCTCAAGGCACCCGCCCCAATGGACCCAATGGATTATCGAGCGACGATGATTGCGATGAAGACATAGAAAATGCTAACCTCGACCCCTTAGCGAGAGGACAGCTGTTGGTAGGGATGCTGAGATCGCCTATTACAGGTATCTCCTCATTCCTTACTGTGCACTGCACAGCATTAATGCAATGAGACTGCCAGGAACATTGAGAGCTATTGACTTGCATCGTAAGTCAGCACAAAGTCCGCAAGCAGAGTATGGATGATTGCATTGAAGCATGTTACGGTTGAAGAGCAAATACATCAAGGTTCGTTGCCAATTGCGGTTAGGCATGATGGCAAAGGAAGGCATACAAGGCTAAACTCCAATGGTCAGAAACCATCGACCTCAAGCCCGACTTCCAGAGAGGTTTGCCACATTTGGTTGTACATAACACAATATGATATACTTAAGCAAGGACTTTTCAGAGGTGGTATGGCCAGAGAAGAAGCAAATAGGTCTCATTCTCTCTATGGCGCAAAATTATCCCATTCCACCAATATATTTCTCGCTCAGAAGACGTGAAGATGGGAGTGCATATCGTGTGTGTCTGGACGGGAAGCAGCGGCTCACATCCTTGAGGAAGTTCTTTGATGGGTGAGTCGATCAATCGACATAAAAGGAGTGAATCTAAGCTTAAGGCAGAATAATCCCATGTCGGTGTCTTCGAGCCTGCTTCGCATTCTGTATTGAATAGGCCTTCCCAGTCATGCCTGAGGGTTCTAAAGTTAAGTACTATTTTACGGGGACGGGGAAAGGTCGAGGTGGCGGAAAGCGCAGTACTCTTCCAGACAATGTCAAGAATTTTTTTGAAGAAAAATCCTTCACATGCGGTAGGCCACTCCATCGCTAGTCGGGCTACCCTTACTGACGCGTTCGATCGTAATCAAAATTAAGTTGAATATAACGATCTCACAGAACTCCAGGAGCGAGACATGTTCCAGCGTGTTCAACTTGGTATGCCACTGAAGGAAGGCGAGAAGCTGCAGTCAATTGGCTCCGAATGGGCCTCGTGGTGTAGTTTCCTTGTGCACGAGTATGTCGAGGAGGAAGGAGGCCTTCAGGAGAGTCTGTCATTCACCACAGAGAGGGGGAGATCCTTCCAAATCATCGCAACCATTGTGCGAGCGCTTATCTCTTTGAATTGACGTCAATCTAATCCATTCGCCCGTTGGTGTACCACGGGAAGGTTGCAGGAATCGACAGTTTACCAAATTTTACATGTCTGGCTTTTCTTTGAGGAAGTTGCGCCTTCCAAGTACTGATTCATAACACAGACAAGCATTATGCATCACTGGACAAATTCCTGCGAAACGAGGGGCCGCCCCCAAAAAGCTTGAAGATTTCAGTACAAAATGCATTGTCTGCGATGTCTAGCCTTGCAAAAACCCCCACCTTAAAGTAGGCAGTGGGGCAATGTGGTGTACGCAAGCCTCATGCATCTGTCATTTAGGACCCTCATCACCGCAAGAGTACAGCGGTTCACGCCCGTGGAACTTGTTTTTTCGGGTGCGTCGTATACTTCTGATTGGTATTTGTGGATTATGACTTCGTTGTCAGTTGTTCTGATTCACATGCTGAGGGGGCATGCTGATTCGATCGTAGCGAAAGAGATCAGAAACCTACGCGAAGCAGTTCGCCGCAAACATGAAGATATCCGAGCTAACAGCCGTGTAGTCCTCTCCATGTGGGAGGAGACCAAGAAGATATATGCACAATATGAAGGAGGTGGGCAGAAGAGTCGAAGCAGGCAACTTGATGACGAGGAGGCAGCTTGGAGCACGAGTCGGCCAGCAAAGAAGACGAAGAGAAAATAGATCATGTGCATGTGTTCCTCAAGTTTTGCGATGGCCTCACCCATGTTTATGTTGCTTAGCCGTCCTCCGCGAGACCATCCACATTAGTGATGTCGGTCTGTCTTGACCGGTCCAAGAGCGATTATGTGAACAGCGAGAGAAGGATGCGCAAATAAGCCATAATGAATTATCCCAAGTAATGCCAGATCAACCAGAAGCAGAAAAAAGTGAATATCGCCCCGATAACAAATATCACCGTGTCTTCGCGGCTAATCAAAACCCAACGGTGAGGTGTGTGTGGCTATCAAAATGAACCTGTCTCACCTCCGTCGCTCAATCCATCCAATTACATCCCGACTTAGGCCCAACGTATTGGCAGCACTCAGTAGTCTTCTTTGTGTCCCCTTGAGCACCTCTTTCTGGTCCTTGAGATTATTCCAAACCTCCATTCCTTGTGCAAGGAAATTATCCAGTTGTGTCTCCGTTTCTTGCAAGAAGCTATGCTCATCAAGGGCTCTTTCTACTCTGGAGGTAGGCTGGGGAGCGAGGTTGAAGGGTGACTCGGAAACCGAATTTGACGCGTTACCCGAGAATCGTTGTCGTGCTGATGGGGTTGGAGGTAGGGAAGATGAGGAAGATTGGAAAAGGGTGGCGCGCTGAGCTTCGGCATGCTTGGGCACAATGGTAGGTGAGATGTAATCTTTCAAGGTGAGATAGCCTAGCGATAGCATTCACTTACCGAATTGTCAGCCAGTCGCTTTGCGTGATCAAAGCTTTTGCGAAGGTCATTATAGTCTGAGCGGAATTTCTGTACTCGCCTATGACATCAGGGGTCATTAAAAATTTGGAGACCTTTATGACTGGACGAACAGAAAAGCTTTTTCTTGCTTGGATTTGATCATTTCTCGTTTCGCCATTGAATCATAATCATCCACAGTTCGATTAAGTGCCGCTAACGATGCAGCGATCTGACCTAGGGGAAAATAAAATGAAGAATGCCCCGAGCGATATAGCGTCCCACTTCTCTCACCTTGGAGCGCAATTGGCGAGTCGCTTTCAGTCCGCAGCCTATCAATATCGGCTTGGATAGAGGATATTTGTCTGAGCCCAAGAGTGTACAGCGAGTTCATGACTCCGCCACAGATTTGTATGGTGGTTTACAATTGTAGGTGGGAACAGGACAACTTAGTGCGAGTGAATGTTATGATGCCGAAGAACTCATGTGACATCGGCACCGGCCGCTGTTGTGCTTTCTCAGCCAAAATCTTTCCAGTTCACATCAGGATGCGTTCCATCGCACTACGCTCGTTTATCTCCGCTAGAAGGTCATTTCATACAGCCTCGACGATGACCAGGCGTCGTGCGCCTTTCTTCTTCCCTGTTTTTGCTACTCTCGCCACTGCGACAGGCGCGGCGTTCACTTATTATCATTATGGAATGCAAATCCAGAATCCAATACTGTTGGATTCTGGTTCACCATGTACGCCTCATGAAATATTCTACACATTCTGTGTTTATGCTAAAATATGATATTCATTATTCTCGATTTGGGTAATTCTTTTAGCTCGTCGGAGTGTCCGCTCAATATGGGATGACGAAGAGCCAGAACCCTCAGAACCATCTCCCCCTTCCCCCGCTGAAGAAGGGGAGACACTGGGGGATGCTGGCGCCTCCAGCGAAGCTGCATTCAATCCAGACACTGGCGAAATAAATTGGGATTGCCCATGTCTTGGCGGAATGGCCCACGGTCCGTGTGGAATGGAATTCCGTGAAGCCTTCTCATGTTTCGTGTTCTCCGAGGCGGAACCAAAGGGTATGGACTGCGTTGAGAAATTTAAGATGATGCAAGACTGTTTCCGCCGGCATCCAGATGTCTATGGTGAAGGTGAAATGTCCAGAATATTCCCTTCTTCGGCTTCTAATTATGCGCTCTCTATCACAGAAATTGACGATAACGAAAACTCCGAAGAACCTTCGGGAGACAGTGTTCCGGCATCCGAACCTGTACCTGCACTTGCAAAAGACCCATTATCCGAAGGAGACCAAGCACCTGAGCCAATCGTCTCCTCAGAAACGCCGAAAGTCACTGTCTTGTCCCCATCTTCAAACCCGCAATAACACTTTAATTGTAGAGGTTAGCAATGAATCCCCTACTCCACCTTGTCGTTCTGATTATCCGTCTATGTAACACCCCTCCTCGGACCGTCTTAAAATTGCCAAAAATCCATTTTGCTAAGCAATAGTACAGAGATGCGCAATTAATAGTACATGACGTGATGATTGCCCAACGAAAGCAATAATGATAAATGTGCCTGTGCATCTTTGATAGACAATTTTGCACCCCACCGAAAGGATAAGCAGTCAGGATGCTGGTTGCTGAAGGACGAGCTTTCGAACTCGCGATCACCCGAAAATGAAAGTTGATGATGGGGGGGTGGGGGGAATTTCATGGACGGGAGGGCGCTGTTAATCAATCGAAGTGCTCTTTTTTACATAACCATCTTCTTTTCCACCAAAAAGCGACAGCATCGATGACTTGAGCCATGACACTCATGACCCCAAGGAGCGCAAGACATTCGAAAACAATATCAACCCGATTCATTTGCCGTTTCTCAGTCGAAACAGGTTGAAGGAATGACTCGTATCGCAACGAAACTGCAACAAGTGCATGGTAAAGATCCCGAGGTAACTAGCAGGAAATAGGAAGGAAGGTACATACGATCCATTATTCCATCAGAACCTCTCCGTTGTGGGACGGGAGCCGGTATCATGGCTCTCTGTCCCTTTGTTGGGATCGAGCGACGCGCGGCGTGCGTTCTAGTAGTGGCAGAAGATGTATACGGGTATGACGTGGAAGTGGTCGAGACGGTGAAAGTACTACTCATTGGGTAGTAAACGTACGGAGGCGAAGGGGGAACCCATTGAAGATTTAGGGTATAGTCCGTGCGTTTCGTCCCATTCAAATGCACCGTAGTTGAAGGGGAGATTGTTCCGACGGTCCGACCTCCTTCGGGAATGTAATGCAGGACGCAATTAATCCCATCATTCCCGACAGCACTGTATATCACTTCCGCAGGCGTTGCAGGTGGAAAAACAACCCCCATGATAGAAGCATCGTTTGCCTCTGAATCATACGTCGCGATGATGCGAAGATATTGTGATGGCGCTAGTCGGAACCCAAGAAAGAATCGGTTAGCACAAAAAGGCTGAACATTTCCCCAACAACAAACTCACCGGACACGCTGCAATTGGACATAGAAGGGAAATCGAGCAGGTATGTATCATAATTCCCAACTCGCTGTTGACTTATATGTCCCTCAAAGTCACAGGACGACGGAGGGTCCATCGCGTCGGTCCACGCGTTCCCACTGGAAACAAACACATCCGAGCACGTATCCCATCTCGCCCCATTCGTAATATCCACAAGAAGAAGGAGCATAGGAAACCTGGCCTCCGATGTATATCCCGCGTTGATAGTGGCAGTACCGCCAAGGGGGCCCCCATCACTCCCCACGCCGCCCCCATCATCAAGCTGCGCCCACGATAAAGTTGTCACGATAGTTTCGTACCTCTTCTGAAAAGATAACAAGAATGCAGCAAGTAGGACAAGAATGTACCCGAGTACGGCGATACCCCACTTCAACCAAGGGTTCGCACCCGTTTGGGTCCACGTCTGCGCGATACGATTGGCCTCGACACGGGTGATACTACTATCACTTGGGCCTGACTCCCCAGCGATTATTCTCTTATCCCCAAACAACGTCGTTCCGTCTTCAGAGACAAATAAATCGGGGTCGCCCGATGGGTCGCCGTGATCCGAGAGAGAGACAATCATCCGGATAAACAAACAGGCTTATTTGTGAGGTTCTCGGCTGCGTCGTTGGGTACCGTACCACCAGCCAGGTTTGGTACTTCCCGGAAGTGAGGAATATCCTAGCCTGTCCGATGTTTCCTTCGGTTTCGTTTCGTGCTCGTGTCAAGGGGATGACCACTAGCACAGCCTACAATTCAATTGTTAAGTGTCATATCGAGAGTGACTGCTGGACGCCCATGAACGGGTGCTTATTGTCCTTCTATGCTATGCAGGCGAAGATAGCGGCAATGGATGGTTCCGTGTACAGCAAATACGAAGAAAAACAGTATCCATGATGACAATATATATTACTTGCAAGGTCCATGTCGACTGTGGCATCCAAAAACATCAAGTCACGTCCCCTCTCACATCTCCCCAAATTACCGAATCACACCAAAGGAACTCGTGCAATCATCATCGCTCCAACGCCCAAGGCACCAAGGACAAGGCTAACAGCAACCTCAGCCCTTCTGAATGCCGAGTTATTCCCATTTTTCCCTTGACTCGTGCTTTTACCAGTTGGCCCGGCTTTCCCACCACGTCCATTCATCGTAAGAAGAACCTGATTGTCGATAGTGGCGCCACCAGCAAAACGCCCAGTTTGGGTGGTGGTGGGGAACGTCATGGTATCCTCATTTGGCGGTGTGACAGCATTAAGACCATCTTGCGTGAGGAAAACAAGAGCAGCGCCTGGCGCGGGCACTTTGATCTGGCAGCCTGTCACATTCACAAGGTGCAATGAGTCGAAACTAGAATGGCAAGAATATGATCCACACACCATTGTTAGGATCACAATTGACCGTCTCGGTGACCTGGGTCCCTCTTAATCGTCCATCAGATTCAAGGTAATATCCCATATTCTGCCCAGCCCATGTAATGTTGAATTTCTGCGAGATGCTAAAAGATCTAGCATCAGAAGATCATCCTCCGCGACACTGTAAAACTCACGTCGCAGCAGATAGACGTCTAACACTGACGGTCGATGGATTAGCAGCCGGTTGACCACTGGTCCCCCCTCCAATAGCGACAGTAACAGTTAAATCTGAAGCCCCGCTAGGATCGGCCAAATAATTGATCAAAACAACCTTTGTGGGGTTGCCGTTCTCGTATATGGCGTAACCTGGAGTGAACACGTTATTACTGTTTAGAGTGAGATCTATAACTTGAGACTGATTGGAAGGACCGAGAGCTTCAGCGACCATGAGATATGAATAATCTTGCCGATGGAGTATTAAGTCAGCAGCGAGATTGTGAAACATGCAGTACCCACAGAGAGCATTGGTCGTCCACAATTCTGTGTCGACTGATCCAGGTGCAGGCGTGAAAGCTACATCTCAAAGGTTCAATGGAACAGAAGCAATAGACCAACGACTCGCTTACGATTATATGCCACATTTTGACCACCAAAGTGGTATAGCGCGTTGGTAAAGTTGGTGAATGCCAATTGCAAAGCCCAGTCTATTCCAGCAGCTCATGAGATGACATAAATCCGTTGGGAAGCGCATTTAACAGACGCACCAACTCCCCAGCTGCAAGTGAAGCATGTCAGCACTTGAATTCAGTGACGTAAGGGCACGAACCCACATGGCAGCACCGAAACTATCTGACAAACCACCAAAACCACCACAAGAGCCAGTGTTCGTCTCAAACATCACAAAGGGCTTGTTCTGAGCCATGGCGTACGCTGGGAATTGAGATCTGTAAGGGAACAATGGGGAAACGAGCAGGGCGTGCTCAACGTACCAGATGCATGGGTATAGCTACTTGACATGCCAGTGAGCATATCATGCCTCATGTATTGAGGGAACAGCACTTCCGGTGGGAGTGGATTATCTACGGCACAGTTATCTTTGCAACAGATTAATCAACCGACTCATAAATGATCTCCCTCTGTGTAACTCTTACCATGTGGATACCGTTGCACAGCGAGCACCCTCAGCTGATTGTTAAATCCGGTGACGTATCCCGCCTGAATGACTTGGTCGATACTCCATAGCCCGTCAATATTACAACAGACCGTGGGGCCAAGAAGGATCTGTGGATTGGTAATCCCGGGATTTTGCTGCATGGCAGCAATAGCAGCGCCCCACTCGTCCATAAAATTCCCAATAGAGTATCCCTGAGGACGTGAACGAGCACCAATTCCGTACCTACGAAGGCACAAAATGGGCCGATGGAAACTTGGCAAGAGGATCCCCAAGGTGAGCTTACAGATCAGGTTCGTTGCCCATCTGGAGACCGATGATTCTATCACCCATAATTTCTTCTATCGTAGCCGTTATCGCCGCAATCCCGGTGGTATTTGTCGGATCTTTGAATGGCAAACCCGAGTACCACTCTACGCCAAGGAGACCGCTGATATTCATCATCATGTAGAATAAATCCACGTTAATATCGACGTCCGGAGTCAAAGTCTACCAGGAACAGGTCACTCTCATCGTGGCAGAAGGGGAAATGAACACTGCTTACCGGATTAGAAGCGTCCATGTTCACGGATTTATTGATTACCTCGTAACCCTGGAAGTTGGTAAAAAAGAGTCGGGCTTTCTCTTGAGTGTTACCTCCCACACGGATTGGCGGAGCTGCGCCAGCGCGAGACTTGATAGTCGCAATATGGTTGAGGAAAGGGACAGCCAAACCTGACGTATTGGGGAAGTCAATTTGATTGCCGTGTTATTGATAAATATGACCAGTCTACTGACGGCTCGAATTCGTTCCAACTATGGTAAGGCAATACACCAATGCCAAATATTCGCCGAACGAAGTCAGCAAGCACAGAGTAGAGGAACCACTGGGTGGAAAAACGCACGCATTTGGTTCGCAACAGATAATTCAATCGAGAATCCAAGGAAATTTCCCGCCTGTGGTCTACTCAGTCCTTTCATACCACCTAGGGAAGAAGACATCGCAACCACGCTCTAGAAACTGGTCCTCCAGGTTGCGGCGCACCTGAGTAGAGTTGGGCTAGTGGGTTCAACGGAGGCATCGGGCTAGGGAGCGGAGGCGCCGCCAGCCTGCGCATGATATACATCAGCCTGAGTCAAGAAGCGAAAAACAAGACCCCTGACGTGGTGACATTGTAGGCACCCATGGTGACCAATGGCGCTGGCAATTGGGCAGTGCCAGTCGGACGGAAGAAGTTTCCATTAATATCGACGCTCTGAACCTTATAGAGCGTAACAGCGTTGGCCAATGTGACCAACATGGCCAGGATAAGCACTGCCTTCGGTGCTCTGAACATGGTTGGAGGTAGGTTGGAAGGGGGGGAGGTGGACTTTGCCGTAAATCGGTCTTGGCATGAATTTTGTAACGCCACGTGACCTTTATTTGGACAACCAAAAAAGTGAGCAGGACTCCAGCCTCTATGATTTCGTAACACTCCTGACAATCCACCGCAGTTATTGATAAATGTTGTTGGGGCGTGGATGAGTGATGTAGCAGGGGAACGCAGGAGATTGTCGGAAGAAAGCAAAGGATCGTGGGAATCTGCAAACCAACTTGACCCCTTCTGATGCACTTGTTTCATCACGACGTTGCCCTTTGTCTCGACTGGTACTACACGCTCATTTCCGTGACACATGAGAGCGAACTCGAGGTATCAATGTTAAAACTGAGCACGATATTAGATATCGTGCTCTCAGTTCTGCATGTCCCTTTCATATGCATGTATGGTGTGTGGCACGATGGTCCCGATAAACAAGGCGATCGCGCCCCCAGGTACGCCACTCGCACTCTGGGGTGCGATAATAGGACTAAGGCTATAGCGTCATATGTTACAATGCCCGGATAAAACTGGTAAGACCAAGAACTTAAGCTAGTCAACCATTGACACCCATCATCTTTCAGACCGATCCTCAACCGGAAGCCTCCCCACTCACGACATTCTGATATTTGCTCCATTTGCGTCGTATGGCCTCAAGATTCTTGAAGGGACCTGAGAACCATGCACTGCACGGCAGACTACGCCCGTGCGCGAATTGCGATTTTCCTGGCTGAATCGCAAAAGCCAGACCATTGAGAGAGATCTCTACGATTTAAGTCTAAATCCATGCTGTGGACAAGAGCACGCTTCCCTGCAGCAAACCTCAAAGCTAATGTTCTGTTGCCCTTTCATCACTGCACGATTTTTGGGGTTGAACAAAGGCAGAATCTTCTCTATTGACGTATGTTTTCGTCGACGTTGGCAGAGAATGCAACCAATCGCGTTATTGAAAGTCCGTTGACTTCCACGCGACTGGCTCTGATCCTGTATGATGACTGTAGCAGAATCACGTATGGTAAAGTGCTTTCTGATGACCCATGGAAGGCAGATTTTTGATATGAACATACCTAGACGGGCACTGAGGCATTATGCTCAACGACCACTACCAACAGGAGCTTTGAAGAAAGAGCGCCCTATGACGTGCTATGGACCATCGCCACTCTGTCCGATCGCGAGACAATCCACTCGTTATATCTCACGTGTAAATACACGTATCATGTCACCTCTCCACTGCTTTGGAGGCGAGTGACACTCGACTCGGATAAGATAATGGACATAGAGGAGCGCTTGGATGCCATGATTAGGAATGGGAGGGCGGTCTACGTACATTCGTGCCGAATCGTTTTTAAACAAACGTGGCTCGATCGCGAAGTGCGAACGCGCATTCTTGACAAACGTTTGCGAGTTCTTGGGATGATGAAGAATCTGAAGAAGCTCACCATTAACGCTGTCTCCAATTTTGATAGCTCCGTATCATCTACTCTACAGGGCCTCCACGATGTGTCCTTCCACCTGGAATCGCTCTCCACAAATATCATCCCGGATCGAGCGTTGTTCGACTTTCTTGGGACCCAACCTTCCATCTTACATCTGGATTACTCTGGGAAAAAACGGCTGATCGTTCCTGGGACTATTCTCCCCAATCTCACCTCAGTGCAAGTGAACCCGGAAGTCCTTGTGGGTTTTGCCGGAGGTCAGCGACCGATCAGTGCCCTCCACCTTCGCGGATTTGTCAGCGGTTCCATACCGTTGCACCATATCTGTAGGGATTTCATGATATCGCAATTCAATTGCCCGATTCGTCACCTCAGCGTTGCTGTTGACACTCTCACTGAACTCTTTGGATCGAGCCTCGCCCCGCTCATTCCGATATTCGCCAACCACCTCTGCGCGTTGGAACTCACATTCACGGGAATCCTTTACGGGAGCGAAGCCGGCTTCTGGGCGTTGATGGGTCGATTTTCCAACGTTGTCCACCTTACCCTCATTTTAACTGGACGACAATGGCATGATAATTTCGACACAGAACGAATGCTCCCTCATCTTCCTGGTCGAATGGGCTGGTTCAATGGGCTGGACGATCAACCCTCCGCTTTGCAAACCGTAGTGGTTGTACGCAGGGGTGGTTGGGATGAGTATTCGCGCGGACCCGATCCTCGCACAGAAGGATGGGGACACGTAGGACATGATGGCCCTTCAGTGCCTTATCCTCAGCACAAGTTGAATCGAATGACTGCCTAAGGTTTCCACATTAGGAGCTGATCTGGGTCTGCGTGGTCTTGTGCTCAATGCCGATCTGAATGCATTTACCATACATGCGTGTATGAAATATGGAACATTAAACTCTATAAGATAAATAATGCACAAAGTCCATTTTGTCCACACCTGGCACCCGGAAGCGACGCTGAAATCAGAGTTCCAGGACCGTGATGACGCACTTTTGCCGGGCTCTTCTCGTGCAAACACAGACCCGACCCGAAGGTTCATCCCAAGCAAGCTCACCCCCTCTCTCCAGCAAGCTATCAGCAAGTTTTTTTGAATGGATGTTTACTCGCTTGTGAACGACGCTCCGATCCTCCTGCACATCGGTAAGGATGAGTTCCTGACTATTACCGCTGCTTGTCCTGACGCTTATAAGGCTCATCGCTCTCGAGTGGCCAGCTCGTATACAGGACACGGTCCACGACGTAGAATTCCGTAAAAATGGGAGGGAAGAAAACGGCACTTTAGGGATGTTGAAATGCACAGCATCGACACGACCCTCACTGTCTTGGTGGGGGATAATGAAAGAATGAGCTAAGTGGATAATTGGAAGAGGATGCGTAAATAGGCGGATAGCGCGATCCGGTGTGCTTAGTGCAGGGAGAGCGAGCTTTGGAAGTCCTACGGCAAAGACCTCCCGGGACTGGTCAGATGAGGTATTGAGATCTCGTTGTGTAATGGTTTTGACTGAATCGGTTGCCGAGTCACCGTTTTGATCCGTCAAATTGTTCAGCGGCGAAAGAGCCACGATCGTGATACGGCTGCCGGTGCTCGAATGCGAAACGACTAGAAATTGATCGTAAATAGCTGCGTCCCAGATATGTCCCTAGTGCGCAAGGATAAGCGAAGGTACGGTGGTCATGCATATGCAAGCTTACTCCGACGTTGTACTTTTGCGTGACCATATGTTCGAGGTCCACCCGAGTAATCTCTCCGGACGCAGAACCAACCAAGACGGAAGATCCACTGAGTTCAGCGCAGCTGATTTTGTCGTTTACAGTGATAGTGATAAGCTCGTGTGCCCTCCCATCGCACGGCAGTTCTGGTAGGGGTTGGAAGTAAACAACTGCCTTCCGCATACGCCTGTTTAGATATGTTCATTAAGATCTGCCGTTGACCGGGGACATTAATTCCAGGTCGTCCGGACGAACTTACTCCAAACTGCGTATGACCACTACCAGGCCCAGTTCCCCTTTGAGAGTCATTTCCATTGCATTCACCCAGTGCGCAACGGGATAGTCGGGGACAGGGATTTTCCACGACGTCTTGGTCGCCAAATTGACGCAGAGGAAACCATTCTCTGAACCAGAAACGACCAAATAGTCCCTAGCTATGCACATGTTCGGCGTCCATAACTCTCCACCAACCGCTTCAGATAATATCCACCCAGAACGAGTGGTGAGCTTAGACGAGGAAAGCTTCTGTTCCAGTTTACACGAAAACACAAGAGCATCCTCGATTTCTTGAGCGATTTCAGTATCTGGACGGTGATGGAGGACAAGAGGAAACCACTTCAGCGCATGTACCCAGACGATGAGAGTCTTGGTAAGGTCTTTGAAGATTTTGTTAACCTTCAAGACCGCGATAATGCAAGAGAATTGTCAAATGTCTGCGGCAAAGCGAAGCCAGAACATTCTCACCCGACGCAATCTAATAATGTCAGCCACATCAACATGAGCCAGTACCGCGATCAGCACATCTTCTGGAAGAGATATGAGGGGGCTTGGGACAAGTTTCGGCTTCAACTGATCGGTTGAGCGCGCACGACGAAACAATGATTTCATCCCTGCAGTTGACGGTCCTCCTCGTCACCTCTATAGAGGCTGGGGTCTTGCCTACTCGTCAGCGGCTACTGACCGCGTCCTCAGGCGAAGGAACAAAGGCTGATAGTTTCGCAGCCCAATCCTGTGGTTGGAGAAGATTGGTGAGGCGCTGCGAAGGAGCTATAAAAGGCAAAGCGACCACACAATACTCAACGGTAAAACTTCGCACCTGCACCGCTTCGAGGGACAAAGGGTTTCAATATACCATGCACCCACAGCCTCATATTTGACTTTCTTCGACACATGGGCCAATTGAGACGAATTCAAGAAAACATTGGCTGCTGCTTGTCATGATTTTGGCAGGTGCCGGATTTTCCGCAGGCTTGGGCATGTATTCTATCGGTTGATTTTCCCAGTGTCAGTGTGTTAATTAGGACCCTACCCAAGAATTCCCACCTACAAGGGAGTCGGAGGGGTCTGGAATGCCCTTCAATATATTGCCTGCGCTTACGCTGCAGCCTTAACAGGAACCGGTCCTTTGCTCTGACACAGAACAACAAAGATTTCGCATCCGTTGACGGCTTCTCCAAGCACCCGGACCGTGTGTGGTAATTCTATGCTTTCAGAAGGAATATGTAAGATAGTGGTGGATCAAGGACACCTTCGAAACATCTTCTTGATCCTCCATTTCCACAAAGTTGCCTGGAAGCGAAGCCTAACCCCGCACATGATGCACTCGCCTCTCTGAACAACCCTGCTGTCTTGTCGCGCGTTGCTCTCAATCTACTAGAGAAATGCTCTCCCCCGATCCTGATTACGACGGTTTATCTCAAAGAGCTCAGGAAGAACTTTCATCGCTGTCAGTTGAACATCAAAGCGCTGGGCTCGCTAATATCTTGGAAATGCACGGATGTATCCTCACCACGCAATGTACATTATGCAAGCACACTCAATATAGCACTTCACCTGACCTATGCCCGTCCCTCGCCCAATCCCTGCTAGCGGAAGATCCAAACTGGCGTATACCTATCGACGAGTTACCACATTGTGGCGGCTCAAATTGGAAGCTGGGCTCCTCCGCCCTGCCATGGGAGAGATTGCCCGAAGGCTTAATTGGTATGACTTGCTCATCGTGGTTGGGACATCTTCGACGGTAAGCTTTAGCATGGCTTCGGCAGAGAAAAACGACTCAACAGTCCGATACCGCTACGCAAGGTCTTACCAGCAGCCAGATTTGCCTCGATGGCACAGTGAAGAGTCGCAGAGAGAACGTTGCCGTATTCAACATTGAACAATGAAGCAGCTGATTTCTTTTCATTGAGCGATGCGAGGAAACGTTGCATGCTGCCTTTGCTCCATAATAATCGTGTGCTATCACGCGACGCGCGCATGTCAAAAACGTGCCCAATCTATTACACAAACCAAGGCCCAGGCTACAGTCACCATATACATGCGCGAAAGTGATACAAAGATAAATGAACAGTGTATGAATAATCAGCCCTGAGAGGGCGAAGGGGAAAGAGACCTATTATTGCCAGACGTCGAACGTGGAAGCGTGGGCGTGACGTTCGGTTGGTCTCCCCCCTCTGTAACGGGGGGTCCTTTAGGATCCACACTTGTCGAGAACCCAAACTCATGTCCACTGAACGCGTTGGGGGAGGGTGCGCCGTTCGTGAACGCAGCGCCGCCGGTGCCACTAAGGATTCTCGCTCTTGTCGCCAAGGCAGAACCTCCATACGCACTCCATAAACGGCTTGCCAGGTCACCGTACGTCTGGTTAGCGGCCCCAGATGGAGGAATTGATGCGCTCTGCGCAGCACCTGTGACAGCCTTAAACAGGTCTTGAAGACGTTCCTGGATGTAAGTTGAAGTTTGAGTCTTGATGTCTGCGATATGCTGGTCTATTTCCGGTTCGTATTGCGCATAGTGTTGGCTTAGGAATCCATGGTAGATAACGCCTGTTCCCTGGAGGATGAAAGTAGTTAGCAAGGATAGGGGTTCAAACCAGTTTGGACATAAGGACGAACCCCTTGGCTTATGAACAGAAGGACAAGCGCCTTGATGTCACTGTAAAATATCACCCTGTGATAAAGAATAAACGCCACGTAAGCGTCAGAACTAATGCATATGAAGGTGCCCACCAGTGCACAAGCCACTCGAAAGATTTCTCAAACGCCACGAACGCGCCAACCACACACCAATAAATGAGCCTTGCGTATGACGAATCAGAACACAATCACTCGCACAGGATCCATTCTCAACCCCACGCACCATTTTTCTACCTCAGCCTCTGTCCCAGGTCGTTTTGCGAGAACCTTATACGTTGCATACGACGGGTACAAATAAATCAGTATCGCGCTGTCATTCCAGATTTAAACCTCTTCATTTCACAATTGGCAGAAATCCGGCGTACCTTAGAAGCCCCAAGCCAATCATGATGAAAAGACCAGGGAGGTTGTAGGGGTACTGTTGTGCTGTGTGTGTCGGAGGTTGGGGTCCGGCCTGCTGGCCTGCTGTCACTCGCTCGGAGATAAAAAGATACCAGAAAAACGTGACTTTATAGTCAAAACATAACTGAGTGACTCATCCTGTGCACTTTGCGATCATGGCCAATGTGCTACGAGGCCGCGGGGCAACAAGACTGGACCACAACAATGATAGGGATATGCTCCTTGATGGTTTTTCCGATGACATCAACAATATACAGTAAACAAAGCCAAGAAAAATGTGTTGGCGGAAAGAAGGGCTAGTTATTGGAGTCACTTGATCACTGCAGGCATTCAAGTTCACAATTGAGAATGAACTGGCTGGCGATTAGTATGGGGGAATCTCGTCCGGATAGACATTAGGGTATCGATCACGGTATCCTTCGTGTGAGTATATTTAAGCCCCAGAACCCTCTCCGCTTTCGAACCGTCCTGGTAATTGGTCTTCGTGTTTTTGTCACAACCGGGATAGCCTTCAGGGACGTTTGGTACACGCGCATCACGGAGAATATCGTCTTTATATATAGTAAGGATGTCCCGGCCACCGTTAGCTTCAGTCCCATGACACGAGAATAGAACAAAACACCCACAAAATTGTTGATACGTAAAGGGTCCCTTACTCGCAATGAACCTTTGTCCTCCAGCCTCTGAGACTTCGAGAGCCCGGACGTGGGCAAGTGCGACATCGCGAACGTCAACGAAGTTTGGACCAGATACCGCCAAAGCTTCCTTGGGTTGTGGCCTGCTGATATGCTCCCAAAATTGGCGTATGGATTCATTGAGAGCCTTTGGCTCCTTTGCCTGTAGAAAGGGTCAATGCAGTGTAGTGAGTGGAGAGGGACATGGGACATTCTCAAGAAATGGCGAACCTGATGGATGGTGGGCTGGAGGATCGCAACGAGAGCGTCAGGAATCATTTATTTGTGATACATACCACTTACACCGAGAACCTGGGTCAATTGTATCAACAACGAACAAATATACAAGAATTTCAAAACGCCGGATCGCTCACCCAAGACGGATTAATAGTAACTAAATCGAACTTGATATTCCCTTCATTTGCTTTCATGAATTCCCAAGCCGCATGCTCAGCGAGCGTCTTGCTTGCTTGGTATTTGTGTCCCTGCGGCGCGTTCTTCCCCTCTTTCTTTATGAGATCTGGAGAGTAGGTATTCCAGTCTTTCTCCGTGAACGTGTAGGGTGATTCCGTGGGGAATATGACGGCTGCGACGGAAGAGGTGATGACCACGCGCTTGACGTTCGGTCTACCGGATCGCGGCACGTATGAAATAGGGATGAGTGTGCGTGGCAGAAGGGATTCGTGCGGGAGAGTCGGGTAACTCACCCGTTCTTGAAGATACTCTTCAGGATCCCTGTGGTTCCATGAACCGCAGGATCGATCAGCTCCTTTGGATCATTGGCTCTGAACTAGAACAAGTTTCTGTGAACATGGCTCGCTGGGGCAATTCAAGCTTACGTGGAACGGAGAGGCAGTATGAAGAACCGCGTCGATTCCTTTGACATGGTCATCGAAAACGCTGGGCTATACGCAAGTGCGTTGTTTGTCCGTTAGAGTGCGAGGACTTTGGAGATAATCTACACCTCCAACCTTGACGATGTCTTCTACTACGACGTATCTGAACCTCGCGCCATATTCACGGAAGAGATTGTCCAAATAATCTCCCTATTGGAAAGTGAAACATCGACGGGGATTATTGGTATGCGAGTGATGAATGATCAGTACGTCTTACCTTGCTCTTGGACCGTACTAGGTTCGTGGTTTGTGATATGTTTCCTTGATAAGAGTAAACGACGCGCCCAACGGATTCCTACTTACCAGTTCCGATGACGTGATAGCCGTGTTCGAGGGCCACACGGCACACATGGGCAGAAATGAAGCCAGAGGCCCCGGTAACGAGTATCTTAGCTGGAGCTTCGACAGCAGACATAGTAAGGAAGAGTGTTAAATGTTTCGCTTATACTTAAGATGACTTCTGAGATTGTTGGAGGGGCGAAACAAGCCTGTCAAGGCTTGGCCACTTTAAATACCAATCCATGCATCGGGGTTAATCCAGATTGGAAGCACGAGACAAGTGCACAAGTGTGACGTCCATCGCGTTACGTCACGTTTAGGCTTTCCGCGGAGTCAGCCGAATTCATCGCTTTATTGCCGTGCCCTTGGCATTTCGGTCGCGCAGAATACGAACCCCGGTGAGACGGGATGGACAGCCTGAGGCTTGTAGGTCAAATAGCCGGAATAAAGTAGACAGAGGTAACTTTCAATTGTCTTGCCTCAGCTTCCTAGCCTGCCAAGTGCATTGCATCAGTGTTTCTGCTCGAGCTCCAAAGGACGATGTCTCTCTTTGAGTCACCTCTTGCTTTGATTGCCTAGATAGCTCCGTCCTTTCCGCTTGGAAGGCCGCCTCAGATGTGGTGGCCCCTTACCTGTGCTGTCATCTTACCCTTTCTGGAGTGGGTCGTCCTGGATATCTCTGTATTGCGTCCAGTCATTTCCTATTTATTCAATGGTGCAAGACGCACGTTTTCAGTTGTTGTCAAATAACCGAAACGGCCATGGATGACATCATTTGTGTGCCTCCATTCAGTCTCAAAGTCCGCATCGTCCTCAACTTCGCTCCTTGCTCTTGTTCCACATATAAAGCATAATGGGACCACCGCTACTATTTCCCCTTGAACCCCATATGAACACTATCATCTCTTAGGCATTACCCGCCGTGTACTTTTTTCCCCACCCATAACGTTCTCCCACATACCCTGTCGACCCTGACCTCTATTTGGAGACATCCCCATCTCATAGGGTAACAGCTCAACAAAACGGGTTGACTTCGAAGATCGTGTACGTGGGATGACCCACTACCTTCTGGGATGTGTCCTTTCCTCTTGACTATGCGTGTGTACAGCGTTTTCGGGTCGCTATTGTGCTTCTGACCATGATCCACAGCGCGCTAGCTGATAGTGCCACTTTCGCCGGATTCCTGTGCTTCCCAAGTCACTCCACGGTGAGTAATTAGGATGCTGTGCCCCCGACACACTCCGTCATTTTTGTCGTTCTGTCAGGCCAAGCTTGTTTTCATCCTAGCTCGGCAGACGTTCTTTATAGTAACCCCCGCCACCACCAGCCGCTGGCGAAATCGATCGCGTTGGAAAGGCCTCCGTGAACTCATAAAAACCGCTCGCAAGGAGGTCGTGAACCTTGTGGGTAGTGTGACCCACCAAAATGGAGAAGCATCGGGACACGATCCACAAGGACTTGGACGAGACGGCAACTATCAAGATCGTGTCAGGCACAGTCGATGCATCGTGGTCGAGCTTCACGGTCATCAAGCAGGTGTGTCACTGCAATTGGCCCATGACCCATTGGTACAGCGGGTAGTGCCGTACGGAATTATCGTAGGTGTAATGGAAGGATCCTTTATCGCCTGTGACACGCACAGATGCCTTCATTCACTTCTTTGAGCTTATAATAGTTCTTCCATCCAGATCCCATAATGCAAGCCTCATCCTCTAAGTTTCTTCGTGTCAGCGTTGTCAAATAAGTGACCTATGATTCCAGATATGTGCAACATTGCAGAATGTCCCGTGCATCAACCAGGACTGCCTACAATGCCTATGCTTCTGGTTCCTCATTTGTACCCAGGATGACCATTGAACTAGAAACTGCCTCATATTGTATCATGCGCACTTAATTATAGACGCAAGAGCGGAATACCCAGGAGTCAACACCCGTGCTTGATCATGCCAATGATCCTATAATATGGCAATGTTGCCCACTACCTGCAATGGTCCTGTTTCTACTTTTACTAGATACTTCGACGGTCTCCGGGCTACCTCGGTTGCTAATAAGCCTCGGAGGTGGTCAGGATCTGGGAGACAACTTCAAAGCCACGAGGCTCAAATCACTTATGTCGACGGTAAGCATTTTTACCCCTTACTCCTTTAGACCACAGCTTCTTAGGTCTATGGACTACTTGCTCTCGATGACAAGTATTAGTATTTCCACCTCTTACGCGTTTAGGCTTATTGCTGGCTACATCTTCCATTTTTTAGGTCCACGGACCATTACTCTCGGCGGTAAGTATTCTGAGTGACTAAATTTGAGTAAACTGCAAGCAAGCAGCCTCAGAACCTACCTTCCGCTAGGGCCAGCCTTATTGGCTGAAGGGAAGAGTGTAAGAGGAAGTTTAACTGTGTGACTACCCAAAAAGACGACAGCTAGAACTCCCCTCCAAGCCCATTACACGTCACTTTGGCCGGGATCTACGAAAATGCGTGTTGAATTTTGAGGGAAATGCTTGACTGGGTTGTTTGTGAGATCAATGCCCAGAGTGGGTCTCCGCAGCACAAACAACCCGGAAAGAAGCAGGGGACCACACAAATTTTGTCTAACATGATCACCCCGTCCCCTTGGTCCAAGCAAAGGCGCCGTTCAGCGTATACTCACAAATCTGGCTTACGATGCTGAAGGAACGTCACAGCAAAATAAATGGATTCAGCACAGCACTCTTATCGTTCAGTTTGTCATCGTCGAAACTGTTGGAATACAAGTCATGGCGCTGTGCCCGCAGCATCCCACAACTTACCCCACACTCCTCCCCGACGCGTCTGTGCGTTTCCCGATCCGTAGCATAGCCCTGATGTAGTATAAAACTCGGCAGTAAACCTGAATAATATATCATCCTTTTGGTCTTGCATTTATCGCGCGAGTGTAGCCGCTGAAGCGCTACGTCCATATCGGGCTAGTCATAACAACAGAGACGCTAAGCAAATCATAGAGTAGCCAGCACCGTGAATGTTGGTCGCCCCATGAAAACTATGCGGTAGCTAGGGGTATCAGCATATTGAACGCGTTCATTAATTCAAGAGGACTTGCTCGTTACAACAATCATGAAGCCATAGGTCAAAGTGCAAAGGTGGATGAATAGGATAAATAGGTGTAAGGAGGGCAGAAAAATAGGAAGTTCATGCAAGAAGTACGCAGGATTGGACATCTAAGATGACGAGAGATCGAAAGCGGCATTCGAAAGCGATCACAAGAAGAACCTACAAAGCAATCATGAAGGCGTCAGGCGTGTTCACTTGCACGAGTCAACATATACTTACTTCTTGTTGATTAGGAAGAGAAGCATGTTGAGATTAAATTTGGCCATGCCGTCGAATAGAGATAATGATATTTGGCCGTCGTAATTTGCTTGAAGAAGATCCTCCATTCGCAGGATCTGTGAAGCGATTTCATTGATGACACCGCTAAAGTTCGAAGAGACACCAATATTGAAGATACAAATTTCGTTGGATTCGATGACGATATCGATGCGATCGAATTGACGAGGACTGAACTGGTCAATGGATAGGAGTATGCCCTTATCATACAACTCCTGTGCTCGAAAAATATAGGAGCCAAATTGCGGCGTCTTTCCCGCCTTCTGAAGTTCACGCTCATGGAAAAACTGCTTCGTAAACGGCAGGACAAAGCGCTTCTTCCTGCAACAGACGTCAGCCTGGTTCAACGACGATCCCAATGTTCAGCTCACCCTTTCCCCCGTTGCATAGTCTTCATTGCAGAATCGATATAACTGTGGTAGCTCGAAATCTGTTCCTGGAATGCTTGTTTCCGTTCCCTAAGGTGCTTAAGCGCATCACCCATGGCTTCCATTTCGTTCTTTCGCTGTATGCGTTTTCGATGTTTGCTACGAAGATCGCCTGCAATAGCGTTCAGAACTCCTTGGTATCCATCGGCTCGAGTAATCTTTCCGAGCTTCTCCAGTTCGAGAAGGTAGTATAGAGCGTTTTCCTTAACTTTTGCGTACGGTAAACTGGGTAGGTGACACATCAGCTGTCAGAAGTTGGTTGAAGCAATCACGCTCACGTCCGAATATCCTCAAGTCTATAAGCTGAGTCCGTAACAGCAGCGGAAGGGTATCGCGAATGTTGCTGCTGCTGCATGTCGTGAACCAGCTCGTTGTTCACGATCACTACCCAAAGATCCTCATGAGCATCAGTAACAGGTTGGAGCAGGCTCTCCACAAGATCGGGGGCAGGTTGGACGCGAAGAACGGCAAGGACACCACGTTTTGCTTGCACCCACAGCGCTTTCTCGTGGGCTCGAGGATCTGGGTGGGTATGAGATTTGAGATAGAATCACCCTGCAACCGTAATTTGCCTAACCTGAGACATGCGCGAACCGGTTTGTAAGATTGAGTGTGATAGCTTGGTCACGAGCATCTTTGAGCTCATCTGATCCAAGATTAGGGACTCCATCGAGTTCAATGAGAATGGAACGGAGGGGGTCATCTCGTTTGGGAGCCTGTCAAGAAGAGAGTTGAGAGCCGCAACATCCTCAATGACTAGATCTACTGACCAGGATGTCGAGATGCTGTGCTAGAAGCTTGTGCATGGCGTAGATCTCATTTGGTGATATATAGATTGGCTTCGGCTGTACAGTGACATCAAGGAATTCGTGGGCATGGAAATGTGCCTCGGCATCCGGCACATCAGCGACTAAGAAAAGTTAGCGTTCGGATGCATCGAACTGTGAATCAACAAACCGAATAGGAACCATGCAGCCACCAGTGGAATGGCTTCCTGAAGATAATTGTTGAGGGGCTCCAGAGCAGGAGTATTCTCATCAAACAATTTTCCAGAGGCGATTTGCACCAACACTCTCGATATTTGGGAAAGATTCCGCCGTGCCGTTGGGTTCAATGAACCTGTCACTATGTCAAACGTCTCTGGTGCCCTGGAAAACAAATATTTCAGTTATTACTTCGCCGGGTATCATAGATAATTGCGTACAGGATCGCGGGATTGATATAACGATCAAACACGAGTTTGCCGAGAGCTGCGGCATAAGCATCGTTCGATTGGTTTGGAAAGCGGGTCTAAATGGGGGTTGGGCATATAATGGAGCAGTACGAGTTACATAGACATGCCTTTAACGCAATGAGGGTCCCCCTTGCAATAGATCGCATCCCATACGGCATTCTTCTCGTCGAATGGATAATAGCCTGCACGAACACATTGGTAAGGACTTGCAATTGCTGCAGATCTACGAGTTGCTCAGTAGCACGTTCTTCAACCTTTGAGGGGGCAACTAACGACGGGCGAGATTAGGTCTCGTGTCTAGATCGTAGGCGGCCTGTACCAGCGTAACTTCTTGGGGCTTTTGACTTGGTCGGCCAGTACGCATCTCCTCTTCGTTGATCAGTGCTCGGTAAATCTAGGGCAGTTTGGCATGAGAAACATTTTGCAATTTAGATGAAGTGCTCACCAAAATAGGATCAGTCTCAAGGTCTAGATCAGGCTGTTCAACCACTTCTTTGATAACCGCCTGGAGAGAATCGCGGACATATGCCACCTGTCGAGGTCTTACATAATGGACAGCGAGAGAAATGTACATGGGACTGGATGTCATGACTGCATTGACTGTTGACGCAGAGAGTATTTCTTCTTCAATTGAGAGCTATGGGAGTTCATTCAGTAAATCAACGGACCATGATATGTAGGCATACCCTGAATAAATTCAGAAGGAGGTAATCCTCTCGAAGATCCTGACCGTATCCAAAGATAGCAAGCACAACCCGTTCAGCCATTTTTTTCGTTTTGTCCTGAACCTCGAGCCGAGACAGATGGAAGAAAAGTCGGGCGAAATATTCACTCTTTGTTTGGACGAGATAGAAGAGCTGTTGGTATAACTCTAACTTGCGTTTAGCGGCATGATCAAGATTGCTGGAGCTGGAGAAAGGATCGCCATATGCTGCAAGCACAGCTCGGCTGGTCTGGACGTCGCCACGATAATTTCGAGCTTTTATAAGGTCCTCGAAGCTTTTCACGTTTTGCACGACGAGGGCAATCTTGACATCGAGCTCGCTTACTTCGGTTTCGAGAGCCTGGTTCTCCCGAATCTGCTCCACGACGCGCTTCCGCAACCTTTCCACGGCAATTTCTTCCTCAAAATCTGCTTCGGAATCATCTAGCAAGTGCACAAAGTTCTTAATTGTACCGACTGAGACTTTCGTCCCCATTGTGAGCTGGCGATACTGCTCTCTTTGTTCCTTGGCCCGAAATAGAGCCTGGATTTTAACCACTTTCTGAAGATTCTCCTGAAAGTGTGCAAGTTTGGCTTGATACCTGAGGCGCTCCAAGACGCCTCTCAGAAGCGATTGGAGGAAGATGACTTGTGCTTGGCTAGCATGAAGATAGTCGCGCCAGGCAAAATAGTCATCCCTGACGAGGACACCGCGGCATGCAGCTTGAACCTGTACAATATCCGGTAAGACAATCTGTAACTTCTTGGCCTGCTCCTTGTGGCGGGATCGGACTAAAGCGGCCCGCGCAAAGGTCTGAAGGTGGCCGACTGATTTCACAACACGCGCCTGAGCCAGATCTCGATTCAGTCCGATGAATGCCTGTCTTGCCAAGTGGGCTCTAGCGATAGCTTGGAAGGTTTGGATGGAAGGGACAGCCCTCCTTAAAGCTCGAACGAGCATCAATAACTGCTGACGGGCCAAAACAGCTCGACAAGCTGATTGAATCTTAACAATGATGTCAGGAACATCGTCCAGTTCGTCGCGCAGGCTGCGAACGCGCCGACGAAGAATGCCCCCCCTTGCGCAAGCCTGAAAGCCAATAATATGCGGCTCCACCTTCGACAGTTTATAGAGTATAACATCGATCCCCTTTCTCACGAGGACCCCACGAGCGCGTGCCTGCAAGGCAATGACACCATCCTGCATGATCGGCTGGTGTAAAGTCTTGGCAGCCTCGGTATGCACTTTTCGCGAAATCTTCGCCCGAGCAATGGCTTGCAGTTTGACGATAGAGAACTTTGAGGAGCGAAGAGCTCCCTTGAGCTTGGCGAATCGTCCGCGTTCCAGTATTCCTCGTGCTTGGGCCTGCACCTTGATGATGATAGCAAGAGTGGATCGCACCCGTTGAATATACTGGTTATGTTCCCGTCGTGCCAGGATTCCTCGGGCACGAGCTTGAACGGCAGTGACCCACGGCAGCAGCGATTGGTGCTGGATTAAAACTGCATCAATCTTCCGGCGGGCCAAATGACCACGGCATAGAGCTTGTGTTTTCACCACAGACTTCTGCGCAGTGCGCAGCTTCGTAATACGCATCCGGAGAGCACTTCTGCTTAGGTGACCACGAGCGAAGGCTTGGAATGCTATTATAGAGTCTACATTCTCTTCCAAAAGCCGACGTTGTCCTGTCTAGCATAAGCGACCTGGCTCATGGTGGCCTGAGGTAAATCACTACGTACTCTCTTCCTCTGTCTCAGGCTCTTCTTCAGGTTCCTCGTTGATTTCGCGTGCGAGTTCTCGCCCGACATTTCCAAAGTTTGGCATCGCAACACCAGAGTCCGTTAGTCCCTTCTGTGTCTGCTTGAGTTGGTCATCGGAAAACTCGAGTTGCCCAAGCAGATTTCCGATACGCTGGGCCAAACCCCGCCGAGCAAGGAGATGGCTTGGAAGGTGTGATCAGCATACCACTTCCACCTAAAGCACACCCGCATACCTGAGTGCGTGGATGCAGTAAATGACTTTTGGGATGTTCTTCTTTTCATACAAGTCAGTGAGTTCGAAGATGAAGCCCTTGAAAGGCATGGCTGGAATTAGGAATTATACTTCAGACAACCTAGCACACTGACCTCCGGCAAACCAACCCTTCTAACAAAATCTAGGAAAATGTTGATATTATCCGAATGTCGGTACTGTAGCCTGGGATGCTAGGTACAGTGGCTGTTTCAAATACCGCAACAACCATAACATATTTCCAACTTGCCTCGAAAATTTTGCGAACAACACTATCTCCTTCCCACGTTCGGGCCAATCGGGCCAGTGCCACACCGTTCCTCAGCCCTTCCTCCATCTCGACGACACCAAACGGGAGCTCTTCATCCAAGCAGCCTTCTATCCACTGTTGTGCCTCCCCAACGTGACACAAGTACTCATACGCAATGATGAATTGGCGCTGTGTCTCGATCCAATTCCGACCGTAAGGGTATGCTGGTGCAGAGGTGGGACTGGAGTCCCCTCTGAGTAATTGTATCCTATCTGCTCGACCTGGGACATGCGACGCATTAGCGACGGGAGGGACAATTGTACCAGTCTTAGTCGGTGAATAATGAGAAGGAAGAGTGCGTGTTGGAAGGTTATGGTCTCTCGGGGAAGGGACTTCAGGGGATTTCGGTGACAGAGGGGGTAATTGATACTTCTTAGAAGAGTGAGCTACACCTGGTGGGGATGTCGACGGCTCTCCCCCGTCGTCTGGTGCATCACCGCTGGCTATCCGGGGCAGGTGCCGGCCCAATCGCCTTCCGGCACCAAGCCCGGCATACTGGTCCCGCCTAGCAGCGCCCGAGAATGATAATGGCGATGATTTTGGATCGACGATTGCACTGGAAAGAGAGCGGCTCGTGCGAGACTCGACCGGGGGGACGACAACGGAATCTACCGAATTTGAACGGCGTGTCCTTAATCCAGCGATCGAAGACTCGCCGGAGGGTTGAGACCTCTTGAAGGTCCGGTCGCCAGGCTCTTTCAGAATAGGCACAGATGACATTGGGGCACCTTCACTAGAGAGTGTATTCGCCCTCTGGATTGAAGTGGGAAAGGCTACAGTGGAACTAGCACTGAAATTGGCAGCCCGAGATGATATGGCATCTGTGGAGATATTTCTTCTCGCTGTTGATCCCCGATTGAGGGTCGAAAGATCGCTGACGGGAATTGAATTGCCCGGGACCACTTCCATCTTCCCCGTAGCGGGGAATTGACCCAGTTCACTTATGTCGTCTTGGCTGCGTACGCGGGACTCCCATTGGTCCCTAATTGAAGTCACAGGTACGGGATCTGGCAACGTGGGCCGCTTTAACGTTGACGACTTAGCACGGTCAGAAATTCCACGTTCCTGTGGAGAGTTGAAAGCCGGGGATGCTTCAAGATTCTTGCGCTCCATGTCCTGAGGTTTTCTAGTAGTCCCTCGTCTCTGAAATGTGCCAGTGTTTGATGGAGTCAATTCCCCAGTTTCAGCTTCCCGAACACGCTCCTCCCATCTAGAGCGAACAGAATCTATGGATCCCGTTACTCTGTGCCGCTTAAAATCGGTGGCAGTGGAGGCTGGTGACCAAGAGCCAGAGCCAGTATTATCATTGGAAGAAACTTGGGAACGGTGACCTGGACGGAAAGAGGCCTCTCCAGAACTGGCATGTGAAATCGTAGCAAATTTGCTCCCAACGTCTCCCAAAGGCTCGTGCGGGATTGGTTTCCTGGAAGACAAACCAGCATCGGTTTGTTGCGGCCTGGCGGCCTCATGAGAGGGTTGTTGGGGTAGTGAAACCGATGCAATGAGGGTGACGGGGGGTTCCATAGGACCCCTTGTAAGATACATAGGCGTCTCTGGAAGAGCTTTTTCTGTAGACGCGTCGAGGGGCTTACGGATGGGGTGCTCAACATCGATAAAGGCGTCATTCTCGGGAATAGGCCGCGATCGTTCAAGTCGTAATGAATCAACGCTCGAGCCAGCCCTATGGGTGTACGCAAACTTTCTAGATGCACTTGGAGTCAGGATACCTTTGGTTATTGATCCCGATCGCGAGAGGGAAGACGTGCGGGACAGAGAATTCTCGATTAAACGCGTCTGGTAAGCAAAGGATCCCGGCGGCGAAGTCGATGAAGAAGGGCTTGTCGGTCCTACCGAGGCTTTCTCATTCCTGGACATTTCCTTGGGACGGCCCTTGAAGCGTGCCGCCAAATGTAATCTTGCAAGCGCTGTCAAAACAAGCTTTTAGAGGTTGAACGTGATGTGACGTATCACGCGTGACACGACGCATTGTTTGACTGGGGCAATATTAATTGTTGCATCCTCGGCGCTTATTATCAATAATGCCCACAACCCCAGCACTTCAGCAGTTGTCTCTAGAGTATGCTTCATTGCAGCGTCATGCCCCATCTGGAATCTACTGTGTCCCATCCTTCGATTCGATTCTCGTTTGGAATTGCGTCGTATTCATTCATCAAGGAATGTTTCAGTCCAATCGAGCCACACTGCCTACCTCTAACCCACTGAACACCCTTTAGGCTACTACTCTGGTGCCATGTAGGTGACATGCACGTACGTGGATAGCGTGAGACCCACATCCTCAATTTGTGACCTAGCTTAAGGTTCAAGATGACCTTTAGCGATGACTACCCTCAACGTCCACCCACTGTCACATTTCAATCAGACACTGTGTTCCACCCCTTGATATCTCCAGAAGGAGATATGTCGCTATCCGCGCGGTTTCGGCCTTGGCTGTGAGCATTCATCGTTCGCACGTTTGTAACTCATCGATTTCCTGAGCCTCGTTTTGCAGACCACAAGAACATCACGTATTTGATATTCTTCACTCCCTCAAGGCTGCTTTCAAAAAAGATTCACTTGACCGCTTGGATGAGAGAGATTGTTTCAACCCAGAGGCATTAAAGTAGGATCCCCTATAGCCTTCTTCTGCTAGATTCCGATGTCTGACATGTATATTGCCAGACTGTAAGCGGGACTGCCTCCTGGGGAGCTCTGATCTAACCCCCATTGTAGGTATCGAGAATCAACATCATCGTTTGCTCAACTTGCACAGCAAACCGCTTTGCTTTCTCAACGAGAGTCTACCCTGTACAACCTTGATTATCCAACCATGAAACGATTACGAAGAGGAGAAGCCCCCTCAAACGGCATAGTATTTACACATTTAGATGAGCAGACTCTGGAAGGATTAAGGAAACAAGTTGGCGTATCGAAGTGGGACTAAACGGACACGGCGGTTCGTGAACACATGGTATTGCGTGGATCGTCTATGCCTTGAAGAAAATTGGGTATCTGACTTTCTAGTGACTAACAACTGCTGTAGGAATAATCTAGACGTCTGGGGCTTCCTAGATGCTGGAGCTGGGACTGGATTCTTGGGGCAAACTAATAGGCAGGATTTCCACAGCAAGTGGGGCAATAGAATCTTCGTCCTATTGATTTATCAGTGACGTGAAAAGTTTGAGTATCCTTTACTTACCTCTGGCACTCGCGAAAATTGCTTGGAAAGCTTTTCGACAACAAGACTGTAGTCCAAGTGCTGTGTAAGACGCCTAGAATGGTCTTCATCGTCAGCATTCTATCCTTGCTGGCACAGGCAACAGGTCTTGCCTTCGCGTTTTCACACTCAGCGAATGTCGCGCATCCAGCGCAGAGTCGAGAACGTTTGATGAATGTGCTCCCTCACTCAGCGCCAGCTTGATAGAATACTCCTTGTCTGATTTCCCGCGGCCATGATTGCGTTCATATAGTTCAAACGTGATGTGGGACTAACGCAAAGAGCAAAGACTTAAACATGCAAACAAAACAAAATGACTTCCGATGCAAACTGACCGCATAGTCCAATTCTGGTATCCTGGGATTGGCGATGGGTAGCCCAGATGAAAGGACAAGGTTCACGAGGGTGTGAATATGGCTTTCTTTCGTGAAATAAGCAGTAAACATTGGAAGTTCGTTGCTCCTTGCTTCCTCTAAGTCTGCGACAATTTTACGCATCAAGGGCAGAGATGTGAGAACTCCGATCTCCGTTCTGCTCAATGCGGGTCAACAAAACCGAACCGTATGGAAGAACCTAGCCACCGACTTTTCCCATGGCTCTATGCCGTACTCCTGGGGCGCAACCAAGTCAAACAAGGCCTTTGCACGACCATACAACTCATGCAACTTGCGGTCGTTTTTCGGGTCATCGCTCGGGTCGTCAAAGATAGCAAACAGGAAGGTACGGTGATGCAGTGCACAATACTGCTCCATCGGCGTCAACGGCTGCAAATCGGAAAACGACGAACTGGAACGAACCTTGATGGTGTCGTATAACTCGGAGACCCTCGATGGATCGAACTTCTCTTGCTTGACATCGCAGAAATCTTCGAACAACTTCTCCCAGCGTTCACGGAACAGCCAAGGCTCGTCAGAGCAGCACCTTTCGAGAATGAGATACGCCGTTAATGACCAACATTAAGCCTACCATCGGGTCTGGATCTTGTTCACGTCCAATCTCTCAAAGTTTCGCCTCATGACATCACGAAAAGACCTCAACAAGTCTATAACCTCCTGCGAACCTAATGAGTCGTAAAGGGTACCGCCTCGGAGGGGGACGTTTCTCACCTTCACCACTTCTACAGGCTCCTTCTTCATTCTCCAGGTAAGTTCTGGCCGCTTTTCTGGCTCGCCTGGTCGAAGCAAAATTTTCAGCCGTTTCTTAACGTCATCCATGAGATCTTTAGCAGCATTGGAATCGTCTAGCAAATCTTTTCTAATGATGAGTTGGACAGGTTGTGGGGCAACGAAACTTGACGCGTCTGAGGACCGAGAAGACCTTGCTGGTGTCGACGCTGCACTTGTTGCTACCGATGTAGTTTGGACCCCATCCAACAATGCAGCGGCGAAGATCTCCGCGGATGCAACGACCCTCCTTTCCGATGATGTGTATATCTAAGGGAAGGGTTGTGAGAAGCGATTTAAAGCCCATCGCGGAGCTAAATACTTACTCTGACGTTGTTGAGGACATCTTTGTCTAAAACGCCAGAAGCGTCACCGAGGGGTTAGTCAATTCATGATATCAACCCACTCATAATCGAGAAGTCCTGCTTCATGCTCTCGCCAAGATCGCGCGACTGATATCGAGCGGCGTGCGTGAACTAGAGGAATATGTAGGGGCGCCAACCAAAGCGGAATGCGACAAACTCTTACCTCTCCACCCCATTTGAACACAAGTTGGAGCTTCTCAAGACTTCGTGGCTGACCAGATGCACTCTTCCCCTTCTTAAAACCAGGTTTCAGCTGGGCCTTTGTTCCAGGGAGGTCCATTTTTCGTGCAAGAGCATTGCTTAAATGAGTGAGCTTCGTCAGATCTTCGCCCCTTGCCCCGAGCAATCTTGCCTCCTTGATTGCTGCAACGAGGAGGGTAAGCTGTTGAGCCTCGCGGAGGATGATCTCTTCATTTTCTCCATTCAGCAAGCGAACAAATGGAGCAGTCCATGATTCAGCGATAGGGAAGTTGAACTTGAGTTTTTGCTTTGGGGTTCTGTCCGCATGCCGAAAGACTAAATAAATCGTAAATGGAACAGCGGTTGGGATATAGAATAAGGATAAGCCCTTACCCGTGACGTTGGCCTTGAGGGTCCACGAAGACGAAAGATCTGGGAAGGGCGGTGCTCCCAGGTGTCTTGTTGGGGAAACGCTGACTTTGTAACATACTTCGTAGAGGATCTCTGCGGCTCTGTCTGTAGGAAACAACCAGTCATTAGCCTCCTCAAATTAAGGTGGAGGTGGCGGACCAAAGTAATTCTCATTTCCTTTAACGAAGCTCCACCCATTTACGTCGATAACCATGCTTCGTGCACCATTGTCACAACGCAGAACATCAAACCCACAGACACGCTGTCCAAAACCTTCGCAGATTCTACGAGCGAACAACTTTTCATACTCGTTGAGATGAGTGATGAACCTAAATGGTCATTTTAAATGTTAAATTTTATGGTTACACAAGGCTTCGTACCTAATTTCTTTTCCGTCTGTATTTCGACGAACTACTCCGTCCACGACCGGAGATTTTCTGGTCTCGGCGTGTGTATAGGTAGGTCCAAGAGTGTAAACTTTGATGTCCTCAGCTAATGCGTCGGGAAGATTGAGTTGAACACTCTCTTAAAACGCAGCACACCCATACCATTATCAACGTCAATGAACTCTTCGTAAATGTACGACCCATCCATTCGAGGATGGTTCAAGTTCGGATCCATCTCGCTCGATTGATTCCCAATCTATTAGGGGCGCACATCAAGAAGTGACTAAATGTAGATCGAAAATACTCACCTTTCTAAATAGCCTACGACCACCGCCATTCCTGAAATAAATATATACATTGTGATCCTCCCCACTGACAGGCTTCTCAACAAACGGCTTCTCCATCACACTACCATCAATTACGATCGCGTTATTATCCCCTCTCATCGAGACCTCAGGTGTTGGCATCGGTTTTCCCAACGTTAGACCCAAGTTTTGCTCGACTATGTGAATCAGCGCGGCATCAACTTTGGGGCCACCATCACGCGCGACGACCAGCCTTCTCGGAGTGGGGATTTCCAAATGGTCTAAGATTTGATAAACGATACGACGGTCCCAGAGCAGAGCTTGTGTCGGAAGATCGTTGATACAGACTGGTTTCCGGAGCTTGACGTACTGAACGGCCTTATCAAGTGGGAAGTCTATGCTGAAGAAGGAGATAAGTATATCGCATAGAGGCCAATTCTCTACATCTAATCCCAATAGGATAGATCATAGTTGCGCCAGTCAGAGACTCTGGTTGCGAAACTGGCGCTCAAGGTAACACACCTTCGTCCAAAATAACTTTATCCCCAAACAATCGGACTTCAACCTGGCCTCTTGCCTTTATACGGGTCAAAATAGCCCTCATCGGCTTGCTCCTAGCCTTCGCATCCATAGCACACACGCCCAACACAACTTTATCTCCTTCCGGCCGATCCTTCTCCATAATCGCAGGTGATGGCGATTCAGAACGTCCTGACCCGATTATAAAGGCAGGTCTTGGTCGTGAGCGATCAGAGTGGGGATGTCGCCTCGACAACGAACGCGACACGGCGGACGGTAGGTCTGACGGATCCATGCTGTTTCCAGAACGCACGGGTGCCACTCAGATTTCTATTTACGGCTACACAATTGAACGTCAGCACCCGCTTCGCACTTCATTTCACTCTCACGAACGGAATTCATTGGAAGTAATGCTGTTGCGCATAATATACAATGGATGAAAGAGAAAGAACGCAAAGCCATCTAACTGCACGCGCGATTCGAGACGGTCGTTTGCCTAACGCATCAGACGTGTGTCCAGGATGAGGAGTGGACAGGGTTCCTACGCTATGATTGTCGGCATGGGATGTGCGAAGCACGGCATTTGGCTATGCTGCGCAGTCTGTTGGTGACATCAGGTAGTATGGTTGGCATAAAGGGCAGAAGCGCTATCGATCAGTGACGTCACGCCACACAGTGCGGACGCAATGGCACGAACTGGCCTTGCCTGCGCACTATGAGGCAGGGGGAAGTCACTATACCACTTTCGAGCCGAGGAAAGTTTTGACATTGAGCGAGTGATGGGCTTTAGCCCAACACGTACTGAAGGACAACCAGTATTTTGGATGGTTGAGCCGTCGAGGAGGACTGCAACCGATGGTGGAACTCGCAGTTGGTTGCGAGGCGATAATCACGACGAATATCGATACGGATATGGACATCATAAGAGTATTGCGCAGCTGCTCTCAGAGAGATGAGCGAGTCAGGACCAAAGAATTTTTTGTGTCGTCGAACTTTGTCTTTCATCTTCATCTATAACGGCATAGGAAAAATATTCCGGCATTCCCACTCAACACTGAGCTTCTTTTTTATCCGATGCAAATCACACTGACAATTTTCCAACCGCTCCCTTCATTATGGGAACATCGATACCACCCCTTGTCCTGTTCCCCGACACATCTCTCGCACACCCAAAAAATTTCCCTCCCATCACCTCAATGCTGTCACATGCTGCCTTGCGCAGTGGACTCAAGAGTATGCCCCGGCCCATCGATCGCATCATAGCCCGAGCCCTATAGAGCTGATTGAAACCGGGCCCCACGGTCGAATCCCCCACAGCGCAGTCCTCTGCCACCCAATCCTCCATCACCCAGCCCAGCACTCCCAATTGCGACCACCCCAGCCCTGACCTCAACCACCTCAACCACCACCCAAGCGCTGGCCATTGCCCAACCCCCTGAGCAGTCGGCACCCAACTCTCCGGGAGACAGGGACCAAGAGTCTGCTTCCAACCAAACGGAGTCTAATACCCAGCCGCACCGACTCATCTAAACACGCTGTCGTGGAGGGCTGTATGCACAAAAAAAGAAGTGTGGAGGGAAATGGGCTGAGCCCGAAATTTCTTGGCACGTCCGAGAAAATTATGTGACCAAGGAGGAAGCTTTCCGCTTTCTCCAGAAATTATCAAGTCCTGGCTTTATCTAGACAAATTGCTGGGTGTTGCAGGGATTTTTGAGAAAACCACACGCGACAGTCGGACTAAGACGAATGGGGCAGTCTTCAAGAGAAAAACTCGCCAGTGCCATGTCATGAATATTGAGGAGCCTATAATGATGAGAACTACAGGGTTGAGAGAATGAATAGGACGCACTGCTCTATCGGCTGACATAGACCATTAGATATTTGGGCATTAGGTAATGGCCTGGACACAAAAACAATGCAATTTTTTTTCTGGGCATATCAGACAGGTGCGGCTCACGATCCCCAAAGAACATAATGGCCATAGCTCCCAATGAACAGAGGCTGACGCTATCCGGGGTTGTCCATGTCGAGTCCATAAGGCATACACTGCATCCCGCACCATGACCATCAAGCACGCTGTGGCGGCAGAACTCCAGGCATCCTGACTCATAAATCGGTCGATGGAGCTGCTATCCATCCAGCTCGCGAAAAAACGATCGCTTCAGGGAACCACCAACAAGAAAGTATGAGCCATGCAGTAAGCTAAGTCCATTTTCTATTTTTTGGGAAAGCGATACATAGGCATAAATTCTCTCCAGGGAAAAGATGCCAAGGAGTTAGGTGTTTCAAGGGTACTCACGAGACAACGAGGTGACTTAGACAGTTTGGCCAGGTGGAAGAACAAAAGAGGTAAAATGACTCGGAGGTTTGTAGAGACATTCAAAGCCTGGATCAATGGGCACGTCCGCATCATCAAGATCGTTAATGACACGCTGATATTCTTGTGGGATAGTAAAGGCTAATGTCGAAGCCGCTTGGATCCCGACAAGAGAGGATAGCAACGCTTTACGTGGCCTTACGTACTGCTTGGAATTCGCCGCAACATGATTCCAAGGATTGGACACCCATTATCACAGCAAGCGTTAGCAATGACACCGAAGACATTCCAGGGTCTTGTCAACAACAATTCGCACAGATAAAGAGCCAGGCCCCATGTTCGGATCTCTTGGAGGAATTCTCGGACTTCAAAAATCGTCACTCATGTGAGTGAATTAGATGCCTGCGCAACGAGTATGACGGATGTCATTAAACATACATATCCAATCCAATCCGTTCCGATGATTCTTCGCCTATGGGATTTGTCGCCGGGTTCTACTTTTGATCTTATGTTCATTTTTGAAAATTACATTATTTCTTAGGACTACAGGCATGATTATTCAACATAACCAATATGAACAACCGAGTAGATGGCCGCCTATTAATTGCAGCAAACGCCCTTACTATTCCCTTTGCTTTTTGAGATACAATACTTCACTGGGAATTTATGATGACCGCAATACTCTTTCAAGTTTCACTCGAATGCTTGAGTTGATCAATAAGTATTGCGAATGCCGAATGTCATACTGGATAATTCTGATGTTTGGCAGGTCGGGTTCCATGGGGAGAGCACATGCTGCTTACGGATCCATCAATATGCCAGTGAGGGGGAGGGAGACTAGACTTCTGTTTGCACACACACACAACCACACAACGCGGATTCATATATATTTAGCGGTCAGCGTTCAAATGTGACATGATGAAGTCCGAATGTACCCGGGCGTTCGTCGTTAAACGTTTAAACTGACTTGTGAATGCAAATAGCGAAGTGACAATCCGGAGAACAAACGGCCTTGTCGCATTCTAGACGTACAGAACCAAAAATATTCGCAGGACCCGTGCTACGGGATCGGAGTAGTGGGAAGGTAAAAAAAATGCTGCTTGTCGGGTATGTAGAACTTGTACTCTGGGGTGGTAGAGATAAATACATAAATAGAGAAAAACGAGTAAGCACCCGGATCATTGTCCTGCCAGAACATAATAATACGAGCCGAACATATAACGAGTGACGAGCCGAAAGAAGGCTGACCAGCTGTGCCACGCCCCTGACCCGCTAATGATAACTCCCCAAGAATCTGGAGTACGCAAAAAGTGCGCTCCCAAGGAATATAGACCTAACCAACGATGATCCCTCCGTTCGATAATTATCCAACGTTAACGTGGGTGTTGTTGGTCCATTGACACCGGAACTTCGCTTTGGTAGAGGGACCTTAGCGACAACGGATGATGATGAGGTCATGGTTGTAACTCTCAATTCTGATGAAGATTGGGTTGATGGAGGCGGAGACGGAGCAGTAGCGGCGGTGGACGTGGCAGTGGACGTGGAAGTGGACGCGGACAGCCAAAGACGACGCAATGTATGTGAGAGCGACAAGTCGGGCGCATACGGCCACGGAGCTTCCTGTCCATCTCGTGCCTGGATCAGCTTGACGCTGATAGTATTAGCTGGCGGGTGGTGATCATGCGACTGTGACCGCAACCACGGCGATACGCAAGAGCCGCCGCTGTCATTCCCATTGCTGGCACCGGATCCTCCTCGCGTACCATAACGAACTTCATACTGAACCGGATCATCAGGGAAGTAATTCCGTACGAAAGACGCATGTTCCAACCCCATCGTTACTTGTTCCTTGATTCGTTGGACAATTCTCCATTCAGCGGCTGCTACCTCCTCTAGAATGCGTCGGCGTACATCGATAGCCGCCCTAAGAGCTGGTAAATCCGCTCTGGCAGTGTCAGGTGTAGAAATAGGAATACGAGTACGAAGTGCTTCGAATTGGGTATAGGTCATGATGGAAGAAGGAAGATAAAGTCGTTTCAAATTCGGCATCTCCGCCAAAGCGGTGAAAAGGTCCTATGTAAAAATAAGACACGCCCGCGCCATCCTAATATAAGCTCCCCATTGCAACATATGATGAATGAATATGGATTACCGACCTTTTCTGAAATAGGCTCGGAGCTCGAACAATAATAAATACCGTATCCGTACCATCGCGTGCGAAGATCCAAAGCTTCCAGTAAGGGTAACATCTCCCCCAAAACTTTCACAAACGCTGCGCTCCCACCACCAGACTCTCCCACCATATACCGATCATTACGTCCTCCGTCGGCCGGCGGCAGTGGCACGTCGCCATGATCGTCATCCTCGTCCTCGTCCTCATCCATTGTTGTATGTGCAAGACGAAGACTATCGGGGGAAAAAGCCAATTCCCGCAACTTGGGCACACTTCGTAAGCCCTCAACCAATTTCGCATTCGCATCCATGGAAAACCCCGCAGAAATAGACATGCGCAACACTTGGAGGTTAGGAGCCAATTGCAATAATGGGTTAACATCTTCGAAACCATCCGCCTCGATAACTTTGAGTTTGGGGAGTGTTAATGATTGCTCGGAATGAGGGAGTGTTAACTGTTTAGCAAGTTCGAAAGATCTTGCTAGAGGGATGCCTTGAGCCCTCCTAAGACCAAATTTTCTCCATGCGGATCTCCGGCCTGTATATTCTGCAACGCGGATGCGTAACGTGTGAAGCTGAGGTGTACACCGTAAAACGGAAACGAAGGGCAAAACGACGGCGACGGCTGTTGAACTGCCACTGTCTTTCGTATCCAAATGGTCCAAATGAAAATCTGCACTCCTTCTCCAAGCTTCTAGGAATTCAGCATCCATGAATAGGTTTAGTGAACTAAAAAAAATCCAAACTGTCTCGTTAGCTGCTTGCCCCCACAAAGAGTCACTGGATGAACTGACCGAACATGACGAAGGAGAGCACTTGAACAGCGACCAAGTGCGGCAAGATGATAATCTGACGTAATGGGTATATCTCGAAACAAGTGAGGAATGCATATGGCGCGCATGTGACGACATGTAAGGGACAAGGCGGCAAGAGATGTACACTCGACGGCGTAATCAAAACTCGGATGTCTCTCAGACACATATTCAGCGATCAAAGAGAGCAACTCGTTCGGTAGTCTCAACAGAGCTAGCTGCTGGAGTAATGGAAAGGTAGCGAAGTTGTTGTTGGGTTTGGATCGAAGGGCTGCAGCAGGCGCAGGCGCAGGCGAAACACCGCCATGGGGGCCCGAGACGTCCACGGGCATGAAGAAGAAAGAACAAGTAACAACGGGTAGTAAAGGAAGGAGACACCAGGACTACGAAGAGGAAACATTATATCTCTGGGGAAAGGACATAATCATTTCCGGTTCGGCCGCCCCACAAACGCGGTTTGTGAGCCTTTAGAAGAAGAAGAAGCAAAGAGAACTGAGCCAGGATCCGGAAAGATTTGCAACACAGGGCTAACTGCAGGATCTCTGCATAGATGCGATGACCAGAAACAGAAGTGTATGTATACTTGGGCGCGGAAAATTGACTTGCAGCCCTGCCAACCTTGATATCACCGGGTGTTGAAGACACTTCATCATTATCACAGCTGTACTCGATACCGGCGGTGGGCTAGAGACCTGAAAGAGCCCGGGGTCGGGCCCGGGGGGGCGCAGCCACTCGATGTTCCGTAAAAAATATGGCAATCGCTAGTATGTTTTTGTAAACCAGCTAGCGTCCTTCGCGGCGAAGGGGTTGCAGGTAATATTCAACACCGCTCGGATCTTAGAACGACAAAGCTTGCTATGAAAAATACAACACAAAAAAGTGCTCGTGACCGGATCCTAATAATGAAATCCTCGGATTTCATCATCTCGCATCTTATTAGATTGACCATATGTATAGGGGGACTCGCATTGAAGCTGAACCGCCACATACGCGGTAAACAAGGTCCAGTCTGTCGCCAGTGGGCGGGTCCGTATCATTATCCTAAAACTCAAACAAATCAAGAATTAATATCGTACAAGGAGATCCTGAAAGGGGTGCGGGGAAAAACTAAAAACCGAAGTGCAGGAAACATGATTAATTACTCGAGGTAGGTCGATGCAAACGTCGGAATAAGGCAGAAAGTGTGGCGCCTCCTTCAAATGCAGCCCATCTGTGGAAATGAGCATCGCATAAGCAGCAACATCGCAAACCCGGTGGACGCGGCTTACTCTCCCGCAGCAATTTCCTGGCAGCAAACATCAAACTCCTCAGACCTCGACACTTGATCCCAGTGGTCCACAATGTAATCTTCGAGGAGGCCTCTGAGTTCAGAAAAGAACTGTGTAGCGAGTAAAAGCGGAAAAGCTGTTTGAGGCGTGACGGTGTTCATTGTGTGTTCAACTGCTAGGCTAGCCAAAGGCTTGATTCCGTAGCGATGGGCAACGAGATAAATCGAGAGAGCAGATGCGGGTGGAGGGGCAGGCGTGGGATGCGGATGCGGATCATTAGTTGGGGGGGAGGACCGCTTCACCCGTGCACTGCGTGGTGATGCGGCAGAAGACGACGTTCTTGTCCCTGACGTGTGAGGGGCGCCGGCACTCGCTGAAGCACCCTCATGGGACCGAGCAGGAGGCGACGTTGTGGGGCCTGCCCTTCGACTGGAGACGGCCGATACCGGAGAAGAATTCGAAGAAGCCCAAGTTCCGCCCGGAGAAGGCCTGCTTACGCGACCAGTCTGGGACGAAGGTGACGGCACTGCAACACCCACGAGTTGTCATCTGACGGAGGCTTGGTAATCAGGCGTCGCTTACCTGCTGGGGATCGCCCCGGAGATCGCCGCATATCTACACCCGCTTCAGTACTGGCCACACTCGAGTTATCACCAGTTGTCGGACTACTAGCTATCAGCGTCGTTACTTCCCACTCATTTTCGGCTTCAAGGTTGAGCCAGTTCGCAGACCATCCTGCTCCCATCGCATTCACAGCATCGCGAGGGTCATCCACTTCCTTGAACAGCAGCCAGTTTGCGTACACCCACCTATACAAAAACACCCGTGAATACCAATCTGGAACCACTTTTCAACCACTCACTTTAAGAGCCAATAAATTGTTACAAAATCAGCCTCCTCTAGAACTACATCATGCACGCGCCGCTCACTGGGCGCCGATGGGTGATATCCTTCCGCGAAGCGGGATGAGAGCATCGTATTAAAATATTCCGTTCTCCTTTTTAAGAGATCACTATGTGCAAATATGACCCGTTTGCGAACTTGTTGGGGACGGTAAGCGAATGAAGTAGCAGTGTCAGAAGAACGAGTATCAGAGTTTGAAGGACGTTCGTTCGGAAGCCGCTCGATACAAACGAAACGGACGTCACCAGTGTCTGTGGAAGTAGCGCAAGGGATAAGTGGATGACAAAAGACCAAAGGCAATCCTTACGAGAGTTATCGAGAGAATCCTCTATCCCTTGCAGTAAATCCCGAGGAACGTAAAAAGCAGATGGGTGTTGAGGAAATTGAGGGCCAACAGGTGTATAGATCTGGATGCATAGAACAAACATGTCCGAGGCACTAATCCGCGGATTTTCGAGTAAAGAGGAAAGAGTAGGTAATGGACATTCTAAGTACGGTGAGAGAGGTTTCAAATACTGTGAAACAAAAACCGCTCCAAGAGAAGAAGACACACACCCCAAACTTCACTGTTATCCCGGAACGTGAATTGATCCCAAGTCTCCCATACCCATTCACTTGGAGCTCCTCGTTCGCCAACGCTAGTTTCCTGTGATTTTATAGCAGCCATGATCGTTGTGGGTTCATTTGCAGAATTTGGGGGTCCAGTCACAAGTGAGGTAACATTCATCCACAATCGAGGAACTTCCGTGGAAACCACCGAGTCGGTGGTGGTGGTGACGCCACCGCTCGTGGTGCTCCCAGATGAACGAGAGAAGAGGAGGGTACTGGGGTCCAATTGTTCCGAGGATTCTACAGAATGTGTTCGTCCTGCCATAACGAGATTAGTACTGAAGCCTCATGGGTACTCAAACACAATTTCGAGAATTTAAAATAAACAAGTCGTTTCACGCACTTATCTCAACCATCCAACGTCTATCACCAAGGAAAGGTGCCTCTTTCAAAGCAGGATGGGTCGGTTCGTCGTCTTCTGCAACAATATTTCGTTCGCTTCCGATACGCGACTCAGAAGAACTTGCATGTTCGACTATATCACAAAGTGATGAAACTTGCTCAATGTTCCATTCGAATGCCTGTTATGTAAGGTGTGGGTGCTGAGTTGTGTCCGTCAGGGACAACCTTTCGGGGCGGCGTCTACTGACAGTAAAAGTCCACTGCCTAGTATTCTGGTCATCCACAGCATTTGAACCGTAATGAGATCCCATGTTCGGGGTCGTAGATGTCCACCTGTTGCTGCCGATGCTAGTAGCCAACCCTGTCGCCGGCGAGGGTGAACTACTCTGTCCCAAGTTGAACGAAGAAGTCGACGAAGAATGACGATGAGCATCCATCCAATGTGCTCTTGACATTGGAGAACGATACACTGATGATGACCTAGGAATGCTGATGGAACGCGACATGATGGTCACCCGTCCCTCAAGCCTGGCAGGGTTACCAGCCTCTGCCCAATGAGCCGTCGCGACGCGGAGCTCCAAACCCGGGAGCTGTAAATCACGTGTTCAAACAAGTCAATTAAATCGATCGTCCTAAGCTAATCCGCCCCATAGGAGTCCAACACTGTTCTTTCAACTCTCTCGCCACTCGTTTGATCCAAAACATGAACAGGATTTTCGGTTCCTCTGCATCCAAAGCACCAAAACCATCTCTCAGCGATGCCATCGCCTCTGTCAGTGGATTGTACTGCTTCTCCCACTTATTTGGGGCGTCGCGCTAAAGGGGGAGATTTTCAAGACAGACCAAAGGGCAGCAAGTGTGGAGGTAAAGATAGCCAAACTCGACGCTGAGCTTGTACGTTACCGCGACCAAATGGCCAAGATGCGGAATGGACCCGGTAAGGTAACGAATGTCATGGATACAATAATCAATCGGATCTGTTACTCATTCTGGGCACCCCTTATTTAGAATGCAGTTCAGGAGAGGGCCCTCAGAGTTTTACGCCAAAAGAAAATGTTTGTTCGTTTATGGTTTGGGGGGCATTAAGGTGACCTGGCCAACAAAATAGGTATGAGGCGCAGCTGGCACAGCTCACGCAGCAGTCATACAACATGGAAAGGTTAGTTTTCGTTCCTCATTCGTAGTCATAGAAGTTGCTTATATATGTACAGTGCAGCATTGGCGACCGAGAACCTTCGGAATACGATGGCAACCGTGGACGCTATGAAGACTGCTAATAAGGAGATAAGGAAGCAGTAAGCATTATAACGTGCATTTCCAGAGTCGCGCAAATGTTGATTGAGCTCTTTATCCGACTTGGGGTGGCACATGGTGGTTAGGTACGGGAAGATTGATGTGGACAAATTAGAGGTGAAGGCCCAATTTCGAAACCGCACATACACAATGAATTTGTCCTGACACTGACAGGAAACAATAGTCGATGCATGATGAAATGTCGGATTTACTTGAGCAAGCAAACGAGATCCAAGAGACTATGGGGCGTTCATATGCCGTACCTGATGAGATCGATGAGGCAGATTTGGAAGCTGGTGCGTCACACCCTTCACTTCCCCTCCTCCCCGGTGTGCAACGAAATGAAATCATCATCGTCTCATATTTGGATGTCCCACTTGTATGACCCGACAGAACTCCAAGCATTAGATGTCGAAACGGAAGAGGATCCATCTGCTTATTTGGATACCGTCCCAGATTTCCTTGATGAAGCTCCAATAGCGGTACGACAGCACATCGTATTCCTTTCACAACACATCCTGACTTTCCCAATCCAGGAACCAAAAGAATCTCAAAAGGCAGCAGTAACGAACACTTGAGGTTGAATGGTCCAAAGGGACGTAATTGTTTGCACTACAAACGGACTTAAAACAAACTTTAGATACATTCACATAATAACTGTATATTTGTTCCACGATGAAAAACCCGGCGACGAGGTCAGGAGTTGATCCAACCGCGTCACTGATCACTGCCGATGATGCGGAAAGGTTGCAGTATCATCCACTGTTGACAATCTGAAAAAGTAAAAGCTCGATTTAGCCACATCCCCAGCAGAAAACCAAAAATCAATTGGGGTGAAAACCGCCCGCCACAACTGAAGCGAAGGGAACTCAGATACCGCTGTAGTCTAGTGTTTTTCAGCACGATATATATATCTGCTCAGCTGATGAATGTATCATCACCGTTCGTTCGCGAGTGTGTGGAGGGGGTTGCTTATTGTAAGAAGTGCATGGGGCCAGACTGAACACTTACCTCGATATAACGAGAAGTGGTGGGAAGAAGTGCAAGAGAACTGAAGAGAAATTTCTTCCTTTTCTACTTTTTGGATCCGATACAAATAAATATCAACATCGATGCTGGCCCCGCACAAACGTGAGAACATCTGCTAGCCAGACCCCGGTCCCCTACTTGGCTTTGTGTACATCACTTGGCCTGCGTTATTCATCCCCATGCAGCCATTGCCCCTCCCACCTGTATAATACCCGAACGGGTAATTTGAACCGATTGTGTTACGGATAAAGCAGCCGTATCTACCCGTGCTTCGCGCAAGCAATTTGAGATCGTCTACACTTCCACAGATAATAAAGCTGTTGTTGTTGTCCCCCATATCTCAAACCATAACCGCCATGTCGAACTTGAAGATTTTCGTACCCCCAGCCCCAAACGCAGCTGTCTCTGGTATCCTAGGCACCCGCGGGATGGAGATCGTCGATGTACACGGGAATAAAGTCGTCCTCAAAGGAGCTGGTCTAGGAGGTCACTTGAACATGGAAAACTGTGAGGAGCGAGCCTCAGCAGGGCTATCATCGCATTTTTCTGTCAAACCTTCCTCCCTTACTTACTGAATGAAGTCGTACGCAGTGACTCGCTCTCGTGTCCCCGGAATCGGTCCACCCCTGATGTAAGCGGCGGCTAGATCACAGGATACGCTGGTCATGAACAAGGAATGAGACGGGCGGTTCAGAAGGTACTCGGGGAGGTGCGTGACTGCACAGATCTTCTGTCATTTCACCAACTTTCACAACCCGGGCGGATCGCAGCACAAATCCAACTATTTTTTTCACAAGGTATGACACTCACCCCTCGCTCATTGCAGAAAAGTTTTTCTCACCTGTGTTCTCAAAGCTCCTTGAATACTTCTTCGATGATCTGGACGCCGAATTTTATGCGTCTTTGGGGTTCAATTGTCTGAGGTAGGTTTAGCACACCCACCACGAATAAAAAAAAAAACACGACATTCGGGCAATAGAATACCTTTCAACTACCGGCACTTTGAAGACGACATGAATCCGGGTACTTATGACGAGCGTGGCTTCCTCTGGCTTGATCGAATCATCAATATTGTGAGTAAATGGTCCAGGAGCATGTCAGGGTATCTTGGATCGACGGCTCCCTCCCAGTGTGCACGCCATGGTATCTACACCGTTCTGGACATGCATACCGTTCCTGGTGGTGAGCACGTTGAGTTTATCTCGTGCTTCACAAATACTGCTGAACACATTGATTCTCAGCCCAGAATCAAAACTGGCACAGCGATAATCCAACGAACACGGCGTTGTTCTGGGAGCACATTGATTTCCAGAATCGCGCTATTCGTTTGTGGGAAGCCTTGGCTGCCCGTTATAAAGGTAATACGTGGGTAGCGGGCTACAACCCGCTTAATGAACCTGGGGACGAGTATCATTATCGTTTACTGAACTGGTACGAACGGGTCGAGAAGGCCATCCGAGGGGTAGATCCTGATCATATTTTGTTTTTGGACGGAAATACGGTTGGTGTTGAACTGTTTTTGGACTTCCTCTTTGCTAATATTCTCGGAGCAGTATGCTGTACGTCCATGATAAATGTGGTTAACGATTGTTTTTGGCTAATGCAGCAGACAGCTTGACTTCTCCCAGCAAGTGGTCATCGCCCTTGTGACGCTAGAGTCCTATTCAACACGTTTTCTCGTAGTTTTAAGAGCCCTCTGCCCAATTCTGTCTACGCGATTCATGACTACTCAATCTATGGATTTCCAGGGAGTGAGCCGTACTCGGTAAGACCGTGACTTTGCGAGATGTTGGGGTCTTGACACAACATGGCATCAGGGTTCGGAACGACAGCTGCAGCATTTGTGGGACCAATATGATCATAAAGTCGAATATCATGGCAAAGCGAACGTGCCAATCTGGAATGGAGAATTTGGTCCTGTGCGTTGGTTCATTTCGTTCAAACTGTTGGCTGTCTCTTACTAAGTTTTTACTCTTAGGTATATTCATCCCCTCGCGATGGGGATAACTGGCAAGAAACTAATCTACAGCGGTATCACCTTCTCAAGGACCAGCTCTCCATCTATGCGCAGGAAGGAATATCGTGGTCTATCTGGCTTTACAAAGACATCGGCCTCCAAGGCATGGTGTAAGCTAGCTTTTGCACACTCCTCAGCCGCTTCCTTCAACTAATGTTTACAGCTACGTGTCGCCGGAATCTCCATATCTAAAACGCTTTGGAGAATTCATAGCTAGGAAGAGGCGGTTGGCTGCCGATGAATGGGGGGCAGATGTGACAGCTGTTGAGAGTGTTTTTGAGCCTCTTATAGCTTGGTTCAATGAACAAGTCGGGGTCTGGGGTAATACCTGAAATGTGCTTCTGCTAACCCGCTTCTTCGGTCTCCAGGTTCCCAACTTTAATAAGTATCCTAGCGCATGGGGTACAAAGAAACATTGTGCGTTTACCCTCCGGCTTGTTGGCGGTAGCTTCTTCTGATGCTTTCCCAATAGTGGTATTGAATGCCACTTACTACTGAGATTCAGTGTCAACCTACCTTGTCTTGTATAGGAACGAGTGACTCGTCATATCTTATTGAGCGACTCCTTGTGTGGGGAGTACGCTGAGCGTGAGTCCCCTTCACTGCATTCACCCTGCATCTTTACTGATTATGTTCGTCGTAAGTCTTCCGTGGTTTGACTATGGAGGAGTTGGATGCCTTAGCTGCATCATTCAAATATGAGAACTGTGTCCAGCGGCAAGAACTGAACCAGATTTTGAAAGCAAATTCGGGCAAAGAATAACAGTGACCATGAGATGATGAGATGGGATCTCTAAGTCATACACTGTATCCTACTTGTACAACAACTATCCAAGTCCAAGACTATGGTAGCTCAAAAATGAATTGGGAGGCTTTGGTACCATGGTCCCGCTGAAGGGATAAGGACATTGTACTTCTCTCCGAACTCAGTGCCAATATGCTCCGACGTACAAATTTTCCCTCCACACAAATTAAAACCCCCTTTACAAAAGAATCTTAGTAGTTTTCTTCTAAATACGAGTTTTAAACCATCACTTGTTCCTTGCGCTTATTCTACAATGTATTTCTCCATCCGAAACACAGCCCGAAACCAATGTTGACACTCGGTTATATAACGTCTCTTAATCAACACTGGTCAGTCTCTTTTCAACGATCGCCGCTGATCTCGTACCTCCATTAAATTACAAACAGCCACTATTGTTGCGTGATCATGCATCAGGGGGATAACAAATCAGACTCATCATCATCAGAAACCCGCCCTTATCAGCGTTGTCCGAATGCTTTCGTGGCTGCCAGTAATCGAAAGTGAAACCAGGTGCATAATCATGAAACAAATAGACTCACGATGTGGAATACTCTTGTTTGAGATACAGTTCCCTACCACGTTCATTCACGATACCAATTGCCGCATAATTCCGCATGCTGAGAATGTGTCACCAGAAGAACACAAGTGAAGTGGAATGAAGATGTACCATTTCTAGCACCTTTCGCTCAGCAAGGCGTGTGGAAACAAATGTCTCCCATTCCACGTCACTCAGTTTGTTCAGCTTGATTTTTAAGCCTTCAAGCTCATCCACAGGACAAATAGTTCTTGGTCTATGGCCAGGTGCAGGCCATCCTTCGAAAATTCTTCCTAGTATTTTTGCTGGGTGTAGTTTGGGTGGGCTCAACTCACGGTTTATGGTATCTTGGTGTAGGATCAACCGACTACATCCTTCATGTCTCTCCGCAATTTCTACCTCTTCTCGATGAATCCATACGTCGCAAAACCCGGAATGTTGTGGACTGGATGCATGTTAAACATAGAATACGGGGAGCCACCGAAAAGCGACATACAGTTGATTATAGCATCTTCTACACCAACGCCTCCGCAAGCGCCAGCTCACTTTGAAACAAGTCGTTGTGGTACCGCAACTCTTAGAGACCCGCGCCATCAGAGAGAGTTTTCCGGTGTAAAACATGCAGAAATAGATAGTACCATACCTGGCATGCATTCCCAAAAGCCAGTACGGCATATTGCTGTTCTGTAAGGTCCTCGTGAATGGGCGGCAGATTAGGGACATAGCTCTCTCGCGACACCCGCCACACCCATGAACGCTCTGGCTTTAACAGAAGACGTGCGAATATTTTTGCAGTACGAGCGAGAGACATGAGACTTTGTGGATCGAGGAAACAGCAGATCTGTCAAACACAGTCTAAAGGCAAGCTTCCCTATAGAAAACTTCATACACGCACCTCTGTGATGAGTTCAAGTGGAATGTTGTCTACTAACCGACGAAGTTTTCCCTTGCGTCGGCGGACTATTTCATGAAATACAAAGGCAGATCATAGATCAAACGGCTACAAAGCCTGGAGGTGTGTTGGAAGCTCACTATTTACACTGGTCCAGATGCCTTTCACACATCGTGCTAACATATTAACGCGAGCTCAAGCCAGGTTGACAGTTGTCGGAAAATTCCCTAGATCGTTAATATTGCTATTTTCAGAATTCCGGGCAAACTCCGTAATTCAAAAAATTGAGTTTACACTGATGCTCTCGGCCGATCTCCACGATTCAACAAGAGCGCTGAGGTAAGGAAATGTAGCCATGTGTGTTATAGATCAGTTTTTAAAGTGTCCCAAATACAGTGAGTTTAAAAATACAGCCCGACAGCACAAATGGGTTTTCTGTTTGCTTTTATTTCAATTGTGTCGGTGGTGCGACTCCGGAATATGCTGGGTACATCCTGAGTCAAAGCGAAGAGTTATGAATCAGAAGCCCGACCATTCCTAGAAATCGCCTATGCTGCAGTTTGAATTTATTCGTCTATTCGTATCTCTCTTTACTGTTGCAGCTTACTTAGTACTGTCGTATGCTTGACTGGTTATAAGTCATGTTTCAGACTTGCAACAGTCTGTATGAAGTTACTCTCTACAATGTGCTATCGCGCTCGCGCGTCTACGTAACGCACCCCCGCTTCGCTGCTGGGCTTGTACTCACATGCACTGTGTGCATGTGGTGTCTTTCCCTTCCCGCTGATTTCATGCTACCATCATGATCTGCGATCATGTTTCGATCAAGGTTACGCTTGGTCATAACTTACGTTCAGTTGAGCGATCGCTCCTCTGATTCCTCTAACTATTCCGCCGCCTAGCTTCGGTCCAATGGCAATACAGAGGGCCGGTATCAATCCAAGCTTATATGATCCTCGATGTATTGTAACTGAGCTAGGGATCTAGTGGTCGTGCATACAGCGGTACCGGTCGTTGGCAGCCATCGATCACGTTCTTTACTATGTACAAAAAGCGGCCCTCTAATACGATGCATGTACCAGCTGTTCGTGGGTAGTATTGATAGAAAAAGAGTCAAAATTGGAAGAGCAGCGGGCGCTTGCCGCGACAGGCGGCCAGTTGGACCCTTATCTGTGAGTGGTCAAATTCATAGTGGTTGAATTGGGGCACCTAAGTGTGTCAATTACCGTACACTGCTTGATAAACTAACGACGGTAACCTTCGATTCGATGCTATACTGACTAGCTAAGGAAAAAAAAAATAACGATGTCTTCAGTTCAAGTGTGTGGGAGTTTACTGCAATTGGGGATTGGGGAGCGGAAGACATTTACTTCAGTCAAAGACAAAAAAAAAGCACACTCTGTACGATAGGATAAGGGTAAATCTGAAGAAACCTTTCATCTGCGACCATTTATATCACCAGGCGAAACAGAGGGGCACTGCCCCTCAGGCGGACTACAACTCGTTGCCAATCCGAACAGTGGTGATTGGCGAGCCGAGTGAGAGGAGCCGAGAGAAAAGATAGAAAGATGGGTATGAAGGCACGAGAAGCGAAGTTAGAAGTCCGTGTTGACAATCGCGGCACCGCCGGAATGGCTTGGTGTACGAGTGCCGCAATCTGAGGGCAGCGGAGGAGAGGGGCTATGGGGGCGCTGTGGAGGATTGGATGACTATGTGTAGGAATGATACAGTGTGTGCAAATAAAAGATAGTATGGATCGTAGAATAAGGAATGTAAGACACAATGAGTCGCGCGAATAGACCAGGAGGAATCGACGTTTGAGAATACATGCAATCCCACATGGACCAAAGGAATTGTTAGTCATAGTCCAGCCTGTGCGCGGCAACAGCTTGGCTCAACGCAAGGGTATCCAGAGTTGCTCTTTCTCCACCCACATCCCGATGTTCCTCCGTCCTCTCGCTACTCGTTTTTACATGCTCCACAGGCGTCACCATGTCTTCCCCTACCTCTCCTGTGCCTCCCACCTCAGCTGCAATCGGCTGCTTCGTTCTCGCATTCAAACTATACTCTTGATCATCTGGGTGGCCGAACAACCCTGAGTTCAGAGGCGGCATCTCTGGAACAGCCTCAACACTTCCATCATCGAACTGGAAATGGAACCCGCCCAACACACTTGACGCGGTAGACACTCGCGACAGCGCGTTCGTAGCACGAGACGCCCTCCTTGGGGCTTCCTTCGAAGGGGGCACGAGCATGGTATTGTCTTCCGATGAAGGGACATTGGATGGGAAAGCATTATGGGAGACCATAGGGAGGCGAGAGGTAGGTAGCGGAGGAGCGGAAGAAGCTGTGAAACTCGATCCGTTGCTTTGGCGATTCGGGTCGAACACGACGCTCAACGGAGACTTAGCATGAGAGCTCGGCAATGGAGAAGGGGGAACGAACGGAAACGCGGCAAGTACGCTGTCGGCACGAGATGCCGAACTGATAAAGGATTCATTAGAGTTTCTCCGTGTGGGTGGGGGAAGGCCAGGGTACGGGTCCACAGCAAAAGAATGGTTAGACGACGGGGAACTGCGTGCTGTGGTGTGAACAGAACCGGGAGGGGTACCCACGCCCGCACCAGGCGCCAGAGGATGACTCAGGTCCTCAAGAGACGTTCGCGCCCCATCCATCCTGAGAGGCGAACCCACCGTGGTTGCCGACTTCGGCGACAACGTTCTAGCAGGAGTCATCCTACCCGCGACACCGAAGGTCATGTTTGTTGCGGCTGTGTTCTGACTCCTCATGCTCGCCTGATCCGCAAAGGGATCTTCAGAAATAGGAGGGAACGTGGTACTTCTGCTGAAGCTCGTTGACAAAGGCGATGGACCAGGTTGTACGCGGCGCGTCTGCGACATCGACCTTGGCGTCGTCACTGCAGAACCAGAGGTGGAACCAACCTGAACAACCTCTGCGCGAACAGCACCAATGACTTGCCTTGAGCCGCCAGTCACAATTGTGGGGCTCTCATACAGTGCATCCATAGCTGAGCTAGCAGCAGAATCAACTGAGTCCACAGTGAACCCGGAACGTTGTGAGGGAGCATAGTTCAGTCGTGGAGGCTCGAGGGATTGATTCGACAGAACGCGGTCTTCCTTGAGCTGGTTCTCGGGTGAGCGTTGAGGGCGCACAGGAACCGTAAATGTCGTCCCAGTGGGACTAGTACTCTCCATACCGATGGGGATAGCTTGGCGAGAGGAGGGACGCGACCCCGAATGGGAAGATGTTGTATCAGAGAATGGATCAGCACCCCTGTTATTTTCGACGTCCAAACCGCGCGTGGAGGGCATTCGGGATACACGCGTACTTGCTGCTGCAGATGCAGGTCTAGTATTTGGATCAGAACTCATTGCATTTTTCTCTTTCGTAGCCGCTGGCTCCGCAGTACTTCGTCTTCCCGCCCTACGCTTCCACCAAAAAAAGGCACCTAGAACAAGAAAGAGGAAAACGAGAGCACCAACAATGGAGCCGATGAGTGCACCCTGAGATGCGCCTCCTGAGCTTGGCTTTGCGCGGTCGACGCAAGAGGCAACTGCGCAGGAGTCGCACGATCTGGATAAAGGATGAGCGTCCTTCGCAATCAGTGACAGCCTGCCCGAACTACTCACTGGGACGTAAGGATGCAGTTTTGATTCGAGTTACAGTTGCAAGCGGGCGGTCTTGATGGGCACGATACGCAATCACGGCGGAAAAGAGGGTTGGGCAGAGGATGGATATGGTGCATTGAGACAATTCAAGGAAATCAAACGAAAATATGGGACCTTACGGATCCACAGATATAAGAAAAGGAGTGGGGGGTGCTCAGAGAAGCGCTTTGGCACAATCGTAGGGAGGCCGTTGTCTTATTGAGCAAGTGTGGGGAGAAGAAATGAGTGGTCGTGGTTGGGTCTGGGCGTGCGCGCGGCAACTTCCGCGAACCTGTATGGACTTATATCACAACAAACGATGATCCCATGGATCCATGCCCGAATCAATCCCAAATTGAGAGAGAGAATCCTTCAACGTCGTTCATGCATCACTCATTGATGTGTGTAATGTAAAATTTACAGCACTCCTTGATTAATCATAGACTATGGTGCCGAGCGCTTCCTAGACACGCATCCCCACACACAAGCTCCGTCAAGACGCTTGCAGCCTTACAGATCATGATTTCGCCTCCGCGCACAGTTATGTGTCTCTTTTCGCCTGCCATCATCATGCCCTATCTAAATTTGATCCGCAGATCGCCGAACAATTTCTATTTTGAACACAATGCCAGCGAGGAGCGCCCGTAGGTACCTAATTCTATCCGTTTTCCTCTCAGGCTTCGTTTTATTCACACTACACAGTATGTCCCTGCAAACACCTGTCAAAACCGGTGCCCCTGCAAAAAATCTGTCGCAGCATGCTTTATACATAAATAACGCAACAGCCTTCAGGGTAATTTGAAGAAACGGCACCTGAATAGGTTTAGCTCATCGGACAACGAAATTCTGGACAGAAATTATCTCCATTGGGACGCGAAAGAAGCTTCCATCAGTGGAAATTATGTAATTCGCTATCTCTTGACTCGCTTTGGGTTCGTGCACATGGTTCGAATCTTCTCTCTTCGATTTCCGGTACCTTACGATGAGTCTCGAACGGCCTCTTTCGTGCTGAAGGCTCAGCTACTACTCCCCTCTCAGGTGCGTGAGATCGACACAATGTGCTGGACTCCAGTTTTCGTACGACGATGGCATCAATGAAGCGGAGCTCAAATATTTATCGCTATGCGCGATAGGAAGCGATCTAGGCCTTGATTCCATGGCAACACGTTGTCGCGAATATCCGCGAACTCGGCTGACCCATGGCTCTGTTCTAAGTATGAAGCATTAGATTTGAGTCGGTGTCTGACATGGGTTGACTCGGCAACTGGTACAGAGTGTACATTTTCGGTGCGAGCTTGATCATGCAGCTGTTGTGGTCCCAACGACAGTTCGAAATGGAGGAACGAACCGTAGAACAGCTCGCTGGTCTCCCCCGATTGATTGAGGTACATGTCAGACTAACATGCGCGGTATTTGGGTATGAGTCTGGTTTTGCCCATGAATACCAAAGGAGGGATAGATAAAATACACTCCCATAGAGCACATAATTAGTGGTGTGCATATTGAAGAATGGACGATGCCCGGGATCTCCCTTGGAAGGGCTAATTACCGGCTCCTTTGATCTTATGTAGAAAGCTCGTCCCCAGGATTAATATATTACAACCATAATCCGCATGATCCACATAACTGACTTTGGGCCGAAGGAAACTGTTCCACAAGTTCATTAGGAACAGCATGACACTAATTATAGATCTGATCTGGGCTAGCTCACTGAGATACACGTAAAACCTCAGTGAAATGTTGAGCAAGCCGAAACTGACATCGATAATCTAGTGGCTAGAGCCGTGCATTCGCCTTGACTTTCGCCCCGGCCTTCCTCCTGGCCCACTCCCCTTTCGCCAAAGCACGAGGTCCAATCTTGGGTACCTTTCCACCAGCATTCGCTTCCAAAAGTTTGTCTACAAACATCACCATAACTGGTACTGCGAATGCCGGACATCTGCAGTAAAGGATGAGTCAGAAAGTCCCCCATCTTCGAGAGAGTGAAATACACACTTCTCCTTGGTCAAAGCGACCAATTCTTCCTCCGTGGCGGTTCTTCCGGGCTTGAGATGAATAACTGCTACTGGCAATTCGCCTAATCTCGAATCGGGGACGCCAACGACGATCGCCTGCAACACCCTCTCATCGTCATATAAAGCATTCTCAACTGCGACAGCATCCTGTCAGGGGGGATAAAGGTTGCGCATCAGTTTCATAACCTGCGAACTTGGGCTATTGATGACTAAGGTAGACTTGACGTACGATATTCTCGCCCCCTCGAATGATTATGTCCTTCGCTGCAGGTCGAGAAGGGAAATCAGAAGGTTCCCCGACATCCTCAAATGAGAGCAGAAGCCGCGAACCTCGTCCTGAAATGTATAAGAAGCCCTCTCTATCAAGATACCCTATATCTTCCGAGTTGAACCAACCGTCTGGCGTTAAGACCCTCCTCGTTGCCTCTGAAATGGGTTAAACTCCACATCAGCAACGGATATGTTACGAATGCGACCGCTAGCTTCATACCTGGATTCTTCCAATACCCGATCATGACTGTTGGTCCTCTTCTAAACAGCGCAATCCAACGCGATGTGAATCAGCATTCACAACACGATGGACACCCAGCTTTGAAAATCTACCACTCACATCCAAACTTCTCCCACATGTCCAGTGGGGACAGATGTCTTCGTATGAGGATCCACAATAAGAATATCGCTGACGACGCTAGGGTATCCACTGCAATAGTACAAGCGTTCTATCAGATGATACAAAATCGGAGAGAGTGCGAGGGGTGAAAACCCACGCGGCTGTCGGTCGCGTAAACGAGTCCCAACCATAAACGGCTGCAATTCCAGCAGCCGTCTCGGTAAGTCCGTACCCTAGCGAACGAAATACTTCATCAATGGCAATTTCACGATAAGGAATCACCCCCAAAGTACCTTGCCCACTGAGAAAGACATGTTAGTATTAGCCGACTACACTCAACAATCTGACCACTTGCTTCAAAACAGGGAAACGAAGCTTGGAAAGTCTTGCCGGGAGCTGGGATGGGGCAGAAGCGCCACCGTAGGAAATGGTCTCCAATTCATGCTCGCTATTTCTGAATCTTTCGGATTCGAGAAGGTCTACAACAATGGATGGGACACTGGTTAACGAATTAAATCATGAGATTGAATGCCATGGATCAGGGGGGAAGGTAACGTGCCCTCCAACAAAGGTGATCCGCTCTTTCAAGATTAGGTCAACGGCTAGGAAGTATACCAACGCTATTAGGCAATTATGTAACGATAAAGTGAAAGACATTCGATGCCATACCAGCGTCAACATCCCATTTCCTCATCAGAACCAGCTTTCCTCCTAAGAAAGTCCGCGCCATTACACCAGAACAAAGTGCTATGACGTGAAATAATGGAGCACTGATGAGCGATGCACGTTGCTTCGCTGGAGGTGTGATAGTTGTCGATTCATTCTCTCGCAAGACCCGCCGCAAGAAAACGGAAGGATTATGAAACGCCGAAGAGACCAGTGCTCTTTGAGAGCCTAATACGCCCTTCGGCAACCCAGTCCTTCAATGGAGAATGTTAGTGGGCGAGTATTTGGAAAGGCCCAAAAACAGGGAAGAACGTACGTCCCGCTCGTAAAGAAAATGTAGCCATTATCTTCAGGTTCGCAATCAGGCTCTTTCAACCAACTCTTCTGTTCTTCCTTCCCTGCATGCTTCTTCATCACTGCCTCCCAATTTCTAGCCCCCTTCCAGCTTCCTCTGCCTTCATGAGCCCTGACGACTAACGTACCACTCGCCCCTGCCTCTATGCGTGTAGATTCAAGATACCGTTCGAATCGATCCGCACGTTCAGAGTCCAGAATGATCAGCTTGCATTGAGTATGTGTTAGGCAATACGAGATTGTTTTTCCCAATAACCAAGCATTGACAAGGACTGGAACGGCACCCAGAAGATGACACGCAAAGAAGCTAATGATGAACTATTGACAAACAAAAGAACGGTAGTGTAAGCGTGGGTATTAGGTGAGTTAATAATCTATCTCATAGCTCATGAAAGGCTCAGATGGGAAGTGTCAAGCATAGCTGGACTGGCAAGGATTGACCAGAGCGGATCATGCAGAAGTGCGCATGGGTTACACTAGAAAATGAGGACAGCTTTCACCGCCACCCAACAAATGGTAACCAGTCATCCATACGGATACGGGGGAGGCAGTGCGCAGCATGTAGCCCACGAGGTGCATGAGAAATTAAAGATGTAGGGCAGACAAGGCAGCGATATTTTTTGGGGAACAGTAAACCCTATCCTCACCTCAGGGAAGTTCCTCATAACGATCCCGATTCGATCACCTTTATGTACACCATACACATCTCTGAAGACTCCAGCAGCACGGGAAGCATCTCTAAATGCCTGATCATACGTCCATCGCTCATTTTCGAACACAATAAATTCACGGTCTGCATAGTTCTTTGCAAACCACAGAAAGTAAAGTCGTGCGTTCTAGCAACGACGTGATGATATACATCAATCAACTTGAAAGCATCAAGGGAAGTTTTCACCCATACCTTCGGAGCGTTCTTGAACACTTTGGTCATCGCGCCTCTAATAAGAGTTTGCTGGACCTCGAATATGGACCCTGGAGTAGTGATGATCGCATCGCATTCCTCCAAGGTACGATAAGGCTTGAAACCTCCAGGCTGGACAACCATAGTTTCGGAGCTAGAGGATGGCAGCGCTCGCAGCAGTTCACGCTCCAAGCCAATGACAGACCAAAAGGAAAAGTGAGGGTTCAAGGTAGAGATGGTCACGATCCACGTCTTAAAATCAGAGGAACTGCAGTCGAAGCCTCGGCCCGGATTTCATTTCAGCATCTCCCTTGTGCAACAAGCGTGGCCTCCCAAATCGAGGACTATGTATGATTCCCACGATGTCTTTAACTCTATTGTCGGTGCCGCACATAGTTTATTGCCCCTGTATACTCTTGACGGCATGAGGACAGCGGGGGCGTGGAGGGGAAGGCACGAAATGAACTATTGAAGAGTGGATGTAAGGGATGGATGGTAGAGTGCCATAACTCTTTTACTTCGTGTCCAATTCAGCCAATTTATTTCATGGCCAATAGTCTTATTTTGTTACAATATTGTACAAAATATCATTGTGAACTAAAGGCATTACATGCAAATCAGCCATTGAAGGGTGAAAACCATTGGCACCTGAATGACTGTACTCAGAGTGCATCAAAAGGGCAGAACAGGCAAAAGGGATGTATGCCAGCTGTCCCACCCCTATGCTTTTCCCTCTAGGTTGGCTTGTTCCGAGGGATGAGAGGATCCTCAGCAACCTTAAGGGCGTAACAGCCGATTCTGGGCTGCCAACGAATAGATTCGAAGAAGTCCTATGGAGAACTACCAAACCTCCTTAATGTTTCATTTGACCTTAGCTCGAACCCATTAAAAAGCTGCGTTGCCTCGTTTGAAATGAAGTTGAGGACACGAGGATACAAAGATCCTTCTGAGGGATAGATCCGCTGACGAAACGAGCGTTTAATCGACATAGGATGAGGCAGAAGCGCAGGAACGCATGATTCGACCAAATTGAACGGCTTGCGTCCTGCCTCCGATGTCATTTTCAATATTTTGAATCGATCATACTCAAACAAGTCCTCCGAGTACATCCGCTTCTGTTGGCCGACTTTCCTGTTCATCAGAAAGGCTGGGACGTGTGGAAGATGGAGAGCAGCGAAGTGGCTCTGGTAACGACCCAGCGGGTATCGACTCAGCGGAAGGCAGTGTGTCACACGAGTCCCGGAGATAATAGTGATCATCTGATCGACGTGCATGCCCATAGTCCCATGATGAGCTTCCGGGTCAACGATGAGATGTGTTATATCGCGTCCGAAGCGGCCGGTTCCGGTGGTCAAACGAAGATAGGGGCTTGGTGTTAAGGGATGACGAGCGGCAGCGGGAGCAGGGAAACGCTCGATTTGGAGAACGTTCACGCCGCTGATGGTGGCGAATAAGCATAGCTAGCGAGACGCTGTGAGTCGGTTGAGGGGCAGGGTCAGCCGGCTTTGCGCGAATCCTGTTTGGGCTTCTGGGATGACGGGTCATTATTCTCAAAGATCTCAAAGATGTGGGAATTGTGTATATACGCGTGTTGTTTTGGTTTCGTTGGGTTATATGGGTGATACTTCTTGACAGGAGATGTAGTGATGCTGCAATTTCCCCTAGGCATACTGTAAGCTTGTCCGGGCGAGGATGAAGAGGAGGGGTGGGCAAGCGAAGATTGCGTATGAACGTAATATGATTTTTGGCGAGAGGTATTCAAAGCATAGATCAATGACAGGTCAGAGTGGAGTGTGAACAGGAAGACGACACGAATGCAAGTACTGCAGTGATGGCGGTCTTATGGGGGCTACTTATTTGAAACAGAACTGAAGCGAATATAGACGACGGAGGGAATACGTACCACAGCAAACGAGGCCCTCTAAGTGGTGCTGGACGATTGGGATGCTCAAGGCCCGTTGTCTCCTTTAGGCGGGGGATCCTGGGGTAAGAAACTAGGGAGTAAAATCTGCCCTTGGGATCAAAGTGGCGTCGCGCGAAAGGTTTTTCCAGTCGCTATCAAGATTAGGATAATCGGAGTTCGTTTGAGTCTGATCGATCGAGGGAAGGTCGGGAGTGATATCCTATGTTTGGAACCGCAAGAATGAAGTCGCCGTGGAGGTCTAAGCAGAGTTTTGGTTTGGAGACGCCGTTTTTGGGTTGAATAAGTCCGTTTGGGTCTGGATGAGCAAGAGAAGGCTGGAAGTATTCTGTGTCTGGAAGCGCACGAATGGAGCGGCGTTAAGTGGAGTAAAAGTGTTAGGGAAATTAGCCTCTAGGTGCGGATTCGAGGTGGAAGGTGGAAGTCGACAAAGACCGAAACCCCGGCGTGGACACCGGAACGAACGCAGGCATGACCCAGCCTGAATGGACGTAGTGCGCTTAACCCATCATGATATCGTCCCCACGGGCAGGGACGCTACAGACATGACTCTGAGCTCACTGGCAGGCCGTTGAACAAGTTCCCGAAGAACAATATAGTTTAGATCTAATTTGAATCGCTCCTGGGCCCAGCCCCACTGATGGTACAACGACCAGGCACTACGACACGATATGAGAACACGTTGGATATGCCGAAACTATGGTATATATGACGTCAAGTACTTGGGCCTTTTGGAAGCTAGAGCCGTGCATTCGCTTTGACTTTCGCCCCAGCCTTTCTCCTAGCCCACTCCTCCTTCGCCAAAGCACGAGGTCCAATCTTGGGTACCTTCCCGCCAGCATTCGCCTCCAAAGGTTTGTCCACAAAAATTACCATAACCGGTGCTGCGAATGCGGGACATCTACAGTAAAAAAAAATAGTGAATCAGAAAGGGGGGGGGGGATTTCCCCGCGTTTAAGAGGGCGAAATACGTACTTCTCTTTGGTCAGAGCAATCAACTCTCCCTCCGTGGCGGTTCTCCCGGCCTTGAGATGAACGATAGCCACCGGCAGTTCACCTAATCTCGAATCCGGAACGCCAACGACGACTGCCTGTAACACCCTCTCATCGTCATACAAAGCATTCTCGACTGCAACAACATCCTGTCAAGGGAGGGGCATGGAAGGTTGCACATCAGTTTCATGGTCTGCGAACGTGTGTCATTGATGGTTAAAGCGGCCTCTTTACGTACGATATTCTCTCCCCCCGAATAATTATGTCTTTTGCTGCAGATAGATAACGGGAAGAATAAATCAGAAGGTTCCTCGACAACCTCAAAGAAGAGTAGAAGCCGCGAACCTCGTCCTGAAATGTATAGGAAGCCGTCATTATCAAGATAGCCGATGTCTTCCGAGTTGAACCAGCCGTCTTGCGTCAAAACCTTCTTCGTTGCTTCTGAAATGAGTGAAACTCTGCATCAGCAATGAGTATGTTACATATGGAACCATCAGATACCCGAATTCTTCCAATACCCAGTCATGACGGTGGGTCCTTTTCTAAACAGCGCAATGCGATCAAATCAGTGCTCACAGCAATACACGACGGACATCCAACTTTGGAAGGAGAGGAAAGAAATCCAACACTCACAACCAAACTTCTCCCGCTTGTCCGATGGGGACAGATGTCTTTGTACGAGGGTCTACGATAAGGATATCACTGACAACGCTCGGGTATCCACTGCAATTGTGCGAGCCTTTCCATTAGATCATCCTAAATCGAAATCGAAGAGAGAGCAAGAGGATGAAAACCCACGCGGTCGTCGGTCGCGTAAACGAGTCTTGACCAAGAACGCCCACAATTGCAGCAGCCGTCTCAGTAAGTCCGTACCCTGTTGAACGAAAAATCGTTATCAACGGCACTTTCACGATGAAGATCTGCACACGGAAGTACCTTGTCCACTGAAAAAAACCGAAGAGATGTCAGTATTGTCAGCGGCAGATCGACAGACAGACAATCTTTGCTACAGACTTCATAACAGGTGAACGAAGCTTGGAAAGTTTCTTCGGGAGCTGAGGTGGAGCAGAAGCACCGCCATAGGCAATACTTTCCAATTCATGCTCACTATTCCTGAACTTTTCAGATTCGAGAAGGTCCACGGCAACGGATGGGACGCTAGTTAACAAATGAAATCCATGAGGTGGATTGTAATGGACCAAATGGAGAGAGGGATGACGTACCCTCCAGCAAGGGTGATCCGCTCTTTCACGATCAGGTCAACGGCTAAAAAGTACGCCACAACTGTTAGGCAACTATAAAGTGAAGGACGCTCAACACCACACCAATCTCAGGATCCCATTTCCTCATCAGAACCAGTTTACCCCCTACGAGAGCTCCTGCCATAACACTAGCACAAAGTCCGGTAACATGGAACAACGGAACACTGATAAGGGTTGCACGTTGTTTCTCTGGGGGCGTGATGGTTGCCGGTTCGTTCTCTCGCAAGATCTGCCGCAGGAAAATAGAAGGAGGATTGAACGCTGCCGAGATGAGTGCTCTTTGAGAGCCTAGTACGCCCTTCGGCGTGCCAGTCCTTCAACAAAGGACGTTAATATAATTGGAGAAGTAATCGAGAATCACGTACGTTCCACTTGTAAAGAAAATATATCCATTATCTTCAGGTTCGCACTCCGGTTCCCTCAACCAACTCTTCTCTTCTCCCTTCCCAGCATACTTCTTCATCACCGCCTCCCAATTTCTAGTCCCTTCCCAGCTTCCTCTGCCTTCATGAGCCCTAACGACCAACGTACCACTCGCCCTTGCCTCTATGCGGGTGGATTCAAGGTGCCGTTCGAATCGATCCGCACGTTCAGAGTCCAAAATGATCAGCTTGCATTGCGTGTGTGTTAGGCAATACGAAATTGTTTTCCCCGATAGCCAAGCGTTGACCAGGACCGGAACGGCACCCAAAAGTTGACACGCGAAGAAGCTGATAAGGAACTGTTGATAAACATAAGGACGGTAGTATAAGCATAGGTTTTGCGTGAGTTCATCACCACCCGATGGATGGCAACCATTCACACATATATGCAAGTGTGTATAGGCGAGGCCGCATGTAGCATGTAACCCACGAGGGGTATGAGCATCAAGGATGTAGAGCAAACAAGGCGGCGATGCGCTTGGGGAATACTTGGAAAAACCCTCACCTCGGGGAAGTTCCTCATAACGATCCCGACTCGATCACCTTTATGCACGCCATACACATCTCTAAAGACTCCAGCAGCATGAGACGCTCCTCTTAACATCTGAGCATACGTCCATCGCTCGTTTTCGAACACGATGAAATCACGGTCCGCATAGGTGTTTGCTAACCACAGCAAGAAGAGTCGCGCGTTCTAGCAACGACGCGACGATCATGTTGTTATGCGTGTGCGCGCCGATCAGCAGCCATTCACAAGTCCCACAAGACGAGGCACGGTCAAGTTAGGGTGACAACCCGAAAGCGAGCTTCACTCATACCTTGGGAGCGTTCTTAAACACTTTGGTCATCACGCCTCTGATAAGAGTCTGCTGGATCTCGAACATGGAGCCTGGAGCAGTGAGAATCTCATCGCATTCCTTCAAAGAACGATAAGGCTTGAAATCTCCAGGTCGGACAGCCATAATTTGAAACTAGAGGATGACAGCGTTCGTAGTAGTTTGTGTTCTGGGGCTGACAGACCAACGGAAGAAAACAGAAAGATGAAAGCAGAGATAGCTAACTTTCCTTGCTTTTTCCAAGCAACCCAGCGTCTTAAAAAGCAGCAGGACGTACTCAAAGCCTGGGAAAATCAGCGCGGATTTCACTCCAGCCCTATACCGGGACAAATTGTCTGCCGGCACCGGCAAAGCTTGCCGGTGCTCAGAGCAACGGCGCGAGGCTCCCATTTGAGGATTATGAAATTCCCACGAACTCTATTATCGGTGCCGCGCAATTATCCGTATGTTGTAGGCAGGGACCAGCGTCTCTTGATGAAGCTCAGCCTGACACGCTCACGCTGCACACCAGACCAACACTATTGGAGATCCCCCCATGTACGTTCTCAACGGTGTAGACAGTCGCACTGCCACGTAGCAACGACGCTCCCGGGTAATAGAACTGACTTGCCACTGACACTACATCTATTGAAGCTGATATCCTGCTTACAAGGACTCCGGCCTCTATGACATCGTAAAATTATATGCGCAGCTGCGTGCGGCAATCAGTGTTCACGGTTATCCGGGTACGGGAACAAGAACAACTCCGGATCCGGCAGATCACATTCATCCAAAGCCCTTCCTCAGGATCCCAGCCTCTGGGTCTCGTCCAAGTCACAACAAACGTTTGCTCTACTACCAACTAATTATGCAAGATCGCAGCACGTTCAAATGCACTTCATCCCTGTCTGTGCGTGGACCCAACCGAAGATGGGCCGGAGACCTGCCCCTGGTCTTGCACATTGCACAGTTTTTTTGCCCAAGGGGGCTAACACAAAGGCACTGAAAATCCCTGAACAAGAATTGTCCGCGCGCAATAAGACCTCACGTACTGATAACGACGCACATCGCAATTAAGTAATAATGTTATTGGTTGCCCTGAGCGCTCGCTTCCGTTAAGTAATTTCACGACTGCATAACATCCAATGATTTCGGCAGCCGTATACGCGAGGTGTCTATCTTTGTGGGGGTTATGCTCTCCTATTCCCCCTTTACGAATGGTACAAGCCGAACACACTATTTATCATTGTCCTAATAGACACATAAAATCCAGCAGCCAATGAAACAAACAACAATATCAACCAAACAAGCAAAGTGGAAAAGAGGGGGAGGGGAGGGGAGGGGGGGCCACCATCTAAAAACGAGGCACCACCATATTTGCAAGCCGCGATCAAATAGCCCAAGATAGGTCCTCGGTCCTCGATGAATCCAGTTCCTGAGGAAGGGGGGGGGGGTCCGTGAGGCGATAGTACCTTCACGAAGCTACTGCGACGCCTCGACCACTTTTTGTGGCACTCCACCATTCGTATGCACATGCGACTGCGCATCCCCATTTGCATGGACATCCTCTTCCCCCTCATGCGAATGACTCAACTCATAATCCACCCCATCAAACGTCACCGTCCTTCTCACAAGTTTTCCGCTGGTAGCATCACTTCTCTCTTTATTGATGACGCTGTCCATTATCGCTCGAAGTTGACCGCCTAGATTGACCGTTTGAAGGAATCCAAGTTGGTAGGTGGGTCGTCTCCAATCCGCTGGGAAACGCTCTTCGAGGAAGAACGACCGAATACGTTCAGTCGACACAGTTCTCTGTGTAAGGTAACGCGAGCAATTAGTAATTGCATACGATTCCAATCACACAAATTTTTTTTTACTCACTTTCGAAAAATCCTCGCCACCACCTTCACCCCAAACGCCAATGACCAAACACGCCTCTCCCAGAGCAATCCTATTATGAAAGAAGTCTAATCGGCCTGTTTTCGTCCTGAGTAACTTTTCGCGAGCGACTCTGACTTTGGCGATATCATTGAACGTCAACCCCTTGGGTGATGAGAATCTGAACATCATTTCATGGATGAGATGTGGGTTACGAGACCAAGAGTTTCCTGGGGCGTCAAGTCGACCTATTGAGTTGGAAAGGAGTCAATATCGAAAGGGAAGAAGAGGTAGGATGATATGGAACTCACTGAGACTTGCATCGTGCTCGATATGATTATGTTTTCGTAATTGCTTCATATCACAAGTCATGCCATTCCCGCAAAGGAATATAGCCTCGAAAGCGAGAGAAACAGCAAGAGGAGTGCTGATGTTGAACACTTCCGTCTGGATTCTGACATGATGAATGTTAAGTGAGAACGGGAACGTGAAGAGGAAAAACGTACTTGACGAGTTGCCAAAAGTGTAAATTTCTTCCGTCCCGCGGTCTGTCAGGAGCGAGCGTGTGTGTCAGAAGAAGCAACTTCGCACAGTCATTTAGGGTGGGATGAAAAAACGTACATATACCCATGATTGGCAAGCCTGAAGAATATCAGAAACACCACATGCATTTAGTGTCACATGGATCTAAAAGGCTCATTGCTCTGCTGCTCACGTATTCAACGCTGGGCATGGCGAGCGGAGGTCGCCTGGTCCTGGGGAGATGAAAGGATGGTCGCCCATGTCGGAGTGGCTATCTGGCAGCATACGAAGATAAGACAGCATTTTGTCTAGGGAACGAGAGGGGGATGTGGGGGGTGTTGGATAGATGAGAAAGGCTGGAGAGGATGAAGAAACGGTGGTAGGGGGAACCGCCCCCCGACTCCTTTTATAAGTGGTAAGGAATCACAGAATCTCGAAGCCGGAATGGTATGGTATACAGCGGTCAGGTCAACCAACATGATTTTTCGTGGCAGAGCAACCAACAATCAGAAAGGCTCGGTAGCGATCAGTTCAAATAAAAGGAGAAATTCAAACTTGGCGTTTTCTTGGTCTCGAATTTCTGGATCTGGAATTATTTCCCATTACTTATCTCGATCAGATCAGCTGACCCTCTGAACCGATCGTCCATCACAAACGGATTCGGGTTTCCGTGCGGCCACGGGCGCTTGTCCGCTTCATTAGTATCGATGATGATTCAAGCACTCGAAGAGACCAGATCACATCAACCGGAATGCAATATTTTCGTTGCTCGCCTCGGTGATCAACATCTGTGAGAAGCCTGGGACAACCAACACTTGCATGTCCGTTCATAAGCAATGTGCATTGCCACCTTCCTTACGTAATACCTCATTCTCATGGTGGCAAAGCAGCTTCAGAAAAATCGCGTTACAGGGGCCAGCAGCAGCAAGAGTGTGCGATAGGTTTGCCATTCCATCCTCAGGAGTAGGACAGAAGACCAAATGCGTAATGGGAAATTGCGATTCTCCTGAAGGCCGTGAATTCTGAGCATACATATGCTTAGCTATGTTGAACTCTGGAATCCCTTGGTTGGCAGTGCTTTCATATGACTTACCTGTGTCATTATGTACTGTCCCAGAAACTAGATTTGGTTACCTTTGGGCCCAAGAACCGGCGCAAACCAACCCGAGGAGGTGGCGGTGCTCCCGACCCATTTCAAATTCCCATCAAGCCATCAACAAGTCCTCCGTGATTAAATATCAGAAGACGTATTTCACTGCCATGAGCATCCCGCTTAGGCTCTCTCTTAAACTGGTACGTATCGCCTTGATCCTCCACGTCTACACCCCTGTTGCAGACCTGCATGAACATGATTCTTTTTTCCCTGGCACAACATTCATAGCCGCGCATCTGCGGTCCATTCCCAAATATCATCCACGGCTCTGGCGGAGAGTAAGTGAGATAATGAATCTTTCTTCTTCAACTGAACGTCTTCTTCCACATGGTTGACTGTGATAGAATTGCAGTACGGAATCCCGCTTCGGGAGAGCTCCTGGCCAGGTTTGTCCCAAAATGGACATTATCATTTGAGAATTCCGGGTAGAGCTAACTAGGTAAACAAAAAAATTGGGTCTCCTGTCCTCATTTCGAATTGCTCCTCGGATCCACGATTTGCCACCGCGGTCGCGCGCCGCCCAGCGTCAACTCCCCTTCATCACAAGAAATCACCCAAGCAGTCAATACAGCTCAAGCCATTTTCACTTCGGGCGAATGGTCTCAGGCGCCTCATCACAAGCGAGCAGATGTCCTTTCAAGAATTTCTCTTGCCCTTGCAAATGAGGTCACAGATCTAGCCAGACTTGAGAGTTCCCAGACGGGTAGGACCATAAGAGAGATGAATGCTCAATTGGGGAGATTACCCGAGTGGCTGGAATATTATGCATCGTTGTTGCGGACTGTACCTGCGGGATATGTTGCGTGGCTTTCGTTTCCTTTCTGAGCGATGCACTGCAGGACTGATTGATCTACTACGTGCGGTTTGGGCGTTATAGTTCGCTCCGACCAAAGGGCCATTACTAAACATAATCGAACGCGTTCCTCTTGGTGTCGTGGCGCAGATAACTGTGCGTGCTACGATCTTAAATGTCTCACCTGCGTCGCACGTAGTTGATAAATATTGTCATGTTTCAAACAGCCTTTCAATCACCCTTTACTTATAGCGATCAAAAAAATTGCCCCTGCCCTTGCAGCTGGTAACTCCGTGGTAAGTCTACTGTTTAATTTCATTTACTACATAATGATGTCTCTCATGGGGACCTCGTTCAAACTAAGATCGTCAAACCGTCCGAAGTTCGTAATCATTTCATGCGATCTAGGGATAACAGCCTCATTCACATGCCTATCTCTAGCTAGCCCCTTTATCAGTGCTCCGATTTGCTGAACTTTCCATTCACGCTGGACGTATGTAACCGCTCACTCCACTTACTGACCCCTTCCCCCCTCCCCCCTCCTTTTACCAAATGAAGACGAAAAACAAATTGACTGCAAGCTCTGTTGATATAATTCATCAGTTCCAAGTGGCGTGCTTACAGTTCTCCCTGGAGGACCAAATGTCGCGAAAGAGTTGATTTCACATCGTCTCGTTCGAAAGGTTGACATTACCGTGCGTAGGTCGGATCGTCCTTGGCGCTCACTGTTTGGTTGATAGAAATCGAATATTTGGTTGATGTGACTTTGGCGGATGGGCTTTACATAGGCTGGCACTAGCACAGGACGAGCGATAGGTGGTATTGTAGGTGCTAATTTGGCATCATATACCGCCGAACTAGGCGGAAAAGTGAGTTCCTTTTGCCAGGCCTGGTAATTTCAAACATTTCTTAATTTTAGGATTACATATACTTGCTGCGTGTACTCGTTGTCATGTTAGGCACCCATCATTGTTTTTTCAGATTCAGATATGCAATCTGCGATCAATGGCGTTGCGTTTTCAGCTTTCGTCGCATCGGGTCAGACGTGCGTTTCCGGGGCGAGGCTTATCCTTCAGGATGAAATTTATGATGATTTCATGGGGAAACTTGTTCGGAAAGTTGAGTCTATCACGAGGAGGATGGGCGATCGTATGTGTTGGGTTATTGGGATAATGATTTTGATCTCATTGAAATGTACTCTGGTGGCAGCTCTTAATCCTTCTTCAACGATGGGGACTGTGATTCACGAAAAGCAACTGAGACGAATTCAAGAGATGTTGGGTCGAATTTCCGGTACATCAGCAAGAATCTCCATCGGCGGTGAAAGACTGACTGGTCCGTCAACGCTTGATGGATTCTTGTTCGATAACGGATCGTTCTTTGCTCCAACCATCGTGGAGGACATTTCAACCGAGGATGAGTTGTGGAGAGAGGAGATCTTTGGGCCTGTTCTGGTTGTGAAGCGATTCAAGGTGAATGACGATGAACTCCGCGGCCGAGCATTGTTTCATCCTAAAGGTTGGGTTTCGCTAGGACGAGGAAGAAGCCGTTACTCTGGCGAACGATTCGAAGTACGGTCTTGGTGCGGGTGTATGGACACGGGACCTCTCGCGTGCTCATCGAGTTGCGGGTCGAATCGAAGCTGGCTTAGTATGGGTGAACACCCATCACCGGAACGATCCTAGTTCGCCATGGTAAGCGCAACTTGTTCCCATTGAGCTCAGGCCACCTATTCGAATTATTGTGTAGGGGTGGGATGAAAGAATCAGGAATTGGGAGGGAGAACGGGGTCGAGGCGTACAATGCTTGTGAGGGCTTCCGTGATGGTTTTTGCCGCAGATTCCGATGATTTGCCTTCCTCCCTGCCTCCACAATGGGGCATAGATTCGCAATCCAAGTCGACCATTATCAATGTCGCATCCGTCGAAGCTACCCGAGCAGCAGACGACTGGTTTGCTGAAGACGATCAGCCCAATTCGCGTTACGGTTGAGAACGTGTCTAGTCAGCGTCGCCAAGTCTGCATCAGGGATCTGCTATAAAGTTTCGTAGCAGGGTGTATGTGCTGCGCAACTCGCGCTTTGGTTAACCATTTTGACAACCAGGTCATGTAAAAATGCATTGATGAGAATGCAATGGGGATAAATGATAGGTGAAGTTATCTATTCGCTCGTTGAGAACGGTGGGATCTATGTGGTCGTGACACTCCGAAATATATCCTATCCGAATACCTGCAGGGGAGAACCCAAATCCCGGATGACCAGAGGGATCTATGTTCGATTCCCATCTCTCTAGTGGGAGTAGTCGTATCTGTTTCCGGATAAATGACCCAAGCAATGTGTATAATGGGACACAACATACTTCTTGTAGAATACCTCGCTCTCGGTCGGAACAGCCTGCACATGAACGAGGGCCTCAGTCGCTCTGTCTTTCTCATGGAGAGCAGTACTGACCTCATATCGTGCTCCCCGAGTTTTTATGCGCTCCCCACTTGCTTCTGCGCGTCTTCTAATCTCTCTATCTTCCTTCAGCCATCCAAGGGCAAGGGCGTACAAGACTGATCCCACATTCGCCGGAGACTCGACCAGTGAAACGCTAGCTTCAAAAGCGGGAGATCGCTCTGCCCCCACTGCACCGTCGCGAAGTGGCCACGGAGTGGGAGGGGTCGCAAAGCGACCGTCACGTATATGCGCAATATGCGTTGGGAATGTGTTCAGGCCGTCAAAGATGTGTGTGGCGTAGAGTACGGTGGCACCACGTTGCTCAGATTCTGAAAGGGGTGCGTATTTTGGGATGGGCTCACTATGAGAGTGAAAACTCTGGGCATACCTTCCTTCAGAAATGACAATAAATTGTCCCTGACGAGAACATCGAGGTCGACTGTGACCTAGAGCGATTGGTGAGTAGATATCGGTATTGGATTTCCTGACATTGTCCACCTCATCAAGGAGCAGGACATCCCATGGAGCCATGAGTCCCATCGTCAATTGGACTCTTCTTCGTTCGCCATCCGAGATAGCATGCATGTGCCTGGAGCCTCAGTATTGATGAGAAATAAGGGCATTTGGTACTTCTGTGAAGAGCGTACCAATCTAAATCGACGTCCAGGATGTCCAAAAGTCTGTCGCGCCTTTCCTTATGTCGGTATCCTCCGACCGAGTCCAAAAATGTCGACACAACGATGTCAGATCGAACAACGGGGTTCATAGCCCTTCAATAGAAGAAACTGAAGCGTGCTTCCAAACACGCGCCTCCCTCCTGCTGCTTACCATTCAGTCCCGAGAATAGTAATACCCTGCAAGTTATTAAATTCAGAATCATGAGGATCGCAACTTAAAGGCTTGTCCTCCTTGCCTCGGGGGTGTTTCTGAAGACATCTCGACCAAGTATGGTCACTCTCATACCTCCGGGAACCATGCGCTTCCCCGCTAACACCTGGAGTAATGTGGATTTTCCAGCACCATTGGCCCCAATAAGCAGCGTCCGGGAACCCTTGGGGAGCTCCAGAGACAAATCAAATAGAGCAGGCCCCGATGGACCGTGATTGAAAGTCAAATTTTTAACGCTGATCGCAGACATTGGCAAAGCGATTTCCTCGTCCTGTTGAACTTGGTACTGAATTGTTATGAGTTTGCGGTGTTATAGGCAATGTCCAGGCCCGATTGACACTAAGCTCGATCGCTTGCTGTTGCAGTTGCCAAAAATGATCGTTATCTTGACCAAAAAGTCTACTCGAATAAGCCAGTGATTCCAGCTGGGCTTGGCCGCGCGTGTTTTGTGCTTTGTTTCCACGGGTGTTGGCTGCAGAGCGCTGACTACAAAGCTTAAATCTGACAGCACAGTAAGATCCGATCCATGGTCTCCTTTGAAATTTTGCTACGCGCGCTGATCGTGCATGCCCTTTTGCTAATGAAAATCTTCACATGCATAAACCAACAATTCCCAAGATCAGATTTGGGCAGATCTCAGCTCCTAACCTTCTTTGGATAACCAGTACTGGTAGATACGTACGTGCGCTGGTGCGCAGCCTCTTGATCCGCCCTAGCTTTATGACTCCCTTAATCTCGCAGCAGCTGTTGGCTTGACTGGACGCTACTTTCATACCAGTCTCTGGTCAAGCTGTCTACCGAGCGACAAAATTCGGATGCCTTCACAAGGAGCAAAAGACTCCCCTCTCGAGACAGAGTTTCTGTCTGGGTGGTGCATTATTCAAGCCAGCTCGGACACTATTATTTCCGGTCCTTCCGTAGAGGTTGTATCCCTGGAAGAAGCGGGGCCGGCGGCGCGTGTTAGTGCTACTAAGATCACGGAACACTATGATGCTTCTGGAAAGAATGGTGAATTGGAGACGTTACGGGAATGTCTCGCCTACGAGAAAAGCGGCGAAGAATGGCTTGCGGAAGCGGATTCCTCAGGAGGCATTGGATGCATCCCCATGTCGCGAGAACAGGTATGTATTCTCGGGGTGGTCTTTGCGTAGCACCAGTTGATTCCCCACATTGCCAGGACCCTGTCGATTTTCCGGTGGATGAGGCGACCATGGTGGTTTGTATCTGTTTTTCTCGGCCTGAATCGCCATTATTCTGACCCCATTCCTGTAGCCTCTTCGCGAGCATTGTACAGACGGCTCAAATCCCCCACTTCCTTCGAACTCACCGTCAGTCTCAGGATCAGGAACATTTATGAATCCTTTTCGACACTGGATAGATTCCACGGGACGATTCCGTGTTGAGGCGAAGTTTGTAGGGGTCGGGGGAGGTGAAGCATGCCTTCATAAAATGGAAGGAGGCACCATCGTAGTCCCTCTTTCCAAGTTGTCTATCCTGGATCAGGATTACATAAGGGCCGTAGCAGGACATAATGAAGTATTTCCAGCGGTCCCATCTTCGAACGAATTGATGTAATGCCTATCTTCCCTTGGCTCACTCGATCTGCGCTAATTCTCCCGCCATTACCGTTATTCTAGTCAAGAACGGTTGCCTTGGTTGTCCGAGATGCAATCAACCACTCCGGTGCATGAAGCTGATTTCCGAGTGTGGTGCGACCCAACTGGAAACTTCCGTGTGGTAGCGAAATATCTAGGCATGAGCGACTCCAACGTTCGGCTACATAAAGCTAACGGGGTCATCATCAATGTGCCTCTCTGGAGGATTTGTTCTGCGGATACGGATTATATACGTAGGATGCATTCTTAGCCCCGCCTGATGTGGCGTTCTTTCTTGCGGATCCAGCCCGTAGTATCCTCACTGCTCCACGATTGTATTTGACTGTGCTGGGGTCTGAGATCCATTTGCGTCCTAGAAGGTTCATGCCATTATGGACTCAGGCTTTTGCTAGTCACATGGAAGTCCCCTTGTGCGTGTGCCAGCGGTAGAAACGAAACTGTGCGAAGCAAACAACAGGCTGATGAGAAATATCGTGTTCAAACTGAACTGAGCTGCACTGCTAAATTGATCCCATGTCTTACTCTTTTCCTTGCGAAAACATCCACTATGTAAAAAGTTCCGTATCTTCGACGTGGACCTGTTTCTGTGGCATCGCGGGCGTTCACCACCGCTCTGCTACGAAACAAGACGCCCCTAGGTGGATTCTGAATCAAGCCGTATTGTCTCAACACTCATCCGTGGTTCATAAAAGACGAGGTTCCAGGCTTGTCCTTCAATCATCACTATCACCCCGCCTGTGTGAGTGCCTTCCATCCCCACCAATCCCCTAAACCAACTACTGACATAGTCTTCGATGTCCAGGTGCCTCAAGATGTCGTTGAGTCGCCTGTAGTTGTTGAGTGGAGTGCACCTAGGATGTGGTTATGCCACTCCAGGAGGACCCTGTTTTGGGTTGATTATGCCTCTTCCTTGAGATATCCGGTATGTCGAATCCCCATCCTGTTAGGCTGAAAAGTGTAGCGCCGCAAGAGCTCAAACCGGCCCTCCACACTAAATGGGCATGGCGTTGACATAGGCTCGTGACCTCCGACACAAGGCACAGGTTATCATAGTCGGGCGCCCGGCACTCAACACTACGCATGACCTGGCACAGGAGGCTCTGTTTCGAGGCTAGGTGTTCTTATTCTCTTCATCGATGAGCCAAACATTCATTCCTGACCGTTTTTCACGTTGTGTCTCATGAGATCATGTCTATCGAAGTTGTCGTCCGAAATATTCTCGAAAACCAAAAATTAAAGTAGAGGGACCGAGGGTGTGAGGCGGAGCGGTAGAAAGCCTTCATAGACAGTGACACATCGACACCAGCCAAGAGAACCCATGGAATGGAACGAGAAGAATGAAAAATTTAAAGAGAGTCCAGCAAGGATGGAACGGAGACGAGACATTATGTCTTTACGCAGCCGACGTGGTGATTGTTTCCCGAAGTGTTTTCAGAGCGGTAAATAGATAGAAAGGACGCTAGCTCATGCAGACTGGGGCGGTGGATATTCAGACGAGTCATAATGCGCAAAATGGGTTTTGAAGGCGCCAGGAAAGCCCAATCCTCCAAGCATGAAAAGAGGCCATGAAATGATTGGAAAACAGGAGGCCTTGGCGGGATATTTACTGTGAAGAACGCGGCTGGGGGCTGGTGTTTGGGGAATGAATACTTTCAGGGTAGTGGTGGAGCAATTGCCGCGACGCACGGGAGTGCGGGAGGATCGCTGGGAGAAACAGAATGACCCAAGCAGCCTAGTCGATAATGCCACCTGGTTTGCCCCGATCGGTCATGCTATTTCTTAGGATCAGATCATTGTGTGTGAGAACTAGTGGGTGAGCATTATAGGACGCGGAGATAGTGGTACGGGAGGGCGGGTGTCTCCCTCGTCTCGGGGGGTCTCGGGCGGCACTCCATGGGTACATAGAGACGTAGCAATCGTCAAATCATACAAGACGCACCCAAATGAACGAGTGCGCTGAGCTATGTAAAAGGCACATAACGGTCGCCTCGCTTTATGGGATCCACGTTGGTGAATAAATATCCACTTTCCACTGATGATATCCAGAGCACTAGAGACACCCAGTTAGGGTTGTAATTCATGCTGCCGCAAAACACGGAGAGATCGAGCACTCGGTAGTCGCCGATCTGTAAAGCCTGAGGGTCATGGCCGAATCGCCGCGTCGGTGAGGCTCGATGGAAGGGGAAACCGGTCAAACCGACATAGCCCAATCACGAAAATACGTGAGCCACCTTTGAACTTGATCCACATCGACCATTCATATCCGGCGGCGCGGTAACCGCGAAACAAATACTTTAGACGCCTTTCGCTCCCCAGGATTCAGGAGACAGGGGAGAACGGTGGTGCTATTTGGGAGGGGTACAACAGGGACTCTTCATGGTCATCTTGTGTGCAGCTAGACAGGCATGTCGGTATGACAGCATGGCAACAGCCCTGACAACCGTCGAGACTTTTTGAAACACAGGGAAGGCGAAAGGGGACGGAGGGTAACGCTGAAGATAATCGCACAGACAAAGAGAAAAGAGAAAACTAGGTTACAAATAAACGGAAGCCACCGAAAAATGCCAGAGGCCGAAACGCAAAAGGAAAAGAACCAGGTAACCGAAGGTCAACGCCCCCTCCTGCAGCAAGACCGAAACACTTACATAACAGCGTTGCTCCAAGCCAGAGGTGGGAGAGCAAGGGACCCCAAGGAACAACCAACTGTAGAATAGAAATGACAGAATCAGACCAGGAGAAACCAAAAAAATCAAACTAAGAGAAACACCAATGCGTGCGGTGGACGTGTGAAGACAGCAAGTAGGAGAACACCAAGGACTGCCTGACAAAATCGGTCTAGGTCTGCGAGTCCTCTAGATCGGCATGACTGAACGAGCGCGGCGTTACAGCATGCGGTGAAGCCAACAGCGGGTACGGCGCAACGCGTACAGCGGACGCGCAAGAGTCCCAAGCTGCGCGCAGCGGACGCCAAAGAAAGAGCGTTAGTGCTGGAGCACCATGGCACACCAGCCTAATTCAATCTCGTACCTCCAGCCATTAAATCACAATTATTTTCTTTGTTGCGGACTTCCCTTCCCTACACCACTCATTCTTCCATACCATTATTTATTGCCTATCATTATAGCAATTTCCCCCGCTTTATCGTACATTCCGGACAGTTGGCCAACGGTTCATTTTCCGCCATTTAGTTGTGATGCTGAACTCACGTGTACGTTCGTTCTGGATCTTAGACTGAGCTATGGATTTCTCGCAGTTCAATGCTGCCGAACAGGTATAGATCTCATGAACATGTACACTGTACCTTCTGAAAAAAATTACTGCAGGCGCATATGACCAAAATTATCGAAAAGAAGCAGGTTCGTTCTCATGTTTATTCACTCTGGGCTTCCACCAACTAGTAAAGCACCCCTGGTAGATGCAAGACTTCATGAGACTATACTCTGGGCTGGTCGAAAGATGTTTTGTGTCGTGCTGCAATGACTTCACAAGCAAGTCACTCAGCTCAAAAGAGGTGCGGATAGTCTGTGCCGGATCCGACGCTCCTAACATTAGGCGTCATTTCAGGAGTCCTGTGTTCAAAATTGCACGGATAAATTCTTGAAGCACTCAGAGCGTGTAGGTGCACGATTTGCTGAACATAACGCGGGTAATTTCTATGTCTGCGATTCATCTCCGCCCGGCGCTTATGAGCTCTGTGCACTTTTAGAGCAGATGCAGCAACAACAGCAGCTTCGCTAAATCATTCTGTATTGCTCAAGGTCCTCCCTATCGACGTCGTACTCCACGTTATAGACTCCCCTCCATAACGAATCTGCCAACAGGTATTTGGTGATATCCAATTACCATAAGACCGTCCACTCTTACATAAGATTACACACCCTAAGATCATACTACATAGTTATTAACGAAAACTACCAAACTGAGGTTGTTGGAATCCACTCTGGAATCCCGTGGGTTGAGGCTGAAGGTTGTTAGGCAAAAATTGATTTGGCTGAAAGCCGGTCCGCTGGGGCTGGATGCCACCGACATGTCCTTGAACTCCAGGCCCCCAGCCAGTTGGTTGTGATTGTAAGAAAGATGGGACACCACCACCTAGGCAACGTTGTTAAAAGGACTTCTGGAAAAGATCAGTGTAAATGACGGCGTACCATTGGGATTTCGCAAAGCCTCATATTTGTCTATAGCATTGAGATCATGGTGAGCATAGAACCGTGCAACATAGGCACAAGGGCGTACCAGCTGTTTGTGGTGCTGCATTGTTCTCGAACGTTCCGGCTTTCATCGAAGCAAAAATACTTGCAGGGGATGCGTTATTTCCGGGAGGGGTAGGAACACTTCTTGCGAATGCATCAAAAGGCGTTTGCTGTGGCTGGAGACCTATCATCGGGAAGAATAACAGTGAAATAGAACGACTTCAAGGTATAAACACGACAAACCGTTCTGGACGCCACTGGGGTTACCAAGCGAAGGCCCCACATTTGGTGAAGTTGCGCCAAAGCCACCAAACGAATTATTGAAACCTGTAGGCTGATTCAGTAGGGGCTGCTGGAAATTCACTGGTGCCCCAGTAACCTGCGGAGCAAGGAGACTGGTTTGCGGGAACCCTGTTGGTTGTGACTGGATGGGACGAGCCGGGATAAAGGTACTACCCGTGTTTGAGTTCGTAGGGATGAGGGGGGCAAGAAGGCTCTGATTTTGAGGAACTGGAGCGAAAGGACCACGAGGACCATTGAGAGGTTGTGGTGGTGGAAGGACGCCAGTTTGTTGAGCCGTTAATAAATGACCAATAGGCGATGGTGAACTGCCAACGCCAAGACCAGCACCGTAGCTCGCAGAGGAAACGATTGGGCCTAGGGGGGCAGGTGATGGCTGTATGGTTGGTGGGGTGGCTGACGCTGGAGCAGAGGGGGGACGCATTTGCCGTATCTGCGCCAGGAGATCAAATTGTGGTGAAGAATTACTGGGAGATGTAGTAGAAGCTCGTTGAACAGGCTGTATCGCAGGGGGGTTTGGCAGAGCTACGGCCTCTGGAGGTGGCTGGGCCTGGGGCGGGGTAGGAGCAACTGGTGCTGGTGTGTTAGACTTAATACCAACTGTTGAACTTGGTCGGGGTGCCCACGCATCATCTTCAAACCCGTTGGTCGGTGTGGTGCTCTTGCGTACAGGGGGGTCTGGAGTAACAGCTTCAGGACTTCGCACCCGTGCTTGTGGAGTTCCAACGCGCATCTGAGCAGTGGCGGTCTCGATAGCAGCTACATCAACTGCTGAGGATGATGCTTTGGGTTCAAGCGTACGCCGCCCCCTACGCTGGTTCTTCAGAGCCCCATTAGCGCTAGCGAACAAGTTAGGGGCTGGGCTAGTGGAACTCGTCCGTTGTGGTGTTGGCACATCGCCTTGCGCTTGAAGACGTCTAGCGAGCTCCTCATCCTTCCTGATTTGTTCTTGAACGGCGTCTTCTTTGGCCTTAGCAACGTCATCGGACCTTGCGAACTTCTGCTTAATGTGTTTGGTAACTCGAATAACATCTCCTTCTCGGAGACCAAGCGTCCTCAATGTTGAGGGTTCAAGGTCGGGAAGAATGATCTCGTCGATTTTGTCCTTCTCAAATGCGGAGGCGTAGCGAGTACAATCGTCGCTGTCACACCCGGCATCGAGGAAGAATTTAAACCAGTCAACATTGGGGGCTTTGGGTTTTTGGGCAGTTGCAGTCGGTTTTAGCGTAGATGAAGATCTTGTCGTTTGAGCAAGTTGAGCCAAGGGGATCTTATCCTCTGCAGGCGACGCCGCCCTCTTGCGTTTCTCTAGGTCCTCCACGTATGTGATATCTGCTGGCGACATCTTTTCCACGGGAACTTCGATGATGACACCGTTAGTTTTGTGCAGACGTAACTTGCCACCATTCATTCCAAGATACTCAGCCTCAACGCGAAATTGACGAGTTCGATCATGCCACATTCGTGTCTTATCTTTCGAAGGTTTTGAATTCGGTTCCCTTTTCCTGAACATAGATTAGACTGCGATATAATTATCCAAGAGGAGTCGAGACGTACTTGATAGCATCGGCCTTGGCCCTCTCTGCCTTCTCCTTCTCCACCTCCTCCAGGCGTTGGCGTTCCAACTCTCGTTGGACCTTTTTCAAGCGCTCCTCCTCCGCTGCCCGCCGTTCCGTCACTCGTTTTCTAGCTTCCTCGGCAGCTACAGCCCTGTCACGTTCGGTTTCTTCGCGTATACGCCGTCGCTCGGCTTCTTCTCGCTCTCCTTGGTGAACAGCTTCCTCTACTTCCCGCGCCCTCCGAGCATCCGATGGAGCAGCATCCTCATATGCCAATTTTATACTTGATAACTAGTAAATATAAGATGAGATCCACACACCTTCACGTACAGAGCGGGAACCACTCCTTCATGGCCACGCTTATTTCTCACTTTCCACCAATCTTCACTGCTTTCGCGGTCGAGTATGACAACATGCTCGCCTTCGCTAACCGCAAGCTCATCGTCTCCGTCAGCAGCGAAATCATAGAGTATAATTCCGTCAACTTCTGTCGAGGATGCGGAGTCGGCATCTTCATCACTGTCTCTGGAGCCGATAACTTCGGCTGGACTAGAGGAGAAGTTGACACTTTTCTTGACCTTGACAGCCTTGGATTTGGTCGGTGGCGAAACATGGGAAGCTTCTTCCGTAGAATCGACGACAGAAGCAGGTGCAGCTGCAGCCCTACTAGATCCGAGTTTGGCGACAATAGCTTCAGCGGTATCTTTCGAGCCAGTACTGATATGCAAGCTCTCGTTTCCAACGTCCAACATGATGTGCTTCGGTTTGTCGGCGTGACCAATGGTGACTGAAGTACTCGGCCATTGTCGCACAGGTGTCTTGTCAGATTCACTAGCAAAGAACACGGCGCCATTGCCGATTCCAAGCGTGCCCTTTTTCTTCTTCCCTTTCTTATCGATCTCCTGCTCCCATTGTCTGTGAGAAAAGGGCAAGACTGACGAACATACTGACTCACTGAGACTGACCAGGTTTCGATCCCGTCATTCCTGGGTTTGTCCAAGGACTGTGCCACGCGTTCCTGGGGGTCGAGGTAGGCACTGACCTGGATGAATGCATTAAGGGAAGTTAAACTGTGCGATGGCTCTGAGCATCTTACGGAGGGAGGGGACTCGTGTTCGCCAGGTGGCGTAGTCTGTGAAATCTTCAACGAAATGCCATTACTTGTAGGTCGAGACATGGACGTACGGCTTCCTCTAAATAATTTCCGGGGACAAGACCCAAACGGCCATGAGGAGAATTGCTTTTCACTAGCCACCAATCATCATCCTTCTCGAATACGAGAAGCTCCTCTTCCTCCTTAATCGTAAGCTCGCCATCGCCGCTAGCATCGTAGTCATATTGTGCTTTCGCATATGAGATCGGCTCAACGGTCTCGAAGTATGCAGAAGGGGCCAATCCTGAAGGGGGATGCTCCTCATCCCTGGCCTTTACCTTCGACCAATCTGCGTCGCTGTTGTCCAAGAGGTAGTACACCTTTCCCTCCTCGATTGTAAGTTCATCGTCCGAAGTAGCTGTGTAATCATACGCTGCCTTCACAAGGCCGATATATGTCGAAGTCATTTTCGTGAGTATCAAACTCCGATTACGCAGCCGGCGCCAGTGCCAGTATTTGAATCACGAGTTGTTGACTGGCGTGAGTTCGGCTGTGGCCGCAGTTATGTTGAGCGTCCAACTTCGTTGGGACAAAGCTCAAGTGTAGTCCTCAAAGTATTTCATGACACCTCTGCACCATTTGCGTTACCCTGGCCAAATAATACCGGCTTGGCGCGGCAATTTAATTTCCTTCGTTTTGCATGCCACACCATTCGATGAGAGCGGCAACGGGAAGGCCAGGTGACGGTCGTAGTGCACCGGCCGGCTCTGTGACAGTACATTAAATGTCAACATACTGTATGCATACAGTCTAATCTGTATCTGGAGTTCAAAACTAAACACGTCACAGATCATGTCCGCTCGATGATGCCTTTTGATTGTCCAACCCGCTTCAAAACTTTTTGCAGGGCTTCCCGTAATTCAGGGCTCATATCCCGAGACAGCAGATCTGTCGCCAGAGGATACAACGCTGGAAGGTACATTGTAAACTGGAGATGATATCAGCAACATTATACAAGCCCAACCTAGATGCAAACTTACTGCTTGATCATCAAAGCAGACGAAGCCATTCAGGACTTCAGTTACAACAGGCGTCCAGGCTGCAATGTTCTTCGCCTGCGTTTCAGCTTTGAGTAAATTGAAATCTTCCATCACCCCAAGACCGAGTCTGTTCACAATGATATTAGTGGTGTGGAACGCGAGGAGAAGGTGTAGTACATACGGCACTAAGCGTGTCATAATTTGCTCTCTTGTTGATTGATACTCGGGCCGCCTGTCCCGGTACATGCGGATGAGCACATTCACCAGAGTAGATGCGCTACTCGACTCCTGTTTCAGCAGATTTGGAAGGTGCTTCATAAACCCTGTCGTGAGGTTAGCTTCGGAACATCCTCTCAAGCTTGAGCTACGAATAACGCACCTACTTTCCACAGCCCCGTACGCAGTTCGCGATCTGCGTTGAACTCACGAGCGAATTGATAGCTGTGGTCAAGCTCCGCCATCAACCGCAAAAGCTGTTCAGGGGGAATGGTTGTATAAACTTCCTGATTTTGAAGCAGCTCATGGGTTGTCTCTATGAGAAGTAGCTGGAGCACGCATTTGACAATGATCTGCTTGAATATTCGTCGACGGTCCACCACCAAAGTGATCCCATTCATTGTCGGTGATTCGCTTCCGGGAGACAATGGCGCAGGAAGAAGCGTACCACTTGACGCTTCTTGCAACGTTTTCAAGTTTAGCCAAGCAATCTACGAGTGCAGCTGATATCTCCTCACCGGTGTTGTCCGAGGACTCGGTAGACGTATCTTGCTCAATGCGCAAACTCTCATCGAATAGTTGGTGTGGAGTAGTTGTCTTGAATAAGCGGACGAATGCGGTGACTACACGCTCCCATCGTGCGACGCTCAGTTTTGATACATTGTTCTCAAGTAACTGTTGGAAACAAGAAGTCCCGATTCTTGCTAGCGTATCGTTTTCTGCATGGAACAGCGAGTTAGGTAAACTGACAAGGATCCCAGGGGAGATCTTTACCTTGACATATACAGACACACAACAAATCCAGAAGTCCGTCCAGAGTATGCTCGAGAATCTTGAAGTAGAAAGTATAAAGATCTATAAGGTTTCGAAGCGCCTGGATCATCGTTGTCGAAAGCCAAACACTCATGTCTTCCTGTGTATGGAAGCGAGATAAATCTTGCGATGACCGTAAAACAGAGAAGATAGGAAATAGGAGTTCTTGGCAGACAGTATCCCAAAAATCTAACGGGAAGGTGGATCCATATTTCTTCAGGGTACTGAAAAGTGCATCGAGAGCTCTGAAAGGCGATCAGTAAGGATTATCAGCCGCTAGAAAATCTCGTACAATCGTCGGACTTCAAGGTCTTCACCGTTCATGATGATATCGTAGAAACTGAATAAAACAGGGTACCAAAACTTAATCATCGGATCGTCCACCGATGTCGAGGGACTTGACGGATCCGCGCTATTCGCAAGGCCACACTCGGGGCTGCGCAGCATTATGGGAATGATGCCTCGAAGCATGTTTATTGAAAGAAGGCTGATTTTTTGGTATTTGCTGACTTTGCTGAAGTCCGTCATACACACTGTAAGATCAGCAAACGCCCCATGCCTGACAATGGATGGGAACTGCTCTTTATTTAAACGGGTGACAATGTCGAATGCAGCCATGGCCACTCGCTCTGTAGCATCGGAGAGATAAGGATAGTGGCACAGAATGGACTCACTCATACTGACCGGTGAGGACTTTTGATGCAGCCGAAAATACGCCGAATATTGTTCGCCATCCAGACCGCATATTTACGACTCGAAGCTGAAGCATCTGCTGCAGGCATTGTAGGACCATATCCCGAACATCGGGATTCTGGTTGTGGATCATTGTGAATTCGAACGGCTTGAGGAAGTCTTTCTGGAATTTGAACAGCGGCAGCTCCTCCTTTTCCAGGAACCTCATAGCAAGCTGCCGAAGCGCATCCAATGCAAAAAATGCAACATTAGGATTGTTATGACAGCAAACCTGAAGAATAGACAGTCAGGGGAGACTCAGATACAGTGTCATGACATGTTCCACCTACTTGGTTGAAATGTTCTCCTAATATCACCCACATGTTCGACCATTCCAACCTAATGCGATTCATGTTGTAGTAAGAGATATCTACGAGTTTCTGGAGGCTGAAAAGGCGAGGATGTTCGGATAATCCTGATGATTGAATCTCCTCCCATGAAACATCGCTGAGCGCCTGCACAAAATCCACGATCGCTGTCTGATGGGTGGCTTGAATCAGTATCACAAGGTAGGATGCGTACCACTCACCCCATTCAAGTAATGACTTAAGGAGAAAACCATGTCGGCGGCAATGGTGATGTGTGTAGATCGACTTTCGTGAGCTAGCTCCTCGGCAGGGAGCTTTTTTGACCTTCCTTTACCGCTGAGAAAAGGTATACGAGTGGGCACTCGACACATCTAAGACTCACATACCCTCGGCGACTATCCCCCTCATCTTTCCCACTACTAATGACTTGCATACGCTCCAATTGACTGACACACGTCAGAACTTCGTGCCACGATCCTCGGAGATTATTCCCCTCGTTCACAGCCACGTCCAGCAGCGTCTTGATGGCCTCCATGTTCTTGGTTTTCATTTCACCCAGATTGTTCAAGAAGGTAAACTTTGCTAGAGTAGTCACAAACGCATTTCTCTCGAGCTCCAACTCGAAGAAACAGACAATGCGGATGGCAGCTTTGAACCCCGTTAGGCATAAATCCACGACATCCAGATCATCGGTGTCTTGCAAAGGACCAGACAGGCCTGCAAGGAACGGCATCCATGCTACCTCAAACATGGGTTTCACGTGGACGAAGTGCGAAGCAGAGTAGAACTGATCTGTGGACTTCCCTTTTCGTTGCGCGCGCATCATGGATTTGAACAGTGCCTGATTGTGATGTAAGAAATCGCGATGCAACAGTACATCAACCAAACCTGCCTCCGTTTTGTTAGCCATTCCAGTTGATTGCATAATGTAGGCTTCTTTTTGGAGATCCCTCCCAACATTGGCAAGGGCCCCAGCAAGTCCAGGAGTGGCTGTTGAAAGATTCATCAACATTGACGTCTCGATCTCATCTTTCATCCGTATTTCCTCGGCATAGATTGAATCATAGATAGAACTAAGAAAATCCTCCGGCAAGTCCTGGTTATCATTGATGCCCCGGTTGTTTTTCACGAAATCAGCCTTCGTCATTCTGCGCTTCACCTGGGGATTGTAAGCATCCGTGTTTAGCAGGATGGTGGAATATGCGAGCACATATACAGTATCTAGGGAGTCAAGTGAGCACGACAGTATAGAGTGCACGACTTACGATACTCACCGGCGTTGGCAAACACAGAGCCGTTATAGCTTTGCATATACCTCGCGGCAAATTTCAACATATAACGATCAATCTTTTGTGCCTCCCCAGGCAGTCGGAACGCTTGAAGGAATGCGCGTAAAGCATCAACGAAAGGAAGATCGCTAAAGTCGATCGTGTCCACGAAAGCATGCATAATAGCAATGTTTTCTTCCTCGCTTGGTTCAAGAAGAGCATGTAAAATTGGAGAAATGCACATGAAGAATCAAGCTTACTTACCCTTCTCCCAAATATTCACCAATCATGGCCTTGCTGAGCCCATCCGTTTCTAGCAAGAATTTTGCGATATGCTTAGGATCCCTGCTTTCGATGAACCCAGTGTCGATAAGGAACTGGACCCCCTGAATGGACGTTAGGAACGGACCACGTCGAATAGCAATCCACTTTACCCGTTTCGGCTTGAAATTGAATTTTTTGATTCCTTCAAGAAGGGTTGTTTTTCTCTGCTTTGCGCTCTCGAATCTTTCCGGATCATCGACGAGGTTGGGGGTGGAGCCTCGATCGATATCAGAGACATTCGCTGGGCTCCTGCGATCCAGATTATCTTGAGAATGTGTCTCGCTCGTCCCGTCAAGGGACTTCCGAGACTTCATTTGAGGGTCTGGGCTCGAGTCTCCGACGCCCTTGGAACTGGCTGTACCCCAAGACACCAACGACCTCAGTACAGAGACTAGACACTCTAGGCCTTGGCGCTTGAGCCTCGCTTCTGCTGCTCCAGCTGGAGTAGGCGGTGCTGCTGCTTCGGAAGCGGCGGTAGCACCCAGTGCCGACGTGGTCAAGGAAGGTGGAACGCCATTTGATCCAAACGACGTCACACTCTGCTTCCTTCCAGATGGCGATGCATCTTGGATTGTCCCTTTAACAGCAGTTGGGGTGGTAACCGAGCTTATCTTCGAAATGATATTCATCAGCCTCTCGTAAATGTTCTCCAAAGCCTCCCTGTCACAATCATAGTTGAGATAGATCTCAACCAATGCCTGGGAGTCCTCGCAAAGTCGGTGAAGCATTGACAAAACAGTCATCTTCTGTTTAACAGTCGAGTTACGCATTTCGAGAATAGGAAGGAAAATCTCGTTCAAAAGGACCTCAATTTCTTTCTGCAGTGTGGCATTAATTAGGATTACATGCTGCTACTGCGATACGCACTTTGAGTTTGGTCCTCATCCCAGATATGATCCTCCAGTAAATTTCCACGCTGATGTCGAACACTTGTTGTACGGGGCTGACGGCGTTTCGGCTTAAGCTGAGGAGCAAGTATTGCTTCACAGCCTGAAGCATGGTGTTGGATTCTTGAGTAGAAGAAGAGTATATCATGGCGGTAGGATCCACAAACAGTGATGTGTGTGAGTCCAACGTGGCCAGGACGAGATGTAACGAAAGCAGCTTTGATCTCATGGCGTGCGACTTCAAATCTCGTTCACTTTCTGTAGCCAACGGTTTCATCGTGAGTTTACAGAGCGCCCGGAACACAAGGAATGCATCCTTGATGAATAAATCCCTAAGCGTCATGGGTGGACCCGAGGCAATCCCAACCTCCGGATCATGTTCCACTTCGCCGTTTTGCACCCTGCATGGCAGTGAGGTTGGAATCAACAATGAGATGGAATGACATACTGTAGAGACTCCGAAACCTCTTTTGGAGAGTCATCACCTTCATTAATTACCGGCCTATCGTTGGATTGAGAGGTCTCAGGACTGGCGGGAGGCGATGGGATAGTAGAGCCCGGGACAGTGCCCGGGACAGCGCCTGCGACAGCAGAATCTCGCTTCGAGACAAGGGGCGACGCTCGAGAGTGGTACTGGTGTACGAACACGGAAGGACTATGTGGATCCTTCGTTGCGGAGGAACACCGCGTGAAGACATGATTAATCATTTGCGAAAGTCCACCCTGCGCAACGGTTTGGTTGACAGTATCTGTACTCAGGAGAAAGACATTATAAACAGTTCGAACAGCTTTAAGCAAGGAAGAATGGTGCACTAGTATTGTTGAAGATAGAACAAGAGATAACAAAGCCTTCACAATTTGAAGCGAGACAGCGTCGGACGTCGACTCGCTATACGCGGAGGTTATCGTGTGGGTCACCAGGTCAGCCAATGAAGCAGCTTGACTGGCAGAAGATGTTGTTGGCGATGCAGGAGGAGAAGCATAATTATTGACGTCCGAGCCGACTTCAGAAAGGAAAGAATGCGACACCAGCTTAGAGATGCAATCTAAACTGGCTATCATGAGTTTCTCGTTCTTCGTTTCACAAGCGAGACGTAGGGGCTCAAAGACAACCCGAGGACGATCGCCAGCTTGATCTGAGCGCACCACATCCTGTGCAGCTACAATACTCTCCTTCAGAGGTCCAGCTTTCTTGGCTTCTTTTGAGGCAGCTATTATGTCCAACGCGCTTGTAATATGGACCAAAGAGACGCTATTTCGACCATGCGAGAGCGTACCAGAAGGCCTCCGAGAATCATTGACTACAGGGGACGGTGCAGGTGAGAGTGCCGCAATAGATTCCAGCCTTCCACTTGTGGAGACCGGTTTCGGAAGGGGAAAAATGATTGGGGGCGGGGGAGAGGAGGGGGATAAAGGGGCTTCCTGCATGGATTGAAGACTCGCCTGGGAGGAGTCGCTCGGGTTTAACAGAATTTCGGAATCAACGTTCATTGGAGGCACTTTGATATCTGGTTCTGTGTCGGGAGAAGGTATTGGAGGATGTTCAAGTGTGGCTATTCCATTCCATTGCGGCTCCTCAGAGACGGCTGGGGGTACCTCGATCGCGTTGAATGGATGAGAGATGGTGGACTCTTTCACAGCGCGAACTGGGACGGCTTGAATTGTTTCATGACTGCTTGCAGAATCAATCGACAGTCGCGGGGCCCTTTCTGTTTCTTCTTGTACGCTTGTAGTGGGGACTTCCAATGGCGACCCGGGAGAAACTACTTCAACAGGCAGGGATACAGGCTCGGCATCGTGAAGAGCGGCTTGAGAAGGTGAATCCATGCGGACGCTGATTGTCGCCCAACGTCGCTATTATACGCTAGAGGCTAGCGCAAAATCAGCACGGCTTCCAGGCACTCGAGCAGGAACCCAACGGTGACAACGCAATTGGATTCAGCACCTGCGACGCTGTCTGCACGTATCTGGGCGACTTCGAGAAATTTGCTTCCGTCGTTTGGTCAGCAGCAATTTCCAAACCCAGCTGCTGCGATTCTGACCTGTAGCGCCCGTTCAGCAGGCTCTACTTCATGTTTGATACATGGAAGAAGGCATGGAAAGGGAAGAGAAAACAAGATGGCTCGCTCGATGATCGCTCAGAAGGTTTAGGTCCCGAAAATCTTGAGACAAGGGAAAATGCGCCAAACGTTCATGCAAACCCCTCGATCCAGCAGATGGACGCTCTTCCCCCCAATGTTAGCTCTCAGTCATTATTTGCAGGCGAGCATACATCTATCCCAGCCCTTCATCGTAACTTTCTGAGCGATGCGCCTTCCATACATCAGACCGAATGGACGAGTATCCCCCTGTTAAAAGGAAAAGAGTTAACGAAGGCCCATTGGCTCATTATGCACATTTAGACGAGGCGAACCTAAGTCTGAGCAAACTGGATCGTGACGATGTGATGCGGAGAACTAGAGAAGGAAACGGTGAGCAAAGTTGCGCAGATTATTAGTGATACTTCTAAAATGTGTTTGGTTAGTCATAATCCCCATTGAGGGTGAAGATGGTGCGTGATGTTCAGGGGCTGAGAGAACGCGATGAATCACCTGCGGTAATAGAGGCAATCGAGTTTACTCGAGAAATTCTGTCCGACAAGCAAACGGGTGACATTGCTATTTGCATGCTGGAGTAAGTATGGAATCCCACAAGATAGGAAGGATTCAAGACATTATCCAATGAACTAGTGATGTTTCGAAAGTTTCTTCTTGGTGCCTTGCGCTGAAAACGCTCCGAGGTCTCCAAGTGGTGGCCGCGGCGTCTGATGACGAAGATCTTGGTGGTCACGACCTCAACAGGCAGTCATCCTCTGTCGTTGTTGCAATTCTCTCTTCATCCGTGAGTTCCATGTTAGTCTATTCATTGATCTTCATGAGCAAGTTATTGCAGGCGCTGTTAGGACATTTGCGGAGGAACACAATTAGGATGGCTGACATTGATACCCTGATCCTTGAAGATGTCAGGCATGCTCAAGGGAATCACCCTTTAAGTCAAATATTTCTTGAATATTATCACCAACTTTCAGGAAAGCGACCACGCGTTCTGGGATTTCTTGTGAAAGCGGATATGGATGGCCTCAAATTGCTCGACGTCGAAAGTGCTACTAATTCTTTGATTCTTGGACTCTCGGACGGTGCGCGTTCTCATCTACAGTCCCATGTCGTGAAGCCGGAAGAGATTGTCACATTCTATGAACCTTCCACATACAAGCGCGAGACTTCCTTATGTTCTATCCTAAGGGGCATAGATACCAATAGAAAGCTGCTGAAGAAGCTATTTGCTGGTGCCTCATCAGCGTAAGTTGCACATATGGGCCAGGCTTACCTGGGCTTGAGGCTAACACGATATGCAGTCTTAGAGATGTTGGTCCATGCGCAGCCGATCTTGTTTGGAGGCGACATTTGTTGGCGGAGTCTCAACTGCCCTTGGCCGAGCCGGAACCGACAGGAGATGAGGCTGCGGACGAGGCTGCAATGGAGATTTTCCGGATTAAGAGCAAAGTTCGCCAGCAGTTGAAAAATTGGACATTTACTATTCCGAATATCAGCCCGTCTGCTAAGGCATTCAACGTAACGCCAAAGTTTGCAAAACTAGTGCAAATACTCCAATGTTTCGCACATCAAGGTGACAATTTTCGAGGGATCATATTTGGTGAGACCCCTGTCCCCACATATCATTAATCAACCTGAAGGCCCTACAGTCCACAAGCGATCGACGGCAGCGGCGATCGCAGATATGCTTCGAATGCTTGGTGACGAGTTGCCGCAAATCCGTCCCCAAGCCCTCACAAGTCACGATGTTGGAGCGCGACCAGACATTGTGGAAGAATTCAAGTCGGGAAAGATCAATCTTCTGGTTACTACTCAGTTTGGTGAGGATGGTCTCGACCTGCCTCCTTGCAGCTGTGTGGTCCGGTACGCTGTTTCAAGATCCCATGGACAACACCGACTCATTTAACTTTTGATAAGCTTCGATCTCTTCCCCAATCACATATCTTACGCGCATTCTCGAGCCCGCGCCAATCAACAATCCGGTATCTATGTTCTCATGGTAGAGCAAGGGAATGATGTGCATCGTCGCATCATTCACGGAATTGCTCGTCTGGATCCCCTCACCCAGCAGTGGGTGAATTCTGTAGCAACACTCCCAGGTGGAACAACACCGCCTTCTTCATTGCTAGAGAGGGCTCATGCAGATAGAGTGGAGAGTGACGATGAGGATCCGGTGGAAGATTATATTCTTGACCCGACTACGGGTGGTCGGGTATACATCAAGGATTCCTCTGGTGTCATATACAAATTTATCGCTAGCCACAAGGACGGGAGACCGCCTAGTCATCCAGTGTTTGAATACGAGATCGCTATGGAAGGTGGTCAAATCCGATGCACAGTGAACCTACCTCCAAATACTCCCCTGCCCAGAATTACCGGCCCACTCTCGTCAACGAAAGGAGAAGCTCGTCGTCTCGCTTGTTTTGATGCATGTGCACAACTAGCACATTTGGGTTATCTTGATCACCGCTTCTTCCCTCGCCCTCCTACGGTCCGCTCATTCTTGCCTGCTACGTATGCAAACTTCGATGTGGAGCCTGATTACGAGGGTCGTGGTAGCAAATCATCCAAAGTCGGGGTGCCTCTCCCTGACATGATGACCGATGCTACAGGCCAAACGATCATCGGGAAGAGTATGGGGACGCGCTGTTACGTTCGCAAAAGGCCTATTTTCTGGAAAAACAGCCTTGCTTCGGGTACAATTGATCGCATGTTTCCAGCAATCGTTATCCCCGAGCTCCCGAATGAAATGTCAGAGCAATATCGGACAATGTGCATTCTTGCTCGCCACCCACTCCCACCACTTGTCCCATTTTCCCTCTTTGTTTCTGGAGCCTCTTTTCCGGTTCGCTTACTTCGCTGTGCACCATTCAACACTACTGAACAAAGCATGGATGAAGTACACAGATTCACGATCCAGATGTTCAGATCCATGGCAGGCAGAGCTTTTGAATGTGACATTGAGCGTGCCCCTTACTTCTTTGTGCCGATGCGAAAGTCATGGCCAATCCCAACTGTTGGCTCGGAAGCTAAGTTTTGGAGGCCTCAGGTAATCGATGGAATCGATTGGGAATGCGTTGCGGCTGGAGCGAGCCGGTGGTCAGTGCCTTTAAGAACGTCATCCCCGACAGCATTAGAGGAAGACTTGGTAGATGCAGTCATACAGGATCGTTGGCTCGAATTCACCCGACGATTTGAAGTCGTGCGTTTACGTCGTGACTTGACTCCATATTCCAAACCTCACGACACCAAAGTACGTCAACGTCCTTCCACCAGATCTCTATCTCACAAACTCCGTAATAGCGTGAATCAAAATTCGAGACGATTCTCGCCGCTTGCACTGACAAGCGCCTGGATTTCGAGGGCCTTCGAAACGAGAATCAGCCGATCATCGAGGCGATTAATACTCCTCCTTTTGCGAATCACCTTAATCCTGCACAAAATCAACCAAACACGGCAACCCAGTCAATCTGTAAGACTTCGCTTCTAATGATCGATCTACTGAAGTCCCCTTATATTGTAGACCTTATTCCCGAGTTGTGCGCGAAATTCACAATACCTGCTTCGTAAGTGTTGTGTCGGCTGCCTGATGTTCGTTAACCAATGACGTAACCTTTAAAAAGGGTTTTTCGCACTGCTCTACTGCTGCCGTCCATCTTACGCAGAATCGACGAATATCTTTAATAAAGGAACTAAACGCCAAACTTTTTGATAACTGGATTGATGAAAGGGCAATGCTGGAGGCACTTACCACCCCATCGGCCAACGCAGAGTACGACTATGAGCGTTTGGAACTATTGGGTAGGTCGCTCGCGCTGTCTAGGCGTCCAATTTGTCCTTAGCTATGTTTTTCAGGCGATGCATTTCTGAAATACGTTGCATCCATATATCTCTTCGTTACGTATCCTACTCAGCAAGAAGGTGCAATGCATGTGGCACGACAAAGAATCATCAGCAACCGCGTACTGCTCCAATGTGCGAGGGAGGCTGATGTTCCGCAGTTCGTTCAGTCGAAGCCGCTCAAATCACGCTCCTGGTTGCCTTACAATTATAAGGTCTCAAAATTTGTGCCACCAACTGACGCTCCCGCCATCAACAAGGGGGATGATGACGTTGAAATGAAGGAACTGGAGAATGATCCGTACGAAACAAATGATATGGAAATCGATATGCTCGATGAAACAGAACAACCTAACGTCGACACGACGATGGGTTCCGTTGACGATCTAGCTGCACCAACTGCTGACAGTCGGCCAGATCTGAATGCATCAACCGAAGCACACAACACTGCGTCCGCTTCCAAGAAACCCCGCAAGCGCTGGGAAGATCCTCGCGTGCAATGGCTCGGTGATAAGGTAATAGATTTGACTGGCTTATCACGTTGCTCGCCCGGCTGTCCTAACATGATTTCAGGGCGTGGCAGATGTTGTTGAATCCTTGATTGGAGCTGCCTGCCAAAGTGGAGGGGTCGAGGTCGCTCTTAAAGTGGCAAAGGATATTGGTTGTTACCTGCCACGCGTGGACCGCTGGTCGGATTTTGGTCGTAAAGTGTTGGCACCAGCCCCCGATACCACAATCGAATTACCGGCGAACACAATAGAGCGGATTGAGTCTTTAGTCGGAGCGAAATACAGGCACCCACATATCCTTGCCCAGGCTCTCGTAAGTTTTGGTCTTCATCCAGCCAACGGTGGGCCGTTGAGCTTTCGTCATGTCTAGACCCACACGTCGATCCTTGGTAATGAGCTGCCCTGTTATGAGCGTCTCGAGTTCCTTGGTGATGCGGTCTTAGACCATTGTGAGTTTCTGCTCTATCTTCCCGACCATGGTTTAAATTCCATTATCTTCAGTGGTTATTGGACACATTTTTGATCTGCACAGGAAATTGTCCCCAGGTGCGCTGACACTTCTTAAGGTAAATAAATATTCGGTAAGGCTCCGTAAACTTACCTAACCAGTTGCATAGGGTGCTATGGTAAATAATATTGCACTGGGCGCGCTTTGTGTGGATTGCGGACTGGACGAGTTTATTGTGCATGATTCGCCTAGTTTGCAAAAGTCCATCGATGAATATAAGGCCGAAGTCAAGAAGGCCCAACAACTCGAATACAACCTGGCAAGCGCAGAAGGAAGAATGCCTGGCCAATACTGGGTAGATTTGGAACCCCCCAAGGTGTGAGCTGACTGAAGATCCCTGATGCGCTGTGTCTAAATTCTTCACAGGTCCTTGGCGATATCGTCGAATCATTGCTCGGAGCCCTCCTGGTCTGTGAGAACTTCATTGCAAGTGGCGCCGGGAAGATGTATCAGCGGCTACTTAAACCCTTTTACGACAAACACATCACTCTTCGAACCCTTTCGCATCACCCTACGAAGCTACTTTTTGAGCTGTTTCAAACCCAAGGCTGCCAAAATTTTGAGATAATTCGCGAGAATGACGTCCCAGCAGCAAAGGACGGTGGTCCAAACGTTCGTTGCGACGGTGAGTACGCCGATCCACGAGTCGGGCTGCAGTGGTCAACCTTTGCCCCCAGTTGTTTTCCACGATATCATCCTCGCTAGTGCAGTTGACTCCACCGTTCAACTGGCATCCAGAAGGGCATCATTCTTGGCACTTGATGCTCTAGAAGGGGATCCCGAATTTCTAGCACGGACCTGTGACTGTCGATCAGCTCAGGGAACAAGTAAGTCCAAACGTGTCCCTGAGCAGAAAGGTGGAAGCATCGCAAATTCGGATAATACCCGGCCTGCCAAATCATGAGCTGGCAACGAGTTGCGTCTGAACGGGAGCCCGAAACTCGAAACGAACTTTAGAGCCACACGCCCCTCATTCTTGTACTATTATTACCATGCAACATCGAAGTTTCTGCTATCCATGATACATACACATTCCTAGTATCTGCTGCAATCTGCTGCTAGGGATCAAATTCGTTCCCATCCATCCGAACTCCCATACTGCCTTTGACTTGAAGACCAAGGATTTTCATTTTACCCGCCTGACATAACATGAGCGGCCTCACGAGTTTGATCCACTGAGTACACTTACCTGAATCCGCTCATTTTGCACTTTTCGCAGTTCCGTTAACTGCGCTTTCGAGAGGTACGTCTCTGTCTCTGCTGTGCCACGCTTATGGTGAGCTGTGTGCGCCTTCAGGTCCGCGTCAGGATCGTATGTTGACGATTGCGGGAGAAGTTCGCCCATTCGTAGTTGATTCATTCGGGCTTCATGACTATGCATATTCTTGTTGAAGTCGGGTTAGAATTCGAAGGAAAGGAAAGAAGGCCAAGTCCCCACATAGTACTTCTCATGAGGTAGAGTTGCTGTATTGTAATCTTCAACGAATGACGAGAACAATTTTCTCTCCTGATCCTTCGACAGCGTTTCACGGTTGATCATTTTCTCTTCGATGAGCCAAGCCCGGAATTCCTAATGAACCATCAGTATCATGGCCCTGGCATAACTTATGTTCTTACATCTTCCTTGTTATACATGCTGGAAGACAAGTGCAATCAATAAAGCAAAGAATTCTGCTTTTGATTGCAAAGGGCAAGCACCCACTCAGACTCGTCAATAATCCCATATTTTCCCCATTGAGCTGTCACAGCCCCATCTTTCCTCCTCTAGAGCAGACGATATAATGATAATTAGGTACTCATCGCGTCCACACCCACCTTCTTATCTTTCTTTCTTTCTGTTCTTTCACGACTCCGACTGCTCCTTCGGCTTTTGTGCCGGTGAATCCTTCTTTCGTGTTCCCTACGATGAGAACGATGGCGCTCGCCACGAGCTCGGTCATCGTCTGTTTGACAATCGTTCGACAAGCTCACTGAGGCGGAATGACTACGTGAGCGACGCCTTCGCCTAGGGCGCGGGCTACGAGACCTGTCACTCCTTCGGGATTTATAGCGAGAGCGAGATGACGAGCGCGATCGAGAATGGCGCCGCCTCTTATGAAGCGGTGACGGAGAACGGTCCTGATGCCTTTTCTTTCTACTATCATGATGACCAACATCATGACGGTCCACCCTGGAGTGCTTGAGGGAAGGGGAAGGCGTCCTCGATCGAAGGCGACTCCGATGGTTGTCTCTGGCATCCATGGTCTTCGCACTGGTGTTAGCGCCTGAGTTCTGAATATGTCAGGTCACGTGACCTGAGATCCTCCGTCAAAAGGGTCCAAACCAACGATGGTGAAACGCGCGGCGCTAAAACAAGGTGGTGCTGATACCGGCACAGAGGAAGATGAAGAAGCACAGGTCAGAGTGCGCCAATGCTTTTGTTGTGTCGTGCACATTTTACCTGACAAGTTGAACAGGACATTCCTACATTTAATTCTAATCCTGAAGAAATTGCTAAACGCCAGTTCGTTCATTCTCCGATTGGGTATAAGGATGTGTTTCCTCACCTTCTCTCTTTTCCTAAAGAATTAAAGGACTACCAAGGCGTTCTCGCAGTTCAGCAGCCCCCGCTTCAACCCAGGTTGGGAAACACTTTCAATCAAAATTCCCCAGCTCACGTCTGCTCTCTCATACGTGTAGGTCACATCGTTGGGCACAAAGTCACAACCTACGCTTTTGTTTGGTTCAGCGGCCAACCCCGTCACCGTCTCGCAATTCAAGTTCTCTCCTGCCTCAACAGCGCCGACCATTGCACCCACTTCGTTCGCATCTTTTACCCCCCCATCTAACCTGTCTATCAAATATGACACCCAGCTCACCTTTTACTCGTCAATGAGAGGTCTCAACCATTCCCTTCTCAAATCTTTACAAGAGGTCATGACCACGGATCCATTTGTGGATATGCGGCCCATCCTACAGGAAGCGCTCACCAAATACACGAGCCACCAAGCAAGCATCCAAAAAGAAAATGATCGAAAGGAGGGGCCAGAGAAGCCACCGACGACAGAAAGCACTGCCGTGGAATCTGCCAAACCCCCAATTCCGATGACAAGTCCCCCAACAGCGGGTTTTTTGTTTGGCGGGAAACCAGTCCCTATTGTATCAGGCCCAGAAAAATCAAAAAAGGATGCTGGGGGTTTCATATTCAAGCCACCGACGGGCTCAGCTCCACCCGCTTCCACGAATATCTTCAGCGCCTTTGCGAAGAGTGCTTCTCCCGCGCCTGTGTTCCTCCCCCCTTCGGTTGCTCCAGATACTGGGGCCGAGGAAGATTCAACGATTCTCCAGCCCACTCCTCCAGTTCCGATGGAAAATGTGGCCTCCGGGGACTCAGACGAGTCTGCAGATGTGCCTGATAACGCCAAGCAGCCTCCAAAGCCAGTACCATCATTCCCTACGCAAGCCTTTAGCACTCCCGCCTTTGGTACTGCATCTTTCGGTACAACCGCATTCGGATCATCAGGCGGCGCCTTCTCTTTTGGCTCGAATTCAAAGACATTCCAACCCCAAAGGGCTGGAGGCAAAACAGAAGAAGGCGACAATTCAACTGCCCCTTCATCGGGTGCCGCCCCCAGCGCCTTTCCCACTATCAATGATAAGGCGGACAATGCATCCCCGAATGTCTCCGGTGCTTCAATAAATGGCTCTCCAGAGCCAATCCCAGGCAAGGCAACAGGTGAAGACAGTGACCCATCAACTACTTCGGTGCTTCCAGCCCAAGGATTTGGGGGCGCGTCAAAGGGTCTCACATTCTCCGCTTCATCTTCCTCCCCCTTCAGCGGCACAAGTAACCCCTCTTCTTCATTTGGCGCCTTTTCCGGGACAGGCAGCGCCTTCGCTTTCAAGCCCTCGAAAGATGATGAGCCCTCGGATAATAGTTCAACAACTTCTTTCAAATTTGGCGTAACTTCAAAACCATCCGTATTCGGTACGAGTTCTTTCGGGGCCCCATTGCCGTCTGCCGCACCACAAACCAAAAATCCGATCTCGTTTGGTTCCTCTCCCAAACCGTTCGGTAATTCTGTCGGATTTGGCTTCGGCATGCACCTGAAGGAGACCAAGCCTCAGGAATCAGCCATTCCGCCGGCGGACGCAGTCACTTCACCAGCAGAGCCTGCAGAAGGCGCCGACACAGAGGGAGAAGCTCTCACTGGAGCAGACCCGTTTGCTCACGACCCTTCGTCATCAGGAGATGCTGACACTGAGGGTGAAGGAGAAGAAAATGAAACTGCCTCATACACTGGACGATCCAAACTGTTGAAGTTCGTTGATGGTGCCTGGAAAACTTGCGGCGTCGGTTTTTTCAAAGTGAAGAAGAATAAAGAAAGCGGGAAGCAACGAGTGTTGTTCCGTTTGGAAGGATCCAAGAAGGTGGCGGCGGTGAGTTTTTGTGAAGCGTTGGTTTTGCTCGTTGAATCGCCTAACTGTTGTGAGTAGAATTTCAATGTCTATCCTGCAATGAAGGTCACCCCCAACAAAACCGCGATGAGTTTTGGGGGTTTTGAAGGTTCCAACTTGGTTCCCTATGGCTTGCGGTTTGCATCTGTTGAGATGAGAGAAGAAGCGCAGAAGGCCCTGGAAAATGCAATCTTGGAACTTTGAACACTGCTTCATACACTTGGTGCTCGCTAATGCCCTAGCATTCGGTACTTAATGAACATTTCCCTCTTCTTTATTCTATGTCGCCCTTTTCGCCGCCTTGTTGGAAATATTACGTAATATATCGATATGCTGGATACTCGTGACTTGAGATCACCACGTCTGACCTACGTGTGGGTGTTCGTGCATGTCGTCTGACAATAGCTCAGAACCGGGAGGGCCATTGGGAGAGATGCCTGTCCAAGTCGTCCTGGCATCCCACTCGTACTCCTTTTCAATAGCCAATCTTCCTCCGAATGCCACGATCTCCGAGCTAAAACATGCCATATTTGAGCAGTGTCCTGGCCGACCTAAGCAGTCCGGGCAGCGCGTGATTTTTTACGGACGAGTCCTAGGTGACAATGAGACGCTGGTGGGTGCTTATTCTTGCCAGAACGAAGAAGCGCAGTTGACGTTCCTCTGCAGCCAGATTCCAATACACGTACTATTCACCTCGCAGTCCATCCTTCTGCTTGGACCGCAACGCCACCACCATCCCCAAAGAGGCCCTCTGCGGTGCTTCCAGGAACATCTTCTTCGGTTGTATTTCCCAGCGTTGCTTCACCTGCCCCTGCCCCGCCATCCACAGAACCACCACTTCCGCTTTCTTTACAATTATCATCGTTACCTACGGAATTCATTACTCACATGCATGCGAATGCTCTTCGCATTCTATCTGGGCAACCGGCAATTTCTTGGCCTGGACCCAGTGAACTTGCGCACGCTCGGCGTGTAACAAGAACCGTCATAAAATACGCGGGTCTAGGTTGGGCATCGGCGCTTGAACAAGACCTCCCGACGGACATCGTACCTACTGCTGGTCTCCAATATACAACGGTCATTGTGGAGTATGTTATTTCAACAACAATAATAAGTCAAACATTGTCGCTGACTTGGCTGTAGTAACTTACCGTTCTTGGCGCTCTCTTCGCCCGACGTCACACCTACAGCAGAACAAGCCTTATCTCTCCGTATCCTGACCTACACTTTTCCGCTCCTTCCCCTCCTCAAACATCTTCCGCGTCCCTCGCCAGCGTCATCCAGGCGAACTACTCTCGCCTCCGGTCCCCCCAATCAGAACCAGATTATACGACGGTTCGGAATCAATGTGCGCGTGCAACGTGGTGCCCGAGCACCACAGGCTCCTGAAATACTCGAGGATCGAGTGATTATTGATGACGAAAACCCCCAAGCATATTTCCCGCCCGTCCCCGAATTTCGCTTCCAGTTCAACTTCCAAATCCCCCCTTCTCGCGTATTGTTGCAGCTCCTGTTCACGCTTTCGCGTGCTGCCCTTCTAGTTTATTTCTTTGAAGCTGCGCGCAAACCACTATGGCTTGCATGCATTGTTGGATGGATTGGCTGGGAAATTTATGTGGTTCTTCGCCACACTGGTCGGGAACGAGATGCTAGGGGTGCGGTTCAGGGGGGTGCTGCTCAGAATGCGGCCCTTGAAAGAAACGGGGCGATGCCAGCTGGTGGGGAAGGACAGGCACAGGCAGGCGGTGGGGCTGGCCAAGGGAACGTTGGGCCACCTGCTGCTGCAATCACCACTCCAGGAGTAACGAATATCTCGAGATACATTGATCGCATCGCTAATATTAACCTGGCGAACGAATCTTTGGCACTAAGACTTGCTGTTCGTGCTCCGACACCTCGTTCTCCTGCTGTTCCTGGAGACCGTCCATCAGGAAGTACGTCTCCACCGCGGGAGCAGGAAGTACCCGAGTCACCTGCCGGATCTTCCACTGAACTAGCGGATCACCTCGCTGCAGTTGAGCCAAGTCTGGTTCATAGAATGATGACTTTCCTGGCCCTTTTTTCCGTCAGCCTGTTTCCAGTCATTTGGGATAGACGCAGGGCACGTTTTAGGGAACGTGAGGCTTGGGTGCGAGAAATGTTCGAAGCCGGCCGACCGGATCCGGATGCGCTCGTTGTTGAAGGTAGACCCCCTCCTCCAAGTGGAACAGAGGAAGGCAGAAGGCGAAGAGATGCACTTATAGGCTGGCGCAAAGCTTATGTTGACCGTGTCATTGATGGGGAAATTGGCGAGGATGTGGAATTCTGAAATGTGCACCTTTGACGTCTCTCTTCGATTCTGTCATCGAGTTGATCATACGACGTTATTTCAGCGATCTCTACTTAAATCTTGATCGTCCACTGCTCACAAAAGTTTCATCATTGGACATAGACCCAGGATCATGTGGTGTCCTGAACCGTGAATCGAATGATTGATTGCTACTTAATGCATACTTTGTTGATAGCTAGAGGCGACACATTAATTTTGAACCTTCCGCGGAGACTTGAAGGTGGTCCGGCCTAGTGCAATCGATCACTGCCAGGGTCGTGATAGGCAATCCGCAGCGTGCAATTTTTGCTACAGAGCGATCCTCTCAACCGCCAAGAGCATTCAATTCAAGACAGAAAAGTACTGGAGTGTTGGAAACCGCTGCGTTAGTCATAGCATACACACCCTATTCCCTCACATAAAGACGGAGCCCACGCTTCCCTCTACGTAGTTCAACATAAAGTTATGTTATTCTGCTAGCATTAAATGCGCAGAATTTCCATTTTTCATCTTAATGGTGGACGATCAATTCAGTCTAACTACAGATAGTTGTCAGAAATGCCAGAGAGTTATCGGCATTAGCATAATATATGGTCTGTATGACTAACACAGTACACTGGTACATGGCAATAAACAGGCGAAAAAGAAAAACTTGACTGAGTGACTCAGAAACAGTTTGCCGTCATGGCCACGCTCCTTGCACACACGGTGACGATCCGCTCATTGTATGCCACGGTGTACCGATTGGGAAAATTACTGCTCTGCCACGTGATAACGAAGCCGTGGGGATCCTCCAAAGATAGGCTGAAGCAGCCTCTATAGATAGTCTGTAAAGACACGTTGCCCTGCTTGTGTCAATGGCTAATGGATCGAATAAGGGGCGCGGGAGTCCGAGGAAGAGTTGAAGGAACAGTGTGTGTGTCGAGGCGCCCTTCTGCTGAAACGTGGGGTCGTGATACTCGAAAGACAGAGTAGTAAGCCTCCAACGATTGGTTGAAGCCGCGGAAAAACCAATTCTCGACGCCCTCCACCGTAGAATCCTCATACTTATCTTTCCCGACAATTGCTTGCCGACCATTATCCCGTGGTGCAGCGCGTCGGTGCGCAGCACCGGTGTTCCATGTCATACCGGAGACCAAGGTGATTGCAGATACGCGCTGGGACTGGCCACAATTACAGCAAGGTGCAAAACAAACGGCGCAACAGATTTGGATGAATGGTCGATCAGATCATGTGATCAATCCTATTTAGGAAACTGCAAGTCGATCATCATTTATTTTCTGCCATTTGTGGATAATCACATGACTATCACATGACCTGCACGGACATTCATCCAAATTGGGCGCGTCGATTTTTTTGCACCTTGCTGTAAGTCACGCGGCAAAATAAGGAAAACGGCTGGTCGGCAACTTGCGTTGTCGTGTCTGAACGCGCCCCCTTCATTCTAACTCTGCAGTCAAACGTGAAATGCATCAGAACCGCAAACTCACAGAATTCTTTGCGAAATCATCTATGCCGTACTCAAGGACAAATAAGTCAAGTAGCGCGCCTGGATTGGGTTCAATTGCTCCCAGTACCTGTTCAAGGCCTCCACTGGACATACCCTCCAAACTCTGTGTTCCCATTCAAAACCATCCACCTATCACAGACATCAGCACGGATGGAGAGACTAGCAGCACGGATGAAAGCATTGTGCTAATTTCCGCGTCACAACCTAAGACAGCTCAATGCAATCGTCGAAGCACCCTGAGACATCAAACTCCCCGAGAGACTCTTGATCTTTCCTCATCACCCTCTCCCCATTCATCTCCCTCCAGAGGGCATACCTCCACCTCGGCGCCTATTGTACTCTCGGATTCCGACGTACAGTCGTCGAACTCCTCAATCATGTTTCTCGGTAAGGAAAATGCTCTAGACTTGAAGAGGACAGAACCCGAAAACATTGAAGACGCCTCTGCTGAGGAAGTTATGCATATCACTAGCGATTTCCGTGCAACTTCAAGCGTCTCAGAGCCAGAACACAACGGAGACATCATGGATTGGGAACCCACTCCTCCACCTGCCGCCTCCACCCCGCCACCGCAGCCACTATCACAGTCATCTCCTAAGACGAGCTATAGTTTGCCTACTCCAACGCATACAAGCCCTGGTACATCCGTGCTAGATGAGCCAGAATTGCAATTACGTCCTGTTACCCCTGTTCCACAGGCCCGCCTCCCGACCCCATCTACTTCTGTGTCACCTCAGCGCACAAGTGTCAGAAAGGATCTACGCGAGGAAATGAGCAGTTCTCTCAGTCCGCCTCCAGAACTGAATGGGTCCGAAGCAGGTTCCAGTGACTTATCTTCAGATAGTGAAGGCTTAAAACTTGCACTCAATCGGCTTGACGATGATATGAGCGACGAGGATGACAATGTCGAGATTGATAAGGTCCTTGGTCTGAATTCCTCCCGAAGTTCGCAGCCTCCATCGTGAGTTTTCCCCGCATTTTCGTCTGATAATAAACTCAGTGGTCCATCTCGACTGACCCCTATCCCAAAACTGAAAGGTTGTTTAGCGCCCACTCTGATGAAGAAGGCGACATAGATGATCGCTTATCTGCTTCGCCTGCGTCTGCCACAGTTCTCTTAAGGCGATCTACTAGAGCGGTCAAGAAACCCAGGAATATCTTCTTAACGAGCGCATCCTCTCATAATCCGCGTAGAAAGATGTCTGAATTCGAGAAGCTTCTCCAAGAGGAAGACCGCCGGGAGAAGAAGGGCTTTGCCGTCGCTTCCGCTGTTGCTGAGAAGTTGGCGCAACGAAATGACGCCGACGATTCTGATGCTGAATCTCCTGAATCCCCTGAACCAGCCACAAAGCCTCGTGAACGATTCAACTCACGTGCACTTCGCCCTCCTGCTCGCTCTGTTGGTGGAGATTCTGTTCGTTCCTCTGAGTCCGACTCTGATGACGAAGAGTCGAGACAACGAGAAATTGAGCTACGACAGCGGGTAGTGAATAAATATATCCGAAACAAAGACATGGGGACACTCAGAGATATCTTGACATCAGATGCCATGATGGAATTGAAGGGCACGGATAACCCAGGAGGTTCGCGGAGATTTTGGCGAAAGGAAAAACAGAATGCCTTCGTCACGACTGAGGTTAGGGCCCCAGTTTCAGCGCCATTGACGTCATGTTTAACATTTTCTTTACCACAGGGCACCGATCACATCTCCGTTCAGCCGACATATAGGTTGGCCATAGCTATGCATGCCGCCTTTCTTGACGGCGGTAAGTTGAGCCCTCAGCTGGACTATCACGCCACACTGATCGATACTTCGTTTAGAATCACTCCTTTTTTCCAGTCTAGCTGCTAGATGGAGGCTTGTATGTGCAGGTGTCGACCAATCAAAGGGCCAAGAGGTTGTGCGGGTCCTCACGGATGCTGGTGAGTATTCGCACGTTGTGATTTCTTTTCGCACTCTGCGGCTTATATTATTTCATAGTTTTATCAAGCAAAGATCCTGCTCTTGCTGACTGCGCCAGAAATACCCTTGTGGCCACTCTCGAGGCGACCATCTCATCCATAAATCTTGCGTCGTTATTTCACGAGATAGCGGCCCAAGCATGTCTTTCCTTTGGTGCTACATCTGATGCAATGGAACTCTTATCTCTCCAGGAGAACGCCGCAGACCAACGCTCTAATTTCAGCAACCCTTCAAAGCCTACGAGGGAGCTTCGCCACTTAGGTGTGCATCGGTTGATTTCCCTTCTAACCTCATTAACACTGTAGGTCCTTTACAACATGGCCTTCAACTTCCTCTAATACTCATTGACAGCGTCCCTTCCATATCACACTCTGAAACGTCAGATATCATCCTGATCATATTGATGATTGCTTGTGATCCTACGTCCTCTGCTGATGTCCGAAGACAGATTACCAATTCCATTCATGCGATCATCTCCAGATCAACGTTCGACGTTGTTTCCGTCAGTGACATCGACGCATAATCAGGACAGTCGCTGACGCTCCCTTTGTAGGCGCTCCATGCTTCCCAAAGGCTCGTACGAGCCACGCGCAAATGGTCGTCAGCGGAGAAGAGATATATGTTGAGTTTCATTCCTTCATGGTCCCCTGGCTCTGCTAGGATTCTCAGCTGGGTCGCGTTTGGAATGCTCATAACTCCTGAAGTTGAAAACATCACTTTGGTGGGTGCTGTCCTCCCGATGACCATGCCCTGCAGCATTGATGTGCCACTCGCCTATTCACAGGACCGCTTCCGAAATCCACCTCCCTTGGCTCGTATCCTTGAGGAGCTTTACGGAGCTGAAGGAGAATGTCAGGAGCACTTACTCGGGTTATTCGTCGCACATGAAGGCGGCGATAAGACTTTGAGCTATTTCGATCTGGCTCAGCGAGTTCAAATTCTAGATGCGATGGTTTACGATTGGCCCGCGTTTGTCATCCATGAATATAAAAGTAATTCTGCAAATCCTCGACTTAACGTGGAGGTATCACTCGCTAGCCCTGCAAAGAAGGGTAACGGGAACTTGCAACCAACAGAGCTACTCGTGAAAGGTCTTGAAAATTTGCATGATAGGATAAGTGCGCAGATATTTGAATCCCTCTGATTGTTTCTCAAGATGTTTCTAGATGATACTCGAGCATCTCACTTGGACCGTACTATGGCGAAGGATCTCATGCATCGTCTCCGAATGAGGCTTTTATATCAAAGGGCTTCTACCATTGAATCGTTAGAGCCAAGCCGATCGGGCAGGGGGAGGATAGACAGCCATTTCATTCCGAAATTAGATGTGCTGTCGCCGAAAAGTCAATTTCTGCTTGAAATGGGGTGATTTTGGGATGTTTCTTTGGGATAACTTATTATTTTCCAGATTGCCCAATGCTTTTACTCTCATTACCGTATAATTGTGTATATGTCGCGTTAGGCGAAAAATTGTTGCATAAGTGGAGGTTATAGCGGCGTGGACGAGAATGGATTTGTGCACCGCTTTTTTCTTTCGGGTGGGCTTGTGGTTTCTTCCTGCTCGATGTAGTTACTTTGCTCTGCAGCCCCTTCCTCTTTTGACCAGTCAATCTCCCAGTCTGGACTGGGCTCTCGCTGCCGTAAAGTATTGGCGCCCGAGAAGCGATGAGAGTCCGGTTCATCTTCGGAGGGGTTAAGGTCGAGATCAATATCCCATGGAGGGGATGGAGAACGTGGCGGCCTCAGGCGTGAATCTTGTTCCGCTGGTTGGACATCTGGTCGTCCTGGTGCGTTAGAGTCAAGGACTCGTGGCACAGCACTGCTCGGCAACGAGCTTCCACCCTGGTCCTCCCCGGAGTGCCTCGCACTAGAACCAGCTGTGCGCCGGAACGGCTGAGCAAGGGCTTCGTTCAGACGGCGAACTTTGACGCTCCCGATTCCCGGACAATTAGCGAGATCTTCCGGCGAAGCATGTGCTATATTCGAGAAGGACTGCCAGAAATGAACTACTTTATTTTCAAGAATGCGTTGATTCAAATTGGCTACCTACGCCGAAATGCGTTCTGAGGGAAACAACGTCCGTCTTGTTGACTCCTTTGATGCCAGTCAACGCCGCGCGGAGAATGGAGGAATAGTCTTGATCGACTCTTTCCTTGATGCTATCTGCAGATTTGTTTTCAAAAGCTTTGTAGGTTTGTAAGTATATTGCGACCTCTTCGAAACTGGGCGGTGTCATATCGCAACTGGAGAGAGCTCTTGAGAGGTTCCATACCTCCATGCAACCATGATGGTGAGCTCGTTGATGAGACAAACCTATTTGATACGGGTGGACTCAGAGTCGGAGACGGGAGCCGCTCGCCTGCCTACCTTGGTAAGTTCACGGATCAAGTTTTCGTGTTGGTCCCCCTGGTAATATAAAATATGCCAACGTTAAATCTAGGGATCTCGTTGCTTACAACGTCACACAAGATCATCAGTATGCGCAGAGTGTAGTGTTTCCCGAGTTGTGCAATACGCCCATGAATGTATTCGGGATGTAGGCGGTGATATTTCAGGCTATATGACACCCAAATATCCCAAATGAGTGTGAGACTAGAGCAACACGGCCACACACCTGAGAAATAATACGCCTGTCGTCTTTCCAACTTGATAATCGCATACAATGTCTCCAAACTGCCAAGGAACGTTTTGAAACATTTTCAAGACAGGATTCTGCTTCTGGTTCCTCCGGACGATAATCGCGCTTGCGGATGCTCCAGAAGGTTTGGGCTGCACTACTGGCGGCCCAGTTGAAGTTGATGCCTCATTCATTGCACCAAAGCGGGACGCCCGGACGTCACCCGCACTGCATTGACAGATCGGTTACTGTGACAGTCACACCAAATGTGACTCAATCGTTTGTTCAGGCCTAATCTTGGTCGTGTTCGCCGTTTGTGGGCAAAGCATGGGGAACGAACATACGATCCCCTTATACAACCGCGCTTCTCGGACTGCCAATGAGTGGAAGAACTGGCTGTGGGCATTAATTGGAGTCGTCATTATTAGCTCTCTCGGCTGGACGCATCACCTTGGTCGTTCGCCTTCGGCGCGACATGTCGTCCCTATCAATGCCCAACAAATTATTCGAGAGTGTCTTTCCTTGAACACTCTCCCTGGTCCTCCCCCCAGCTTTGCTAGTCGTACAGAGTCTGACCGCTATGAGCCTGGAACCAGAGTAACCCTTATTCAGAACGCGACCCTTTGGACGGGCGGCGATGACGGACGCGAAGTAATCGTTGGAGGAGAAATACTTATTGATAAAGGAATTATCAAAGCGGTCGGGGAAGATATTTCTCGGCTGTTCGATTTGCGGGGCAATGTGTTTCGCATCAACGCGGAACTCTCCTGGGTTACGCCCGGTATCAATGACCTCCACTCTCACCTGGGAGTTGATTCAGTCCCTGAGCTTGAGGGGAGTAGTGACACCAACTCTTGGCAAGGTATCACGCAGCCATGGTGAGTTTGGTTGATGCCGGGAGTACTCCCAGATTCTCAAGTCATACAGGCTGCGATCGTTAGATGCAATCGACACACATGACCTGGCGTATAAGTCGTCCATTTCTGGCGGTATCACTACATCGCTCGTTTTGCCAGGTGAAGTTGATAGTGCCCGTGACTAGGCAATCGGAGGGCTGAATTTATGCCACAGGCAGTGCCAACGCTATTGGTGGACAGGCTTTCGTCATTAAGCTTAGAGACACTAGCGAACGCTCTCCGCTATCCAAAGTCCTTGAGCCTCCGTACCACCTCCTGAATGGGACTCGCGTTGACCCATCCGTTCCCCCTCGTTGGCGCCACATGAAGTGAGCCCCACCAAACTATTAGTTACGCATCGTGAGAGTGTTCAATCGAGTCACTCCATTTCAGGCATGCTGCAGGAGAGAATCCATCTAGGGTATATAGTGGAACTCGAATGGACACAATTTGGAAATTCCGAGCTGCGTCCGTACTTCGATATCGTGCTTTCACTGCAAAGTGTTGACGTCCTTCTCAGATACAATGAGGCCCGGAAAATTAAGCTTGCTCAAGATGAATACTGTGCGAAGGCGTCAGCGGGGCAATGGAGTGGACTTCCACCCCAGATACCTCAGAGTCTTCAATGGGAGGCTCTTGTCGACGTTCTCCGCGGACGCGTCAAGGTACTGCAATATTTTCGCATGACTCACCGTTCTCATACTCTCTCGCAGGTGAACATTCATATCTATGAGACGACAGACTTTACGGGTATTGTTGGATTATCGAATGAGTTCAAGTTTCCCATCGCTGCGTTTCACCACGCACACGAGGCTTACCTCGTCCCGGATGTGAGCAGCGTTTTCAGCATCGTTCCGGCAGTTCCTTAATTTCAATGACAGGTCCTCAAGGGGACATACGGAGGAACCCCAGGGGTAGCTATCTTCGCAACGAATGCCCGCTACAAGAAAGAGTCGTATCGCGGAAGTGAATTTGCCGCTAAAATCTTGACTGACAATGGCATCCGGGTAGTAGTTAAGGTGGGACGCCAACTTCAACGGAGCAGTGATATATCCATTAAATATCTTGCAGAGTGACCATCCTGTGTTGAACTCCAGATTTTTGCTCTACGAAGCCCAGCAGATCCACTATTATGGTGTTCCGGAAAACAAAGCACTCCAGGGTGTGTTGATCTGAGACCTTACCTTTGCTGCCTTGTCTCATAGACTTCATGTCAGCTGTAACATCCACCCCCGCAGAGCTAATGGGTTTCGGATACCGAATTGGCTACTTAAGACCAGGATATGATGCTGATATTGTCATCTGGGATGCCCATCCGCTTGCTCTGGGTGCGACACCAAAGCAGGTTTTCATTGATGGGATCGCTCAGCTTGACAAACCGGCCACCCTCACCAAGCCCGAATACCTCCAGCATGTACCCAGAACACCAAATTTCACGAGAGAGGCAGCGGATGCGATTGAGCACGATGGCCTTCCTCCCCTTAGAACAGGAAAGAAGACGGACGACATCGTGACCTTCATCAATGTCAAGAATCTATGGACTAAGTCTATCTCCGGAGTGATCCACAGCACCCTCAATACTGACAGTGGACCAGGTGGCGTTGTCGTTCTGCGTCGCGGAGAGGTCATCTGCTCGGGCTCAGTAGCCTCGTGCTTAGTGATAAAGTTAAAGACTCACGCACCATTGATCTGAAGGGAGGATGTATTCTTCCTGGCCTGATCACCTATGGTTCTGGTCTTGGGTTGGTTGAGATCCCCGCTGAATCGAGCACTCTTGATGGTGTGATCTTTGATCCCATTCGGGGGGAAGTCCCTTCCTTTGTACAAGATACTGAGATTCGTGCCGTCGATGGGCTGTCGTTTGGTGGTCGTAATACTCTGTACGTGTCTCGCCGCCCTTGTGAAACAGAATTGGCCATTGATCACCTTCGCAGACTCGCGTACAGGAGTGGTGTCACAGCGGCTATCACTCCACCTTCATCTCGCGGCTTCTTTGGGGGTCTAAGCACCGCCTTCTGGACGGGTGGCAAGCATAAACTTGAGAGACATGCTGTCATCCAGGACGTCACCGCCTTACATGTTGGCATTGGCCACTACGGGGCCAGCGTGTCTACTCAGATTGCGGCACTTCGTAAAGCCCTGAAGGGCGATCTGACCGGTGACCGTGCCAAATGGTTCAAGGCAGCCAGCGACGTAAGTTCTGGGATTGTTTCCACTTCACTAACGACTGAAGCCCTCATCAGGGCAAGATACCGCTGGTAGTTGACGTCTCAAAGGCAGATCATATTGCAACTCTGCTAGAACTCAAGGTATAATTTTTTCACGTCGGGATTCATGCACACAATCTCATGTCGTGTACTAAATAGACCGAGATTGACGAGTTCACTGGCAACAAGCTGCGCCTAGTATTAGCAGGTGCTCACGAAGCTCATCTTCTGGCAAAAGAGATAAGCGACGCTAGTGTGTCAGTCATTCTGATCCCTGCTCGTCAATTCCCCGATACTTGGGACAAACTTCAATCTTTGCCCGGTCCACCCCTGACTCCTGAGAGTTCCATTGGCCTCCTCCTAAGACACGGTGTCACAGTGGGTCTCGGTGTTGTAGAAGAATGGGAAGCACGCAATCAGAGACTGGACTTGGGTTGGGTAAGTGTCATATAGGATGATTATCGATTAATTTTCTAACGGAGTGTTCAGGCTTACTTCGAAGCAAATGGGACAATCAGCAAGCGAGAGGCGATTGCGCTCGCCTCTTCCAATCTTGAGAAGATTCTTGGATTGGAGCGCCAAGGGGATCTCGTAGCATATGAAGGTGGTGACTTCACTGAATTCTCCAGTAAACCCATTGCGATCATTTCTCCCCGCCGTGAATACGTTCACCTGCTATGAGCTCTCCTTGTACAAACCTGCTAGACGTGCATCCATACCCTTTATCTTGAACAAGTCTGTGAACATGACCGTATCTTCCTTCAGTATCCGGGGGATCTCAACCTAAGGTGGCGAGGTGAGCTTATAATGAACTAGTGATCCTCTGTTTGCATACCCGAGTGAGTGATGGAACAGCATGCATAAACGCGTGAGCTAATTCCTGGAGTGCCGCTTGAAGCAACTCCGCATCTGCAACCGGCTAATCAGAAAAAAAATCAGTTCAGTGCAAGGGCTATGAACCTAATTGGGATACCGATGATTGCTCCTTCAGCTGAACCCATGATCGGAGCAAGGGATCTAGAATTCGATACTTCCAAAATCCGATCCTTGGTTGACAAACTCGCATGAGTGTCGAGAGAGAGTTCGCACTGAGAATTTGTATTCGTGGGTTTGGTTTGAGGGCAGGCTTGGTAACAAGCATATCTGACAATTGGGGGACGAGAGCCTGCACGTATGTATAAAAATGGTTGCGCTTAGATTGAGGAAGGCAACGAAGCGATGACAGGACACACTAACTTTGAGGAATCTAGCGCTACCGAGACCAAGTGCTCGAATGAGTTGGGGAAGGACCTGAACGGATGCTTCCATCGTGAGTGGTTCATTCCCTCCGTACGTCCATGCGCCACTAATCACTGCTGCAACTAGAAGTCCACATGTTCGTTCAAAGCACTCCTCGCTCTCTGGTTGAGAAGTCTTCTCGATGAGGCTCAAAAAGGCGGGGACTGTCGTTGTCAGTATACGGGGAGTCTCGGGCGACTTTTGAAAAGTGAGTGCGCCAGAATAAGACTATCTAAAATATTCAATCATCGTGCAGGAATCAGTGATGAGACTAACGTACGGCAGAGAGGAGGGTATCAAGACCCGTTCTTTTCAAGAGACTAGCGTCCAACTTTTGTAGTAGATCGTGGGATATGTCAATTCCTCGGATTTTGAAAGGGGGGTCGAAATCGTCCACTAGTGTCATGAGAGGTGGAACTACGAGGGGCCAGACGGATTCAAAGTCTTCTGCCTACGAAGAATACAAATGTCAAAATTTTTGGGGTAAGAACGCAATTTATCAGTTTACGGGGAGCTGACGAATGCACCATCTCAAGACATTCCAACTACCGATGCCTTTCGTCTTCCACTGTTGATCCTCAAACATGTCCTGCGTTGCAGATAATCCGCCCGCTGGTCGAGGAAGAATTCTTCCTGTGGATAGGTTGACACGGTTGTGTGGATTATATTGAAACAATGGCTTGATGCCTTCTAAGAGCACCTCACGAACAATATCAGAATTAACGTACGGTTTAAACCTCTCGAGAGCAGCTAGATGCAGGAGATTAGAGCTGGAGAGAAACCGAGATAGTGTCTCAGTGAAGACTCACCCTTGCTGAGAGGTGGACATTCTGGGGAAGAGAACTTGTCGTCACCATCGAAAGCAGCTACGGCCATGATGAAGACCGGTTTATTTGCCAGATTGTCGAGAGGCATGGACTTCAATTGGAGCAATATATTTGCTGCTTTTACTTTCCATAATGCAAGTGACATGACAGTAGCTTCATCTTCAGGGACTTTGAGTACTGTGCCAGGGGCCATCGATGTTTAAGCAGGTTCACCAGTTTCCCATTCTTGTCGTGCCCATTCCTCTGGGATCCTCAAAGCTTCCATCAGAGACTGTATGTTATTCCCTGTTCTGAGGGAGGAGTCCTGCTGATCCTCGTCTCCAGCAATTTCCTCGATGATTGCCATGTATGTCGAAAGGGGCTTGGAATGCCTGGACGTAACTAAGCACGGTGTAGGTGTGTAATCACGGGGCGACGAACTTACGGAAATCGTCGTATGGCGGATAGATCAACGTGCAGAGATTCCTTCTGTTGTAGAAGGCGATCCTTGTGATGTACGTCTGCCTTCTTGAGAGTCGCGGAGGCACAGAAGTGTGGGAAAAATTGCGGTTCCTCGATCCACTGTCACTAAGCGCCCACTAGCCTCTATCGGAATAGAAGGGCCCACCAAAACGTGACGAAGGAGAATAATAATAAAATGCAGTACAGTTAGCGCCTATTACAATGCCTTGGCATGACTCGCAGCTGGCGAGGGTGCCACATCCAGAGCTTCTCGTAACAGTGCCAATGATTTGTTCATTACTGATATACATACCCTCTTCCTCGTGGAGGACAATATAATGTTCATGGGGTCATTCTTGCCCCGAAGGTTCCACCGAAAAAAAACAAACAGGAAGGTTTGCGAATGAGTCGGGTGGCAGTGCGTTTGCCCAATCCTGGACTCACTGAGTCACTCACTCCGATGGACTCTGAGCTGCTAGGTCGGTTACTAACGTGTTCCTAAGAGAGAAGTTGCATTTTCGACTCTGCGTTTAGATCCATTCGTTGCTCAGGAGCTACCTGAGTCAGTGACATCAACCCTCGATGACTATGCCAGTTGCGCGCGCTTCAACTCTACAGGGAGATTTATAGCGGCTGGAAGGGCTGATGGCTGGGCAACAGTATGGGATATAGACACGCAGGGCGTCTTGAGATCGCTTCCAGGACATTACGACAAAATTACTGCTGTCAGGTGCGCGCCTTATTGGTGAATGTCAATTCCATTAACATTTTTGCGCAGCTGGTCGCGGAATTCGCGCTTTCTTTTGACAGCTTCTCGTGATTGGAATGTTGTCTTATGGGATTTAGAGTACGGAACACGTGTGAGGACGATCCGCTTCGACTCGCCTGTCATCGGGGCCTCTCTGCATCCAAAGAACTGGTATGGCGTCTTCGATAACCCAGAGCGTTCATCCACTGAGGGCGTCAACTTAGCAAGATCCTGTTAGCTGTCTTATCCACTGGCCAATGCTACACCGTTGACACGAGAAATGGTTCGACAGAGAGGGTGGAATTGCAATACTCGCCGAACGAAGCTGAGGATGAAGCGGAACAGCCTACCAGCCGGAAGAAGTACATCAATTTCGCCCTCTCGGTTTGGATGGGTCCCTCATATATCTCGTTATGTAATAGATTCAGCATAACAACGGCTCGTTTCAGTCCAGATGGGATGTTAGTGTTTGTGGGGACCTCTCGTGGCGACTTGCTGGTGTATGACCTAAGAAGCAAACAGGTTTGCTGCTCCATCATTTCTCCACCCTTGGGATTTCCTGAACATATATCGCCTAGCTAGTTCACGAAGAGAAAATATCAAACGCAAATATCAAGCACCTAGAGTTCAGTGCTGCTGGAGGGTCAGTGCCTGAAAATACCCTGATGTACTATCACTATATTGACATGCATCTTTTAGACATCTAGCAATATGTTCCAGTGATCGCGTCGTGAGAATTATGAAGCGAATACATGCGTCAGAAGCTCAGGTGGAGATGGAGACATTTCAAAAACTTCAGGACCGCGTCGGCCGCACGCCCTGGAGTAGCATCTCCTGGAGTGGAAATGGTGACTATGTCATTGCAGGTCCGAATATCACACTTTCGAGAGACGTTAGCACGTATCAATCTCGTCACTCCAGGCGCCGACCACAAAGCTGCACATACAATATACATTTGGGATCGTGTAAGCGGTAACCTAGATAAGATTCTAGAGGGGCCTAAAGAACCCCTCCTTGATGTGCATGTGAGCTAACCCCAATACTCATCGCTGTCATCTAATTTGAACTTCAGAATTTCAGTGCCATCCTTTAAAGTCGACTATATGCTCTGTGAATACATATGGCGGAATTTACATCTGGTCTACCGTGACCACAGAAAAGTGGGGTGCATTCGCAGCTCATTTCGAGGAACTGGACGAAAATGTCGAATATGTTGAGAGGGAAGATGAGTTTGATATAGTGAATTCGGCGCAATGCCGATGCATCCGCTCAGACATCACCAGTCTTACCATTGTGTTCTGTAGGAAGATGAAGAGGTTGTCAAGAAGCGGAAGCAAGACGAAGAGGAGCAGGAGGTGGATATAATGGACGTGTCGCAGGATATTCGTTTGATGGACCAGAACGGTGATGGACATCCAACTCAGCACCGATGGTTCGATGATGACCCTGATGAGGACGATGCAGAAGACTACTTCCCACCCATATTTGTAGAGTCAGAGGAGACTGATGAAATTGCCCGATGACACTATCTGTCCAAATGCGTCATTTGATCTATTGTACATCGCAGGTGGGATACACTAAAAGCAGAGATACAATCCATGAGACCGCCAAGATACCGAGAAAAGAAACCTAAATGAATAATCTAATGTGATGATGCGATGTTGAGAGTGTCCATCAGTTGTTGAATTAATTCGTGAGCATCGATGGCGCCACCACGGACTTGTTGCGTGTGAAATGCGTGTGATAGTTGTAACGCCACGAGGGCGTTCTGGATGCGGGAAGTCAACACATCCAACAAAAATAAGAGGTCCTGATCAGACGGGTCTGACTTCACGTTAGGCATTAAAGGTTCTGGATCGGCAATGAGAAAAACGGGATTCTGAGTGCTGTCGCGCCTAGCCAAGTCCTCGGACGTGGAAGGTGAAAGTGATTTCCTTGCAAGGGGGCGGAACACTCGGGAAGAGGCAAGAGTTTCCAGTCGAACCGCAAGCAGTGTTAGCTCTTTGATCTGATCTACATTGAAATGAACGCGGGACCCTGTGACGGGAAAAGGGGATGAGCTTAGTTCAAGACGACCGACTAACGGTTTCGGGAACACCAATGAAAGAGTTTCTGGTACTTCGAGTCCTTTGAGAGACCGTTCCCCAACTTCGTGAAGATGGACACCGAAGTTCCTCAGTGCCGCTAAATGTTGATCGGTCGCTTCGTCCGCCCGATCTAGCTCTCGAAGAACGTCGGAACTAACCATGATTTGACCTCCTTGGGCCTGTCCCATGATTCGTGCTGAACGGTTTACCATTGGTCCGAAATAATCGACCCGCGAAGTCACCGGATCGTCCGCACAGACCGGCTTCCCCCAATGAACGCCCATCCTCACAGAAAGACCGCGTGCTACCAGCCGTCCTTCGGAATCAAACACCTCGCCTCCTTCCTCAGACTCCAAAATTTCGATCGGCCAGTCACACTTGAGAAGTTCGGTCTGGACTACAAAACACCAAAGCATTGCCGCTGCGACAGAGTGGAAAGAACACATGAACGAATCGCCTTCAGTCTTCACCTCATATCCCCCAATCAATCGCAGCTGCCGACGAAGCAACTCATTATGTAGCTTCATTGCCACAGACATGCCCGCATTTTTCTCCCATAATGAGGTCGAGTTCCGGATATCAGTGAAGACGAGCGCAAGGCTTCCACGAGGAGGGGGCACTTCTTCGTCAAGGAGCGTCAGCAATCGATCCCTCTCTTTGCGGGGTGCGCCACGTCGATACATATACGCGTACGGATCCTCTGCCGCTTGTCGAGACAATGATGAAGGCCCAAAAAGGTCGGCAACGGCAACAACCATAATAACAGTGTTCCCATTGGCTCCGTAACTCATTGCGAAATCGCGGAGAGTTTGCGCTGCTTTCATTGGCTCTACTCTGTGTTGGCGGGCAATATCCACGGCTGTTTGAACGGAGACGTAGTCCCATAACCCTCTATTGCCGATGATGACGAGCTCGTCCTTCTCGGTGAGGCGGTACTCCCGCACATCTGGCCGCGCGTTAACTGCAGGGAGAAGATGGAAAAGCCCAAAGGAGCGGGAAAGGTCCTCTTCGTCGTTGACCATCCCTTTAGGAGAAACCCAACCTTCAGCCGCACGGATCCTCGTTGCTTCGCTTCGCTCGAACGGGTCATGCTTTGTAGAGACCAGATGGGCGGTGCCGTCAGATCTTGACACCACAGCCAGCATGTTGCCAAGATTGGCAACATACATGATTTTGGCAGTTGGCCTGTCTTGGATATAGACCACAACACCAGAAGCACCACTCTTGAGTTCTCGATCCACCGGGCCCGTGGCGCTGATGACGGACGATTTCCGTCCTGTTGCGGCATCCACTCCTTTGTTACCAAGATACTCGTAGAGGCTGCGATTTAGACTAAGGCACGCATTTCGCATAGCTTCCGGGACATCTTCAATCGTTAATGCAGAGCCGCGAAAAGATGAATGCCCCAGAGCATCTGTCAATGCCTTGGAGAAATTCTCATGGAGGAACTTGGCAGCCCGGTTTGTGCCTGCAGTGGGTTGAGCGCGACCAAACATACCGAAGAGAGACTCATCCCTGCGACCTCGAAAATTTCGCAGCGCTAAATCAAACGTCGTAGGACCTTCTGATATGCCAAGGGTGTCAGAAATTCCATACGCCATCCCATTTATCTCGGTATCAGAAGTTCGGACTCGTCGGTCCTGGTTATCATCGGGAACGGAAGGCGCAACTAAAGTCACGTCCATCAATCCGAGTACGCGTAGCTTCGAAAGGTTCGCGAAGTCAAATAATGGAGGCGTTACACCTGCTGATTTACTATCAGCAGTAGTAGGCTGTATCTGAGCTTTAATCTCCAAGCGCTTGTTACCGGATAGATTGAGGTATTTCAATTCAGTATTGAAGTTCCTGGAAGGAATCAATAAACCTGGACAATGCAAGGACGTCCGACGACCTACCAATTCCAGTCATACTGCCAGTTCGCGATGTTATACTTCAATAAGTTGTTCCCAACATCCAGGGTCTCGAGCCCAGAGACGCGCCGCAATTCAGCCGGGAGAGTGTGTAATTTGTTCCCGTTGAGATAAAGGACCTTGACCTTGCTCAACTTTGACATCTCCTCTCCTGGCAGAGTTGTGAGATTGTTGCCGCTGAGATACAACTCCTGCATATGAGTGAATATTTGGGGAGGCAATGATGGGAACTCCGCTATCTGGTTGAACGAGAGATTGAGCACACGTAATTCCCGCATCAAAGTCAATACACGAAAAATATCGAAGCCGTGTGCACCCATGCCAAGATGATTGTCCGCCAATAAAAGGCGCTCGAGTGAGTTGGCCAAAGGCGGTACCGTCCGAGATGTCGCAGACAGCCCTGCGGCAGAGCCTTTTCGCTCTGGTGGATCAAGAGAAATGCTTTCCGATGACGGGAGGCTGCCCACAAGAACGGGGGAAGACATCGACATCGCAGGATCTTGCCACATGTCCAGCAAGTTTGAGCTTGCATTTAGGTCTTTTAGCTGGCCGCACTCCCAGATGCTTTCCGGAAGCATTTTGATGCTGTTATTATGAACGCTCAGAACACGGAGTTTTGAGAGTTTCCCGATCTCAGGAGGCAGGGTATGGAGGTCGTTATTCGTGCAGGAGAGGTATTCAAGATTGCTGAGTGAAGAAATGGTGTCAGGTATGGTGTGAAACTTGTTATAATTTAGGGAAAGGGACACCAGTGAGGGAAACGATGCCAGAACTGCACCGTCGTCATCCCATGTCGATAGCTTCATATGTGACAGATCCAGGGATGTCAGCTTGTAGTGGGTATCTGGCAACGGTGCTCGCAAAGTAAACTTGGTGGCGGGATTGTGAGAGGCTACCAGGGCGTTCATGTTAGGCCCGACAGCGAAATCCAAGACATGGACAGTATTGTGCTCGGCAAGAAGGGATTCCAAGAGAGGAAGGTCCGAAAGAATCGACAAATCGGTAATGAGGTTGCGTCTGCAGTCCAACTCTCGCAGACTGAAAAGACAACGACATTCAGGCGGGAGTGATGTGAATCGATTCCCAACAATTATGAGACGTTGAAGTTGTGTGAGGTTTCCAATCCCAGGCGGGAGAGCGGTAATGGAATTGAAGGAAACGTCTAAGTCGACCAAGGTAGAAATGCTAGACACGACTGGAGGGAGTTGCTCGAACTTATTGTTCGAGATGTTCAAAAACTTGAGACTGCGCATATGAGCAAACGAAGAGGGAAGGGAGGCTAGGCGATTATTCTGGACATGAATCTGACGAAGCCCGGGTATCTCTTCAAGGCCTGCCTGCTCAAGTTCGAGAATCCGATTGCAAGAAATGTCTAGCCATTCGAGCGATTTGATGTGCCTGATGGCTTTCGGCACTTTCTTGATCGCGACGTGAGAGAGTCGAAGCTCGCGAAGCGATGAGCACGCTTGTACAAAGTCAAGCGGAATGTCGATTAGAGGATTTTTAGAGAGGTTCAGGGTAATAATAGATGATGCGTGCTGATGAAGCTTAACAGGCACAGTCTCTAGGCCCCTTTCTGCCAAATCAATGTGTTCAAAGCCAGACGGAAATAATTCGTTGTCGGCCTAATCGCGAACAGACGGGTCTAAATGGTATAGGATGTATCACGCATGATGACCAGCTCACCTCGATTCCCCCTAAACTGGCGCTTCGAAATATGAAACGGAGTAGAAAGCCGAGATTCTCACCACCGAGAGCGTCGATGTCATCGGTTGAACTATAACCTGCTTGCTCCAGCCTTCGTCTCAGAATCATCGCCGGCTCCTCTCGACTCCCTAGCGCCCGCTCTAGAAATTTTTTGAGTATCCTGAAATGCAAATAAATAAAAGGCACAGTCTCACCCCTTCCTTTCTCCCTGAGATAGAGTCGATGAGTGTCCCCTCGGATTCCCAACCGTTTCGTTAGCGCAGTGCGCATATCGGACACGGTAGTTTTGGAGGGGCAGTTCACAACATGATACTGCCCATCCACTCTGTATATTCGAATACTAGTGGTTGTGTGCTTGCGGAGATCAACAGCTCCGGGAGACAGAGGAGGGGGCTCCGGAAGCGATTTTTCACGGCCTCTCTTGAGACTTGGAGGTCGATGCAGAGCTTCTGCACGTGCTGCTCGTAAAGATGCAGCTGTTGGAGATGGTGGTCGGGTGGGCTCGCCAGCCCCCCTGCCATAGTCTTCGTCGTCGGAAGTTCCATCCCGCTCAATAACCCCATCTCGTGGAATAGTCGCCCAGCTTTCTGGGGCTGTCCAACTTTGATTCTGAGGTACTGCGTGGCTATTGTAATCTTTTGCATATGAGTGGGGCTCAAAGGCATGTTGTTGCACGGAAATAGTCATCGGGGACACAGTAGGATCAGACGCTGGTGTAGCGCGACCTTTGCCGTGGCGAGGCGGGGACTGAAAGGGATTCGTAGTCATGAACGTGGCCCGACCTACTCGGGAAGTGGTCCCAGCACCCGACGGGGGAGAGAATTTTGATACGGAAGAGGGTCCAGGTTGATCCCAAGGTGATAATAGGCTAGTGTCGGAAGGTGATAACCCCACTCGAGAAGAGTCGACGATTCCAGACATATCATTGAGGTCAGTATCCAGCTGCAACATGGAGTCCTGCGCTGAGCTGAGTTTATTGCGAGAAGCTTTGCGGAATCGTTTAGAAGAGGCAACCGAGAGAGAGCTGATGGAGGTCGTCGAAGGATGCTGTGAACCGCCCGGGTGTAACATTGACGCCCCGCTGACGCTTCCAGAAAGAGAAAACGAGCTATTGACCCCAAATTGATCCACGCCTTTCATCCTTTCGGTAAGGAATACGAGGGAACGGAATTAGCACAAACTCACTATTGTCACGATGAAAATTCGAGCGGCTAGCTTTCTTCTTCATAAACTTGAGGAATGAATTCTTCCCGTCCTTCTGGGGCGAACTGTCAAGCGAAATAGGAGAATCGTTCTGACTGGCGTCACTGTAACCTCTTGAGCGAAGATTAGATGAACTAGGCTGGCGTAGTTTTGAACTGGAGGAAAATGGGAAGGATCTTTTAGCAGATTGCCGCTGCGACTGTATCATAATTCTTAAGAATCAGCTGCAATCGGTGCTGTACTTTGCATATACTTACCGTTGGGAATGGCTGGAGTTGAGTGTCGAGCCATGGCGCAATAGCTGTCACATCTGATTGTTCCCGGTTGACTCTCGCTATGTTGTCACTGTATCCTAAGGTGGTGACGCTATCCCAGGGAACAGTCGTAGATACCGGCTGTGCCATCGCTGCTGCAATGGTCAGAGAGGCTCGACCGTGCACAGGTCCAGGCTCAGAAAGAAAGCACATGACCTCCTCGATCTAGAATTTGAATACAACATTTGCTTTTTGTTCTTGAGCTGCGTCGATATTGCGCGCTTCACAATGAGTCCATTGTCATCTCTGAGAACGGACGGGGACAAGATTGAAATTATCAATCAGTTATTGTTGCCCCATACAACAGAATGGTTACCCATTGACTCCGTCGCTGACGCTTATGAAGCCATTAAATCCATGAAGGTGCGCAAGTACGCCCGATCCCGAAGCAATCGAGTAGAAATAATTTTTTAAAGATACGGGGGGCACCAGCCATTGCATCTTTGGCATCCTTGTCCATTGCACAAAATTTATCTCGCTCATTGAAGGCCACTCCGCCACCTGACTTCCTCGCTACTCCTAGGGCACTTCAAGCCCATCTCAACTCGCTTCTCGACTTCCTCTTCAAGTCCAGACCGACTGCAGTTAATCTTGGGACGGCTATACGACGTCTTCGCAATAGACTGGGGGTTTTAATTGAAAGTGGCGCTCAGGACGTCCCTGCAATAGTTAATGAACTCATCAAGGAAGCACGTTTGATAGCGGACGAGGATCTCGGCAGGAATAAGGAAATGAGCAAAAATGGGGCGGACTGGCTGCTTCGTGTCCAGAGCGCTAATCTACTGGATAATGGCAGAGTGAATATGTATGCTTTCGTCCAAAATCTCTGATACGTTTTGTGGTTGACGTACTTCTCGTAGACTCACCGTATGCAACACCGGTTCGCTGGGTTAGTCCTGCGCCTCTTTCACGTAGACATGCAATTGCTCTGCTAACCTTGTTGACCTCGCCAGCGACTTCGGTATTTTTGATAGCTTTGCGGGATTAATCCAGGTGTTCACTATGCAATTTTTAGGGATATGGAACAGCCCTGGGCCTCATCACACGTTTGTTCGAAACTGGAAAATTGAATAACGCGTACTACACCCAAACGGCACCATATCACCAAGGATCTCGCCTCACCTCATATGAACTCGTGACCATGGGGGCACCTTCGGTCATGATCTGTGACACGATGGTCGGGTCCTTGTTTCAGCATGTCCCCATACACGCTGTTGCGGTAGGCGCCGACCGAATCGCCAAGAATGGTGACACTGCGAATAAAGTACGCTTCTGCTCTGCGTTCGCAGGACAGAATGATGAACTTGATTGGCCAGATTGGGACATATAATGCTGCCGTCCTGGCCTCCAGGCACAAGATCCCATTCATTGTTGTAGCGCCCGTCAGCACTGTTGACTTGGACATTGAGGACGGTTCAAAGTGCGTCCTCCCCTGCCATTGCAAACGACTAAAAATATCCAACTATTCGCAGAATACCCATCGAACATCGGCCACCCTTGGAAGCCTGCCTTGTTCGTGGCGCCCTTCACCCCGTGGCTCAGGATCAAGCAGTGCCCAATCAGGCGGTTGTCATGCTTACTCCCGCAAACATAGACCTGAAAAAAGGCGTTTATAACCCTAGCTTCGATGTTACACCAGCCGAGCTTATCGCTGCAATCGTCACGGAGAAAGGTGTGGCGACCAAAACTGAAGGATCATCCGCTTTTGATCTATCCACTGTTGTGTGAAAGAACAAAATAAATAAAATATCAATATCTGCTGTATAGAGCGTATGCGTCATGGCCTACAGGGGATCTGAGAATGGCGCGGGTAAATTCCATGAGTGTGAGATTCGGATCGTCATAACTTACGATGCGAAAGTCTGCGCTGAGAATCATCTGTGTTTGTCCCTACCACCGTGGCAGCACTCCTCTGTCTTTCGGCTTCAGCCACCATTGTCTGAACGTCATTGGTCATCTTCTCCATGAATGCAGCTTTCTTCGACTCGCCAACACTTTTTCCACTCTCAGCAATCCGTTTCTCTGTCATCTCCCTTATTTCTGCGACGTCCACGTCAGTTAGTGTGATTATACTTGGCGAACGTCGCAGCATCCTGCACCCAATAACCCTGGTAATACCGGTACTGAGTCGACTGACACGTGACTTACTATAGGAAGCAAATACGAGTGACAGCAGAACCGCAGCTGTTGTCGAACTGCGCGCCCATCTTCCTTCGCACTTGAAGCAAATATGGAGTACGTCTTGAGGGCTGGAGAGATCGCCAAAAACTTTCGCGTGGGGTTGTTTTTTCTTTGGCCTAACGCTCCTTGAGTACTTAATTTCCTGGTGCTTTGACATAGGAGACCCGCTTGAGCACCTTGCGGCCTGCATCTGAATTTTTCAACCATCGCCAGTTATCAAGACCCACTGTGCGTCCGCTTGTGCCATTTCAGAACTACTACTCAAATCCTCAACTAAATGTTGCAGGACTCCAACCAAGCTTTTGAGCGTATAACCTACAATACTCGCTATTTCGCTGGTACGGGCACATCTCACTAAATACCACTGGACATGTCGTGACTCTCCACCCTTCCTCAGGCAATTATTTTCTTGTAGTCGCAATCCTTGCTTTATATGCCGTGTATGTTGTCACTCGGCAGGACTGCCACACCGAGATACAAACACCCGTGCTTACTTATTTTAACCCCCATAGTCTGACAAATAAATGGCTGTTAATTGCCATTGCCTTCATCGTTTGCGGTTTCACGGCCATAAATAGACTAGGTAAGCCTTCCCCTTTCGACCACACCAGATGCCCCCCGATCCCTAATGTCATTTTCCAGCACCTGAGCCACGACAAGTGGGAGACTATATCATCACTCAAAAGGGTCTCTACATTGGTCTCTTCGGCGTTGGTACTGTATTGCTTTGGCTCGCTGCGTAAGTGCTACTAGCCGTCTTTTTTCATCAACAATACATGCTTATACCAAACCATGTAGGCCCATCTCGACGTTCTTCTGGATCATAGGGGCTTCTGTATTCCTAATCCTATTCCACGCATGCCTCATCGAACCAGGCGTCGAGAGTGAGTACGCCGCTGTCCAAGACCAGGTTTGAATCAAGGGCGGTCATTTTTACTTGTTTCACTGTCATCAATCTGGAAGAATAGAAGCCTTCCTTCACTTGTTCCCTAACTTGTTGCGAATGGACTCATTACGTGCCTTTTCCTTAATTCCTCCCCGTTCGATACCACTCTTTCTGTCGCTATATTAAGCCTTATTTGTTCGATCTGTATGTGAACCAGTGTGTTTAGTCCACGTGTATGCGCGAGTAAGTCTTAAGGCGCGCGGCGGTCCCAGAATTAGGAAGAAGGCCTTGAAAAGTCCGAACTTCCATCAGCCGCGGACGCTCGGACCAAACAAATCTAGGCCGGTTTTCCGCCCCTCAGAACCCCGTATATATGCATTTCACTGCGTAGCAACACAGGGTTCCCGCATATTCTGTTCGCGTATGTATGCGTACACGAATATATAAAAGTTGAGAGCTGAGGCGCCACTTTAATAGCGCCCTTTCCTGATGGGAAAACACAATTGACAACATGGATTGTATTCTCATATTGTCCTAACTTACGCACCAATGAATGATACACAATAAATCCACGCTATGCGTGTGCCACGGATACAGAAGCCAAGACAAATGTATGAAGAGAAGGAATAGTGCCCTCTGGAGTGCCGTGAAACATCGCATTGCCAAAAAAAATCACACAGGAAATAGGCATTGATAGATCACTTCGGACCATGTAGTACATAACAAGAACGTTAGCGTTCACTTCGTAAAGCGGTCGTGGTGAAAGGGGAGGGGGAGGGGAGGGGACAGAAGAGGAAAGGATAGATGGACAAATGGGGGTGGCTTTAACGAATCAGAATAACGGGAGCCATTGTCCTGGGGAGAGAAAAATCATTGTTGGTCAGCGCTCACTGTAGTGAAAATCAAGCAAGCAATCAGGAGACACACCGATGATGAGATTAGGAAGGTCAAACATATCCCTCCGTATCGTAAAGCAAAATGCGCAGGGAACCGGTTCCCCTGAAGGCTTAAGCAACACACAATGTGCATGCACAGATTGCGTGCTGTTCTCGAACGCATGAGAGGCAAAATTCTCCCAATATTCGACCACCGATTGGTTCTCAAAAAGCTGATGTCGGAAAAGATTGAGCGTGAGGATCAATGTAAAGAGGAGGGCAATTGATATATAGATCAGATGGGATAAGATGGGATGTGATGGAAAATGGATTGGGAGTAACCCGTCTCCTACATACCTCATAGATGAATTTGTGACCTATCAGCTCTTCCTTGTTCCATCCTGTTAGCATCGAGAATTCCAATCCCACGACACAAATCTCGCCTGTCCTTCTCCAAACAGCCGTCGGAGTTCCACTGAACGATATCAGCTTCTCAAGTTCCTGCGAAGATCAGATCCAGGTTATATGGAAACCATCAGTCACCCTTCAAACATCGTAAAAAGAATTGGTCTTACGAGTAGTGACCGTTGTAAAGCACGTTCAACAAATATCTCGTCCTCATCCGATAATGGCATTTGTAGTGCAATGAGACTCGGTCGGAAGATAGCCAACGCACGAACCACGCGCAGGATGTCGTTTTTCTCAAATCTGGGCGGAGATAAATGGGGAATCGAGGATGATCAGTATGGAAAGCGATTGAATGGGTGAAATTTCGATGAGGCGAATGGAGTTTGGTGCTGCAAAAAAGAAAGTGATAGTACAACCGAAAAGATAAGAGCAGGCGGAAGCTGGAAGCCAGCTCAAGCCGCTGATTTCGTCGGATGTACCAATTCCTTTGGATGGCAAAGACCCGACTCAATATCGTCCATTTCAAGCAATGTCGCAGATGCAAATTTTCTAAGCGCAAAATGGCCCAGAATCTTGCCTTGCGCCCCAGCGACAAAAAACCGTATGGATAGCAATGGAACGATTGTGGAAAGGAAAACCGGTGGTGGAATTATGGTGGGTTAAGCACGCACCGTTCCCTTAGGAAGCGCATAAGGAAATGATAACCCTGAGTGTAATTATGACCGGAAGTAACTGCCGTATAGACCATATCGCCGGGGGACGCCATCTTTGCACTAGCAGGACCTGCACGTTCGCTGCTCCCAGTCGGTGTCGGGCCGCTTGTTTGATACGGGTGCTGATTTGTGCGATCGGTTTGCACATCAGGGGACCCATTTGATTGGGGGGAGAGGGCGGCGCCAGGGAACGTAATAAGTTGGGTGGGTAAACACGAGGTGGTTGTTGTGTCGCATCCGAAGAAGTGGAGGGCTGTGCTACCCCTTGGTGCTGTTGTGGTGGCGGTTGACCCCACGGTGTACCATTGATAGACGGCGGTAGGGATACTTGAGGTGACTGGGAGATGTCATAGGGTTGTGAGTTCGGACTTGGATTCCCGAGGATGGCAGAGAGGATAGAGTATTCGAGATTCGCGGTGTGGGAGCCAAAGGGATACGTTGGATCGAAGGAGAGGTTGTAGAGATCTTGCTCTGGCATCATAGGTGTTGCGCCTTGGATGAAAGAGCAAGTTAGGACATAATCGGACGAAACAGGTGGGAGGAGGCGGCGCTGGCACGCGACGCACCAGTTAAGTCCAACTGATGGTGAGGATGATCCTGATCCATTTCCTCTGTGGATGCTTTCGCAGCCTCCTTGCTTCGTCGCAATACCTCTTATCAGGGAACAGGGTCGATGAGAAAAGTAAATTCACGGTGCATTTGAAGGGTGCTCACCGAGCTCATCATCGTCTAGAAGATATTTAGCCTTTTTGCGATGACCTTCCACACAGGAATCGGCCATTCCACGCTTAATACACCGTTGACATGGCCGTGCTACAGTGAACGATCAGGTTGTGAGCGCCTCCGTACGGGTGAAGATTGAATGATAATGAGACAACAGTGCCATGAACCCACAATCGTCGCAAGTTAGATGGGCCTTTTGGCAATGGGCGCAAGCGCGGGACGCTTTCTTCTTCTTTGGAGGTTTGTTGGTGATGGTCGATGATGATTCTGAGGATAATCGGGATAGGACGGAATAGGGACATCAGTTTGGGACCTCCTTTTGAAAGGAACGAAGGGGATTGCTGTGCATTCAGCAGTGCCCCCGTGGTACGTACGTTGCGGGTCACTGACGGGGACACGATAGTTATGATCTGGGGGCGGGGTTGCGGTCTCTCTCTTTCGTTTTGGGCTCAGAGCAGAGTCTCCCGGCAGCTTTTGAGCCGATTGGGCGATGGACGGCAAGTTGTGTTGGGATGTCATGAAAGGTGGTATTGGTTGTGGGTTGGGTTGGGTTGACTGATAGGCAAGCCTGGTGGCATTCATCGTGCACTGGTCATGAAAACCTGATGTCGGGCGTTAAGTCCTTTTTTTCACCAATGTCGGTAGGAAGATCTGCTGTGTATAATTGGTGCCATGTGCGGAATAACTCTAGCGACAAGCGGGCCCATTTTTAGCCTCTCACCCTCAGTCAATCTACACTTTACACCACGCTCCTCAGCACTAAGCTCATCTCATACTACATCCCAGAAAGCCGCTGCAACCGTCCAAGCACGGTTGATGCGACCTCGACGATGGCGTCAAAAAGCTTGGAATTTGCCCCATCTCGCTTAACCAATTATGGAATAAAGTGATCGGAAATCGAATAAAGGATGGAAGAATGGGTAACTAATAATTTATCACATTCCTAGTCCGGTCAGAGGGGGGTAAATAACACCTGAAGCCATGGTTAATGAGTACCCGACTGGCGAATTCAGCGCGAGCCATGTGACCTACCCACCTATGATAATCAGCCGAAGAAATTTGCTTCCGGTTGTGCCACGTGCGATTAAGGATTCTGTTCGCCCGTAGTCCTCTTTACTAGCCACACCGCACGAGAGTCAATACAACACGGCACTCACGGATTTGCCTTTGTTTTGTCGTGGCACCCTCTCTGTATGGATATTGACAATCCTGGAAGTGACACCTTGGGACTGCCCGTATCAAATTTCAGCGTCAAATTTCCACTGCCATACCGTGTCTTGTTTCTCCTAGGCTTAGGCGGCGCTTGTTGGGCCACTAACTTGCAAATACTGGGTCTTGCAGGAATAGATGCCGCCCAAATCCTCCAAACACGGTCTGACTCGCCTTCAGCGACTGCAGCACCTTTGCCACTTAGTCGATCACCTTCTCCTCAGCATGTATTCATCAACCCATCATATAGCTCTCCACATTCTATATACACATCAATTTATGAGATGATTTCTGTTTATCTTGGTCTTGTTGGTCTAAGCTGGGTTCTCTTTTCACTCGCAACGGGAGGAGATCGGACACGCCTGGACGACTTCAAGATTATCCCCGCTTTTACAACCGTAGTGATACTCTGTGCAGCCATCATGCCTATATCAGCTGTTCACAAGTTGCATTGCTCGGTCCTATACAAGTGAGTTCAGGGTTTCATCACCTTTCACTACCATCAACATCAAATATCAATCCCAACTTGGATCCAATTTCAAGGTCTTTATGGCGATGTTTCTCATCTCCCCCCACACAACCCGTGCACTTCTCGGATGTCATCGTTGCTGATATCCTCACCTCGTTCGCTAAAGTCCTTGGAGACTTGTGGATATTTGGTGTCACGCTTCTGCCAGGTGGCTCGTTGAGATCCCAACCAAAGGCACAAGGTCTCTCGGAGATCGCTATCCCTTTGTTGATGAGGTACTTTAGACTACACCTGTGAAGTTTGACAACTGATATTTGTTAGCTTCCCGTATGTAGTCCGGTTTCGGCAATGCGTCGTCGAGTATATGGGCTCGTCAGGTGACTCGCGCAGACCTCTGTACAACGCTGCCAAGTATGCAACCGCCTTCCCTGTAATACTTTTATCCGCATCGCAACGTCCAATTGTTGACGATGACCAAGGTAATTCCTGGAGAACAGAATACCCTCTGTTTCGCATGTGGTGGGTCATTTGGCTTCTACTTTTACCCTTTGTCAAGCAAGTTGATTGATGACGAAACATGATTTCAAAGGGTAATTGCAGTTCTAGTAAACTCTGTCTATTCTTTCTGGTGGGATGTGACGAACGATTGGGGCCTTTCACTGTTATTGCCTCGTTTTGCTCCACCTCATCTTCAGACTCGCGGATCCAGTCCATTATACCAGGGTCTCGCATCCAGTGAAGCGATTGATTTATCCACCAACTTGCACTCCAGAAAACAATCGTCCTCGATGCGTCGCTCCTTCACCCTTCCCCCCACACACCCAGCACAACACCCGGGAGCCCATTTCGTCCTTCATCTCCTATTGACCTTCAAAATGATGGCGGCTTTACCTCCTCTGCGCCCTCACGACCTCCCCGAGTAACACCAGGCTTACGGCATCCACTACTCTTCCAAGAGCCCGTCATCTATTACCTCGCCATCTTTTTCAACTTCCTCCTTCGATTCACTTGGTCGTTAAAGCTTTCATCTCACCTACACACAGTCGCGGAGTTAGAATCTGGCGTATTCCTAATGGAGGCGCTAGAGCTTATTCGGAGGTGGATGTGGGTGTTTTTGAGAATAGAATGGGAGGCTGTGAAGAAAGGTTATAAGAATGCAAATATGGAAAATGGGTTCATTGTGGACGAGTGTCATCGCGTTGATGCGGCCCACATACTAAGAGTGCGCCCTGAGGAACTGAGCATGTTGCCGTTGGGTGTAAGAGCGGAACGATCGTTTAATAGACAGTAGATTTTCTCGTTTGTCGTTTTTTTTAGCTTATTTTTGTTGGTTGTCTAAGGAGGCGATACCATTGGCACGAGGTGCATTACTGTTGTTAGTGACGGTGATCTGAGTGCACCGGAATAAAAGAGCAAGACTTCCGAGTCGAGATTCTAGATGCCGATTATACTCGTCTGTTCACAAGTTTTTCAAGGGTGGAACCGCTCGCAAGTTGGAACTCATCCGTCCCAGTAGGTACTAACATTCCTCCCTTCTTCGTTAACCTCCCTTGCCTCCGAATAGCTTCCTTCATCCTCACAGCGGTTAGCGTAGAATCCTCATCATCGCTCTCTCCAGCCTTCCTCTTCTTCCCTCTCTGTAATCCACTGTTTCTGGATCCGTGGGCATCGCTTCCACCGATCTTTTTTTTGGGATTCATTGAAGTAGCAAGTGTGACCTGATTAGGGGCGTCACGAAGAGCAAACGCCTTGGCTAGATGTCCCAAATGCAAATTTTTTACATGGAAGATATGCTTTTCGCTCGAAGGGTGAGTTGCGTATGCCCTCATGTGAGATTGATAAGCTCTTCGGGCCCAGTTCGAGTTCTTTTAAAGATAATAATGAAGGAACAAGACCGTGGAATCAGCGCCTCATACTTGATACAATGGATGCATGAACGACGCACCTCTGCGGAAACAAGAACCCATTGTTCTGAAGCGAGTTGGACTTGGGTAGCACGAGCTTCATACTCGCTTCTCTTCCCCCCAAAACCTCGTCGAAGCACCTCCTCAACTGCAATAGCCTCAAGCTTCACCGCCTTCGTTTCATCATCTGACATGCTTTTTTCAATCCAAGGAACCCATTCCGTCTCACTCGGAGTAACGAAGGACCATGCTTCGCCTCCTCTACCAGCTCGTGCTGTGCGTCCTACACGGTGCACGTATTCGTCCGCTCCGTTTTCTGTCGGTAAGTCGTATTGAATGACGGCTCGAACGAGAGGCATATCGAGACCACGAGAAGCGACGGAAGTGCAAAGGAGCACGGCAGATTCTGATGGCACGGAAACGTCTGTCTCTTGTTTTTGAATGGAGTTATTCAAGCGTGCCGAGAAAGCTTTCACCGTGTTGAGACGGGTAGAGAGGGGAAGATTACCATGGAGTCGGAATATGGAGGTGCTCGGTAGTAGTGCACATTTCACGGAGATGGGCATTGAATCGACGGATTCGTGTGGTCTGGAAATTTTCTTGTCCGCATAATCTGATTCATTGTCACTAGACGCTTCTGCCGTCCCCCGCTCATGCTGACCCCACCTAGGAGCCGCCAATGGAAATCAACCGAGTCTGTGCAACTCAAGAAGACGATGATACGGGTGCTGCTTGGAGCGTTGGTTGAAGTATTGCCGATGAGAGCACGGATGAGGGCAATCAATGAGACAAGTCGGAGTTTCAAGGGTATCGTGACGTATTTTTGAGCAAGCTGAGATGGGGGCGTGAACTTGGCGACGGTTTCTGATGACTTCGCATCCGTTGAGGGCTTAATGACAGCATCAGTGCTTGCGGCTTCCAGTTCATCCCCTTTGATCATGACAGGATCAGATAGCGCATGGCCTGCTAGTTGCTGGACATGATCTCTGATGGTCGCAGAACACAAAATTGTTCTTCGCCTCCTGGACCAATCCCAACCCCCAAAATTCTGAGTGTAATCACCCTTGGCAGCTGCTTCCATAGCCAAGTTCCGTCTCCCGTCCAAAGCACGAATGATGCCCTTGACAGTCTCTTCAAACCCTAACTCCATCAATCGATCAGCTTCATCGAGGACGAGCCATTGACACTTCCCAACGTTAAAGGATTCTGTGTTTTGTAGGTGATCCAACAGTCGTCCGGGTGTTCCCACTAGGATGGGAACGCCTTTTCGTAGACGTGCTTTTTCATGAGTCCGAGTGGAGCCCCCAGTGAGAACACCGGAAACGAGCCATCTCGCGAGACGCTTCGGCTCCTCAGGCTGAGTATCCTCTACTTCAGGGCGAAGACGTAACTGGAGAAGCACCTCAAGCACATCAGATATTTGGTTCGCAAGTTCCCTGGTGGGTGCTATGATTATAGCCAGTGTCCCGATCGATCGGTCGATGTAAGAAAGACTACTGAGGGGGAGAAGACTGTGGATGATAGGAAGCAAATACGCAAGAGTTTTTCCTGACCCAGTTTGAGCCTGTATGAAAACATCTCGAGTACTATTATGATTTCCAAGCATATTCGCCAAAGATGCACGTTGTATAGACGTAGGTGCATTGATAGACATCCTCTTCTTGAGGTGAGCAATAATTAATGGATTTAATTCCAGCTCGCTGAATGTAAATTTGTCTTTAAGAGGCGCATTACTTGGCCCCTTGGGAGCAGTGTCGTTTGTAGACTCAGGAACTACGATCTCGGGGTTGTATGTGAAGAGTGACGAGATGAACTGATTAGATCGAGCGGGGCCAGATGATTCAGGTTGGAAGGGGGTATGCTTGGGATTGTCGCCATTAAGGGTATCCAGTCTGGAGCGCTTGGTAGGTCGAACTACCCCATGCCCACTGCTTTTTGTCGCCTGAGGACGAATGATCCGTTCCACTGGTTGAGTAACTCGGTTTCTGGCTGGTTCTCTGGATGGCTCATGGGCCACGACGTGAGTATGCTCCTGCAGCGCATAGTCACGGCAATGAAACTTACCTTTCCGCCTTCCTACTTTTCCTTCTACTCCCAACGGCTGCCCTTGGTCTCGCAGGCTCATCATAAGTTATGTTCAAAATCAGCCCGTCGTCCATCCTGGAGCAGTTTCGGGGAAGTAACGTGACCCGTTTGTTTCCCCGGCGCCACGTCTTATCATCACAAAATGCTGCTCAAGCTTGGTTCTTTGTTCTTGGGTATCTTGCTTTCTTTCGTCTTTCTTTCCGGTGCAGTCGCCGCCGCCGACTCTGCGCCTAAGACGGGCCCAAAAATTACTAGCGTTGTTTATTTCGATATTGAACATGGTGGAAAGTCATTGGGTCGCGGTACGGTTTTTCCTATTTGTTAGTTATGGATGTGTTTTTACCAATGTCACCACTTGTATTAGTCACTATGGGCTTGTTTGGTGGCACTGTCCCAAAAACCGCTGAGAACTTCCGCGCTTTGGTGACCCAGACTAAGAAAGATGGAACGAAGATTGATTACGGTTACAAAGGATCCAAATTTCACCGTGTAATCAAGGACTTCATGTAAGTAGGGTCCTTCTTATGTCCCATCTTCTGTTCACACTTCATTGTAGGATTCAAGGCGGTGACTTCAGTACGTCCACTACCGCTGATGCTAAGGTATTCTCCTGATCATGGGTTAACAGCCCGCGGCGATGGCACTGGTGGCAAATCTATCTATGGTGCCAAGTTCCCGGATGAGAATTTGTACGTCTCGTAATTGTGTGATTCGTGGGGTGTCATGTTAAACCTGCTGCCACAGCAAGTTGAAGCATACCGGACCCGGTCTTCTCTCTATGGCTAACTCAGGAAAGGTGAATTTGCGGTCCAACCGTCGTATTTTTATCTCTTTGACCCCAATTTCGTTTGATAGGATACAAATGGTATACCTTCCGTTTTGATTTATGACAGCATTGTGCTCATTATACCTCCTTCTTAACTGAAAGGCTCTCAATTCGTAAGTCATGAATGCATTACGCCACGCTAGGCTGAATAACATTTCTCTTCCAGTTCATCACTACCGTCAAGACCAGCTGGTTAGATGGCCGTCATGTTGTTTTCGGGAAAGTCCTTAGTGGGATGGAAGTCGTCCACGCAATCGGTGGGTTCGCTATTGCACCTTGATTTGTTCCTATCCTGATGATGTGTGCAGAAAATGCACCGAAAGATGGCCAGGACAGACCCACAGATGAGGCTGTTATCGTGGCTTGTGGCGAGGCACGTTCAGATGTATTGTCCCAGGGACTTATTACTAAAGCATTCTCCACTCAACAGCTTCCTGTTCCTGAGCAAACTGATGAGGACGGCAATAAGGTGCCTCTTCGTGCCGAACTCTAATTCGTGATCAATTGTTGATTACCTTGTATCCCCAAAATTCATAATGTATGCTGTCAACTTTTCTCTAGCCGGTTATCACTAAGCCCGAACCAACGGCGAAGCATGCGACATCTGTCACTGTGTCTGCCCCATCATCCGGGGAGAAAGTCGCCATTCCAGAGGGCCGAAAACTGATTTTCCGTGTTCTCGTCATTGTTGCTCTTCTGTTCCTAGGAGTTGTTTGCTGGAGATTTCACCGTGTCGTTGTGGCAAGGCCAAGGCTATTTGGTTTCAAGAGACCAGGAAGAGGTTTAAGTATACAAAAGCGGATGAGGATGACAGCAGGGTTTAGAGCCCACTACATACAGAAGCCAGCACACTCGACGGTCGCACCCTTCATTCCTCCACTCTCATCCAGCAGATGTCTGCGTACAGTGATAATATTAGTGAATGAAAGATCGATCGTGTCGACTGGGGCTAGAACTGAGCCCATGAGTTCAAATTTGGCCCCGCAAAGCACGAGTACATTAATATATTATGAATGAGGAGAAGCCCTCCATCCTTCGTCTAGTCTATCGAGTAATCCTTGAACCTCGTTTACTGCCCCTTTTCGAGCGGAGCGGACTTCAGACCAGCCACTCTCTGGTGTGATTGCATCGAGTCGTAAGAGACTCTGCAGTAGGAGCTCCCCCAGTACGCGGTGTGTCTGCTTTGGATCGTTGTGGTTGAGGTGCAGTGTAGCGGCAGGAATAGATGGGGAAGGTGAAGAGGGATCTAGTGATACAATGAACGCATCCACTGAGGGCTTGAGTGTTGTTCGAACATTTTCGAGCTCCGACAGTATTGTATTTAAAGTGGACCGTTCAGTGGCGGGTGCGGGCGCCTGTGAAGGTGTCATCCCCGAGCCAAAAACTGAGGGACCTGTTGGAGGATCATTTGTTCCGATGATAGCTATGGTGGAATTGGGCTTTATGCGGTACGTTGAAAGAGACACTGAATCATCCTTCATGACAGCACCTGAGTGGATCATTTTGAAGCGATTTGGCTCCAGACCCGTGTGTTCGGCGATCGCCTCCCGCAGCACCTTCAGCGGCACATCAGGATCGTTAGGGAGCGTCAGATGTAGACTTTTCACCCCCAGATGTTAGTGACCAGCGCGCGACACAAAGATGAAAGCCAGTCGCAATCTCACCGCTCTTTCCCCCATTTGCACGTTATACTCATGTGTTTCTTACGTGACCAAAATCGACTAGTGAAGCTAGTCGAGGAGAGTGAGAACTTCACCAGGGCGAGAAGGACGACGCCAACCGCGAGCGCAAAGCCCCCTATTGAATCAAGATAAGCTTAACGATCACCTTCACAACCCTGTTAGCCTCGTGCCCACCAGTCAAATACAGGATGACAATGAAAACGTGCCCGGAACGGACAAAAGGCAATTCTGGAGACACCGTAAGAAAGTCAATCGTCGGAGTTCGCCGCAACAGCCTAGAGACTCTGACGAACGGGCAATCAGCAGCGTTCTTCTCAACAATGAGTGACACCGACTCCGACCCAGGCTCTCCCCCAGAGTTCTCGATGAAGGATGTCACCAGTCCAAAAGTTCTATCTCCCTCATCCCTCTCAGACTCAGCAACCAACTCCCCACGTCCAACGCTAGTGCCGCCTTCGCTGGCGAGTTCCATACTGACCCTGCTTCTCGGACTCCATTCGCGGCCAGATTAGCCGGTAACAGGCCGTTAGGCCGAGGCAGCAATATCGGCTCGTCTCTAAGGACGCCTATTGCCTCTGCTGCAACACCAATCCCACCAAGCCTGCAGGCGAAACTGGTATGTTATCGTGTGACCGCCTCATGCATCTCCTCGACGATCTAATGATCCGATCCAATACCAAGAATGCTTCTCGTGCTCCCCGTGCATCGGCTGCAGGTACACCCGCGATCGGAATCGGCGCCGCCGGAATTGAAGGCGCTATGAATGGTTTTAGTCAAATGAGCATCAGCGCCATTAAATCCCCACACCGCGTTCCTCCCGGAATGTCCTCTTCAGGAAGAAGGTCCAGACCAGGACTGAATCTCGGGACCATAGTTGGTGCTGGTCCTGGCGGAGGGGGTGCTGGGGTGCTGGTTTAGGAGCAGGGAGGCCGAGCAATTGGGTCCCAGCCAACCAGCGACCACAATCGAGTGCAACCCCTTTTTCCAACTTCCGCCCCATTGTGTACTATACTATCTTTCTAACTTGTGATAGATTGACGTTTTCACTAGCGATCCGTCTGGGGCTCTTAATTTTGGTGGGAAGGCTGTGTTGCATTCCAGTGGTGTGAACTTCTCAAATGGCAAGTCTTTCTCTATCAATATGACGGAATTCGAATTACGAGGAGCTCGGACGAGGCAATTACGGTGCTGTGAAGAAGGTTCTCCATATCCCCACAAACGTCACGATGGCTATGAAGGTAACCTTTTTTGGTCCCCAGGGTCTGATCACCTCTCGATTTTGTTAAATGACATATTTGACAGGAGATACGGCTTGAACTCGACGAATCAAAACTCAATGCTATTCTCATGGAGCTGGACATCCTACATAGGGCAGTAGCTCCAGAGATAGTCGAGTTTTATGGAGCCTTCTTCATTGAGTCGTGCGTTTACTACTGCATGGAATACATGGATGCAGGGAGCTTGGAGCAGCTCCATCATGGGGGAATTCCGGAACTGGTAATTGCTCGCATAACGCAGTCGATGGTAAGAGGCTTGAAGTTTTTAAAGGATGAACTACAAGTCATGCACCGAGGTTAGGCATCAATCCTTCCTGGTTTTATTGGGAAGCTGATGATGCTCTAAAGATGTAAAACCCACTAATGTTCTAGTAAACAAGAAAGGGGAAGTCAAGCTTTGTGACTTCGGGGTTTCGGGTCAGCTTGAGAAGAGTCTCGCAAAGACAAACATTGGTTGCCAAAGCTACATGGCGGTATGTTGTCTTAGTGCTATACCCCACAAGTCAGATGCCTGAATTTACCTTGAAGCCTGAGCGGATACACGGGGAATCCCAAAACAATTTAGGGACATATACCGTCGCGTCGGATGTATGGTCTCTTGGCCTGTCCGTTGTCGAGTTGGCCATGGGGCAATACCCATATCCACCGGAAACCTATTCGAACGTTTTTGCACAGCTCACTGCTATTGTCCACGGTGACCCCCCTGAGCTTCCTGAGCAATTTTCTGAGATGGCCCAGAATTTTGTATCCAGATGGTGAGCGTGAACCTATTAAATGGACATGTCTCACTATTCCTCAGTCTAATGAAGGAACCTACGAAGCGAGCGACTTACGCGGAGCTTCTTGTGAGTCTATGCATTATGTTTCAAGTTGCGGTCGGGTCAACGGAGTTATACAGGAAGATCCTTTCCTCACGGACGATCGAACGAGAGAACTGGATATGGTCGCTTGGGTAACGAAAGCCATCGCTGACCGTGACGCTAGACGAGAAGCTGCCCGCGCTGCACAAAATTCGTCATTGCCAAACCCCAGTGCTCCACCCGACCCGGCCGCCTAATCCTTTCCATTCCTTCTCATACCCCTAAAGCATCTATTGCATAATGCATCATTCACACGCACCAGTCATTTGACCAAGAAGGCATTTCCATGTCCATGACTTTTTGGCCCCCATAACGACCTCCCACAATATCTGACAGTCGGACGAATTTACGCTTGAAACAAACATGACTCCAGAACCGCACATCCTACGTGCTCTTAGCAGCAATCCAGTAAATGGTTGACCCCCCACGAAATCGTATCATCCTCGTCCAATTCGTGCTCTAGTTTTGTATTTTGTAGACCAGAAGTCCTTTCCGTTTTCCCTTTGCACTCTATGTTCACTGTTACTCAGTGTGCCTGCCAATCCGTCTGGGCCATAGCCATTCCGATACCCTCCATATGTAAACCTTCCTCTATCGGGCTTTTCATTTCAAGTTTGGGGCGTTATCTACGCATGTCATCAATTTCTTTTTTCATTCACACCAGTTGTCACTTGATGAGTGAGTTTTCCAATCATGACTTGTGCGCCTGCCTGCTATGCATAAATCTCAACTGACAATGGCTAATTTCGGTTGGCCACCGCCACAATTTTGTTTCTCCATCCCTTCGTGTCGAGTCTGTCTTTTTTTTTTGACCTGTTGTCCCCAGTTACTTAGTCGCAGTCGTCACAGCCGCAACCGCAGTAGTTTGTGCGTGCTGCGGTCGGCCCGTGCACCTTGTAATCACTGAACTTCTCCAATGTATACCTGCTTTAAGACACGATGATGCGTCAAAGAGGCACCGTGAGTGAGTCTAGGTGCTTAGATTTGAGTATAAGGATTGACGGATCCGAAATCCAGAACCCAGATGAGCGAGTTAACGATTTTCAATTCGATAAACAATAACGGTGCGAAATAAAATTATTAATACAAGACGGAACGGTTGGTGCGGGGTGCGGGACGGCGGATTGTGCAGAGTGGGTATCCAATGTCAAAACGTGAAGTTGGAATGTAGGAGCAGAGTGTAATATCGCGGCCAAGGATGGGCTGCAAGACGGAACTCAGGGGAAAAAGGCACACCACTGAGCATCCTCCTGATAAACAGGAGACAAAGGTGGTGTCATGTTTGTGGAAGACTCTGGGAGAGGGGCATTGAGGTCCAACGTTATGACCCCCATTTCCGAACAAGGATTGGATGAGGTTCGGGATATTTGTACGACTCCTCTAAATGTTTCCTTATCCTATCGGACCAATCAATGATCTGCCAAAGCCAAGATCACTCTGTGCGTGGGAGTAAGAAACAAGACAAAAGGACAAAGAACATACCGCTTCTCGGTCTTTATCATTCAATTCCCTAACTTGAATTAAACTATCTTCACTTTTCTTTCTCCTCTCCGGTTCTGTTTCCCTTGGTCTTCCTCTGTATCCAGATGTACCGAAAGCCCTAGAAGAAGATTCATTCTTCTCTTGTCGTTCTTTTCTCCTCTTTGTTTTTGCGTTGGCGGCCGCAGCAGCAGCTCTGATGCCTCCGATAGGAACAGGGATAAGTTTCACATTGAGCTTGGGTTTACGACGAAAAGCCCTGGTATATCCATCTTCGTCTTCATCATCTTCGTCATCTTCATCCTCGTCGTCGTAGCCTAGACTTGAACGTGAAGGAGAGTTGTAACCGTTATGATGGTGGTGGTAATGATGGCGTTGGAGGTGTTGGGAATGGGAGGGTTGTTGAGTGATCGAGTTCCGTCGGGTAGGGGGAGGGGCGATTCGATCATGGTATGAGTAATTCCCGGTTTCGTAATAGAACGTATCGCTGTGGCAAACAGAGGAAGAACGGGAGGAGCAAGAACCAGGGGTGTTATGTTTATAGGCTGGTTGTTTGTCAAACAGGAAGGGCTGATTATCTGTGATGTTAAGCATTTGACTTCCGCGAAAAGAAAACACAAAAGATAAGATAGGAGATCAATGAGAATGTGGAGTGAAAACTCACTTCTCTGCATCCTGGACGATACTCCGTAGAGCCTCCATCTCGGTCTTTACAACGGGGTCGACCTCGATGTACCTGAAACGTCCGGACGAACGGAGCAACGTTCATTATTTATTCATCAAGCATTCGGGGGGAAAGACATACGTTGGCTGGGGCTGATGAAGCAACCACGTTGAGTCATCTGGACCGACAACCTAATCCCAAAATTATCGTCAGCAAAAGAAGCGAACCATCATTTTTTTTTTCATCCAAACATACAGGATCGTCGTTGATCTCGTCATCCGCCTCCGCCTCCATCCGGGACTGGGGCTCATGTTCAGATCTCTTGGGACGAACCAGACAGGATGAAAAGAGGGAGAATAAAATGGAAGCCATAGATGGGAACCCCATTTCACAGCGCGCCCATGTACCGAGCAGCCCTTCACAAGGTCGATTTTGTAGTCAGGAACAGCCAATAACAAATGTCCAATAATCCCACGGACAAAGCCGAAAAGTGCCGCATCTGGTGTTTGCTACAAATCACGTTTCCCACAGCTTCGATAGCCTCATAGACAGACAGCAGTGCTCAACATGGCACGCAAGATACAGACGCAACTCAAGTAATGTATATCATATTACAAGGCGAATACACAGAAAGAAAAAAAAAATAAACAATTCAAACACGAGAGAATCGGCGAAGGAGAAGACGACCTTCGATGTGAACAATGAGTACGCCGACGAGGTAGCACGAGTGAAAATGCTCACCAAGCAGTGTGCTCAAGCCCCGAAACCGTACAAAGTCTTGCCTGACCGTTTCAAAGCATAGACAACATCGAGGGCAGTAACAGTCTAGACAGATTGCAATCGTAAACGAGCAAGCTTAGGCAATAAAGGGGCACAGATACTCACCTTGCGCTTGGCGTGTTCAGTGTAAGTAACAGAGTCACGGATAACGTCTAAGAAAGGAGTCAGTGCCCAAGTCCCAAGGAGGCTGGGCCATGTCATCACTCACTCTCAAGGAAGATCTTCAGAACGCCACGAGTCTCTTCGTAGATGAGCCCACTGATACGCTTCACACCACCACGACGGGCAAGACGGCGGATCGCAGGCTTTGTAATACCCTGAATGTTATCACGGAGGATCTTGCGATGACGCTTGGCACCACCCTTCCCGAGACCCTTGCCACCTTTTCATCGTTAACAACGGTCAGTACCTGCACTTGGAAGCATCCTGAAACGAAGCAAAGCGCATACCCTTTCCGCGTCCGGACATTGTTGCTGAGTGTTCTTGGATGTGGCGAAAGCGAGAAGATTACTAGTGTGGAAACGCAAAAGCGAAAAGACAGAGAAGAATGTCTTCGGTTGGAGGGAAGTTATGGGACTGGAAGTGACTCTGTTTTATATAAGCCCCTTTGCGACGGAGTTTGGCTCCGTAAATTCCTTCATTATCCCCGCCAAAATAAACAATCTTTATGAGCACGTGCTGTCAAAACAAATGCAATGGCACGTCAAAACAAATCTTCCCGTCGTTTATGGCCGGAAGAGGTGATTCTTCGAGCTAAGAGCGACCCCAAAATGTACAAGAAGGCATCTCAGACAGATTCATCATTTTTATAAAATATTTATTGCGAGGAAAAGCCCCCTTTCTGAACAGGAGCCTCTTAGTAGCCGCCGAGCGCTTAAAGTGGGAGATCCTCACAGCTCATCAAGGCAGTTCACGCATTGTGAAACGAAGATTCGACCCTAATTCCATCTAGTGATCTATCCCTATCATTTCAGGGTGCATGATACACTTCAAAGCAGTGGCCACTCCTGATTGTTACCCGAGGTTAGCGGCTGGAAAACGAGCCACACGAAAACCAGCCTCGGCCCGCCCACTTCGCCACTTCACACACTGACGATAAATATGCTTCTTTGCCTGTACTCTACGCATTTTGTGGCAGCCCCCCTCGTATTGCGGTAGATGATGAGTTCCGCTTCGTCCGTTGTTTCCAGGAACCACCAACCAACCATCGCTGAGGTCCACAATCAATATGGTATTCCAAGCGTTATCTTCATACCAGCTCCTTCGCCAACTCGCCACTCTGCCCGACGTCAGCATAGATATCCTCCTAAGGCGGGAGACCTCCAATCCTTCGATACGCTTCGTGAACGCCAACAAGGCTGCTCGAGCGCCACTAGAAGAGTCTTGAAATCGTTCAGGAAGTCGATTTCTTCGTTTTACAATAATGCAATCAGGATGTCCCCAAAGCTACAGATAGGACGTTCACCATCGCCCATAAGGCGCACGCAGGTGTCAGGAGGTCGGTCCCTAGGAAGTTTTGACGATGTGGGTTTGTGGTGTAGTTGTGCGTCACCTTGGACCGGAACGTCTGACTGTCGCACGATTGTCTTTAGACTGAATCGTTCACTTCGTGGATCGAAGCGCAGTTTGGTTCAATCCCGGCATCCCCAAGCGTGTCAGTTCATACCGGGCAGTAAGATCGGGTGGGCGAAATGGGTGGTTGTAGTTGCTATAATACGTACGATCACAAAAAGCTGTTTATTGTCAGTGTTAGCGTGGGCCTCCACGAACGGCACCAAGACAACTCACACATATATGTAAAATAGAGAGGCCGCACATGTTCATCTATTGAGATGCTTTCTTAACTGAAGCAGAGATAGCCGTCATCTTCGCAGGTTGATCTCTCAAATAGAATAGCTTGGCCCTCCTCATCCTCTTTCCATCCCTCGGTTCCTTCCCACCCGCACGCGAGATAACCTTAATATCTTTTATATGCGGCGAACTTACATTGAATCGAAACTCGACGCCCGTCCGTTGAATGACGTTCCGAAGGGTAAAGTTCGCATCGGCACCTTTATTCCGCACGGAAATGACAACACCAGCGAAGATGCCATTGGTTGATGTAACAGAGACCACGGAACCCGGTGTAATCTTGCTTCCACGGGTTGCACCCAAGAAGAACCGATTGAGGAAGGATTGGGCAGTTGGGGATGGTAGTGTCCTGTCGACATGTGCCATCAGGCCAGCACCTTTCAACAATGATGCCGGAAGAAATTGTTGGGGTTCTGAGACTTTGACGACTTTAGAAAAGGGATATTCGCGTGTCGTACGCGGCACGGATATAAACGTCGGTTTTGTTACACCGGGTTGGCGAGTGGCAATTTTTGACAGAACATCCATAACTGTCATCTTACTCCCTGATCAAATAGCGACAATTCTGTTTGAGCGAAAAACCAAATGGGTGGCACTCTTGGGAAGGGACTCACTACCACCAATGATGCCCTTCAGCGTCATGGTTCACCAGCACCAGCCAGCACCAGGACGAGTGCGGACTTTACCGTGAGAAACGAGGCATCCTCACGGCAAATTCCCCATTTGGCCCCTTCAGGGAGGCTCATTCAATTGACCAAGCATTTGTTTCTCCTGTACGACGCGTTACCCCTTCCCAAACTCAGACCCACGAGGCTGGCAGCATGAAACGCGGCCCTCGCAGTGGCTCAGCCCTGGGGATTAGAACAGACATAGTTTCTTCAATAAGTGGTGGACCTCCAAGTCCTACTTTAAGCGCTTCAACCCAAGTTTCTGGAATGCCTGTCCCTGGGGGCCCCACAACGATTATCACTCGCGCTCACTTAAGAACGAGTGTCCAGGCTTATGAAGAGGTATGGTCTCTGATACAGTTTCATCCAGACTGGCATCATGCTACCAAATCAAACCCTTGAGGACCTAATTTATCCATTTTTTGTTGTTCGTCCCCTAGCTCCTCAAGACAAGCACGGATTATCGCAACGCGTTATCCACTCTTGCTGATGCTTCGGCACGCTTTGCTGCTGCGATCGAGTCATGTTCACGGTGGGTCCCTCATTTTAATTGTCACACTGGAGAGGGGACTCCGCAGCTGATACTTAAGGGGGTATTAAAGGTTGAGGGGTGTGAGCGACGATGCCTCTGTCAGTTTCCAAGCTGCTGGCGGCCTGTATCATATCATTGGTAATCACGAGCAAGTCCTGGTACGCACTCGAAACTGCATCTATCCTTTCTATTAGTCGCAATGCTGACGCACGTGTAAACGCAAGAGCGATGCCATTCGGAAGAAGTTCGATAAGCCATTACGACAGCACCTACAAGCCTATCGCCAACAAATTGCTGTATATTGGAGTACCTCTCTCGCTTGATCATATGACACTTACGGGACGTCTTCAGGAACGGTCTGCAGCCTATGAGCAATCACTTATCGAGAAGAATAGGCTAATACGGAAAGTTGAGGCAGAGAATATGAACATTGGACGACGGAGACAACGTGGTGAGTTCACTGTTTGGAATACGATGGAATTGTCTGCTCAGTTTCCGATCCAGATCTCAATTCTTTTCGGGCGGCGCTCAATTTGTTACAACAGCAAGTAGCTGAGTTGGACCGACTTAAAGCGGACTACTACTCGGAGGTTCTGGGCCATGAAGAGGAGAGCTGGGACTTCGTCTTGGGAAAAGTCTCACTCGTTGTCCGATCTACGTTGGACGTGTATGACCGCATATCAGCGAAAGCGTAAGCTAGCTCAGCGGGTAATCGGGATCATCCTCATTTAATTCGCCACCTTCAGGTCGGACCCTGGTCTGGAATCGATGCTATTGTCAATTCCCGATCCATTCGATACATATGGTGAGGGTCCACTCGCATGTGAATCATTTCGTTGATCGTCATTCCCCTCTCGTAGGGCCACAAAAGAGTGAAGATCATATATACAGTATTGTCCCTGTGGGTATTCTCAACCCCAATGATCGATCCTCTCCCAGTCCAGCACCAAGCCATCACTCGGGGATCAGCAATGTAACCGGTGTACAAACATGGATGGATCAAACGGCCACGGCAAGGGAAACAGCATACCCAAGCCAACCTGTCATACCAGACTGGACAAATGTTGATTGGACAGATGCAGAATCGAGAGTCAGACGACACTCGCTACCGGGCCCTTATCCTACCGCTTCCAATCATGTCCCGGCTTCCCTAATTGGTACTACCTCCTTATCGACATCGCCGCCCTCCGCAAGTATTCCTTTCCCCAAAAATCATCACCTGAAAGGGACACTCGAACTATGTCTGGTTCCAATCTGCGGCACATGCTAAGTGTCATAGGCGAGGGGAGTCCATTAAGCCGACAGCCCGGCGAGGATTCTTCAGAGCAAGATTCGAATACCGACACTATTCGAGACACCGATCCCGATGATTCACACTTGAGTTTATCGACGATGGCAACTGATGGTGAAAATGACCGCCCGATAGGTGAAATAGATGACCCGGGGGATTCCCCCATCGACGATGAAAGTGATGATGGAGGGAGCGGTGATGATCGGACCGTGCAGTTGGCACTTTCATAGCACAACTCGATGAGCTGGATGATACCTTTGCCTCCCTTCGTTTTGAAGATTTGAGTCTCCAATGTTTTTCGGCATATTCGCACCCACTCTTCGCTAAATTCTGGGACCAACTTGTGCTTCTGACAAACTCTGTTTTCACAGGCTGTAAGTCACCGCTATTGGGCCTTTTCACTGGTGGAGATAATGTTGTTTTCACTCCGTTGTAGCTATTGGATCGATTTCTTTTGAAAAAAAAAAGCACTCGGGAAATTGCCCACGTCCATTGCCTAGTTAGGAAAGTGCTCGATTGCGCCAACTCGCAGCGAGTTTTGTGAGATGCTAAACAAGCATCTTCGGCGGTTGGGACCATCATCATTTTGATGTGGGGTTAGGCTTTTGGGCAGCAATATCGTGTGAAGAGTTGACCTCCGCAATCACTATCTAATCATTCCTAAGTTTTCTTTTTCCCAAAAAACTGGTCACTCCTGAAACTTCACAGAAATCCGTTTCTGGGGGCATACTGTGCAGTAGAATTTTCCGTTGGTTGTTCAGTAGAAATGATGTGGGAGTTCACGGTCACTATCAGGATACCATTTCCCTTTCCCCGCATCCGTGCCCTATGGTCCTCGCTTTCGCATGCATGTGGCTGCGTCTTTGCATGATGGTATGTTGAGAGAGCGGCATCCTTCTTCACTGGTATATATTTACATGGTAGCTACTAGTCACAATGAACTTAGCATCTTCGCTGCTAAGTCACTCTCCTCGAGCCCGACTGCCTCTGGCGGGCTTAGAAATCGGTCTGTCCAAGTCCCAAACCGTAATATTTGGTTTGTGTCACAACTCCCCAGGTAGTTACGCTGTCGGCCCAACGGTATGGTTCTCCCCACTCCCCAATCTTCCTCCTAATTCTTACTGGCGTTTTATTATCTTTTAATCTCTTCGCAAGAACACCTTGGTAATTTTGTATGTCCGACCCTGGACCGTGAAATTTCACCTCAAACATCATGAATTCGTATCCAGTGAGAGTAGAGCCGTCTATTTGGATAGTCAATGCCGAAGGATCCACGGAAATGCGATTGAGCTCAAATCCTAATCCTTGCCCAATTGCCTTCGTATATGCTTCCTTGAACGTCCAGATCCAGAATATGTGTTTGAGTGTAGCCCCGGGAGGATCCTTTTTCAAGGATGATCGAAGATCATCGAGCTCCTTTGGGCTCAGCTGTGCAGTATGGCGTCAAAATGCTTTGTTTCTGATGTGGGGCTACACTCACCGAATCCGTTAATATGTCAATGAAGCTTTCCAATGTTGTGTCCTGCGGTAATTTCACATGCATCATGTCCACCCCCAGACAGAGCTCATCGTATGTATCCGTCTCGTAACCGACAACGACAAGCATGTGGTCATGAGAGATATTGAACGCTATCCGAGTGTCGGCGGCTTCCGGTGGCAACTAGACCCGAACAAAGGCGAGAACTCCAGCCTAGTATGCATAGCAGACAGAGGCGATGAAGGATGACGCACAATGAACGGTTTGTTAGAGCTAGTAAAGCACAAGGAGAGGTCCTCTCGTTTTACTCCTTTAGTCGCGAAAAGTGTCACCACAATCAAACGACCAAGCAGAGTCCCTGGAACATCCAATAATCCCAACCATTGATTCAATATCCATCATCAACGAAATCACCAACTCACTCCATGCATCCTCTTTTCTATGATACCTTTTGATTTTAGTCCTGGAAGCTTCATCCAGCCTGGCAAGTCCCTGCTCAAATAGCTATCAGAAAAAATGCGTTTTTATTATGACGAATCAAATGGATCGATAGTCTGTTGGGCTCACTTTGTCCCAGTGCTGCTCATCGTCGGTTGGAATGGGGGCTATGATGAGGTGCATGTTTCAAAGACGCGTCCGTTTAAGGACTTGGTGGTTGGTGGCTCGAACAACAGGATAGGTAGAGAGTTGGGTTCCTGAATCAACAATATAACAGGACGAGAAGGGGCGGGACCAACACGTGGTCTCGGGGCGAAGAAGCGTGAGAACATTGTCACCGAACTCGGAAATGTACGAACGGAAAATTCGGTCGCTCACGAGCCAGTGGCGGAATCACTCAATGGCATTAAATCGAAACAAGGCATAGGATAAGTACCGTGGAAGGGATCAATTATAAGGTTGTCATAAGGATATGGTTACAATACTTAAATGATCATGGTTTGTGGATAATGTTTGTCGCTCAATCAGCAAATTATACATGATAAACAGGGCATCATATCCCCCAAAAGTATTGCAAGTCCCCAAGGAGGTATTAATATGATGCGCGAAGAGATTGGGGTGTCAAAATATATGTAAGGCAGCAAAGGCGCCGCTTATATAATCAAACAACGCTGCCACTCGTGTCGCCAGTAATCAGGGTCACTGAGAGCCCGTCCATTTGTGCGATTGTGTTGGCCATCGAAGGAGAACCGACAGCGTTCATGTATTTATGAATGGAATAGTACTATTCGTTTGAACGTTGGAAACTCTCTGAGTTGGAACCTGCGTCTCGCTCAGTGCGCACGATGGTCCTGACTCTTGATGCACTCAGGGGACCCGGCTAGAAAGAGCGATTGATTGCGCGTTAAATACCGTCGAACCCTTATTGGGGCCATGCCAGGATGGTAGTTGCTACAAAACTTTTGTACGGTCCACCCACGCGATGTGGACGTGGAAGCAGGAATCGTAAAGTTGGAGGTGGCGCAACCTGACATAACGGAGGGGCCTGGAAATTCCAGCCACAAAATCATCGACCGCAGACCTGCCTGAGCGAGCTATCATCGCCATATCTGGGGGGAAGCTGTTGGCCTTGCAGTAGAGATATGCAGGATTTCCTCTTACGCGAGAATACATTTTTCCTCTTCTAGGGAAGCTTCGGAATTTGAAGCTGAATATGTTTGATCGGGATGGCAGTCTCTTTGAAAAGGATGCTCTTGAGATTTGGCTTGACAGATTGGAAATCCAAACCCACTCAATGGCTTGGGCTTGGTACACTCATTGGCTGCCTGTAACAAGTTCTTCAATAAAGCCGTCAGTATTAAACTTGGCCGCATCCCACGACCAATCCATTTCCCTCAAGACAGTCCCCCTGTGACGCTCCCAGTACTCACCGGCGTTAAGCTTGATTCTTCTTTGCACAAGTATTTCTTTGAATGTTTGTCTTACCCTTCGCTTTGCTAAGCACTGGGAAGCCTTAGTGTAGAAGGTTTGGAGAAATTGTACAAGGTGTTTTCAGCGACAAAAAAAAGCTGTCCTATTGAGCTGCAGTGAGCGATACCTTTGCTACCGTTTCCTGTTGCCCATGACCGTAAGTACGGATTTTGGACGAAAGAACGCACCAGGAAATAGTGTTATCTTAATGTATACAAGGATTTTTGGCTGCAATGTAGACCCAGGACAAAACGGATCGCGTTCTTAAATCGACGCGCCTGCGCTCGTCCTCCTTTTCCCACGCACTGCCTGTGTACGTAAGCTGTTCAAAGCGCTTTTGAGTCAATTAGAAGGCTTGTTGCAGGCTCTCCCGTGGGCTGGACTCAAGGGGCCTTTCCCAGCGGCGAAACAGGGTGGTATCTAAATACTAAACCACGCCTTCCGATGCATGATAGTAGCTGGGAACATTTGCAAAAATGTTTTCCGTTAGTGTTAACAACTGAAATCCAAGAACCTTGCGAAATAAAAGTCAGAGTCGAAGAATCATACGCCTCCTGCAGCATTCTGGAGCTGGTAAGAAACCCTTCCCATCCACCATTCTGCGAAGGAGTTGTGAATGGCAAGGAAGGCATCAAAGTGACTAGAATCGGGAACATGTATCATTACAAAGATGGCTGATAAATATACATGACGTGACGGGCAGCAGCCGAAGGGCGTCGACCGCGTTACCAAGGCGTATTACGGTAAAACCGGTGATAAGAGTACGAATGCAGAATTAGATTTGAATCTCATTGACGTTGCTGGATTTCACTCGACTTTCAATGAACGCTTTGATGCTCGGCATTGCTTTCTTAAACAAATGCGTGGCCCGCGGAGCATCTAACAAAGTTCTAGCAAACGTATCTGAGAGTGGAATTAGAAGACACCAACCAATCACTTGCACTTCCTGATGTCGTCTTTGTAGCTTATCTCGCGCTTTAGAACCTGTCGCAAACAGGACAGGATGTGACTCAGGAAGAGCCAGATATGACATCTATTAATATAGCTGAAACTCAAGAATGTGACGCATCGATCAATTGTGAAGGTGCTCACGCTTTTGAATAGCTCAGCTTGTACGTCATCTCTGCGCCTGATGAAAGCGGGCTGGTCATGAATCCCAACGACTTGAACTATTGCTTTCACCAGTCGGGAGAGATCTACATAATAGGCGGAACATGAAAGCAGATAAGTGTCCGCCTGTTGTGCCTCAACTGCTGCATACCTCGGCTCTCTGCCAGATCGACCAAGACCTTATACGCTGAACTTTGGGCAACTATGACAACGTCCTCCGCGTCGGAGAGTCTTGAAGAAATATCAGAGATTGCCGGTACCGAAACAATGGCCACATACTCGATGTAATTGTCCCATAAGTAGGCAACTGCGTCTCTCATAGACGTCTAGTCTCTGCGTCGGGCGGGGGCAAATGCGGGGATTGGAGCTAACTTACTTTTTCGACCTTGCTTCTTGGCTTAGGGTAGATGTTGATATCCAGGAGATGCCAGCCCTTCTCGACAACCCAGTCGATGAGTGAACGACTGGAGTCGACCTCAAGACGGCATGTTGACATGGTTTTATTGAGGGCCAGTGAAGGGAAAACTAACCATAAAGGAATGCTCTATGTTCAAGTCGAGATACAGCGTATGCTTAAGCTCCGCATACAAATTGCCACTGAACACCGATGTCAGCATTAAGTCGTATGCACTAGAGCGAAAGTCTTACTAATCATGGACATAGACAACCATGGTTTTGGCATCGTAAATATCCTTTCTGTCACGAATGGGGGCATCAGGCAAAAATAGTCGACGCAAGCGGTTGATCAGACCCGTACGAGCAGATGACCTGCCCCCCGAAGGCGGCTTCTAGTTGATCGTTAGCAAAGGGTATGGTATACATCCTATATGCCTCAAACATGAACTGATTTCTATGGGCTTTTAGCAGTTCTGATAATTGGAATCTTCAGCACAGTGCAGCCAGATAAGAAATTCAACATACCAATTGCCGAGATGCTTTCTTCTCCATCCTCTACAAGCCAATGGAAATACTTGGTCAATTCTCTTCGCAGCTGTAGCGTAGATCTCCCAACCTTCGGACGGAAGTAGCGATTTCGGGTTGATGCTTTTCCAGAAGCGAGACTGAACCAACCCTACTTCATATATCGTCTGAGTTGCAGAGGCGCACGCAGTTGAACCCTGCATAAGAGGAGGCTTTTCTCCTAAGAGCACTCTTGTTACGGCAAGAACTGACTGTGAGGTTGCGTTTTCGTCATATCCTCCCTGGAAGGCCAGGTCAGCGCCAACTAATGAAAAATCGATTCGCAAGATACCTCAAGGACCACAACCATTCTCCCCCCTGCCAGGGCAGAGAGTAAATGGGCCATATGCGCAAATCCATTCGGCGTAACGTTGCAATCCCCGACAGGATCACCCTCGGCAGCATCGAACCCTGCTGAGACTGCAGAGAATGGTAAGACTAGTTTATTCATGCGACCAATCTTACAGACGGACCCATCACCAAATCCGGTGCGAATTCGTAAGCAATAGGGAGAACAATCTTGAAGAATGCGTACAGATAGTCGGCGTCGCGCATTCCTGGGTCTTCCCATGGGATATTAACATTTCTGTCCCGAGTGGGCAATGCTCAACGTCTCGACTTTGGATGCCACCCGTCATGCTTACTTGCCAATCCCAGCACCTAATCCTACATACTCCATTCCACCTTCTGGTGAAGCAGGGTAAAAAGTCCCCTGCTCGAACTGGTGTATTGAGATGTAGAGAACATTTGGGTCAGTCTCAAAAGCTTTTTGTGTTCCATTGCCTGTGACAATTGATTGGTTGATTTGCAGCTTGGGCGGCGGAGTACCGTACCGTGATGCACGTCCCTACAAGTTATCAAAATCCGGGTCAGCATTTGGTCCTCTCAGAATTCCCAGGAAAGCGAACCAGTCCAAAATCAAAATCTTTCTGACTGCGGTTTCACGTAGCGCGACACGAGCGGCAATCGCAATGTTGTTGAAGAAGCAGAATCCCATTCGTTGCTCAGGCTCCGCATGATGGCCTGGGGGCCTGACAACGGCTAGCGCATTCGACGCCCTCCCCTGGGCTACCGCAAGCGTGGCTTGGATAGTGCATCCACACCCTAATTCAGCACAATCAGGTGTCTCTGCGGACACATACAGGGACTGAGACTCGTAGAAATCCGATGTCTGCATTATTTCCTCGATGGTATAGGCTTATAGAGTAAGGTTCAAATAAACTCATGTTGAGAAATAAAGAATGAGGTGAGACCATACTTCGCAAATGTTGCACAGCATCCCAATGTGCTTCGCTGTGAACCAATAGAACTTCATCCTTGGTAACTTTCCTCGGCTCTAGCCGTATTAGCTGAGAAAGTATGTTATTGTCAGCCAATAGCCTGTGGATGGAGGTCACTCGTCCAGGCTGTTCCGGGTGACCACCCATGCCATTCATCATTTTGTGCCGTGTCATCGCGGCATCATAGATGTACGCTGTAGTAGTCCCCACAGAAGGAAAGGTAGACACGACGTCGCTTTTCTTGAATAGATCATCAGCATTGTGCAAATTCGCTGGATCAACGGTGCTTTGTGGGGTTGTAGCGGTGTCCACTTCCATTTCCATGTTTGCCTATGCCTATGCACGTAAATGAGGGAGAAATAGATATGTTCTGCACGCGAGTCCAAAAGGCGGGAATATTCGGAAGGTACGAGAAACGCGTCCAGCCTTGGCACAAAGGAAGCGCTAACGAAGTGACAGTGGTCACGAGACCAGTGGATTCGATTAGCCTCGATCTGCTGTTCCCCCGAAATCATATGGCTACGAACATTACCTTCCACGCTGGAATCGTTGGAAGAGATGAGAGGGAACTTCATCTTGGCCAGAAAGGACTGACTCTCTGGCTGACAGGCCTCAGCGCCAGTGGCAAAGTCGAGTTTACCCTCCTTTGACGGTGGCCGTTTGAGCTCATTCAAGAAGCATGATAGTCAACGATCGCCTGTGCCCTGGAGCAACATTTAATCCACCTGAAGAAGTTTTGCTACCGACTAGATGGCGATAACATTCGCTTTGGATTGAATAAAGACCTGGGTTTCAATGAGGCAGATCGGAATGAAAATATTCGTCGAATTGGGGAGGTGCGTTGTCTTAAGTCACTTGTATGCATCTGACACGAGCGCTTCTCCATTGCAGGTCTCAAAGCTGTTCTCAGATGCATGTGCAATAACGATTACTTCCTTCATCTCTCCTTATAGGGTCGACCGCCAAGTCGCCCGCGAATTGCATAGCAGAGCCGGGATCCCTTTCGTGGAAGTCTTCATTGATGCTCCCCTAGACATAGTAGAAGCGCGCGATCCAAAAGGTCTTTATAAGAAGGCTCGTGCAGGAGAAATCAAAGGTACAAATTAGTTCTGCAACACGCATTTCATTCATTACCACCTCTTCCCTAGAATTCACTGGTATCTCTGCGCCCTACGAGGCTCCAGAATCTCCCGAGTTACACATTAGAACAGACCAGCTCTCCTTGACTGAAAGTGTCCTCGCGATCACCAAATACCTTGTGGAAAAAGAGTATATTTGAGCAAAATTCTCGATGGAAAAAGGATGCTGTAATGTATGCGTGATATAGTCCATGATGATGCGGGTAGTACAAATAGAGTAGAGTGATGGGACAGACAGCAGACTCAATGTTCACACAGAGATAGACGATTCCATCAACCTAAGAACAGTCCAGAAGGCAGGGGAGCCGATGGCGCTATGTTTGCATACTTTGCATAAAAAGTAGATAAGCCCCATTGGGAAAAGATGCAATGCATCAGTGAGGGATTAACTTGTTCCCTCGCCGCTTTGGTCGCCTTCCTCGATTGTCATCATCTTCCCAACCGGAGCTTGGGGATCATCATCCCCATCAACATGGCGAGTAAGGCTCGTGAGATCCCATTCGACCACTTTCAGCCATCGACAGAGATCATCAACTGTTTTCGAGAGAGTGGCGTTCATATCATCGATGTCCATCAGCTTTTGATAGTCCAATGATTCGAGCGATGGGGGAATAGGCCGAGGACCAAGCAGCAAGCTAGTGGCGTCGTTTGACGATTTTGGCAAGGGGTTGACCGCGCGGGATAACTGGGACGGAACGGGGGGCGTGTGGCTGGAGGGGTCGGCTTTTGAAAACGACGTTTCAGACTGCGGAGACCGAGAAGGGCGTCTGAAGTGAGAATATGCCAAGGATGGGGACGGAGGCAACAAGTCGGCACCGCCTCCGAAGATACCATTATTTGCATCTGATGGCATTGGTGACAACTAAGATCCCCAATACCGGCTTGTCAGGTACATGATAACAAATACCAGCGGATTCAACTTACGTTGAGGACATCCTTAAGATTAATTGGCTTCGGCGGCTTGATAGTCTTGGAGGAAAACACATTTTTGCCACCTTCAGGGTCACTTCGATATTCCCTTGACGAAGGCGGTCGACTGGTGCCAGCCGTTTTAAGTATCGAATGTGACGGTGGGGGTGCAACCATCTGAGGGGGTCGAACCTCAGTCTCAGTACGCGCCATCGCGGTCTCCATAACAGCGACAGAGGCTTGCCGCGTCACAGTGGGATGCCGAAGCATGCTTGTGCCGGGCCTGCTCGTCGGAAGACTGGAATCATTGTTGGCAGACAGTCCCTGAGGACCCGTCGTAAAGGAACGCACGACACGGGGATTTGAGGGAGATTTGGTCTGGTGTCGTGCGGGGACATTATTATCTCGCACCGCTAGAGGAGCTGTGGGCAAGGAGGGTGGTAGAGGGGATGGAGGTCCTAGGCTGGGAAATGCGACAGGCCAGGAGAAGGCAGTCTGGGGACGGGGGGTGGAGGTTCCGTTTCTTGCCGCGAAATAGAACGTAACCCAGCTGGTGGAAGCCGTAATGTCGGCGAGTGCTGACTTACATCTAAATCGGATTCAGGAGAAGACAATATGATTCCATTCTCCTGGTCGCTGTCGTGTCCGGTATGCAAGACGGATTTTGATGCTTTAAGGGTCGACGTAGGGATGGAAATGTTGGGTAGGCCGCGATTAGTGCGAATGTCTCGATATGTCAGTACTTTTGGGGGAGATTCAGGAGGGGTGGAAAGTGGGTGAGCAGGTGACGGGGAGGCGCCTCTTGATATCGGCACACCCTGTCGGGTGCGCGGATGAGGTGGTCGTGGTGTGGGTGCGTCTGCTCCATCCGTTTGCTGTGCAATCAGTGAGGCGGACCGAAAAGGAGATGAAGAGCGTGACACCCCATTCAAATCAGGCATCTGGAGTGCGCTTCCAGGAGAATTAGTATTATTGGCATTCGGATTATCGAATAAGGTTCGGAGCGAGCGCGGCGCTTGCGTCGCAAGTTGGGCCTGTAAAGCTGAAAGGGGACTATTCACATTAGATATTGGGGGAGTACTGATACTAGGGGAATCGCGCGGGGGGGTTGTTTGAGCTAGTGGAGCTGGTCCTCGGAAAGTGTCGAACTCCCAATTGGCACCACTATTTCGTTCGTTTCTGTAGAGCAGTCAATTGGTACGAATCGATGGTTGGAACATCGGATAGAAACGTACGCATCATTCATCCAAGCATCATCATCACCAGCCAAGCTTGCGCGCACTCCGCCCTGAGCTGCCCAGGCGTCATAAATCTTCAACAACTCGCGTAAAAATGAGACCTGGACTTTTTTCGACGATTTGATCCAATTCGATTTTTGAAGTTCCTCGGCGGATAGTCGCTAGGAACCCCTGATAATCAGCATGCAGCCAGGGGAGGACTTGTTGATCGAAGAGGGCACTTGCCTCTGCCGGAGGTTCACGAAGGCAGTTCATAACGAAGTCTCTCATATCCTTAGACCCTTCGCTATCGGGGAGTCTCGGAGGCTTCGATTTTGGAATGAGGGCAATAGCCCGTACATTGAGAAGATCTGCGTGAGGTGGCGAACCAGTGACCATTTCATATATAGTGACACCCAAACTCCACACATCTGCTTTCGAATCGTAAAGAGACCCGGAGGTAATCACTTCAGGTGCCATCCAGTGAGGTGTCCCTACGAACGTGGTGCGTTTGGATTGCGCAGTTTGTAGGAGAGCAGAAACACCGAAATCGCATAACACAACTCTCCCAGTATGTGTGATGAGAATGTTCGCCGCTAGAACACTAAAAGTCAGTTTGAGACAGGGGCGCGAAAACATCCCTGAATACGAGCCTTTTATATCGCGATGGATGACGGCGGATTTATGGAGAAAATTTAGCGCGATGAGCATCTCGCGAACAATGACGACTGCAAACCGTTCTTCGATGATGTTGCCTCGCGTCGCTTTCATCTTCAAATCAACAGGTCAATGGCACTTGAATGGCACCCAAAGCAAAACATACCAAGGTCCTAACGCTCCCCCCGCTTGCAAAGTCCATCACAATCCAAACGCGTGGTCCCTCCAAGTAACATCCATAATATTTCGTAATATTGTTCTTTTCCGCTCCCCGCAATTGTGTGAGCAGATTGACTTCCCGCTGGATATCCCCGACGTCGTCATCCTCCGTATCAAGATTAATAATCTTCAGCGCAACGACCGTCCCTGAAGCTTTCTCAATCCCTTTGTATACTGCGCCATATGATCCCTTGCCGACACATTCCAGCTTCTGATACTTCTGCGTTACAGGCACGACATCGCGATGGGGCATGACGAGTATATGTGGACGTTCAAGTATAAGTGCCGGTTCAGCTTAGTACTGAGCTGACCTATGGTCCAGAACACAAAGGGACAAACAGAACCACGTTGAGACGAAATGCACGCGATTAGCTGTTGTGCAAAGAAAAGGGGGAATCGAAGGGGAAAAAAGAGAAGCGCCCTGATTGTCTAGGCTAATTAAAAACTTTGAAGGCTTTGACGTTATACCTGTATTCTTACTCGCGGCCGTGTTCGCCAGCTACGTTTGGAAACGAACGCGCATTGGATTTGAATTGCGGCTGTCAGCTTTGCTTCCGCCAAGAGCACCTTTTCGCGTCACGAGATGTCATACTTAATTTTGGTCCTTGATAGAGGCCGCGAAGGAGCCATTTGGGCTGGGAGGGTTCTGTAAGCGCCTCAAATGAACTGATATATATTCATCACTTCCTGAATCGTGGGGCCATCACTCGTAATTCATTATCTGCAACCTACAGGAAACATGATAAATACATCCACAACAATCACAGAGTACGACAAGCTTCGAGTTTAACGAGAGTTAGTAGACATGAGACGTGCATGTCAGTGTCTGCCTTTCAAGTTACTTGCGCTTCAGGAGTCCCGTCTCCCTGTACTTTTGTTCGAGGTATCTGAGTCAAGTCAAAGGGTCAGCAACAGGAGGCAATTAAGGCAGTGGTTGAGTAGCACATCGCGGTGCATTAATGACCTCGCGAAGCGTGACCTTTCCCCGCGAGACCTGGAGCAAACACTCACCCTTCACCAGCAAACAATGCGAGCAATCCGACGCTCGCAGCACTAACCCTTTGCCTGTCCCACTTCCATGGGTCATCCCAATTCACATAACTCCAATATCCTAACCCCCGAGAATTCCAAAATTTACAGCGCCTACGAGACCACCAAGGACCCCAGGCCTCAACAGAACTGTCTTGACATGCCTACATATCGCAGCGCCCTCTTCCTTCGCTCGAGCTTCCTCGCGCCGGCCTAGCTCTGTCTTGCGATAAGCCTCAGCAAGAGCACCCTCAATCCCGAAGAGGCCAAGAGTGGTAATAGCGGCAAGGGAGAGGAACCTGGGAGAGCTACGGTGCGCAGGAACGGTATAGAGTGAATGCCCAATGCTCCCGAGGAGTCCCACATTTACTAAACGTGGGACAACCGATGATTCGTATGACAGGGGGTGAAGTCATTGACAATTAAACAATCAGTCACCAGCACAAGGATATTCAGATCTTCACAACAATTGCTCACAGCATGAACTGAACTTACCTACACCTAGTAAGCCACCTGCTACAGTAGGTCTCAGAAGGTACCCCTTGGCTTTCTCCCAAAGCTCTCGACATTCCTCCCCAGCCTTCTTACAGTTAGTATGGTCTTTGCGCGACTCCCCCTTACTAGGTCGGCTCGTGTCCTCGCCCTCTTCTATGTCTTCGCTCGCAACATCAAGCTCGTCCCTGATGTCGGTGTCGGCAGACTGATAGCCAAAATCAAAGTTTGTCAACCAGGGGCATAAGGGCAGCGGACTAAGACGTAAGGCTAGGTGTGATATATACGCACCCTCGGGTTCTTCTTGAAGTCAGCTGGGGCAACAGTAATCTTGGAATCAGCACTCGAGAGTTGAGTCTCCCCTTGTTCAGTGTTTAGGAGTGCTGTGTCAGGGTGAGGTTGTGCCGACAACGGAGGGGCGCCTGCTGCGACAACACTAGCATACGACATGATGAAAAGGGGGCCAACGGGGCGTTCGCGCAGATGTGAGGTATTGTTGTTAGACGGGCACGGAAAGTCGAGGCGGAGTCACGTTGCGCCGACTTCCGATGACGTCGTTCCACTCCGTGACACTTATAAGGAAACTCGTTCAGTAGTTAGACACGCTTCCCATTCTTAAGACCTTAAGCTCGGCCTGCTGTGTGGCGTCGAATTGGAATACAAGTTATGATGTCGCATCGGCAACATGTTCCCACGCGCGGCACGGACGCGGACTCACTCCGACCCGTCAGTGCATCGCTCGCCCGATGCAGCTTTTGGTCTCACTTTCATCCTTCGTTACTGTGCGAGTGTAGCCGCTGAAGTGCTACGTAATACCGGGCTAGTCATAACAACAGTGATTGAACATTCAATTGATCCGAACTTAAACTCCGGCAGTGGATCGCTTTCTATCTTTCTATTTTCGCTTTTGACTTCCTTGGCTTGTCACCCCATCACACTGCTGTTTGACTGATGAGAGACAAGGCGCGGGACGCAGATTACCGATGCAGCTAATTGGAAATCTATTCGGCTGCGTCCCCCTTCTTGTCATTCAGTGTTGAAGATTGATTCGCGGCAATGGAGACTGACGTTCCCATGCTCTCCTTTTCCGTGCGTCTGAGCAAGCAAGACATCACGGCGACTTCTATCGAGAGGTGAGTAGTTAATCGTCTTAGTACCAAATGACCAGGCACCGGTAGCCCAACGCTGCCGTTCACTGAAATGGAGCCGCTGGTCATTCGCTTCGCAGTTCCAGTAGTCAGAGCACTGCCCCCAAGATGGGATCTCCCAGCGTCATTGGCATCGTCAAGAAGATAGCCCAAATCAAGGAAGGTGCCCCGGAACGCGCAGCCTCCGCACAAAAGCCGCTCGAGCCCCTTACATTATCCTTCTTTCAGAAAACGTGAATGGAAATCGCCTCATTCTTCATACACATTGTGCTGCTCACTGACTTGCATGTTTCTGAATCGTTGAAGGTTAACGACAAACGTTACTGACGCAGAGCCCTCTGATACCAGCGGCGTTAATGCGAAGGTCCATGTCAAGGAGGGCATTTCCTCAGGTCAGGAGCACGCGGCCCCCGTAAAAAGGTCCCTCGAGGATGGCAGCATATCCGAACTCCACATCCAGGAGCCTGGCCCCGTCTCTGATCAAACGTGAGTGGCGATCGCCTCGTTTTCTTCGCATGCACTTGCACCACTCATTGAATTATTAAAAGGTTCACGAGGAAGTCTATCACCCTTGATGCCGGTCCCGCCAACGTCGGTGGACAGGATGCTCTTCTGTACATGACGCGACGGACCCCTGTGGAAAAGCGGTCGGAGTCTTACCATGATACGGCCTCTTATTTGGTTCCTCGCCCTTTTGGTGGAATGCAAATATTCGTTAAGACTCTCACTGGTAAAACGATCACACTGGACGTCAAGTCTTCGGATACCGTTAACACTGTCAAAGGGAAGATTCAGGACAAGGAGGGGATTCTCCAGACCATCAGCGCCTGATTTTCGCCGGGAAGCAGCTCGAAGATGGTCGCACGCTTTCTGATTACAACGTTCACCGAGAGTCGACATTGCACTTGGTCCTTCGCCTTCCTGGGGCCTGATTTCGATGGCAAGTAGCCTGAGAACGGATGTACTATTCGATTACAATATCGAGAATTTGTCCACTATTCAGCCTATCCAATGTTAGAATGGCTGAGATTGTTGTGAGGAACCTGATCATAAACATATTACAGTATCTGAGTCAGTTGTCACCAGAAATTTTTGCATGATGATGTTTGCGCCATGCTTGTCTAAAGGGGGGTTCTTTGCTCCTGAGTTTCGGCTGTGGTGGATCCCCCCGCCCCGTTATCTAGCAAGTTCATGACGCCGTCTCACAACAAGCAAGCCCTTAGACACGCGTGCTATGCAGGGGATTTCAACAACACAGACGGATTCATTCCATCCATTACACTGAGGACATACAACAAACCGAAACGAGGATAAAGAATAGCAAAGCAATGACAAACTGGTATCATCACAACGTGTACGCACGTTGCTAGGATTCGTGTTCCTAACAGACATGAAGGTACACGACAGGTCAACAGTGGGCCCTCTCGAATGTCACAACCACAGAGTAAGCGCCCGTCCCTGAGTTGCTCGCCAGCAAAAACAAGCGCTGCCTCCTATGTTATTGCCTTAACTCTGTCGGGGGATTCGAAGGACTCGAATTACAAGGAAGATGATGCTTCCCATCAAGCTGTCCATGCATTCGTCAGTCAGCAAGTGGCCTATACAAAATGGTGGGATCGCCACTAACCTCTTGACAAATATTCGCATACCACAGAGATGGGGACAAAGTGAAGGATGGATTCTTTCTGGATATTGTGATCGGGCAGCGTGCGGCCGTCCTCCGATATGAAAATCAAGTGAGGAGTGACGGCCCTCATCTTGAATCTCGGCATTGACAGCAGTATCGGGTCCCACCTCGTAGTAAGAGGAGCAAATGTGACGAGTGCTCGGTATAGACCCGCGTCTTCACACAAAGACAGCACCACAGGCTCGCCTCGACGCGGCTTCCTCAGCAGTCCCAAAAATAACAGGCGATATAAGTTCCTATCGACCTTGCCTTGTCGAGGATGCCCAAGTGTAAAGTGGATGTATGCAACCGCTATTTCGGGATATGGTATAGAAGAAGGGCGGTCTCCTTCGACAATCTGTAACCAGAACATGCAAGGCTTCCGCGTAAGACTCTTGAGAAAATCACTTCAATAAGATGTGACTGTTGTCCATGTCTGTCAGACACTTCGGGGTCGTCTCCAATTGGAGCTAGACTTCAAATTAAATGGTCAAGAAGCGATGCATTGTCGCAATACAATGCACCTTCATGGCTAAGACTCTGCATCCAAGTTTATCGCGGGGAGGACCCTGGTGAAGTTGCATCCGGAGAACAAAGGACCTCGGATTTTCAATTTGCATTCTATAATGACGTGATGAAATTCATTTGCTGCGGGGATTGTATTGCGCCCGGGGAATCGCGACATGACGGTTTTCATTCAGTCATGTCTCAACCTGCATCAAGAAATGCCTTGCCAGTCCATTCGCAAGACTGTGACTCGCCAGACTCCCGGACCCGTTTTTTGGTGTGAGATTGGATCCGTGCATAGTCTATCTTTCCAACTCAACCAACCCGGTTATAACTCGAGGTCCAAGTCCAAGTCCAAGTCCAAGTCCAACCCTATACCGTCTTGCGAGCAAGACTTCCGCCCCGGAGGTGGGACGGGCGCTTAATTTCTGCAGGTATGTAGCTTGAGGACGGTCGCCCCCTTTGAGACTGACATGTTAGAAAGCGCCATCCTTCCACTTTTGATCTTCAACTTTGCGTGTTAATGCGTATTACTGTCAAGACGTGAGTCTTAACCGACAACAATACCTCTTGGGTCATGCTCATCCTCACAGATCCGAGGGGAGGCACACTATCCAAGCCGAACCGAACCATACGATCAATGATCTCAAGCAAAAGGTACACCACAGGACAGGCATTCCACCTGCCGAGCAACGCTTTTTATTCAATAACGGGCAGCTGGGAGATGATTCGACCTTGCTTTCCGAGAATCACATACAGGATGGGTCTGAACTCAGCCTTGCCCGCAAGCGTCGTCTGGTGGCCTAGTCCAACTCTCCCTAACGCCCTCAGGCGATTCTCGCGTTGTACGCGAGTGAGATACTCCTTGCACTCCGCTAGGCGAGCGGCGAGCTTGGGTTGCACATATGTGATGAACAAGTTAGAAAGCACTGTAGAACGTCGGGATAGGGGCATAATGCGTAATGAAATTGTAATGACTGAACATCTTTTGCAAAGAGCACAAATGATTCGGCCGGGCGCGACATGTAACCACTTCTGTATGTACGTACCAAGGGCTAGAATCCAGTCCATTAACTACTCCTGCTAGCGGGAGGAACCCCCATTCGAACCACTTCTGGATCCTGCCACACACTTGATCGATAACGCATGACGGCTCAAGGGCGCTTGCCACACTTCTGTATTTGTGGGAGGAAAACTCACGTTGTGTCTGTGTCCAATTTGCCTCGTGGGCATTCAGCTCCTGGCTCCGTGTTTGGATGCGGTTTATGGCTCAGTTCCGGCCCCTAGAGGCTGGGTGACCTGCCTACCCTCCCACCTCATCAGCGTCGTGAAGGGAGCTTCAGGGTACTTCACGACGCATATCAATTCGACCTTTTTAATAGTGGTGGGGACCATTTACCCAACGGCCCTTTCGCAAGTGCAATAAAGTTTCCCCGCCATCGAAACCTCGCACAGGGTGGTCCCGCGACCTCGTTATCACGTGGCAGAGCCGCTCGAGTATTTACTATTATTTGTATCGATAACTTAATTTAGCGCCTGACCAGGCGGGATAATTCGGCTAACTCCATCATTTTACCCCACATCTGATCCAAGAAACGCCAAGCGTCATGGTCTCTGAGGCGTAAGTGTCCGGCACCCACCACATCACCAAGTGATTGCTCCACCTGGTACACCACGCTTACTCCCTCATGTAGTTTTGCCTATAAGAACCCAGAGGTTTGTTCCCTCGCAATGACGACAACTTCCTTCATACCGAGATCCAGAAAACAAGGACACGCTGCTCGCTCAGCAGAATCTCAACAAGCAGATCAGGGGCGATTCCGCTCTTCTAGATCACAATAATCACGACCCAACTCTCCAATTTGGAGTTCAGGCACCGCACGCTAGATTACGGATTTCAGTTAGGGCGTGAGTCACGATCGATGGAATAACCCTACACAACACTCATTTGCTTCTGCTCTTTCACAGCTCTACTGGATGGACGCAAAACCTTGAGGTAGAATCAGACGATACTGTCAGTATTCTCAAGACGAAGATTCAGCGCAAAGCTGGCATCCCATCCGAGCAGCAGCGTTTTATTTTTAATGGCAGGCAGCTCGAAGATCGATCCACTCTATCCGACAGTGGCATCAAGAATGAGGACGTCATCCATCTGGCGCAGTGTCGTCGCGTGACAAAAGATCAACTGCAATGTTAGGCGTTATCCGCGATGGTGACAGTGAACGCACTTCGTTGGAAAGGCGGAGGTCCCAAGTTGTACATGGATGATGAGAAAGTCAGCAAGTAGTCTAATATTGAGATATAATCACTAGGAGAGTTCACGAGTAGGATTTTTATATGTTGATGTGGTCGACCGTAGAAACTTTGTAATCGAGCGCAAACTGATTGTTAGGTCCCTATCAGGGTTCCACCATTTCCCCACCTTCGACCGCCGATCTTGTCCAACGATGCCGCCCCAACCTCACCATCATTCACATGTCCTTGCCCGTTTCATTCTTACCCCCTGATACCTGAATAAGTCGATCTGTGGCAGTGGACGAAGTCAACTACTCGTTGTCCACACTACTAAGCTACAAAGCTGCCGACTCCGAGACCGAGTTTGAACCACAGCTCTACTTTACCTTGAAAGATAGGGACTTAGAACCCTCTCACGAATGTAGATCGACTCGTCTCCTCGCATCCAACGTCCCCACAGATCCGACTCATTATAGTGTAATTTCTCGGACGTAATTGGTGGTGGTAGTAGCTAAATTAGGTAATCTTCTGCACATGTGGCAAACACTCCCCTCCGATCTAGCCGTGCCTGGGCATGCGGAGGACCTCGGAGCCATCGGTAACACCATCATTGCGGCTTCCTCGACCAATGGGACCGTTTAGGTTTGCAGCTGAGCTCGGGGGCAGCCAGTGGAGACTTTGTCCTTTTAATCCATGCTCATTGACACGATAAGTTAGGTTGTGTGTTAGGTTGTTCCAGGTTGTTCCTTCCCCGGGCACGTAGACCGCGTTCTCCACAGAGGAATTATTGGCTGGCGATGTTATGAGGCGAGGATAAGGATAAACTTATGCATGTGACCAGCTGGGGATCTTCATCGGGATTGCCTTCAGCTTGACCCAGGCTTACCATATAGATGGAAGTCCCTCAAAAGCCGCCCTCACAACACAGAGGGAAGCACGGACCCAGGAATACCAGCTCAGAAACACGGTCGATCACTAGACAGAGGCTGGGATCTTGCCTAAAGCCCACAGGAACCGCGTAATCTGTGAGGGCTCACCGAAGGTGCCCACTGTTGGGACAAGAGCCATCCTGCCAATACATTATCTGGAACCATTGCATCAGCTATTTCGTTGGCCCACTTGCCAGTCATTGTGAGCGGCCCTTGCTACAGCACTATCACGTATAGCGCGAAGAACAGAGAAAGGGGATACATATTAGTGTTACAACTTGAAGTTTTCCATGAATCGTGCTTTCAGGGATGGGTGCTCGCAATCATACTCTGCCGGTCGGCTGCGCCAGGGTCCGAACTTTGCGGGTTATACAACCAGACGGTCCCATCTGTCGAAGACGCCGCAATCATTGGGTTCTTGATGGATCCATGATTCCATGCAAACCCCGTCAAACTAGAAGCGGGGGCAAGGGGTGTTTCCAAGGTGTTTAAGAGGTCGGATGATTCACGATCCCAAATAAATATGGTGCCTTCTGCTCGTTATATAAATGTAAGCCGTGGAAAACGCTTTGAAGGAAATGTTTCACTTTTGTTAGCACATATCACAACACAGTCATCTTTTCGTAATCCGTCCACTCCAAATGTCCAGTCGGGGAAACCGAGCTGGCCACAACCTGAGTATTCTACCTCTTCAGGCAAGCAGTATGTTTGTAAAAGGACCAGCTTTGCTGAGTGAATACGGAACAGCTGTGGAGATGCCTTCGCCAGCGTCAAAGGTAGAATCAACGTTTGAAGAGACTCCGAAAATGGCCTCATACCTTTCCCTCGTATGTGACGAGTACCAAGGCTCCGTAAGAGGATATATCTAAACCGCGAACTTGGTTTAGGGTTGGCATCTCACTAATGAGAGCAGCTCAGAACCTAAGTACAACAGAAGAGATCACACTGACAAAATTATCTCTCGTCCTTCTATGTTGATTACTGAGGATGGTCGGACCAGAGATCGTGAGCAATAGGTTCAGAATACTTACAGATAATCCTTCGTTCAGGAGGGGATCTTGATGGCTTGATTTTCTCAGTACCCCCTGTATCCACTTTATCCACCGTACAAATCACGATGGCCCTCCATGAAGCAACTCAGCTTCGAGTTATTCGCATTCAACAAGAATACCCACCTAGTACCATCTGGGGTTATTGCAACTTCGTCAAGTGAATATGAAAGTTCAATATCCCATTCGACACTCTGTTCGACATTCTGTACATTGGATGGGCTATCCCATTTTGCATCCTTCATGTTTGATTATTACAACGAATTGTGAGAACAATAATAAAACTCACAATACACCGGATGTGATGATCTTCACCATACACGAGATGTTTGTTGTTCGGCATCCAAGCAATAGCCCTCACTGGAGTGCTGAAGTTAGTCCTAAGGGGACTAATGGTGGGGTGACTAGTATCCTAAAGATAGAGTAGCTGTTTTGGGCTGTAGCCTTTGTGTCCGCAGTGGGACGTACTGAGATGTCACAGATAATCAATGCAGTACTCCTGGCTGGCATCACTGCCAATAAGGGGTATTTGGGGTGCCAAGAGAGGCGAAGCAGCTGGGAAGTCAGAATGGGCAGCGATGAATGGAGAACATTGACACCGTCGGACGGATCTACAGTCCAAATGACAATCTTTTGGTCTTGCGAACAGGTTGCCACTGCCGAAAACCACTACTCAGCGAATCCAACTGCGTCATCCTTTCAGTACCTAGTACTTACTGTACTTTCCGTCCGCACTGAACTGGATGTCGTGAACAGCTGAAACATGGATCCCAGTCCATTCATCGAAATAGGCCCCCGAAGGAAATGCCATCCTGTTGCTATCAATCCTCTTCCAATTATTTTCCTGCCTAATTCGAGTACGGTCGCGGCCAGGACCTGATGTGCGATTATGCTCAACTACACGCATGATAAGCCTCCGCAATCTGTCATTTGTTTTGTGCTCGGGGCGTGCACTGCCCAGCTTCCACAGGAGGGGTACTACGCGGTCCCACTCAGTAGGTTCAAAGGTCTTGCGTCTGATCGGCTGTCTTGGGGGAAGAGGTTGATTGGCTGCAGGGGGTACCACCTGATTCTGTGGATTAGGGCGAGCTAGATTCTTTTCTATGTCATCCACCTGGAGAACATCCTGATCAAAAGTGTATGTTAAGTGAATCACAGTAATATTAAAATGTGTCTGCATACCCCAATCCGCTTTGCCGTGATGGTTTTAAGATCGAGGAAGAACCAGATGTACACGCAGATTGACCCAATGGCCCATATCACTAAAGCAATAGTTACACAAATGTAGATGTATCTAGCGTCCACAAACTTCAAAAACGTGAAGAAGGCGATGCCAATGGCGAACCTAGCGCAGATATTTTTGTGAGGGAGGGGTGCAGACAACAAAAGTGGTTACTGACGATCCCACCGATATCACCAGGAATGTAAAAGGAGCGGTCACGATCCATGTTGAGACCCACCGTGGGGGTGTCACGTCCGACTTCATGTACACAGCTGAAGACCATCTAAAGTATGGGGTCAGTTAAACGTCTGAAGCCAGCGTAGCAGTACTAGGACACTGACTGATAACTGAATTGACTACTGATAGCACTAGCGATAGCGAAGCAAAGTGAAAGTATCCACAGAAATTGGACAGCTTTGAACAATGTTTGCTTATGGCCATCGTAACTAACGCCATTTCCGCGGCTCAGCTTCTACATTCGAGCACGGATACGAGAAACTGAGTTACCCAAGCTGGATGGTAGATGCAGACACCCCAGCAAAGAGGGTGGCAACTGTCGACAGATTTTGGAATGTTGGACGTCGTTCATAATATCTAATTGTGTATAAACCTGTCACAGCAGACCGTGGTCAATTTGATGTTCCGGTGTCAATTTACAGCCACATACCGAAATCAAGGAATTCCTCGAGCGCCTTTCTGATGTCGTCCAAATGATTTGACATAAGGTCCGCTATTGTAGATATGTGGTGACGGGAAGCATTTCTATAAAAAGTCCCTTGGAGCAACATACATTAGATTAGCTGGCAGCACAGAACATACTAAGGACCCACCAGAGAACTGGCGTAAATTGATACTCCAATATAGCAGATCTTGCTTGAGGGCGAGGAATGACCGATGCACCTCCTCCACGACATGGGACTGAATAAATTCGAAACCCGGCAGAACTTTTAAAGCCGAAGTGAATTTTTCGAGGACCTGCGCTAGCGCCTCAAATTCCTCTGGAAGGGAGTCGGATACAGGTTGGCTAGAAGAGAAACCGTAGTCACAGTGCTGTAGCATGGTTCCAGGAGATGGGACACATACTCTTTTGTTTTTGAAGGTGTCGTTTCGCCCCAAAGCGGACAAATGGTCCTTCGCATGACATCCGAAGCGCTGCATAATTGGTCCTGAAATTTCCCGATCCCATCGACCAAAACCACAGCCACACTGATCTTTCTGACGTTAGTCGCACATGTTTCTAATACTTCTTGAAGCTGCTCCAATTTGCTGCATGGGCGTTTAATGTGAATATCCCAAAGCCAACGAAAACATCCCACCTCTGGTAATCTTTGAAGGCCTTCCGCCTCTGTTCCGAGTACGTTATGTTGGCTATGAGGAAGAAAGCAGCGTCACGATATGTCACTTACAGAATAGAGGCATCATACAAATATCGTGTCTAGTGCACGGTGCACCAATTTGGATAGGATCAGTAGTATTCGCCATTGGAGGGGGGTTCTAGGGTGAGCAGGGCCGGATCCGGGGAGGTGAATGAAGGACTTGGTATCTTGAGCACAGGTAGTAAGACTTGCTGAGCTACTTGGCAACTGGCCCGTTGGATGGGTGCGGCACTATTCTTTGCAAGGGGGGTTGGGGGATGCCCCTTTTTCAAGGGCGTAACGAGAGCCATTTAAAAAGCGAGAATGCGAGAATGCGAGTCAAGACTAATCGGCTCGGCTCATTTTCTCCGAATGGGTATGAAAATCCGCATTCACCAGTTGCCCAATACAATGGCTGAGCCATTTACGGATGTGTTTCGCAAACAATACAACATCAGTGCCCTTATCCGAGAGTTTTTCAATTGACAATCAGCCAGTAGGGTGAAATGAATGCATATTTACCAAGAGGGATGGGGGAGGGCCTACAACAACGGACTGGGATTACCATGCATGGAAACATTGTAAATTCAGTACCCCGTGTCCATCCAAGAGTCTTCAATTAATCGACAACGAGGCGACCAGCCGACATTGTGACAGTTTAACATCACAGCCAACACCTGCATCTTGGTGCATGGGGAACCATCGAGGAAACTGGTTGGATGTTTTTTGGGATGACTTGCTAGAGGCTGGGATCCTGCCTAATGACTTGCGACAGCGGGGGTTGGGCCCCTTGGTCCAATCAAGCTGTTGTATGGGCTGTGGGGGGAAAGATGCAACATGCACAAGTTTGGAGCTGTCATAAATTATTCAGATGTCAGTGCAATGATCGACTGCCCCAAGCCACAAATGATTAAATATGCACATTAACCTCGCACAGCAGGACAATCTTGCTCATTGTACCAGCACCTCACATCGGCTGAACCGAGACGCCCATCCTCGTAACGCGACGGGTCTATACCAGAAAAGCCGTACATATGTGGTTCGAGGATCGAAGAGTGCATTATATAATTCAATACGCCACCTGAAGCGGCAGATCCCGCTACTCTTACCCCGCATGCATAGAAGTGAAGTAGCTTTGGATGCATCGGGGACTCACTTGTATCGGGAGTGAACATGAGCTTTTTCAGGAGATATATGATTTGTCAGTGAGCTTGGGAGAAGTCAACGGAGAACGATTGCGTTACATAAGAACTGTATATGGTCCCGGGACATACAGGACCCTGCGCATGGGAAAATTGAGTTGGGAAGAAAAAAACGTAGGACCCCTAGAAACGGGAATTCAATCTTATGAATATTATGAATACTCGATTCTGTTCATTTTAGGGATTATGTATTACATAAGTAAATTTCCACAGGAACCACTTCATCTAGTTGCGATAACCGACGACATGATAGGAGAGTCAGCTACACCCTTCGGACCACAAACTGGGCAGCATTTGTTATCAAGATTGGAGGGGTGAGCGTGGGGAAGGAGGGATAGCCAGTGATTAGGCTGGAAGCGGGTCAGGCCGGATTGGTAGACTTTTTAACCTACGATGCGGGTGTGATCTACCTCGTCAACACTATCTGCGAACGACAAGATCAGGAAAAACGATGCTGTTCTTGGCAAAGTAGCAGAACGAACCTTAAGGAACTCTACAGCATGGCCGTATTTGTCTGATAAGCGCCTGGCAGAATCTCCTGGCTGGGACTTGATGCATGCTCACCGTCGTAGGTAATCTTGTTGTTATCATCCACATCGGCTTCTAGGATCATTTCTTTGACTTCAGGGTCAGATAATTCCTCCCCTGTCGATCTCGAACATCAACGTGCATATTGTAGCTTGGTATAAACTCACCGAAGCAGGAGGCAACCTTTTTAAGTTCTGCAGCTGTGAAGTAGTTCTTGTCGGGCATTCCAGCGAATACCTCGAACGCCTTCCTAGCCTCGCTCTCGCTGTCTATATCCTTCATTTTGCTTGCCATCATCCCCAGGAATTCAAGGAAATCGATCGTCTTGTTTGAGTCGACATCCGCTTCCCTAATCATGGCAAGGAGTTCGGCCTCTGTTGGGTTCAGACCCAATGAACGCATAACCGAGCCCAATTCGCCCGCAGTTATGGCTCCATCATCATCTGGAGGGAATGGAAGACGTCCGGTTCCCATTTCTCGGCGTTAAACTTGGGCCCACCTTTGTCGAACAGGGAGAACGCTTCCCTGAATTCTGAAAAGAGCAGGATGCGTCTTTCCTCGATATCCCAAGGCCAACCCAAGCTTTACGTACCAGACTTTTGCTCTGTGCCAATAAGCGGTCAATTAAAACATCACTTGGCGAGATTGATTGGGCCATTGAGATACATACCCTTGGACTATCGTTCAGTTTTTGTTGGACGGAGCGCATGTCCGCGAGCGTGATTTAGCCAAGAAACACGCGATTGCATGGTGAACGGTCGACCGGTCAACCCGGAACGACACCACAGCGAAATATGGCAGACATCAACATCAAAGTTCACAAATCACACCAACTGTGCGTACTAGTTGGTCAGCCATTATGGGGGAGTTGGTCGTAAGCCAAAAGCATGTATAAGCAACACTTTCATTAATAGTATTTATAATCAATTGCGCGCGCTGTCAAGATAAGGACGCGCGCAAGGTATGAGCGCTTGCCGTTCAGGCAGGGGTTCGAAGCCTCATTGTCAATCTTAAAATCAACTAAATCGGACCCTTAAAGATCGCTCAAATTGCAGAGTTAGACAGGGTGAAGGGCTGCAAAAGAGTTATCCGGACGGGTCAGAAAATTGCGCGTTCTGCTGTTCGGGCGAAGCGGAAGGGTGGACAAATTCTAATTCAACAACCAGGTGCTCAATCTAACTCCAACTTCTGGATCGCATGATCAAATGGAAAAATGCTGATCTTCTATCAGCTTGTTTTGTACTAGAACATTCCCTGCAGACCTGCCGATTGATTCCTATCGAGCCTCAGAGTCGATGATTGAACTGGAAACAATAGAAATCGCAAATGAAAACGCTCATATGGTGCCCATGACTTTCCGTATTCAGATAATCTGAATGCCGCCAGGCCAGGCACACTTCTGATCTGCCAGTGAAGAACACGGCCTGAACCGCTGCAGTCAGCATGCAGCGAAAAGAAGTAACCATCGCTAAGGGGGATGTCTAGAGCGGCGACGCAACCTTGGTCCCCACTTTCTTGCAAGTGTCAAATGCGGTGGCGTCCCTCCCTCGCAGATCATCCCCGATCCTGGTAGTCATGCTATCGACGAGACGGATAATAGCATCCACATAGAGGATGATGATGTTCTTGACCATATACTTGGGAGAGGCCCGCGAAATGGTAGTGACAAAATCGCACCCGGGCTCAGTCCAGATTTCGCGCAAGGTTAGCCCAGGGTATGTACGTACACTTGTCCTCTGTATTTGGGTATTCTAGGCTCCGCGCTGGTAGAACTGGGGGGGCGATGGATCAAATGATTCGGTCTCACGAAGCGCGCTTGATCAACGACTGTGTCCGAGTCAGTGAGAAGTTCTCGATTGTGTAAGCGCGTTCGTGTCAGCGCGACGCATGATTGCCCTGAAAGAGAGAGCGCAATGGCGGGTGGGTGGAAAGGACGGTGGTTTGCAAGCGCCCATCAACGTCTGAAAAGGGTCTGTGGCGTGAACTTTGTCTCCGCCGGGAAGGTTGGGGCCAAGGAGCATCTCTTCCAAATACAGCACTCGAAACGACCCGACTCCTCTTCCACTGTGCTCGGCAATGGACATCTCCCTCGGGATGTAACTGTTCCTGGTCCGAAGATCGAATTTAGGCATTCCGTCAACCAGCAGTCCTTGATTTTCGATGGCAAGCAGCCTCTATTCCGTCTTAGCATTCAGCGCGAGGTCGTCAGCTAATGGGTGATCCCCGCTCGTGATGTTGGGTTGTTGGTGGACCTTGGGCAAGACAAAGGCGAGGGGCACGAGTCACGTCGACAAACTGCCAAAACCACCGAGCCAAAAGGGTGCAAGACCTAACAGAGCTTGGGCACTTCTCGTACTTTCCCTCCCTGACACATGGTACCGCCTCGCCGAGTCCTTTAGCTGGGTAACCCGCTTCCAGCTGTTGATGGTGATAGTATAATCGCGATGCATTCAGTTTCTTGCTCTCGTAGGATTTGCACCTCTTACGACGTCGTTGTGTACAGTTTTGGCTATGTACATCTGAATTCTGGTTTCTATGACTCCAGCTTAAAACCATCATGATCGATTAGGCGATGGACGTGAGGCAGGCTGCAATGAAACGGGATCGTCCAGTCTATTGTAACCTGCCTAGTCGTCAGGAAGCTGCAAGGTTTGTAATTTTCGGGGTTAACCGGCTGTGACGCGTTATGGTGACATGACTTTATCGAGCCGCTCGCCGCACTGCACACCAACATCACCCTTGGCATTTCCAAGGGCTAGTCGAGTTTCGTACTTCCTGTGTTCTGGCTACAGAATTCTGTTTCATATTTCGGCGGGTCGCTTGGGACGTGAAAAGGTGCGGCAGGGGCTCAAACGGGAAGCACAGGTCCCTTCCACACGTGCTCGCGCCTCTCATATTTGAACGCGCATCCAGATCCACCCTTCCTCATTGCAAGTGCTCAGCTGCTCCGCAAGTCTTTTTACCACCAGACTGTCTGGAGACCCACCACCCATGAATGACATTTCTTCGATAAACGAGGTGGAGTACTCAGAGAAAACAGGCTTGGCTCACTATGAGAGGTGGGATATCTCCATTGGATAATCGTCTTGATCAGTTCCTATATGTTGAACCATTGTACAGCGAGGTCGAACGCTTAGATGCGGCATTGACAAAATGTTCAGGCGACATTCGGAAGATACCTGTGGCTATGGGTTTGGTGGACGCAATTGACAAACTTCAGAACCGCTCACATCGCGTTTCGGGTCTTATGCGAAGCATCATTTGTCCTGTGTGGGGTGCGGCATCTCAAAACAAGTATGTGTTCCCCGGATCATACTGGCCTCGCTAGAACCCCTTTTCAGGAATAGAATGTGCAGCTTCCCCCCCGAGATACTTCCACTGGAACTCGAAGCACTGGCACACGCTCTGGACGGGTTTAACACAGCTTTGAGGGTTTTACCAGGTTTCAATCACATCCAATCCTATGCTGTGGAGAAAGTACATCAATCCCTCCATGCCTTTAAGCAGGACTTGCAGTACCGGAGTTATAGCATGCGCCAGTTTCCTGGTCCGTCCCCAGTCACCCCTGCGATGCGAATCTGTTTCATTTGTGCAGTGTTTAGAAAGCTTCCACAGAAATGCTATGCGTTATTATATATCGACAATAGCGGAGGAAATGTCACATCAATCACACGATGTCGCAGACGCGCTGGAGGTATTCTTTGAGTCAGGTAAGATGCTGGGCGCCTGATACTCAATTGTGAGGCTGACATGTTTGTAACAGGCCTGTACACGATCAAGTATTATGAACGACGCCCAACATTCCAAAATTTGTCGACGGTTGCTACCCTTTTTGCTGGCGTGTCTGCTAGCAGTATCCAGTTCAGGTGACGTAACGCCCACTCCCAGCTATGTTAACTCAGACTCTAATTTCAAGTCTTAAAATGGCGCAGTTTCAGCAAGACAGACACGGAAATTTCCAAAGCTGTTAGCCTTTTCTGGCTACTGTCGCTTTCTTTCTCTATCGCCAGTGCGGTCAGCAGTCAACTCAGTTATCAGCAAGTGTTCTGGCATTATTAATTTAGTTTCAAATGTCGAATTAACCTGATCATCTTTAGCTGGTCTTCAACTTTGTGGATCAGTTCGGACGTGACCCCCCACTGGTGGACCTCAGCTTGGATTTTGAATGCCCCTCTGGTTCTCCTACTTGTATCAGTGGCATCGTCAGCGATCATCACGTTTCTTTAACTCTTTCGTCTCAAAACTCGATTTTTTAGGTTTGTCATAGGCATTATCCTCTTCGCTTTCTCGACTTTTGTCAACGATATCTTTATCCCCATCCTTGTCGTTGTTGTTTCGGTGATTTGGATAATGGGATTGCTCTTTGGATTCTTCATCGATCCCAGAGTCATCATGAATCGGATCGCAATCAAGGTATGGGAACAAATCTTACTACACTGGGTATGTCTAAACATATGCTTTCCTGCAGTGAGTTCCCAAGCCACTTGAGAGTAGTCATATCACATTGCCTGAGGTCGGATCTTTTAGGGATCTTATGGGAAGTGTGCAAACATGGATCCAGAGACGCCCCAACATAGTAGGGACTGATGCCCAGGATCAGCTCGTACTCCACCCTACGGAGAGCAGCCCCGACATGAATGCACCACAGCACCCCAGACTCGTTGTCAGCAAGACCCCCGCAGCCTCCCAATGGACGGATATAGTCCCCCTCCTGTGGAAATTAGATAATACGCCTTCAGAATACAAATCTGCAACTTCAAATTTCCGCAGGCTTGTCATGCGTGTGGTCGAGGACAATCGACACGGGATCTCCAAATTAGGCCGAACAGCAACCAGGAGAGGATAAGCAGAATAAATAATGTGGCCATTCTATTGGAATCGCATGTCGAGAATGGACTGGAGTTCACGTTTCGGCTGTTCACGATATCAGGTTTAGTGCTGATGGCGACTACCGTGAGTGCCAATTTAACACTCACTGATGCAAATTGTCTCGCTGAGTATCGGTGCTCACAGTGGCAACCTGTTCGCAGGACCAAAAAGTAGTGGTCTGGGCCATGCGTCCGGAGGTCAGGATTCACTTTTCATCCCTGTGCGATCCAAGCACGCAGCCGCATCGTCTTTCTTGGCACCCCAAGCACCTTTTATTGGCGGTGATGCTGGTCAGAAGTGCTAACCTGGTGATATATGATCTTTCGGTATGACCCTTCGCAAACTTGAATTGCTTGTTTCATCATTGTTCAACTATTCAGGGTGCCGGTAAACCCACCGTCAGTTCCTGGTCAGCTAAGCAAAGGCCAGTGAAGGCTAAGCAAGGGCCAGTGAGGGCTGTTACGTGGATGCCGAGCAAAGAAGCCCTCGTTTATACGGAGGGCCATCATGTTCGGTGTTTCGTGAGTCATCGCCTTACTCCTACAATCCCAATCCATTGTAGTAAATTGAGGTCTGAAGAATCGCGACAGTGAAGAATGGAATATTGAACTCCCATATTCACTTGACGAAGTCGCTGTTACGCCAGACGGAACTAAGTGAGTGTTCTTGTGGAATGAGGATAACCTGCAACTGAGCTGCCTTGGTGATGGAGGCTCGTCGTAGTTGGTACAGTAGATTCCGTGGACGTTGATGGGAAGCAATTCAAGCCATCAAAGTCCCCACCCGAACGAAGGATCATCAGTGGGTATATTTGTGTGGCTACTATCTGAAGCTTGAGGACTTAGCCATCTTTCCAGTGATCGAGATAGATGGACGAGCGAAAATTTTGTCAGTCTCAATTATCGAGTCTTCTGAAGTACCTAGGTCCTTAACCACTTCCACTAGCGAGACGCCGACCCTAAATCAAGTTCGCGGGTTGGATGTGTCTTCTTCTGGGGCCCTATTGCTCGTCACATACGAAGGAAAGGTATGCCGCCACTTTCAAAGTTCCATCCGATGTTCCTTTGTCAATTCATTTTAATGTAGGCATCTCCGCAACTGTTCCGCATTCACTCAACATGGTTGGTCCTTCTGCAAACGTACCGTCCGCCCAAGGGAGAGGTGGAATACTCAGGTTATAGCCAGCTCGGCATCCGTGGCTGGACATCTGGCGTAGATGGGTTGCGCATAGATGAGTGTGCTGTGATGTGTGCCGACAAAGGTGAAAGGTTTCCCCCTTGGCGTCCTCGTTGACTAACCGTCCATGCGTTCATTTAATGAGTAGAAGGCTCCATTTTTATTTGGGACCGTGGATCATCTGATCTTCTACACACATTGAAAGCACCCCTTAGCCGCGCCTCTCATCTGACTGGGTTTGCATGGAACCATGGGCCCATTGAGAATCCAACCATTGCAGCTTCCTCAGCTAACGGAACTATTTGGTTTTACCACCCCTACGGTTCGGGCGCAGGGGATTAGTGTAAATTTTTGTTGCATCTCAGGCTCTAGGTTCAATTCATGATGGACTTCTAGCATTGACGCAGTCAAGCTCATGATCCTTCCGGAATGGATTCCAAAGAGGCCCCGATTTTCATCCCGTTTGAATCCCAGCATCTCAATGATCCGACTGTTGAACGCTGTTCTCCGAACTTGTGGGCTCCGACATAGGCAGGACTCTAGCCTCTAATGACTTCGTAACATTATATGCTCCGACGACTGTAGAGCCCTAATGCCTCCATATGTTATTACAATGTCACTGACTCTGTTTATCGCGGAGGTGCGAGACCAAGCGGAGACACATTGAACGTCGCAATCCCAGATCATCATCAAGTTATCTGCTAGCGAAGGTGTTATTGGTCGAGAAAAGGACCTGTTTCGTGAGCCTCGTCGGGGATATCGCCTATAACGTCGGTGACCAGCTTTAGACCAGAAAAATAGGGGTTGGTTGGAGTGGTGAATTGTATTTCTCGCGGATGCAATCAGTCGAGGGAGCCCTCCGAATTCAATATGACGTTAGTTCTGAATCGGACTCAGCCCGATAAGCTTCCTGCAATCATGCACCAGCTCAGCCGCACTGTATTTAATGTTTAAGTCTACCTTCGACTCGCTTTCTGATTCTCCCCCTTTTTGTTCCCCCCAATCCCACCTGTGAGCATTGGCGTCGCGGTCTTCCAAGTTCCAGCAGTCCAGTTGCTTGGCGAGTCTCGCCAGCCGTACTCGAAGAGTGTAGGCCCTCTCCTCTCGGATCTGGCCAGGCGAACCCTGTAACCGCTGCCATCCATGAATAAGTCCCCTTCAATGACTAATACTACTGGTCTCATCCAAGTCGGTGCACCGCGCGCCAAGCATCATATTTGTATGATACCTCTATCCTGTAAACTCTCGGGAGCGCCATGTCGTGACGCTACTCTTTTCCTCAGTTAATCTCACGTACTCGATCCAGAGGCAGAGAGCCTTTGAGGGTTACGAGAGGTCGGTTGTCTTCGCCGGCTTAATTCGATCGGGGAATATCCACCTAATACCGTCACGCAGAAGAATGAAGCAGCTACAAGAAGTATTGGAAAAATGGGCGGTCATCATCAGAGAGATCAATACGGATATGGTTTTGGCCGATGCAATTGATAAAATCCAGGACAGTTTACGTGGCGTTTTGGATGCTATGCGAAGAATCGTTCGCCCGCTCTGGGGTGGCACGACACCTTCAGAAATGAAAATGTATGTGTTCCCTGGAACCATACCGCATCACTATGACTAAGATTCCCTTCCTAGTGGTCAAACAGACCAACATTTATCTGACGCTCTTCCGGAAATACTTGAAGGACTGGCGCAGGCCGTCGACGAGTTTATCTCGGGTTTGAGTGCTCTGCCATTTTTGAGTCATGTTCGACGTCGCGTCATGGAGGAGGCGCGTCGGCCGCTACTCGACTTCAACCGAGACCTGTTGTATTGGAGTATCAATTTACGCCAGTTCTCTGGTGGGTCCTCGACATGTTGTCTGCTGCTCGCCAATTTAATGTGTGTTGCTTTAAGGCCATTTGTACAGAAATGCTCTCCGTCACCACGTATCTACAGTAGCTGACTGCATGTCAGATCATTTTGACAACGTGACAAAACCGCTCGAAGAATTCCTTGACTGTGGTAGTGACCGCACATTGACACTGGAATCCCAAATTGACCACCTCCAACAGGTTTGTACATGATCAGGTTTTACGAACGACGTCTAGCATTTCAAAATTTGTCAACATTCGCCATCTTCTTCGCTGGAGTGCCTGCATTCAGCATCCAGTTCAGGTGACTCAAAGTGTTCTTGTAGTTATGTTCGAATGCTGAAGCTGAGCTGTGAAATGACGTTAGTTGCGATGGCCGCCACGAGTCAACATTTCAAGCTGTCGAGTTTTTGTGGATATTTTCGCTTTTCTTTTCTATCGCCAGTGCCATCGATAGTCAAGTGAGTTATCAGTGAGTATTTTGAGATTATTACCCTAGCCTCAGACGTTTAATTGACCTGAATATCATAGATTGTCTTCGGCTGTGGACATCAAATCGGGTGCGGTACCCCCAATGTGGGTCTCAGCATGGATTGTGACCGCCCCTTTTATATCCCTACTCATATCGGTGGGATCGTCAGTGATCCATCTTGTTGTCTGCACACCTCGCTAACGAAATTATCTGCGCCAGGTTCGTCGTAGGCATCGCCCTCTTCACATTTTTGAAGTTTGTCAATGCTAGATATGCCCCCGTTTGTGTAACCATTGCCTTGGCAATATGGATCACGGGGTTAACCTGCACGTACATGTGGTTCTTTATCAATCTGAATCTTGGATCCATCGCGAAGAAGTGGGTCGGGGTATGTAGACGCATTTTAACACCATAATTCACCTAAGATTCACTTTTATCAGAATATTTTCCACATAGATAATAATCCAGCGCGTCCTAATCCCCCTGCAGCCAATCAACCTCTTCCCCCGACATGGTCGATCAGACGCAATACCTTTGCACCTACTCAGTGGGACCGTATAACACCTCTCATATGGAAACCAACAAATGACAGATTGCGGAGGCTCGCCATGCGCGTGATCGAGGATAATCGCCTGTATGGTCCCGGCCACAACTCTGCTCAGATTAGGCAGGAAGATAATTGGAGGATCGATAGCAACAGGATAGCATTCCCTTCGGGGGTGTATTCTGAAGAATGGACTGGGGTTCACGTTTCAGCTGTTCACGACATCCAGTTCAGTGCAGACGGAAAGTACAGTAAGTGCTAGGTAATTATGGTGTAGTTCGGCTCAATGAGTATTGGTACTGGCAGTGGCAACCTGTTCGCAGGATGAAAGGATTGTCATTTGGATTGTAGATTCGTCCAACGGTGCCAATGTCCTCCATTCGTCGCGGCCCAATCTAGCCTCTCAGCCTCTTCGTCTTGCTTGGCACCCCAACATGATCCCTCTATTGGCGGCAATGCCAGCTAGGGGCACCACGTTGGTTACCTTTGATTTAAGGGTACGTTTCATCGCGGACACGAATACCGTAGCCCATAACAATGGCTCCCTTATTAGGATGCTAGTCTACTCACCATTAGTTCCTTGTCGGCTATGCAAGGGCCAGTAAGGGCTATTGCTTGGATGCCGTACAACGAGGACCTCGTTTATACTGAGAGTTATTACATCCGCTGTATTGTGAGTTTTATTACTGTTCTTACAATTTGTTGTAATGATCAAACATGAAGAATCGTAAAAGTGTCGAACAATGGAGTGTCGAGCTTCCATATTCACTTGGCGAAGTTGCAATAACCCCAGATGGTACTAGGTGGGTGTTCTTGTTGATGTGGATCACTCGTAGCTGAGTGGCTTCATGTAGGGCCATCGTGGTTGGTACAGTGGATGAAGTGGGTACAGGGGATACCGTGAAAATCAAGCCATCAAGATCCCCTCCTGAACGAAGGATTATCTGTGAGTATTCTGAACCTATTGTTCACGATCTCTGGTCTGACCATCCTCAGTAATCAACATAGAAGGACGACAGATAATTTTGTCAGTGTGATCAATTATCAAGCCTTCTGTTGTACTTAAGTTCTGAGCTGCTCTCATTAGTGAGACGCCAACCCTAAACCAAGTTCGAAGTTTAGATGTATCCTCTGCTGGAGCCTTGCTACTCGTCACGTACGAGGGAAAGGTATGACGTCGTTTTGGAAGTCTCTTCGGATGCCAACGCTACCCTTCGACCCGGCAAAGGCATTTCCGCAACTGTTCCGTATTCACTCAGCAAAGCTGGTCCTTTTGCAAACATACTGCTTGCCCGAAGAGGTGGAATACTCAGGTTCTGGCCAGCTCGGTTTCCCTGACTGGACGTTTGGAGTGGACGGGCCACGTCGCGATGATTGTGTTGTGATGTGTGCTAACAAAAGTGAAACATTCCCTTCAAAGCATTTTCCACGGCTTACGTTTATATAACGAGCAGAAGGCACCATGTTTATCTGGGATCGTGAATCATCCCATCTCTTAAAGACCTTGGAAATACCTCTTGGCCCCGCTTCTAGTTTGACTGGATTTGCATGGGATCATGGGTCCTTTGGGAACCCAATGATCGCGGCTTCTTCGGCAGATGGGACCATTTGGCTTTATAACCCACAGAGGCTGGACCCTGGCGTAGCTGGCCAGCAGAGTACGATTGCAAGCACCCACCCCTGAAAGCACGATTCATGGAAAACTTCGAATGAGATGACATATGTACATATACATATGTCACGCTTGTACGCACAAGTTTAACAAAGGCTGTTCACAATGACCAACGCAGAGGCCTGCATTTAAATGATCGATAATTCCAGGGAACGACTTGTACGAACAATCAGCGTGTCTACATATAGCACGAAACAATGGATATGCGCCGAGGCAAGCTCTGGGGACATAATCATGTCCACCACCGCTGGGTGTTGGCGGGGATGTTAGAAGTCAATCAAGTACCAGCAGCCCAAGAGTCTTCGATCAAAGAGAGAGAAAGTACGTACCGATAGTGATGGGTAGGCTAGCTATAGAATGCTTGGATTTTGATCTGCCCCCCAGCGAGTACGTTTATGGTGTTTTTGAACTCAACTGAACACCGATACCTGAAGCTAGCGTAAAACATTTAACTAGTAACTGATTTGACTGCTAATCGTGCTAGCAATGGCGAAGAAAAGCGAAAGTATCGAGAAAAAATTGACGCCTTTAATTGAAGAGTGCGGTGCCTTCAGCTTTGTCGTCGTAACTATAACATTTCCGCATTTGTCTCAGACCCATAGCTGCATTGGTTGCTGGGGCACGGACATGCAGTTAATGCAATGACCGGATGGCAGACGCGGCAATGTTCACTACTCGTCTCCCCCTTTTCCTTTTTTCAGAAATAATCCACCTGCTGTCATCAGACAGCAGCGCAAGAAAGGTGACGAGGTTAGGTGTGAAATGGAACCAGGGTGGTACGGTGTTCCAAATTCCCGAAGCACCTGTGTTGTTCGGGCACCGACTGTTAGTGCCTTCCATCTTCCATGACCATGATGCACTGGCATCAAGCGTGATGCAGGGAATCGTCCACGAAGCGCAAACCCACCTTCCTGTCTGCGTTAAGGTAGACCACTTTCCCCCCTCCCTTTTCTCCACGCGGGCTGAACGGACTGAATGACGAGAAAGTCGAAGAGATTGACCGTGACGGTTCGTGAGAACGACGCTCATCCCAGCCTAGCAGCCGTAACTGGCATACCGAAACGTGCACGGGGCAAAGCGCCGATTGCTGGTTAGTGTCCTCCACCATCCATAAGACAAAGCACACTTACCGATGTGCTGCACAATGCATGCCTGGCCACCGTCAATTAAACGTCAACGAACGGCACGTGCATCCTCAGTTACAGATTGCAGTGTCGCGCGCGCGTCCATGAAGCGAAAACGACTGGGTACGAGTCTGCATCTGGACGATTTATGGTTTGAACAAACTTGTGCGTGTTGCGTCTTCCACCTCTCTTCCCACAGCCCCATACAACAGCTTGATTGAACCACGGAGCCCGGCCCCCGCGGTCGCAAGTCATCCCAAAAAAAACAGCCAACCAGTTTCCTCGAAAGCACACTTGCATCCCCGTGCACCAAGATGCTATGATGTTAAACTGACGATGCCAGCAGTTGACCGCCTCGTTGTCGATCAATTGAAGACTCAGGTGGGCAAGAAGTATTCAATTAAATTTGCGGTGTTTCCATGCATGGCAATCGCAATCTGTTGCTCCCATATCGCCCTCTCGGTGAATAGTCATTCATCATCCTACCGGCTGACTGTCAATTGAAAGACTGATAAGGGCACTGATATTGTGTCGTTTGCAAGACACGTAAATGGCTCGTGCATACGCTCAGCCGTTGTATTGGACAACTCGTGAGTGCGGATTAGGCCCATCATTTGCTCTGCCACTCGGACGGACGTTCTCCCGGGGTGTTTTCCCCGGCCGATGTGAGGTGCTGAGCAAGACTGTCCTGATGTGCAAGGTTAATGTGCATATTCAATCGTTCGTAGCTTGGGGCAGTCGATCATGGCACTGACATCTGGATAATTTATGACAGCTCATGGTTCGAACAAACTTGCGCATGTTGCATGTTGCATCTTTCCCCCACAGCCCATACAACAGCTTGATTGGGCCCGGGAGCCCGGCCCCCACGGCAAGTCATCCCAAAAAAAACATCCAACCAGTTTCCTCGATGGTTCCCCATGCACCAAGATGTGGGTGTTGGGTGTGATGTTAAACTGTCACGATGTCGGCTGGTTGCCTCGTGGAAGACTCTCGAGTGGGCAGGGTACTGAATTTACGATGTTTCCATGCATGGCAATTCCAGTCCGTTTCTGCATACCGCCCTCTTGGTGAATACGCATTCATCTCACCCTACCAGCTGATTGACAATTGAAAGACTCTCGGATAAGGGCACTGATATCGTAAGACACGTCCATAAATGGCTCGTGCAGACACTCAGCCATTACATTGGACAACTGATACCCATTCGGAGAAAACGAGCCGAGCCGATTAGTCTTGAGTCGCTTTCTCGCTTTCTCGTTCTTTAAATGGCTCTCGTTACGCCCTTGAAAAAGGGGCGGACCCCAAACCCTCCCCCCCTTTGCAAGGAATAGTGCCGCGCCGGCTAGTTGCTAAGCAGTTCAGCAAGTCTTACTACCCGTGTTCAAGATACTAGGCCCTTCATTCAACTCCCCTCTCGGATCCGGCCCTGCTCACCCTATAGCCCCCCTCCAATGGCGAATACTACCGGTCCTATCCAAGTCGGCGGACTGCGCACTAGACATGGTATTTGTATGATGCCTCTCTTTTGCAAGTGACATATCGTGACGCTGCTTTCTCCCTCATAGCCAACATAACGTACTCGGATCAAAGGCGGAAGGCCTTCAGAGACTACCAGAGGTGGGATGTCTTCGTCGGCTTTGAGATATTCACATTAAACTATGGTGCAGAAAATTGGAGCAGCTTCAAGAAGTATTAGAAAAATGTGCGACTAACGTCAGAAAGATCACTGTAGCTGTGATTTTGGCCGATGGGATCGGGAAACTTCAGCGCCAGTTACACAGTGCTTCGGATGTCATGCGAAGGACCATTTGTCCGCTTTGGGGCGAAGCGACACCTTCAGAGGCGAAAGAGTACGTGTCCCGTCCCCGGAACCATGCTGCAGCACTGTGACTAAGGTTGCTCTTTTAGCGGTCAAGATCTGTCCGACTCTCTTCCAGAAAAATTTAAGACGCTAGCGCAGCTCCTCGAAAAATTCGATTCGGGTTTAAAAATTCTGCCAGGTTTCAATCAAGTTCAGTACCACATTGTGGAGGAGGTGCATCGATCGCTCCTAGACTTCAAGCAAGATCTGTTATATTGGAATATCAATTTACTCCAGTTCTCTGGTGGGTCCTCAGTGGGTCCTGTGCTGTCAGCCAATCTAATGTGTGTTACTCTAAGGGAATTTTTATAGAAATGCTTCCCGTCACCACATATCCACGATAGCGGACCACATGTCAAATCATTTGGGCGACATCACAAAGGCGCTCGAGGAATTCCTTGGTCACGGTATGTGACTGTAAATTGACACCGGAACATTCAAATTGACCACGGTCTGCAACAGGCCTGTACACGATAAGGTATTACGAACGACGTCCAACATTCGAAAATCTGTCAACAGTTGCCACCCTCTTTGCTGGGGTGTCTGCATCCACCATCCAGCTCAGGTGACTCAAAGTCTTCTCATAGCTGTGTTTGAATGTTGTAGCTGAGGCATGGGAATTGTGTTAGTTACGACGGCAATAAGAAGAGATTGTTCGAAGCTGTCCAATTTTTGTGGATATTTTCACTTTGCCTCTCTATCGCTAGTGCTATCAGCAGTCAAGTCAGCTATCGGTCAGTATCCTAGCATTACTGCGCTGGCTTCAGACGTTTAACTGACCTCATACTTTAGATGGTCTTCAGCTGTATATATAAAGTCGGACCTGACACCCCCATGGTTGGTTTCAGCATGGATCGTGACCGCCCCTTTTACATTCCTAGTGATATCGGTGGGATCGTGAGTGATAACTTTTGTTGTCTGCACCCCTCCCTCATGAAGGTATATCTGCGCTAGGTTCGCCATAGGCATCGCCCTCTTCACATTCTTGAAGTTTGGGGATGCTGAATACATCCGCGTTTGCGTAACCGCTGCTTTGGTGATATGGACCATTGGATCACTCCTTGTGTACATGTGGTTTTTTATCGACCTTAGAGTCATCAAGCCGAAGAAAAAGAAGTGGGTCGGGGTGCGTAGACGCATTTCATCATTGCTGAGATTCACCTAACATGCACTTTCTATTGGTCTCCAGACGGATGACATAGAAAAGATTCCTAAAACCCCTGTAACCAATCAATCTCTTCCCTCTCTTCCCCCGGGACAGCCGATCAAACGCGAACCCGTACTCAACCCCGACACGGATGCACCGCAAAACCCCAGACTCGTTGTCAGAAAGACCCTCGAAGCCTCTCAATGGACGGATATCATCCCCCTCCTGTGGGAATTGGATATTACGCCTTCAGAATACAGGCGGGCTACTTCAAATTTCCGCAGGCTTGTCATGCGTGTGGTCGAGAGCAATCGCACACCTGATCTCGTCTACAATTATGCCCAAATTAGGCAGAACAGCAAGCAGGAGAGGATAAGTAGAACAAAGGGTGTGGCCACTCTATTGGAATCGCAGGCCGACGAATGGACTGGAATGCACCTCTCGGCTGTACACGATATCAAGTTTAGTGCTGACGGTGACTACCGTAGGTGCCAATCTAACATCCACTAATGCAGATTATTCTGCTGAGTATCGGTGCTCATAGTGGCAACCTGTTCGCAGGACCAAAAAGTAATGGTCTGGGCCATGCGTCCGGAGGTCAAGACCCACTTTTCATTCCGGTGCGATCCAAACACGCAGCCGCATCGCCTTTCTTGGCACCCCAAGCATCTTTTATTGGCGGTGATGCCAGTCAGAAGTGCTGACCTGGTGATCTGTGATCTTTCGGTATGATTGACCCTTCGCGAACTCGAATTCCTTGTCTCCTTATTGCTCAACTATTCAGGGTGCTGGTAAACCCACCGTCAGTTCCTGTCCGGCTAAGCAAGGGCCAGTGAAGGCTGTTACGTGGATGCCGAACAAAGAAAGCCTCGTTTATACAGAGGGCCATCATGTTCGGTGTTTCGTAAGTCATTGAGTTGTTCCTACAACCCATTCTAGTAAATTAAAGTCTGAAGAATCGCGACGGTGAAGAATGGAATATTGACCTCACATATTCACTTGACGAAGTCGCTGTTACCCCGGACGGAACTAAGTGAGTGTTCTTGTGGAATGAAGATGAGCTGCAACTGAGCTGCCTTGGTGGTGAAGGCTTGTTGTAGTTGGCACAGTAGATTCCGTGGAGGTTGATGGAAAGCAATTGAAGCCATCAAAGTTCCCTCCTGAGCGAAGGATCATCTGTGGGTATATTTGTGTGGCTACTATCTGAAGCTTGAGGACTCAACCATCTTGCCAGTGATCGAGATAGATGGACGAGCGAAAATTTTGTCAGTCTCAATCTCAATCTCAATTATCGAGTCTTCTGAAGGTCCTTGACCGCTTCCATTAGCGAGACGCCGACCCTCAATCAAGTTCGCGGGTTGGATGTGTCTTTTTCTGGAGCCCTATTGCTCGTCACGTATGAAGGGAAGGTATGACGCCGCTTTCAGAGTCCTATTCGATGTTCTTTTTTCGTTAACGTAGGCATTTCCGCAATTGTTCCGCATTCACTCGACATGGTTGGTCCTTCTTCAAACGTACTGTCCGCCCAATGAAGAAGTGGAATACTCAGGTTGTAGCCAGCTTGGCATCCGTGGCTGGGCATCTGGAGTAGACGGGTTGCGCATAGATGAGTGTGCTGTGATGTGTGCCGACAAAAGTGAAGGATTTCCCTCTTGGCGTCCTCGTTGACTAATAGTAACCGTCCATGGGTTCATAGAAGGCTTTATTTTTATTTGTGACCGCGGATCATCTGATCTTGTACACACATTGAGAGTACCCCTTGGCCGCGCCTCTCACCTGACTGGGTTTGCATGGAATCACGAGCATCCAACCATTGCAGCTTCCTCAGCTAACGGGACCATCTGGTTTTACAACCCCTACGGTTCGGGCATAAGGGATTAGTGTAGATTTTTATTGCATCTCAGGCTTCTCGCAACCTCTAGGTTCGATGCATCTAGCACTGACACGATGGCTAGGAACCGTATATGCTCAGGAAAGGCTTGCAGGATGCCCTTATTCCCTTCGTAGAGACATCGTCGCATGTTATCCACCAAGTCCGAGCAGTCAGGTCTGAGAGGTCGTTGATCCTGCCGGAATGGATTCCAAAGCTGCCCCAATTTCATCCCCAGCTCATGTGAACATCCTACCGTTGAATGCTATTCTCCGGGCTTGCGCACTCCGACGACCTAATATGGTGTCGCCATACGTCATTACAATATCACTAAGACTCTATTTATCGCGGAGGTGCAAGATAAAGTGGAGACACGTTGAAAGTCGCAAACCCAGAGTTTGTGCGAAGGTGTTATTAATGACCTGTTTCGTGAATTGAACCTCGTCTCAATTGTAGCACGATCGAACTTGAAGACGACGTCATTGACGTATGATCGAGAGACGACAATCTCTCGTGAAGGTGTCAAAGCCCAAAATCTTCTCTTGGATCCTGAGGCATTATCACGATAAGCTAAAGGTGCGCACGCAGAAACAGCGAGGGGGACGCACTGGATGAACATCCGAAACGGGATTAATTGCGATGCGAAGGCAAGATATTGCATTCATGCACTCCATTGCGCATCTGGGGAAAGGAAATTTCCACCGTTCACCCTCCTCCTGTCGAGGCTGCCAACAAACCGCCAAACAATCCACAGGGGGGTTCTTCCTAGAGGTGACCAGCCTCTATTAATTGGAGATCACTGCACCCAACATAATATACGAATGGTAAAATTGTATTTCTCACCCAGGTGTGCAAGTGGGTACCGGTGCAATCAGTCGAGGAGCAATCATTTACTTCTTGGCAGTATGAAACTTGTGATCATCGATATGATTCGTGTCCCTGCAGTGGGTGAGTTCCCTTCGTGTCGTCATCCTAAGCCCAAACGCTCGCAACACTGCCCATGCACAAACGTACACTGAACCTTGTCTGCACCGGCGTGCTATCTTTTCAAGTCATGCTGTATGCCTCCAGACATCGACACGTACTAACCCACAACCAATCAACTAACCGATGTGACCGATCAAGTCGCTGTGAGAAAAGGGAACAGTTCATCTTGCATGTTCGTTATGGGACTACCGTAGTTCCTTGGAAATATCGAGATTGAGTTGACCTTCGCGAACTCCCCGGGCAGATCAGTTGCAGCTGTGAGGCGTGCACAGATAGCTCAACGGGGCACAAGCCTCGATATGTTCAAAGTACGTGACTCTGTTTGGGAGTAGGGGAGCCGATTGTGTCATTGATCGCACGAGGGCTTGGATCGGAATCGAAAGCTGTCGTCCCCTCTGGGAGGGGACTGAATTCAAATTTCAAGGCTCTAGCAATAGTAGGCCCCAAACTGGATGGCTTTATCGTTGTTGATTATGTATATAGTGCAAGCCTTCATTTGAGGCAAACTCACCAAACTCAACCCTTTGTGCACCGTGAGATTAAGTTGTTAGGGGTTGATCATCTCATGACATTGAGGCTCCTGCATGAACCTGTTACGAAGCTCATGTCTATCCATGTCCCATTGTCGCACCTGCTGTAAGTTTTGTCAATTGAGCACCGAACAGGTGATGTCCCCATACACGGCAATGGAACTGGATCACCAAAACGACTTGCTTGAGTTCACCGCTGGGGACGGGGCGCCTCATTCCATTCCTCTCAAATGATGATAGAGCTATAACTGAGGGCGAATCGGGCGCGTCTAAATCCAACAGAGGCGGAGCTCCTGACCATGATTACAGATTAAGGAAGTAAACGTCGACTCGAACAAGATGATCTATTTCCTTAAACTCCTGGAGATGTTGGCAAGCAAGATGAAGGATGTAGATAGCGAGAGCAAGACTAGGAAAGCGTTCGAGGTATTCACCCCGAGAAGAACTACCTCGCCGCTGTGGAACTGAAGAAAGTTGCTGCCCGCTCCGGTGGGTTTATATCAAACCACAATTTGGGTTGAGATGTTTGAGACAGGAAGTCGAAGGAATGATCGAGGAAACCGATGTAGATGGCGATGGCCGGCTTATCTACGACGGTGAGCACCCATCAAAGCACAACCAAGCCAGGGATTCTAGCGGGTGCTTATCATAAATACTGCCATGGTTCTATAGAGTTCTTTCAATTGCTTAGGCATCGTCGCTTTTCCTCACCTTGCTGTTTTTTAGATAGTGCTGCTACCACATTTCGCGCGCGCGACGGATTTCGGAGGCAGGTTCATATCAAATTCCATTATTTCAAATCATTGACGTGTCATAACGTCACCGCCGAAGATAACAATATAACAATGAATTCAGCCTGTAGAAAGCTTCCTGGTTCAGACTCTTACCCAGTTCGTCGTCGCTCGGGGACGCACGCTGCGAACACTGCAATTTCAAAATCTTACTAAGTTGGGTTCGTATTGAAGGTCACAGTCACGTTTACATAATACCTAAGTAGTCATGTTCTGCATTCAATATTTAGAGTCACATGCAGCGGAAATAGAGTTAAATCCGATCACCTACTCCGAAAACCAGCGCGCGACACTTCGCTCCGACAACTGGCACAAAATGTCGGTGGCGGTGTTTTCGGTAACATCCGATATTAATTCTTTGAGCTCATCTCTCCCGACATCAACACATCCCCTCGTCCCTCCACCATCTTTCACTCCATGAACAGTCCCATGGATCGTGCAGAACATGTATTTAATTACATGCTGGCTAATGGATTCACGCTTATGTCATTCCTGTCAACAATATTGACCTCTGCACGGTTTGTTGACAAGTTGCAAGAGCTACAACTCCATATTCTCAACCCTACCAAAGATCCCCATGATGCCACCATTGTGAGAAACTGGGTCCTCAGAAGCGCTCAAGCAGTTTATACCAAAGAAATACAAGCACTGATAGAAAAAGGGAACGGACTCCATTTGAACGTGTCAAAACTCCATCCAGCACAGCTTGAAGTTGGAAGAATCAGTGCATTGGTGCCATTATTTGAGTCCGTGGTGCCGGCACTTTGGGGGCTGTTCCGACAGCTACTTGCAGTGGAGCCCAAGGCACAAGTGGGATGCAGGACCAAACTGGTGCCTCCAAGCGCGGAGTGTTGGAGAATGGATATCTGTCAGGGCACATACCCTGACTTAGCCCGGACCCGGACCCGCGTCCGGACCCGCTCCACTTCCTGTGCACTTCCTGCGCCGCACGCTCCGCGCGCCGCATGATCCGACCCCGGATCCCACCTCATGTGACTTCCGGGTATCCCCGGAAGTTTTCGCCATATTGGGGCCACTGTGGGAAAGTGAGAAGTTAACCTTCTTCTCACTTTCTTACCCACAGTAGGCAAGTGTAGCCTACTCTTCATTTATCTATACACTTTCTTACCCACAGTAGTTATGCCCTGAGATGGGCTGTGTTTACAGGCTAGACTGTGGACTGTAGAGAGGGGTCATGGGGACCCGGGGTCCATCCCCTGACAATATCTGTTCCCATCAGTATAGAGTTTAACAGCCTATACCGGCATGGTCAAAAGGGTGAGTTGTGTAATGGTAGCACACTGAGAGGTCCTGGTTTCGATGCCAGGCTTGTCCATGATTTTATGTCCTTGTCTTGTGACCTTAACTGTATCATTCAGTTGGATCTCATGGAGTAAGTCCTGTGGGGCAACATGAAATTTCTTCACGGAGATCAGTGCCGGAAGAGGTGAAGTCAGTGGTGGGGATCATGTCAGTGCAGGATGGCAGCCAAAGGGAAGCTATCCAGAGAGGAACTATGCCCTGCTCCAAATTGTAAGCTATAGTGTGCTCAGTATGATTGATTACTTACCATGAAATTCTGGATAGAAAGGAGTTGTAATCATGTCAATAATCTTGAATAGTTGCAATGACCACTGTAATGCATTGTGTCAGGGACTCATCTGGGGTCGAGAGAGCCTGGGTGTAGCGTCTGGGGCTGAGAGCCTGGCAGGGGGCAGATCAGGCGTGCGTACTGACAGGCCCGATGTGGGATGATGGTCCCTGGCCACTTAGACTGAAGTGGAAAGATGAGAAGAAGGCTACTTCTTTGGTTCCCACTTCAGGTATGTTTATATACATGCGGCTTAGGTCACCTGACAGATGCCACGTCACCTTCGCATGCAGCTGTAATCACCCGGGTGTCTCCATGGGAGATCCCGAGGGCATCTGGTGTGAGCACACATGCTGGGCACAGTGGGGGGTTGCCCGAGGTGTCCGGGCTGGGTGTGTCATGGGCATGCTGTAGTGGGTCAAATGGTACATTGATACAGGGAAAGGTCGTCCATGTAAAATAAAGAGAGGATAAAGAAGTAGAATAGAGAGAAGATAAGGAAGTAGAAATGAAGAGGGGGAGAGGAGAGAGGGAGGAGGTTGAGGAGGGGTGGGCAGTGGGGTACCAGGTCAGGTGGGGCCGGGTGGAGCTGGGTCAGGCTGGTGTGCCCTGACACATTGCAAGTGAAGAACTCGTTCTATTTGGCTGCATCAAATGTATTGAAATCTGTCCGTCAGTGGGCTGTGCATGCTGGACTTGCAGTTTCCCCCTCATCAGTTGATAACCTTTGGATGTCACTGATAAAGAACCAAAAGATGTTAAATAAAGGCCTTGCATTGTAGGAGAAATAACGGACACACTATGGAAACCCATTATGGAAATATGCCAGATAAATCACAAAACCCCATATGACAAGTAGATATGAGAAAATAGAAGGACCTGAACTTTAATGAATTTTAACGAATTTTTTTACAAATTATTATGATTATACGTGATAAATTGAAAGAAAGAAAATTAGCAAAAATACTTCAAGCTTAGCATCAACAAGACGGAATTCTCGGGGAAATTTATAGCAAATATTAAACAAAGAATTAGGACAATCGACCAAGATTTGACTATAAAAACAATCAGAGAACCTCCATGGAAACTACTTTCCCACATCCGCACACGTAGCCAAGGATGGAAGTACTGTGGAACAAGGATTCCTCAGGAACTAATGCAAAATTCAAAGTCGTGTTTATAATAGGAAATGTAGATGTCCCCCAAACGGACCCAATGAAAGTAATTACAGGGAAAACTACCCATAAACGATGGAGATATGACTAAAACTCCCGCAAAACAAGAACAACGCTTAAAAAGCAAGCGCGAAGAATAACCAGTAACGACCGAGACAAGCTTAATAGCCCATTAGAAAGAAAGGGATCTAATCTTAATCCACCCAAATTTTCATAATAAAAGGATCACGCATTAATGAGATATCCAATAATGGGAATAGCGACATCAAAAGTCCGAGCTCAGGGAAAAGACGATGTTTACGTAGGATCCATAATTAAAACATACAACGAAATTTACACGGAAGTTATGAAAAATAGGAAACTATAGTTATGCAAATTTTCAGCCCAAACGGTCCAGCCGTTGTAAAGTTATACCAATGATGGGAATATAGAAATCCGCATCATGTTTAATGACATGTGAGGGTGGCAATGTGAAGGGAACCAGCCGTTGGAACCGAGATCCGCACTTCGGCAGATCGCGAAGACCAATTTCCATCCAAATAAGGAAGAGCCCAGTCAAAACAAAGCATGGAAAGTGCAAAACAACCTTAGATCATGAGGGAAAAATCTGAAATAAATCACAGAAGCCCATATGAAGGATATAAACACCCACGCATACCATAAATCCTGAACAATTAAACAGAAACAGTGCCTGCATACGAATGACTATGGGAACGATGCACGTGATTACCGAATGTGCACACAAACTTTTGCTAACTCGACGAATACCAGGAAATAGAACACAACTTTAGTACCATTGGAAAGGTGGGAATAAATAAAAATCTATGATACCAAGAACGTGAGAAACCATCCAGAAATGAATGAGATACAAGGACATGAAGTTAGAAACCTGATAACGCACGGGAAGACAGCTTCAAGAGGTCCAGAGCCCTAAATAAAATACATAAAAATATGATATCTTCGAGGACGACCTACTATAACAACAAACAATACATATGGAGGATTAGGATGTGATAATACAAAGGGGAATCAGGGAAGATGAAATCCACGAAAACCACTAAACTATGACAGACCATGGCGGGAATTTTAGGGAACGATATTCTAATGAAGTGGAGAGCTATAATACATTCGTTTGAGTAATTCTTGACTACTAGCAACTTTTTCTTTTGGTTTTAAACCTGAATAATTCACTCATTTACCATTTCAAGTCTCATTTTAACTAAATGTTGCTGAATAAAAATGGAATAAATCAGCTGAAGGTCTCAGCGCAGCCATACACATAGTAATGCGAAGTTTGAATTCAGAATCACCGAGTCATAGCAAATTTAATGGTAAATATGAGGAATTTGAAATAGGAAACTGCGACAAATGCAACGCAGTCAAGTTTTAATTAACCATTACTGCGGTTTTGAGGGAATCTGTCAATTTCCAAGTGAATGGGGTATCAATATGTTTGTCAGAAATCAGCGCAAAAATGATCAAATTTCGGGGATTTTTTATTTTTAATACAGTTAGGTTTGTATTGCAATATAGTACGTTAGCGCTGCACTGCCATTCTCTGTTCCCCGTTGATGATGAATATGCCACCCTCATTGATGACGACTGCAGCACTAAACATACTGCTTGGCTCTCCTCCACGCATCATCTCATGACCAAACACACCTCTCCAGAGATGAAGCGCCTCATTGTCCTGATGTCCCAAACCCTCTCTACCAAAGAGGTTGCACAGGCTGCCCAACTCAGTGAGCGCACGGTTCACCGGGTTATCTCAGCTCATAGGCAAGGAATTCCTTTTGAGAAAGCTGGCAACCATGGGGGTACTTGCAAACTCAACAACTGGGATTTGGATGTGAGCACGATAAATCACAGCCATCTGTTGATTTCGCTGAATCTCCCAAATAGCTGATACAAGGTCATCTCAAGCTCAAGCCAGATCTATATCTCCATGAACTACAACGTATATTAGAGAGATACAATCGTGTCTCTGTATGCCAGAGTACGATCTGGACCAGCCTGAAGCAGCGAGGTTTTACATACAAAAAGGTGGATATTTTCACATTTTATTCAACATTCCGAAGAATTTATTCCTTGTGATAGTTGCAAAAGCCGGCTTTTGAACGCAATGAAGAACTCCGCACTGCATTTAGGCAGTATATGGGTCGGCACTATCAAGCGGATCAGCTTGTTTTTGTCGATGAAACTGGTTGCAATCGTAACACTTCTTCGCGCTCACATGGCTGGGCACCATCTGGTGACCGAGCACGTTGCCAGGACTTCTTTGTCCGAGGCACTAAGTATGTAACATGTGCCAAATCTGTGCTTCAATCCTAACATCCCTTTCTCGGGTACTCTATACTCCCCGCTCTCAGTGTTGAAGGAATACTCCACGCAAATATTCAGGAGGGAGCATACACAACAGCCACATTCAACGACTTCATCCGTTCTATTTTCCCGCGCATGAACCCGTTCCCTCTCCCTCGGTCTGTTCTGATTATGGACAACGCGTCGATCCACAAGTCTGATGAGCTTGAGCAAATGTGCGCTGACCGGTATGTGTGCACCACAATCACCAAACTCGCTCTCACTTGATATTGTAGAGGCATTCATCTCATCTTTCTCCCTCCCTACTCCCCCGACTTGAACCCAATTGAAGAAGCTTTTTCTACAATCAAACACTGGCTTCGTCTCAATAGGAACCGCGTTGACATTGTCTTGTCTGGGAGGGATATGAATGCTGCCAAAGTTTTACTCTTTGAAGCGGTATACTCAGTGACTGAAGTCTCAACACGCGGCTGGTTTAGCCATTCAGGCTATTTGGCTTAGATGATGTACATAACTGTTAGAATAAGTAATATGCTATTTTCTGTCCTATAACATGGCGACTTGGTGACTTTTTTGACGGTAAATACATGCTGCGCACATGCACACTTGTCCTCTAACATTTTGTGTACTCTATGTCAAAATCATCAGCAGAACTGTCGCTGCAAAGGTTGAAAATAACGGGATCCTTCTTCTTGGAAGGTCCTGGGATGGGGGAAGATGAAAGATCAACGAAGTCAGTTCCGACTTTGGATGAACGGCGACGGAGAAATACTGGTGTTATTGGGTCAGAAGAAAGGATGATGGTTTCTTTTTTGGGCTCTTGTTTGGCTGGTATCACGTCAACCTTGACCTTCTTTGCTGGAGGGCTTGTGACTTTTTTGGATTTAGTAGGGGTTTTTGGTGGACTGGTGTCGCGCGAACGCTTCTTAGATTCTTGATGCTGCTTCTCATTGACAGCCTTGGTCTGTTTTCTCAGAGCTGCCACATCAAACCAGTGATGGGCTGGGGGGTTGTGGAGATCAACTCCGGGGATGCGGTCAGTCTGCAATAACCATAAGCTCAATGCCAGTGTGATTACAGTGAATTATACATACCCACTGTTGCGCCCATAAGGACAGCATCGCATTACTAAGGTGAAGGTGTTTTCCCCTTGCGTGTGTATGTGGCCAACAGTAACTACGACATCTATGACACTCCCATTGTTTTTCGAGCATGGTGTATTTTTCGGAAGCTGGGTTGGACAAGATTGTGTCATTTAGAGTATTAGACCGACGACTTTTCCCACATTTCCCAAGGTCTTCAGCTTTGGGTACCGGTTTCTGGTGGGTTTGTGTATTGAGAATAAGCGCCACATCATGTAGGTATGGTTTCCAGGACTTACAATATTGATAATGTATAATTTTTTACTTGTTTGGGCTCGAGACATGCATTCGCGAAGTTCACGCAGTGCCTTTTCCATCTGCTCTACAGTCTTGAGTTGGATTGGAGTATCACGTCGCCGCTTTCCATCAAAGGTTGGAAGATAGCCAATTTCGTGCTTGGTAACATCGGCATCCATCCCTTCTTCAATCTTGCAGAGTGCAAATGATGCAGAGTAGTCGATGGGGAGATAGAAACTCGCTTCTGTTGTCGCCTTGTCAGGATTTAGTGTATTACATTGGTAGCAGATTTCAAGTAATTCTGTGCGAGTTATTGAGTGAAGTTCATGAGCAAAAGAACCACATACTTTCTCCTCTTCCATCAGATTGAGATTTCGATGGCAACTTCATGTCGGGTGCTGGAGCAAGCGTGGCAATAGGGGGAGAGCCTCCTGAAGGAGTAGTAGATTGTTGAGGGAGGAAGAGGGATGGTTGGCTAGGAAAGGGAAGAAGGGGGTACATGATTGGGTATGCAGTGTATGGGTGTTGAGTCGGGGATTGTGTTGTCACAGCTTGTATGGAATGGGGGGAAGTGGTCACTGGTTGTCCATGGTGTTTACACTCTTGTTCGGCTTTCTGCTTCCGCAAAATAAATGTTTCACATTGGACGCGCGTCGGATCATCAAGCTGGAGTGCTTCCCCTGAATGTAAAGTCAGCATTTCTCGAACTATGCGAATCAGAATTCCTACAATTCGGTGGGAATGGGATGGCCCAGCTTGAGGGAGACAAGTCATGAGCTGAGGGATCAAGAGCGTTGAGGACTCTATCGGAGTTATCTGGCAAGAAGAGCGCATCACCCCTTGTGAAATACTGCTGGAAAGCCTGCAGCAGTGTAGGAGAAATAACGGCCACACTATGGAAACCCATTATGGAAATATGCCAGATAAATCACAAAAACCTCATACGACAAGTAGATATGAGAAAATAGAAGGACCTGAATTTTAACGAATTTTACGAATTTTTACGAATTATTATGACTATACACGATAAATCGAAAGAAAGAAAAATAGCAAAAATACTTCAAGCTTACTATCAACGAGACGGAATTCTCGGGGGAATTTATAGCAAATATTAAACCAAGAATTAGGACAATCGACCAAGATTTGACTATAAAAATAATCAGAGAACCTCCATGGAAACTACTTTCCCACGTCCGAACACGTAGCCAAGGATGGAAGTACCACGGAACGAAGATTCCTCAGGAACTAATGCAAAAGTCAGAGTCGTGTTTACAATAGGAAATGTAGATGTCCTCCAAACGGAACCAATGAGAGTAATTACAGGGGAAACTACCTATAAACGATGGAGATATGACTAAAACTCCTGCAAAACGAGGACAATGCCTAAAAGGGAAGCGCGAAGATTAACCAGTAACGACCGAGACAAGCTTGATAGCCCATTAGAAAGGAAGGGATCCAATCTTAATCCTCCCAAATTTTCATAATAAAAGGATCATGCGTTAATGAGATATCCAATAACGGGAATAGTGACATCAAAAGTCCGAGCTTAGGGAAAAGACGATGTTTGCGTAGGATCCATAATTAAAACATACAACGAAATTTACACGGAAATTATTAAAAATGGGGAACTATAGTTATGCAAATTTTCAGCCCAAACAGTCCAGCCGTTGTGAAGTTATACCCATGACGGGAATATAGAAATCCGCATCATGTGTAATGACACGTGAGGGTGGCGATGCGCAGGGAACCGGCCGTCGGAACCGAGATCCACACTTCGGCAGATCGTGAAGACCAATTTCCGTCCAAATAAGGAAGAGCCCGGTCAAAACAAAGCACGGAAAGTGCAAAACAACCTTAAATCATGAGGGAAAAATCTGAAATAAATCACAGAAGCCCATATGAAAGAAATAAACACCCACGCATATCATAAATCCCGAACAATTAAACGGAAACGGCGCCCGCATACGAACGACTATGGGAATGACGCACGTGATTACCGAATGTGCGTGCGAACTTTTGCTAACTCAACGAATACCAGGAAATAGGACACAACCTTGGTACCATTGGAAAGGTGGGAATAAATGAAAATTTATGATACCAAGAACGTGAGAAAACATCCAGAAATGAATGAGATATAGGGACATGAAGTTAGAAACCTGAAAACGCGTGGGAAAACAGCTTCAAGAGGTCCAGAGTCCTAAATAAAATACATAAAAATATGAAATCTTCAAGGACGACCTACTATAACAACGAACAATACATATGGAGGATTAGGATGTGATAATACAAAAGGGAATCAGGGAATATGAACGAAATTCACGAAAACCACTAAACTACGACGGACCATGGCGGGAATTTTAGGGAACGATATTCTAATGAGGAGGAGAGCTATAACACATTCGTTTGAGTAATTCTTGATTACTAGCAACTTTTTCTTTCAGTTTTAAACCTGAATAATTCACTCATTTACCATTTCAGTCTCATTTTAACTAAATGTCACTAAATAAAAATGGAATAAATCAGCTGAAGGTCTCAGCACAGCCGTACGCATAGTAATGCGAAGTTTGAATTCAGAATCATCGAGTCATAGCAAATTTAATGGTATATATAGGGAATTTGAAATAGGTAACTGCGGCAAATGCAGCGCAGCCAAGTTCCAATTAACCATTAAAATAGCTTAGGCGAGGGAGGACAATAAGAATTCTAGGTGCAGTCTGACCGCAGTAGAACCGCAGTTCAGCGCAGCAAAAGCGCAGTAGAACTATAGCATGAAAATTTCATTTTTATTCAGTTTGAGAAAAATACACTGTAAATAAATCCTGTAAATAGAAGGTAGAGCGTGAAAAAGGAAGGCGACCCAAGGAGTATAAAAGGGAGACCCTTTCTGCGACTTTTCGCCCCCCTTAGAGAAGTAAGAAAATAGAGTATTATTTTTCTCAAGCATTTCTGGTTGTCACTCCAGTGCGAAAAAGTGATATACAGTTAAGATTGCCACTGTAGTAAAAGGCAGCAATTAAGGAGAGAAATATTAAGTAGATATTTCAACAGGAGAGCTGGTTAACACTCCAGATTTCAAAGTGTAAACACAAAACAGTTATTTTGCTACTGTTAAAACAAGCAATAAAATAAGACAAAAATAGAACAAACTCAAGGGACACTCCAGACACAATCCAAATCCATTAACTGATTAGAATCTTTGAAACTTCACCAAGTAGAAGATTAAATCCAAATTAAAACAACGCTACACAGAATTACACCTAGACAAATTAAGAAATTTCAATAAAGAAACAGCTCCGCAGGGCTCGGTTTATCTGTAAGTCAATTCCCAGGAACTTTAAAACTAACCCATAAAAATAGAATTAGCCAAAACACTCGGATTGGTACTATATTTACAATAAATAACACTAGTACACTTCCCCATCCTAACTAAAGAACCAGGGAACAGCTTGGTGGTGGTCTTGTTTGAACCTCCCAACTGACCTTCCTTCGTTCTCTCCTTCAGCGTGCACTCGAATGGTCAACCTAGCGTATGATAACTGTGACTTCAAGTTCGGTGTTGGCCAGCCAATGGATCTCAAGGACCGAACATTTGAGAGCATCACAACCGGTCTCTTCTTTGCACCACTGAAGGAAATGCTTCCTGAGCATTTGGAATATGCCGAAAGTTTATGGAACACTCACCCAAACAACCCCAGCGCTCTTAATGTCCCACCAACGATCACCTTTGCTGACATTTTACCAACAGGTGAAGATACACTCATGAAACATTGTCAGTGGCACGTTGCATCAGTATTAATCGAAGAATACTTCCCTGAACTTCGATCCCATCTTATCAACCCACCATTGACATTCCGATTGTCACCACAGCCAACTTTGTACTCAACAGCAGAGGCAGTGTATGCAAAGGCATCCACCATTGATGGAAATATCGATGCAATAATGTCGCTTCTTGAGCAAAGTGGCATCATAAAAGAAGGGGTTTTCGAAAAATATATGGTCCTTCTCCATGGGGATCTCGGTATGGTTGAAAAGATTGAGGGGATTTTGCGATTGTGATGCATTGAAGAAAGCATGTTAGAATGCATGCATTACCTTCTGCCTATACCAGGACTCTTTCATGTTAGAATGGCATGCGTTGATGTGATAAATAGGATTCATGCAACCGGCAACAACTTATGAAGTGATCCCAATGGATTGTATAAGTGCCTCTGCTTGTTCTTCCTAAATGACTTTTCTAAATTAAACAAAGCAGTCTCACCTTTTCGAATGATGAATGATGGTATAAACTACATTACCCGATGCACCATTCTTGACACTTGGGTAGAGAACGTGGGTGGCAACCTCCAGAAATTCGTTGCATCCAGGCCAAACATCAAAGAGATCAACTGACATGCCAAGCACATCACAAAGGAGTATTTCCGGACAAGACAAATTGACACATATCAGCAACAGCCAAAGGACCAGGATCAAAGGCAGACAAATCAGCTCTTGTTCAATAGAGATGTGATTTACTACCGCATCCTTGTGCATGCGATGAACTATGGAATGGTGGACATTGTGATCAATGTTCTTTCATGCTGGGTTCCGATCTTCCAGGTGTGTGGGAAACACAAGTACGCATCACACCTGTTAAATTTCCTCTTCAGGCTATGACAGTATCCGGTGCCACTTTGTGAGGCGATTATGAGATGTTGGCTCTGTAATCCATCAGGGAAGGAAGGTGGCTTTCGGGCAGTTGACTGGCTTGTTGAATTGATGAACCTCTATATAAAAGTGCGTAACAAATTGGTTTGAAGCACCAACTATAATAACAAACATATAGGTTGTTTACTTGGGGACAGGATCTGTGAAAATGATAGAATACATCATTAGTCAATCGTCCATAATCCAGGCTTATAGAACTTGCATTGAGGACATCGAGGAAGACTACCACATACCAGATCGAACATTGCATCATGCTAGCCCTGATATAGAATCCAGATTAGTTGCTATGATGAACGAGCTTTGTAACCTTCGCCCTCACAAGTATGAGAAAGGACGCACTTCACCTGCTATCATTGAAGACCATTTCCAGAAAGGGTTGGAGTTGTTGCAACGTGGCACAATGCAGGGTTCAATTAATTCCTGTGAGTCAGAATCAATGGATGACATGACAAAATTGATGCAGCTGATCTGGGGGCTTAATTAACAATGTCCTGGGCAGGAGATTGATCGAGTGGAAGAATTTTCCTTTTTTGGACAATGGATCTCTAATTGGGTGCAAAAGTATTTTATTTGTCTATAGGTGGCGTGCATGCAACTTACTAGTATGACCACTCTGGTGACAATTCTTGCACGGTTCAGGGCAAGTTCAAGCTAATCCAGACACATCAGTTGAAAAAAATACTATAGCTTGTCACAGTAAACTCACCATTGTGGCCATGTTTCTTGCAGTTGCCACATTTTTTCGTGCAAGGCTGAAACACAGTATTGCTTTGCACTGGGGTGGATGGCTGAGCAGATGGGGGCACTGCTGGTGGGAAAATCTGGTGAATAATTGGCAACAGCTCTGATGTGTAGTAGCCACGTTCTTCCCAATCAACGAGCTGGATGAAATCTTGTTGATTCAAAAGTTTGTTGCAATTTGCGAGATAGATAATATCGTCAATGATCAGGTTGCCAAGTACAATCCAGTCCCCTATCCAAATACTGTCGTGCTGATCAGGATAGCGCTGAGAAAACTCTGCTTTTCTCCAGTCATGGAGTGCTTTGCCAAGCTGAGAGGAACGATCCATGTCCTTCTTGTAGCCAGGTTTTGCATGTTGAGGTAACCACTTAATAGGTTGCTCTACAAGTTCGTGACCAAACATTGAAGCAGTGAGACCAGGGTTGTTGTCAGGGATTGGCCCCTGACCCCACTGTCAGGGCACCCAACCACACCCCAGAACCACCCTCCCTGACTTCCCCCACTTCCCTGACCTCCCCATCCCTACATATCTCTCACAACTACAGCCCGCATGTGAGCCCATGGGAAAAATTAACGGAATAACCGCTTGCTCTAGTAGTAAAGCTCAGTCTCACTATATGCACGAGAACTATTATATTACCTAGTAGTAAAGCTATAAGGTAATATACAATGAGTTATAAGATATAAGAAAGAAAGAAAGATAACTAACCTCAGTCTCACTATATGCATGAGAACTGAGGAAAAGGGAAACTAATTCAAAAGATTGAATATAGTTTGTGGCCTTTGCGGATAAGTCCAAAGTGACCAAAATAAGTAATAAGAAGGGGTGTTGTGACCAAGTAGTCATGCTACCACAGGAATGTGGCTGTCTGGGCGAGTTCCTCGCTCGGATGTGGGAATGTGGCTGTACGAAAACTTGTCCGGCCTCCCATAGCACATGGTTCCTCCAACAAAAATTACGTGGGTCAAGGTGAGCAACTCGCCTTAACCCATGTGACACCTTTTCTGAGTCGCAGGAACATGCTCGGCTTCTACCCAGAGTCACGTTATGAACTGTACAGTACACTTCCCTTTTATAGCAGCCAAGCGGGGAATAGGGAAACTTACCCTTCTTCTCAACTCAATCCCTGCTTAGGCAAGTTGTAGTTACCCTCTGTAATACATGACAACTCAATCCCCACTTAGTCCCTTCAGTGAGTTTGAGGAGCTGAGGACAGGGTCTAGCACCCAGCCACCCGGAACATCGCACACACCTAGGCCTGAGGCCGGGCTGTCCCCAATCGAGGACTGAGCCCTGACAGTTGTGAAGATCACAGCATGAGAGGGGCTTGCACAAGTTGCAACGGTTACAGCAGTAGTGGGGTGTTGCTGACATAAGACATGGGGATGAGCTGCTGTGCAGGCACATGTCAGGTATCAATACATACAGATATGGTCATTACTGAAGTGAGTGTCAAGGACTTTCCTCTGGCACCCATGGCGAGGGTCGTCTTTTGGAAGCCAGTGGGCATTAATGAAGGCATCCAACCCAGGGTCAACATTCTCTCAGTCCCCAGGATTTCTTCAATGAATTTTCTTCTTTGATTCCTTTGACAGCCTCATTGTAATGTGCTCCACTGCCTGCTGGCTGCACAGGTCATCATTCTGGCCTATGTTCATTGTATCACCCACCACTGATTGTACTCTGGCATCTATAGCTTCCATGTGAACTTCTAGCCTGGGGCTTGACACAGGCCACTTACTCACACTCCTACTTTCAACCGCTTCCAAACCATGTTCCTCTGCCCCTAAACCGGACATTCCCCAATCCAATCCCTCTCGGCATCTTCTAGTAGCCTTTCGAGTTCTGTTAGCATCAGTCCATGTTATCAGCTGGCAGGTGTCTTGGTACAATATCGATTAGTTAGATCTCTTGTAAATACAGAGTTGAGACTTGCCTTGGTACAATATCGATTAGTTAGATATCATACCCAGGTCGAGTCGCTACCGCTTATATACCTATTTGCATGGCCAGCCAGAACAATAGGTGGTACGGGATATGGCAGACAACATGAAGTTAAAGCAGAAAAAGAACAAGCATCCCACCACCAGTGCGGGTAACAGTTGCACTCTGTATGACTTGGTATGCCACATTGGCAATAGGGTGCCTGGTAGTGCACCTTTGTCACCGCATTACGTTGGGTTGCCACATCAACAGTCCACCCCACTCATTCTCTCCTGGAATAAGATGAATTTCACACTCATCAACATTTGTGTTCTGATTCATGTTTTCAAACAGAGCATCTGGAGGAATATTGATCTCACTTGTTGGCCATACATCCATCCTGGGTGGTAAATTGGGGTCAGGGCGATGGAGTTCAGGTAAGTGATTGTCAAATTCTTGATGCTCCATTGCAGCAACATTGATGTGATTTTTGGAAGGGGGTTTCTTTCGGTGCTTGATTGTCAGGGCACACACCCTGACTAGCCCGGACCCGGACCCGCGTCCGGACCCGCTTCCACCCGCTGCGCTTCCCACATGCACGCACGCTCCGTGTGCCGCATGCTCCGGGCCCGGTTCCTACCCCTTCATGTGACTTCCGGGTATCCCTGGAAGTTTTGCTGATATTGTGGCCACTGTGGGAAGATGAGAAGTTAGCTTCCTTCTCATCTCCTTACCCACAGTAGGCAAGTGTATTCTACATTGCCTTTATCTATTCATCTCCTTACCCACAGTAGAGTTGTGCCCTGGACAGGGCTGGTTACACCACAGGCTGTGGACCATAGGGGAGGGTCATGGGGACCCAGGAGTCGTCCCCTGACATTGATCTGCTCACCGCTGGCAACCACATCAGCCTTCCATTTTTTGTTCTCAGCCACCTTTCGGGCCCTCTCCTCTTGCTGTTGCTGTGCCTCCTCAAAATAATCCTTTGGTGCAAGGAGAATGATGGTGGCTGAAGATTCTGGATCCTGGGCAGCTCTTCCAAATCGCTGAGTCAATGTGTTTAGGTTGTCAGGAGGCCTGAACTGAACCAAATGGGTGATGTTTGCTAGATCATGGCCCTGTTTGATGTAAATTAGATATGTAATGCTGGTGATGCAAGGAGAGTTACCAGTCCCAGGGATTCTGTACTAGTGAGTCCAATGAGCATCCCCTCCTTAAGCATCTTGATTGCCATTAACTTATGTCCATCTTGTCATATCCATCCCTGGCCATCGACTTCCGGTCCCTCCGATCCCTCCGTTCCAACTCCGCTCCTCCCTCACTAACCTCGGAGCCCCCGTTATTCCGCAATCCTCTCGGTACCCCTCGATGGTCACCACCCCCTCATTTCAATTTATTACCTACGCCTCCCTAAGTACGGAGCCCCGAAGACTTCCGGACAGCTCCGACGTCCGCTAGCGCACCCCCGCCTCCGCTGGGCAATACACTCGCCTGCCCTGCAGTGCCCACCTTCGGGCCTATCCCTCCTTTCCATTTCTGGGTTATCGCCTGCCTTTCCACTAACCCCGCGAACCAACTCGTCGGTAATATTCAGTCGGCTAATGTTTAAACCCCGTTAGCTCCGCTCCGTTCGGCTCCGCCAATTGCGGACCCGTCCCCGCTGTAACCATATATATATCCCACTTGTACATAGGTTACACCCCAGTAGAAAAATCAACTAGAGTTACCCCCCTAGGTTCTAATTGCCAGTCAGTAAGTTAGGGCATGGACGTGTCACTAGGCACAGCGCTCTTGGCAGAAGTCGCTGAGGCCGAAGCCCTCCATTACGGAGACATTCCTTCGTCTCGAATCTGGTCTCTGACACATCTGACATCCCAGAATGCACCCAAATGATTTTCTCTCTGAGGGATGCACATAGTCGTGACCTCAGGAAGCTGGCACTCCGTTCAGCATCAGCCCGGGACTTGCAGTACACAAGAAATGGGACCGGAAGGGGATCGGATACTTTCAAACTGAGTGGGATGAGGAATGCTAGGTCATAACAGGAGTCCTTGCTATATTGCATCTGACAGACACAATAATGCAGATTTGGATGGTCATTTGAGCGATGCAGCCATTCTGTTGTCTTACCACCATGAGTGCTATAATATGGGCCCATTCCGATTGTTGACAATACTTTTCGGCATATATGAGGGTCCAAGGTTGTGTCAGAGACCGGATTCGAGACGAGGGAGAGTCTCTGTAGCGGAGGGCTTTGGCCTCAGCGACTTATGCCAAGAGCGCTGTGCCTAGTGACACGTCCGTGCCCTAACTTACTGACTGGCAATCAGAACCGAAGGGGGGTAACTCTAGTTGATTTTATTACTGGAGTGTAACCTATGTACAAGTGGGATATATATATGGTTACAGCGAAGACGGGTCCGCAATTGGCGGAGCCAAACGGAGCGGAGCTAACGGGGTTAAACATTAGCCGACTGAATATTACCGACGAGTCGGGTCGCGGGGTTAGCGGAAAGGCAGGCGATAACCCAGAAACGGAAAGGAGGGATAGGCCCGAAGGTGGGCTCTGCAGGGCAGGCAAGTGTATTGCCCAGCGGAGGTGGGAGTGCGCTAGTGGACGTCAGAGCTGTCCAGAAGTCTTCGGGGCTCCATACTTAGGGAGGCGTAGGTAATAAATTGAAATGAGGGGGTGGTGACCATCGAGGGGTACCGAGAGGATTGCGGAATATGGGAGCTCCGAGGTTAGTGAGGAAGGAGCGGAGTTAGACCAGAGGGATCAGAGGGACCGGAAGTCGATGGCTGGGGATGGATATGACAGGTTGCAGAAGTAAGATACCATTGGCATCGATTCTGGAGGTATGAGTAAAGCCATGCTGAGTTTTTATACTTTGTTCAGAATGACAGCCACTGGACTGCACAGTGTGCCTCATCAATGATAATATGGTTAATGTTACTGACAAAGCTATCCTTTGTCCAGAGGGGTCTAAGGAGATTTCCTTGGAGCAAATCAGGACCCAAAACAACAAATTGGTATTTCAGACTCCTGATCGCCTACTTGGTTAGTTGACATGAATTTATCCATACATAATTAATTATTGCTCAGTACATGCCTTTATAACATCTTTGTTTATAGCTTTTGCTTCTGTCACGACCCGGAAATTCCCACGGTCAGGTGACCACTCCTCACACCTTCTCCCTCCTCTGCTTCGACCCCGTCAACTCTGCTGCCCGCCTGACGCCACCTGGACAAGCCCATCGTCCCTCCCCATCACTGCTACCTGTTCCACAGCCTGTCACGGGCCTATGAGTCATTCTTTATTATGCTTGTTTTCTTGATGGCCATGCACGGCCATCCTTCTCCCATGCTCTTTGTTTGTTTTCGTTCCTTCTTAAGGCTGCCTGCAATCTCTGTGAGATCTGGCGACTTATTCCTATTCATTCCGTTACACTTAAATACCGGTTGTACACTACCTCGTACTTTAGTTCGAAAATCAACTAGGGTTACCCCCTGTGTTCTCTGTCTGACCCAGTTGCACCATCTGTCCTCCGAAATATCGGGGCCACGTCAAGTATGAGGCACAACGCTCACAAACGAGTCATTGAAGCCAAAACCCTGCTTCACCACGATTGTCATCCCTGCCCTTAACGGGCTGTTTTGCCAGAGTAGCAGACCTCAATGGTCGCCGACGGCAAGTCACGGTAATGTTTTCCCACGCCCTGACAGCCTCCAATGCTATCACAGTGAGTCCTAATCTCTCAGCACTCTCTGCATGCTGATCTGCAAGCTTCCTCAGCGGTGCAATTATGAAAGAAACTCCTGGCTGGTTTTTTTTTTCATATAGTGCAGGAAGGAAAAATGTGTATGTTTTTCCTGTTCCTGTTGCCGCTGTTGACACTAAATTTCGCTTCGGCTTACGAAGGAGGAACTTAGTGATTTCAGCCTGGAACCAGCATGCACGTCGGTCCCATTCTGCTTCACTTAGAGCCTGTATTTGGTCAGCAGAAGGTGTCTGAAGATGTTCTGCACGATCCACAGGACTGTTCATGGAGTGAAAGATGGTGGAGGGACGAGGGGATGTGTTGATGTCGGGAGAGATGAGCTCAAAGAATTAATATCGGATGTTACCGAAAACACCGCCACCGACATTTTGTGCCAGTCGTCGGAGCGAAGTGTCGCGCGCTGGTTTTCGGAGTAGGTGATCGGATTTAACTCTATTTCCGCTGCATGTGACTCTCAATATTGAATACAGAACATGACTACTTCGGTATTATGTAAATGTGACTGTGACTTTCAATACGAACCCAACTTAGTAAGATTTTGAAATTGCAGTGTTCGCAGCGTGCGTCCACGAGCGACGACGAACTGGGTAAGAGTCTGTTCCTGATTACGCACCAGCTCAGCTCCAATTATATTGTTCTATTGACGTGAACACATCTTCATGCTCATAAGTCTACGGGGCCGATTCGACTCGCTTTCTGATTCTCCCCCTTTTTGCTCCCCCCAATCCCACCTGTAAACATTGGCGTCGCGGCCTTCCAAGTTCCAGCAGACCAGTTGCTTGGCGAGTCTTGCCAGCCGTACTCGAAGAGAGCAGGCCCTTTATTCAACTCCCCTCTCGGATCTGGCTCGGCGAACCCTGTAACCGCTGCCATCCATGAACAAGTTGCCTTCAATGACTGATACTACTGGTCCCATCCAAGTCGGTGCACCGCGCGCCAGGCATGATATTTGTATGATACCTCTATCCTGTAAACTCTCGGGAGCGCTATATCGTGACGCTGCTCTTTTCCTCAGTTAATCTCACGTACTCGAGCCAGAGGCAGAGAGCCTTTGAGGGTTACGAGAGGTGGGTTGTCTTCGCCGGCTTACTTCGATCGGGGATATCCACGTAATACCATCACGCAGAAGAATGAAGCAGCTACAGGAAGTATTGAAAAAATGGGTGGTCATCATCAGAGAGATCAATACGGATATAGTTTTGGCCGATGCGATTGATAAAATCCAGGACAGTTTACGTGGCGTTTCGGATGCTATGCGAAGAATCGTTCGCCCGCTCTGGGGCGGCGCGACGCCTTCAGAAATGAAAATGTATGTGTTCCCTAGAACCACACTGCATCACTGTGACTAGGATTCCCTTCTTAGTGGTCAAAAAGACCAATATTTATCTGACGCTCTTCCGGAAATACTTGAAGGACTAGCGCAGGCCGTCGACGAGTTTATCTCGGGTTTGAGTACTCTGCCATTTTGGGGTCATATTAGACGTCGCGTCGTGGAGGAGGCGCATCGGTCGCTACTCGACTTCAACCGAGACCTGTTGTATTGGAGTATCAACTTACGCCAGTTCTCTGGTGGGTCCTCGACATGTTGTCTGCCGCCAGCCAATTTAATGTGTGCTGCTTTAAGGCGATTTTTATAAAAATGCTATCCGTCACCACGTATCTACAGTGGCTGACCACATGTCAGATCATTTTGACAACGTGACAAAAGCGCTCGAAGACTATGGTAAGTAACCGCACATTGACACTGGAATCTCACATTGACCACCTGCAACAGGTCTGTACATGATCAAGTTTTACGAACGACGCCCAGCATTTCAAAATTTGTCAACAGTCGCCACCCTCTTCGCTGGAGTGTCTGCATCCAGCATCCAGTTTAGGTGACTCAAAGTGTTTTTGTAGCTATGCTCGAATGCTGAAGCTGAGCTGTGAAAATGATGTTAGTTACGATGGCCACCGCGAGTCAACATTTCAAGCTGTCGAGTTTTTGTGGATACTTTCGCTTTGCTTTTCTATTGCCAGTGCCATCGGTAGTCAAGCGAGTTATCAGTGAGCATTTTGAGATTATTACCCTAGCCTCAGACGTTTAATTGACCTGAATATCATAGATTGTCTTCGGCTGTGTACATCAAATCGGATGCGATACCCCCAATGTGGGTCTCAGCATGGATTGTGACCGCCCCTTTTATCTTCCTACTCATATCGGTGGGATCGTCAGTAATCCATTTTGTTGTTTGCACTCTTCTCTAACAAAAATATCTGCGCCAGGTTCGCTTTAGGCATCGCCCTCTTCACATTTTTGAAGTTTGACAATGCTAGATACGCTCCCGTCTTAGTAACCATTGCTTTAGCAACATGGGTCATGGGGTCAATCTGCGCGTATATGTGGTTCTTTATCGATCTGAATCTTGGATCTATTGCAGAGAAGTGGGCCGGGGTACGCAGACGCACCCCAACACCGCTGAGACGCACCCAACATGCACTTTTTATCGGTCTCCAGGTGGACGATATAGAAAAGAATCATCTAGCTCACCCTAATTCATGGGATTGGGTGGTACCCCCTGTAGCCAATCAACCTCCCCCAAGACAGCCGATCAGACGCGAGACCTTTGAACCTACACTGTGGGACCGCCTAGTACCCCTCCTGTGGAAGCTGGGCAGTGCACACCCTGAGCACAAACCAAATGACAGATTGCGGAGGCTCATCATGCGCGTAGTCGAGCATAATCGCACATCAGGTCCTGGCCATGACCGTGCTCGAATTAGGCGGGAAAATAATTGGAGGAGGATTGATAGCAACAGGATGGCGTTTTCTTCAGGGGGCTATTTCGACGAATGGACTGGGATCCACGTTTCAGCTGTTCACGACATCCAGTTCAGTGCGGATGGGAAGTACAGTAAGTACTAGGTACTGAAAGGATGATGCAGTTGGATTCGCTGAGTAGTGGTTTTCGGCAGTGGCGACCTGTTCGCAAGATCAAACAATTGTCATTTGGACTGTAGATCCGTCCGACGGTGTCAATGTTCTCTATTCATCACCACTGCCCCTTCTGATTTCCCAGCTGCTTCGCCTCTCTTGGCACCCCAAATACCCTTTATTGGCGGTGATGCCAGCCAGGAGTGATACATTGATTATCTGTGACATCTCAGTACGTCCCATTGCGGACACGAAAGCTACAACCCAAAACAGCTACTCTATCTTTAGGATACCAAACCCACCATTAGTCCTCTTAGGACTAGCTTCAGCGCTCCAGTGAGGGCTATTGCTTGGATGCCGAACAACAAACATCTCGTTTATGGTGAAGATCATCACATCCGGTGTATTGTGAGTTTTATTACTGTTCTTACAATTCGTTGTAATAATCAAACACGAAGAATGCAAAATGGGATAACCCATCCAATGTACAGAATGTCGAACAGGATGTCGAATGGGATATCGAACTTTCATATTCGCTTGACAAAGTTGCAATAACCCCAGATGGTACTAGGTGGGTATTCCTGTCGAATATGAATAACTCGAAGCTGAGTTGCTTCATGGAGGGCCATCGTGATTTGTATGGTGGATAAAGTGGATAAAGTGGATATAAGGGGTACTGTGGAAATCAAGCCATCAAGATCCCCTCCTGAACGAAGGATCATCTGTGAGTATTCTGGACCTATTGCTCACGATCTCTGGTCTGACCATCTGCAGTAATCAACATAGAAGGACGACAGATAATTTTGTCAGTGTGATCTCTTCTGTTGTACTTAGGTTCTGAGCTGCTCTCATTAGTGAGATGCCAACCCTAAACCAAGTTCGCGGTTTAGATATATCCTCTTATGGAGCCTTGGTACTCGTCACGTATGAGGGAAAGGTATGAGGCCATTTTCGGAGTCTCTTCGAACGTTGATCCCACCCTTTGACGTCGGCAAAGGCATCTCCGCAGCTGTTCCGTATTCACTCAGCAAAGCTCGTCCTTTTGCAAACATACTGCTTGCCCGAAGAGGTGGAATACTCAGGTTCTGGCCAGCTCGGTTTCCCCGACTGGACGTTTGGAGTGGACGGATTACGCAAAGATGACTGTGTTGTGATATCTGCTAACAAAAGTGAAACATTTCCCTCAAAGCGTTTTCCACGGCTTACGTTTATATAACGAGCAGAAGGCACCATATTTATTTGGGATCGTGAATCATCCGACCTCTTAAACACCTTGGAAACACCCCTTGGCCGCGCTTCCAGTTTGACTGGGTTCGCATGGAATCATGGGTCCATTAAGAACCCAATGATCGCGGCTTCTTCGACAGATGGGACCGTCTGGTTGTATAACCGGCAAAGTTCGGACCCTGGCGCAGCCGACTGGCAGAGTACGATTGCAAGCACCCACCCCTGAAAGCACGATTCATGGAAAACTCCAAATGAGATGACATGTGTACATATGCATTATATCATGCTTGTACGCATAAGTCTAACAAAGGTTGCTCACAATGACCAACGCAGAGGCCTACAATGGCCACATTTAAATGATAGATATTGACTTACACGAACAACCAGCGTGTCTACATATAACGCGAAAAAATGGACATGTGCCGAGGCAAGCTCTGGGGACATAATCATGTCCATCACCGCTGGGTGTTGGCGGAGGTGTTAGAAGTCAATCAAGTACCAACAGCCCAAGAGTCTTCGATCAAAGAGAGAGAAAGTACCAATAGTGATGGCTAGGCTGTAGAGTGCTTGGATTTTGACCTCCCCCCCCAGCGAGTTTTCCCTCACGGTGTAGATGTAGAAATGTATACCAAATAGGGAGTTAGCAGCGCAGATATTGATCCATTTCATCGAGGACGAATGATATGCGGCGAAATTCAACATGAAGCAAAGAAATGGTAACAAGACAAAAATAACACGGATCTACGCACAGCCCAACCGTTTTGGCAGCCAAAGAACCAATGGGTCTGGCACTGGGACCACAAAGAAATATATCGATGTTTCAGATAATGTGAACGAAATGGTTAAAAACCCGTGTTGGTGCTCGGCGGCTGGTTACTGGAGGTTGGTGGGAAGCATGCCAAAGGTATTAGTGCATAAAAGCAGTATGACGGAAGCGTGGCCGAGATCTGCGATCTGGCACGAAGAAATGGAAGAGAACGTGAAAAAGGAAAGGGAGAATTGAGGAGCGCGTTGTCAGCTTCTCTAGATGAATTGTGGTATGATTGGGTGTGAGGACTTTGGGATACCCAAGACGTTGTCTACTGAAAGTTGCGATTCTTGGCTCCCATGCATGCTATGACCTCAAGCTGCCTGCTGTGGAATATTGCATCAAGCGTCATTGATCAGACGAAATGCCCATCCGGTGGTAGATTCTTGCCTTAGTGCAACTGATCGTGCCGCATGGCTCAGCCCTGAAGTCATGCATACACAGACGGACAGACCATCGAGAGGGGGAAATGACGAGCACCATGGAAGACTCTCCACACTGATATGATGATGATGATGATAAATATAACAATTTTTTTTTTTTTTTTTTTTTTTTTTTTTTTGTGGAACCCCAGTAGCTTTCGCGAATACGTTGTATTTGGGGTTTGTGTTGGGGTCAGGTGATCCCCGGGAATGGAATCGGGCTTGGACCGGAACTGCCACGGTGAGGAAATGCGATTACGCACGCTTGTGTGGGACTCCCGGGCGCCCCCGATCACGGGGGGTCCGGTATACCCACTAAAACCCCGCTGCTGTTCAGCCAGTTGTCCGGTTGCCTCTCTTCATTCAGTAAGTTACCGCTCCAGGTATGTAGTATTAGATTTGTTGGGAGGGCCTTACTACCGTACTTCTTTCGGTTGGTTAGGGCGATGTCTTGCTGGAGCTTGGCGTTAAGGCCGGCTTTTAGGGCGTTTCTAACTTCGTTTAAGGTGGTTTGAGGGCGATCAGGGTTCATGACTCTGCGACACCTAGCTTTCCACAGCTGCCATGTGCACTCCAGGACTACAATGCGGAAAAGCCTTGTCTCGCCATTTTTCGATCGGCCGTTAGTTGCTTTGATCTCAATGATCGGCGCTGCCATGATATATGAGATGTCAAGGTTTGCAGGCCAGGGGTCTTTCTTCGGTCGCATATTGCTTTAGCGATAGACCATATTCTCTCCCCGTGGTTCTGGGGGCACTCAAATAGGATATGGGAAATCGAGTCGGTTTGCTGACAGTGGTCGCACTCGCCGCACTGTTCAAATCCGGGGATTTTCCCCCAGTATCCGCCTATTTTGAGGCAGTTGTGAGTTAATTTCCATAAGAAATTCCTGATTTCTGGGGGTACGTCTCTTTTGTTTTTGCTTAGGTTTTGCCAGATTCTGTCCTGGGAGGGGGAGCTGTTATTCATGTTCTCGAGGGCGGACTGGATTAGGGTAATGTTATTGGCGGTTTCGATTCAGGGTTCGGGGTTCATAGCTAATCTTGTTCTACAGATTAGCTTGGTTGCGGTGGATTGAGTTATGGAAATTAAGCGGGCGCCACCGGGGTGTGAGGTAGGGGCAGAAACAAGGGGGGGTTGGGTTGTGGGTTTTCCAGGGTGCCTTGAGCGGCTAGGGCGTCCGCCCCTTCATTGCCAGTTATGCCAGCGTGGCCTTTGAGCCACTCGAATGAGGTGATGTTTTGTCTGTTCCTCAGGGTGTTCACAGTTAACTTAGTGGCGAATTTGTGTTTAGCATGGGCGTAGTCGGAGTCTTCGAGGGAACTCAGGTTTTGGCAAAGGGTGTTGACGCACCATTCTGAGTCAGTTTTAATGTGGAGGTTTGATTCGGGGGGGGTGGTCGAGGCGGCATGGTGGATCGCGAGCATTTTGGCCACATTATTGGTTTGGGGGAGGAGGGGGTTGACTCTTATGCTGGCATTTCTTGAGTCATCTGGACTGAACCAGACCCCGAAGCCGGCCTTTGCATCGGAGTTTCCGTTTAGGGGACAGGACCCATCTGTGTAGGCGATGATGTCCGGGGGGGAGTGGGTTACTGGTTCTGGTGGGGCTGGAGGGTTTGGGGGGGATTTCCCGAAGATTCTGAAGAAGTGGTGAAGCGGTAAGCTGCATCGTGGCATTGGGTCAAAGGTTCTAATGTTCTCGGGAGATCCGATGGCATGTGAGCTTGCGAAGACCTGGGAAGGGGGGGTGGGGAGGATATGAGTGTCGCTGTGTGGGTTGTAAAAGGGGTTGAGGTTCGTGATGATCTTTATTGCAGATTGGAAGCAGGCTTCCGGGTTCTTACAGCCATTTTGTCGCAGGGAATGGCAGGGTGGGCAGGGGCATTTATTCTTCGAGGGGTTATGGTCAGGGCGTTCTTGGAGGTCAGCCTGAGATATGAGGTCGCCGATTTTCAGGCAATTGTGGGTTTTTCTTAAGCATTGAGCTGTTTTAGAGTGGACACTGAGGGGGGGGTTGTCTTCTAGGCCGGGGTGAGCCCAAGCGGGGAGGTTGAGTTTAGTGTTCAGGTCTAAGATTGGGTGTTCCAGTCTTAGGTTGTATTTTGCGCCAGTGTTTAGAGAGTCTCGTAGTTCAGCTGGGATGTTTTTGTTGTGGTGGCGGGTTTTGAGAAAGGGTTTTTGGATGAGAATGTCGACAATGAAGGGGTGTTCGGGATCGGTGGGCAGTAGTTTTTTAGGGAGGGTTGCCATTATGATGGCTTCCGCGGCGTCTGAGGCTGGGGGTCTGACCGAGGATCTGTCGAGGATTCGTTGAAGTTTGGTGAGTCGGATTGCTTCATTCCTATCTCGGATGTTCAGGACATTTTTCCCTCCCTGATCTCTCGGCCTGTTTAGGAGGTTCATGCTTATTGGGGGGGGGCTTTCGGAGTTCCAAATGAACTCGCGAATCTTTTTGTTTAGGTGGGATTCCACGTCTTTGGGCATGCCTTGGGCACGGGTGTGGAATTGCGTCATTCCACCAATGGTCATTTGAGTGATTAGGCGGCAGCCCTCGATTGAGGGATAGGATTTGTTCCACTGGGTGAGAGATTTTTCTATCTTGGTTAATATGGCCGGCCAGGGGTCCTTGTGGTTGGGCTTGTTCCCGCATTGGGCCCCTAGGTATCTCATGCTTTGTCCGTCTTTCAGGATTGTGATAGATTCACTCAGTTTAACGCTCGATTGGGGGTTTATAGTCCTTTCGTTGAGTACGCGGTCTCTGTGATAGGGTGTGCCGACTGGGAGGATAATTGTTTTTTCTTGGTTGAATTTGGCACCGGATGCGGTGCACCAGCCATCGAGGATACTGAGCAGGTCGTTCAAGTCATCATCTTTGGAGAGGAAGACAGCGGCATCGTCGGCGAAGAGGGAGATTATTATTCTTTGGGAGAGGGAGGGGGTCTTGATTACGAGGCCTTTAAGGGAGGGGGATTCTCTTAGTGCAATTGATAGGGGTTTGATGGCAATGTTGAATAGTAGGCACGATAGCGGGTCACCTTGCCGAACCCCTCGGATGATGGGGAATTCCTTGCTAATGTCACCGTTTAAGATTACTCTGGTTTTGGCATTCGCATATAAGTTTTTGACTGTTGAAGTGAAGGAGTTGGGAATCCCCATTGATTCCATGACATGCCATAGGTAGTCGTGTCTAATGCGGTCATAGGCCTTTTCTTGGTCTAGAGCAATGATTGCGCTGTCTTGACCGATGATCTCACACAAATCTGTCATTCGATTCACGAGGTCTATCTGGTCGAAGATGCTGCGGCCTTTAATGAAGGCTGCTTGGCATTTGTGGACAAGGGAGGGGGCGATCGGGGATAGTTTGTTCATTAGGGTGGTGGTGATGATCTTATATTGGCATTGAGGACCGTTATCGGTCTATAGTTCTCAATTTCTCTTTTATCTTTTTTCTTATATAGTGGGCAGAGCCAGCCTTCGGAGATCTGGGGGCAGGTAGTGCCGTTCCATTCTATGTCATTGGCAAGGAGGGTGAGGAGTTTGACAATGTGTAGGCCTTGGCCATTGTGTTCTCTTTTTTTCCATCTAGTGTGTAATTTTTTGTAGAGTTCCGTGGGAATGCCATTGAGGCCTGGGGCTTTTCCATTGGGTGATTGGCTTAAGGCACGTGCTATGTCATCTTGGCTCAGAGGTTTGGCTAAGGTTTCGGAGGTGTTTGGGGGAACACGGTTGTGGATTCTGGTGAGGGAGTCAGATATATGTGTTTCTCTTGAGTCGCAGATGGGTGGAATGTCTTTGTGTTGGACTGCGTTGTAATATGAGGCAGCTATAGAAGACATATCATCTGTTTTGGAGGTGTATTTGGGGGGGTCGGATCCCGGTATTCTCAGTTCGTTTATGGAGTCGCGTGGTTTGTTTTCTTTGCCCCAGTTGCACCAATATTTGTTGGAGGATTCACTCAGTAGACGCTTATTGGCCCCAGAGCGGGCTTGGGTTTTGGCCAGTTTAGTCTTTTGGATTTCATTGATTCTGATAGTGAGGTTCTGTATTTGGGTTTGTGTCAGGTCCGTGAGGGTGCTGTCGGCGATTTCTAGTCTTTTCATTGCACGGTCACGTCTGTGAGTGAGGCGTCTTAGTTCTGAATTAAGCTTTCCGGCTTTTATTTTAGCTGTTTTTCTAGCAAGGCATGTTACTGTGGTTATGAAGGTTTGGAATATGTTTTGGGGGCTATTGCTTCGTGCGCAATTGTCTAGGGCTTCATTGCCTATGGTTTCGATCTCGCTTAGGAATTTTTGGTCATTGGTGAGGTATAGGGGAATGGCCCATCGGCCTTTACCGATTTTGGGAGCTTGGTTATCATGGAGTTCGAGGGAGATGAGTTGGTGGTCGGCAGTGGGGAGGTCGGGGTTCAGTATATCCCAGGTGAGGGCTTTTTCTCTTATGGCATCGGAGGCATATATCCTGTCAATTCTGGACAGGGATGATCCGGAGGAGTGGCCGAAGGTGAAGTTTTTCGCAGGGGCTGGGTGAGTAGCTCTCCAACCGTCTGAGAGGGCTTTGGAGGATATGAGGTTTCGGAAGGCCATTACTGTCGCTTCTGGGTCTGGGTGGGGGGGAACTCTATCAATGGCTTCTTCTACCATGTTTAGGTCGCCAAGCATGATGTCTATCTCAGTACCGACAAGATTTTGGTTCAATTCGGCCCAGAAGCGGGTGTTATTATTGCTAGAGTTAGTGGGGGCATATATGGCGAGTATTTTTATTGGGGAGTTTTTAGGCCATTCAACCTCCGTGAGGAGGGCATGGCCGGGTATTACATCTTTTGTGGAGAGGGGATTTGTTTTAACTGTTTTCTTATTGATAATTATGGCGACTCCTCCTGAGCATGAGTGATCCGAGTTGAAGGAGTGGAAAATATCCCACTCAGCGCCATATGTGTTGTTAAGGTAGGATTGTTGTGAGATGTCGGCGTGGGTTTCGGAGAGGCATAGGATGCCGAGGTTCTCAAGTTTCATTTTTCTCAGGATGGATGGCCACTTGTATCTGGTTGAGGGGCTGTTAGCCCCTTTGATGTTTAGGGCACCGATTCTTAGGTTGGAGGAGTCCTTGGGTGGGGTGGGGTAACCTCCTCTCAGGCACAGAGGGGGGTTGTTGGGGTCCATTTTCGGTTCATCGTCCCCCTTCCTTGGACAGTCGGAAAACAGGATAACCTGCAGTCCTCTGGGGGCGAAGGGAGCAGCCATTTACCAGCTGAGCTAAGACCAGGACATTGGGGATCCTTAGAGTTTATCGTTGGGTTTATGTGGGTACTGGCGGTTGTTTTCGCGTGCACTCCTGGTTGCCAGCCATTGGAGAGAGCTGGGTTTGTTTTTGGGGGAGGCTAGCATGCTTTCCTGTCGCCTTTCAGCCCAGTAGATTTGGGCATGCTAGTAGCATTAATGGATGGGAGGTTTCTTTATTATTTATTATTAGTTGTTGCAGCCGTATATAAGTGCCGAGAGTCTCGTAGAGCGCGACATTGCTTTTCGGGGCAGGAGGTTTGGACAAGATCGCGGCTACTGAGGCCGCGATACTGTCTGTTATAGCGGTACTGACCTGGCTATTCTTAACACTCACGGGTATAGCGGGTTTGGACAGGAATGAGGTTAGTTTCCTTCTTTTGGCCAGAGATAAACATGAGAGAGGACTGTATTTTTAGGGGAGAGGAAAAGAATGAAGGGAAATGAAACGCGGCCATGATATATTTACAGGTAGTTAGCGGCTGATTGGGGGCCGGACTACATTCCCTCCTGTTTAGAGGTTGGGGAAGGAGGAGGAGAAGAGGGCTTGGCTGGGATTTTACGGTGGGACAGAGATTAGGACCAGGCATGGTTGCCGGGGCCTAGGCCTCTTCCTTTTCCTCTGCCTCTTCCGTGGGGTTTCCAGTTGCGGTTGGGTGGGGGGGACTGGGGAGTTGAGGGGCCCGGTTCTGGCTTTCCAGCAGATGGGTTGAGCTCGCACCATGTGTAGTGGTCATGGATCGGGCAGACAGAGAAGATGTGGTCAATGGCCTTGCATGTGTGGCAATAGATTAGACCACCAACAGCGTGGCCATTTCCGGTTGTGTTGCCTGAGAAGGTTGAGAGTTTGAAGAGGCCAGTCCATTGGTCATGTATGTTGTTCATAGTTCCCGGGGCACGGTCCGTGACGCAGAAGAAGGGGGATGGAAGGTGGATCTCCCACATCGATGCGTCGATGTTGGTTGGGGGGATCCTGCGTTCCATCGCGGTGAGACGGGAGAGGTGGGTGGCAGGGCCATATCCTCTTGGAGTTGCAACACAGCTGTTGGCAATCCTCGCGATATCATCCTTGTCGATGTTAGCTTTTTCGAGGAAAGTTTTGAATATCGAGTTTGGTTCTTGGATTTTCTGGGATACCGCGTTGGCGACAACTGCGCTTTCATCGAGGTTTGCACCTAAGTCTTTAAGGGTCACGACATAGCTTGTCGGGCAATAGGTGGCCAGCTCAATGGCGATAAAGCAGATAGAGCGGCTCATCCAGAGGTGTCTGGTCACCAGAAGGTGGGCATGAGAGGGGTGGAGACCTTCGATTAGGAAGCCCCAGGGTGCCCCCGTGGGGTCATATCCTTTGGCAATGGGGGGGCGGACCTTGATGAAGGGGGCGGATAAGGGGAAGGCTCTGGTTAGGAAGATTGTGAGGTCGTTCCTCGTTTTGTGGTCATTCTCAGGACTATGTTTAGCATCGAGGGGGTAGATTAGGATTGCTCTCGGAGTCGTAATCCACTGGTTGAAGTGGGTTTCATCGATGTTTGCTAGGATGCGAGCTGGGCGGGCTCCGTGGGCACGGAAGTTGGCCAGCTCTCCCATGAGGTCGATGTAGTTATAATCTGGGTTGTCATCTAGGGGTCTCAGAGCGGTGGCAGTGGCCTGTGCGGGGGCGTCCGTGGGCGCAGGGAAGCGAGTTAAGCAGGGAGGGTCGGTTGAGCTGTTGGTATCAGTTGTAGCCGGATTTGGGTGGATGTTAGCGGGTAACGTTGTGGCTACTGGGGTATTGTAGTTTGCAAGGAAAGGGTCGTCGGTGTTAGCAGGGACCCGGAACATAACACGGGGTGGGGCAAGAGTAGGGCCTTGGATTTTTGCAGATTCCGGGGACCGGAGGCGTTTCAGAGTTTCAGATGTAGAACTTGTGAGAGCCTGGGGGCGGGGAGGCGTGGTAACGGGGGGCATGTGTGGTTGCTGAGTGATATAGGGAGCGTAGAGAATTGGGGGTTCGCCCCAGTGTAGGAATATAAAAGTTACAACACTAAAACAACCAGAAACCATCACAGAAAATTGGATAAAAATCATACAACCTCCACGGACCAGAAATAAAAATAGGAATAAAATCATAACTCAACAAAATGAATTGAAATAAAATATCGGAAAAATACTGAAGAACAGAGTCGATGAATTGAGTATCTACGCGAACTTTCAAGTCTAGGAATTAAAATATGGTCCAGAAAACGAAGAAAAACAGCAAATAAACCCACATGAAAACAAAAACAAGGTTTCCTGTATCAAATAAAATATTAGAAATTCGTGGTAACGTGGGAAAATAGTTTTACGAACGTACGAAACGAATGACAAAGAGAAATCGGAAGAAAATCAAGGCATTCATATAATGAAAAATGGTCGGGTACGAGGAAAAGATGAAAGAATTGGGAATATTTATACGAGGAAAATAGGGAAAAATATGAATATTTGTCGGTCTTAAAGAGTTGAAGTATAGGTCTGTGTTCGAAAAGATTTCATGTTAAAATCTGAAGAATTGAGGGAGAAACGGATTTAACAAGATTAAAACACACTTGCAGAGAAGACTGGCTCAAACATCCTGAGTTTGTGGTTAAAACGGATGAGCTAGAAATGCGAAACTAAAGAGTTCGAGTCCAGGAACGAGGCATAATTTATCCAGAATTAATTGTAAGAAAATGGATGAGCTAATGCCAAAGCAATCTGGAGAACCTCAAAATTAAATCTTGAAAAATTCATATCTTCATAAATAATCCTCGTAGTTTACTGTTGTTTATACCGACAGAAAGCTACACCCTTAAGCTAACAAATAACCCCATGACATGTGACTTAGAATAAAGTGAGTAAACAAGGGTAAACAAGGTCATGATGGGTGTTAGGCAATGCAATTGGCTAATTCCCACACCAAAACTTCCAGAAAGTTCTAGAAGCAGAATGGGATGCTGATCGCTTACATAAGAGGATTGCTAAGCTCAATATAAGATTACTCAGCAATGTAAATAGTAAAGTGACATGTGAAAACAGAGCCCTTAGGAAAGGTATAAAAGACCACATTTTCTGGTCTGACCCCTCTTCCTTCTTTACTCCTCTCCCCTACGTGCTCTGGCTCATAGGTCATAAGGCGTCCTAATAAAAATTAAGTTTTATTAGTATAAGTGTGCAGTTCAGATCACATCTAAGTAAAAGTGATCAACCCTCAGTAAAAAGTTAAGAAGAAGTTAAGAAATAGTGACGTTGAGTCAAGTCGGTTGGAGTCACTCCGAGTTAAAAGTGACAAGACAGAGGTGAAACGACTAAAAATAGTAGGTCTATAGCGCGATTTTCGTGTGGAACAATCAGGTAGACAAGTGAATTGAACCCTGAGAGTTACATACACACACAAACAATTAGTAACACATACAAATATCAATACACAAAGCAACCAAAACGCTACAGTGGTTGAGTTAAAGTACCAATACTAACATATAAGTATCAGAAGAAAGAACAGCCTTATAGGATTTCTGTTCTCCTCTTTCACCGGGGATGGGGTCATTCCCGAGGGTGTGAGCTATCATATCCACATCGAACGTGCTGGTCACCGTTGGAGTGTTTTGCAGTGCGTGGTGGGTTGGGCTAGGTGGTGGGGGAGGGGTAGTACATGCACCTGCGGCGTGGGAGGGAACCACTACATAATGTAGTTGTTAGTAGTTATTTAGGAGTCGCTCTCGGGTAACACACGTTTCTGGTGCGCCTCCATTTTTACGAGAGTGGGACGAGAGGCATGTGGTAGTGCTTCATGGCTCTTAGGCCTAATCCTTTTCGGGATTACCCGGGGTACTGGGGAACTACATCCGTTTGACGGGAGGTACATCCATAGGTACCCGACTCCTAGCCCCTTCTCGGACCAGTGCCCATTGGCATAATAGCCTTGTAGGGGGCTACTGGGTCGCTTTCAGGGGACTTTTTGGCCTCAGATTTTGAGGCCGATGTTCTTCCGTAATAGGAAGGTAGTGGTTCCTCCCAATATAACAATATAACAACTCCGCTACAATACAGCTAAGGTCATAACTGAAAAGCTAGACCTCGTTGACCGATCAAATCTTAACTAAAACACCAAGAAACAACTCGAAGATCAAAACCGGCGATGAACCAAACCACCACCAGCTGCCCTCTGAACATGCCCCCATATACGACCAGCCAAATGGATAAATGCAACATGCCAGATATGAGACAAAGCAATTGCCACCGATGGGAAATCCCGCTTTAATAATGGAGTATGGCCCAAAAACCATCTATTCCACCCATGGGGCCAGGATAAAGCGGAATTATCAGATAGGAGTGAAGGAATTGCCTGACACACCCTGCCACGAACAAGTAAAGGGATGTCCTCCAAAACCTCTTGTGACGAACGCGCGATGTCAGCCAATGTGGACACTCAATAGGCCTCGAAAATAGGGCAGTCACAGAACAAATGACGAGGAGATTCCAAACAATTACAACCATTCCGACACTGCCCACTTCGACTCCCCTGAAAAACATCAATGAATTAGAGGGCAACTGACCAGATCGAAGGTACAATTGGACAGCAGCAGAGTAGCCAGCATTGGATCTCACATATGGGAATGGTGGGCATGATGGGAAGTTGGGAAGTTGGGATTGGGCAGGCGAAACTCAGGTGTTGCAGACAATAGGGACACTCACGGTATGAAGAGTCGACCAAAAGTCAGTCACAAGACTCAGTCACAAGTCAGTCACAAGACTTGCACTCTTGTGACAAGTCAGTCACAAGTGCGACTTTTGTCTTGCAGCTCCGAGGCTGCAACAGTGCCAAAACCACAAGTCCCTCTCTTTCATAACTTGGCCTTAAGTTGAGTAACCCTGTGTCAAGCTGTCTATATTCCATGTAACTATACAGTTCCTTGAATTCAATTCTCTTTGCTTCACTATCTTCCGCTACCTAGTCCAACAGGATTTTTGTCCCTGCTCCTTAATTTGGTAGCTGCTATGCAACGCAAGCGTTCAGCCCCTTCATTAGCACCTGCACCCAATAAATGCACCAATTGCAGTACACCTGCTTCAAAAGGTGAGGAGACTATGACTACACACAGCACCCAGTGGCTTGCCAACCCTGCATGGATGGACTGACTGGTGTCCTTCCTGCTTGAAAATCCATCTGTGTGTCTCAAATTATGTGGTGATTCATCTCAGACAGCCAAGGCAGAGGGCCGGTTAAGGGTTTGACTTTTTCTTCCACTCCAACACGTGTATTCTCACTTAGTTTGTATCTTAGGTCTCCACAGGAGATAAGAAGAAGGATTACTGGGCTGTGATTGCAAGGTCTATTTGGGACTGGGAGGATGAGCCTGAGCGTCCTTTTTACCTCAAGGACTTAGCCCACTACACCACTGCTATTCAAGGGTGGATCAGTTGGTGTCATGTTTTTTTTTTTTTTTTTTCGTGCCATAGATACAACTGCCCATCCTCTCCTCTGTTCAACAAACAGGCTTGCAACACAGTATAACAAGTTCCTTAAGTTGCTGAAGGAAACCGGCCAAGGTATTAAGACTGATGAAGAACTTGAAGAAATCCGCATGAATACAATGGGTAAGCAGACCTGCTGCTTGCATATTCAAGTACTAACATTCCTAAATATTAGAAGATATATGTGCAAAGTTCCCTTGGTTCGATGATTTGGATGGAATGTGGCACACTCTTCCAAAGCATTCTGTCAGGGCACACACCCTGACTAGCCCGGACCCGGACCCGGATCCGCACCTGCACCCGCACCCGCACCCGCATGTGTGCTCCGCCCCGCATGCTCCGGGCCCGGTTCCCACTCTTCATGTGACTTCCGGGTATCCCCGGAAGTTTTTGCCATATTGGGCCACTGTGGGAAAGTGAGAAGTTAACCTTCTTCTCACTTTCTTACCCACAGTAGGCAAGTGTATTCTACACTGCTTCTTTACCTTATACACTTTCTTACCCACAGTAGTTGTGCCTTGAGACTAGGCTGTTACAGATTAGGCTGTGGGCTATAGAGAGAGGGGTCATGGGGACCCGGGGTCCGTCCCCTGACACATTCAGTCGAATTAATCTCAAATTCAACTGTTGGTGCAAGCAAACTAGCCCAGGATTTTGAGAAGCTCTCATCTCCGGCCTCATCCACTGTGGATATAAGCATAAAAGAGTCTCTGGATTTACCATCAGATGGGGGATTAGAAGATAGCAGTGTTGATTTGGTATGTGTTAGGATAAGGATGGAAACGGTGACTGACCTGGTGTAAGGGATTAACCTTACTTCACTATAATTCCAATTATAGTGATATTTATATTATGTTGCATCACTATAATTCCCATTATAGTGATGCTGTTCTTTCTTTATTTATTTGTGCCGAGATATGTAAATTACATATATATACCTCGGAGTAGTTGTAAAGGCCTGGTAGCCTTTTACCTCTACCCCGTTGAATATACAGCTCATCAAAGCTTATGTTTAGATGGACTAACTGAGGCCTGAGGTGAATGGGGGAATGGAACGTTACCGTCCCCAAAATAGTAAGCAACTTTTCACCTGGCACATCAGAATCTCCCATCACTACTCCCAATCTCATCTTCCCCTTCCCCACTTGGTTCACCTCTTACCATCGCGGACTTGGCAAATGAGCAGGATCTTGACACCAAACCACTCCAGTACTCCAGGGGCCACAGGCTTTTGACACCTGTTACACCAAGCACATCTTTGGCCTGTACTTCTACCTGTAGCATCAAGGTGAAGCAAGATCCACTTGCTGATTTCCATGAAGCAAGCAAACTTGAGTCTGAACAAACAGAGTGTGAATCAAATCTGCAACATGCAGAATACATGGCATGGATTGCTGCAAGTACAAACTGTGAAACAAATAAACATGAATGCAGAATGCTCAAGTTACAAATCCGCCAACTAGAACTACAGCAGGCACAGCGGCAGTTAGAAATCCAACAGGCACAACAGCACTCCTTCATGCTGACAGGACTTCCTACTTCCCAATCCTTACCACAAGCAGACCTTGGGGACAACATCCTTGGACTTGACTCGGCACCTCCTAGTCAATTCTAATTACAATCCTGTCCATACACCTCATAAAATAGTGCCTCTTGGACATGTCAGCGCTTCTGCTGGCCTTCAGTCTCTCCTGCCACTGGTTGCTCAACTGGTACCCAAGTGAACCCTTCAACCTCATCATCATCTTCCAGCCCCTCATCATGGCCATACAATCCATCAGTAACCCACTGCAGAAATTCCTCATCGGACTCAAAATTTTCCCCACATGCTGCAAGTGAGTGGATAACAAGGCAAGCATGGACCCATTTGAGAGCAAATTTGAAGTCACACTCACAATTGATTTGTTGGCGCAACCCCTGAAGTGACTGAAATCTCCCTTTGAGGAAACCAACTGCATGTTCAGACCGTATATGAACCTAACTCGTTAGCTGTCAGTTACCAAGACTGGCAAGGAATTTGTATGAATAAACTTACAGTGGAAAGATGGTAATTGAACTGACAGTTAGCTGCTATCAGAGACTGTGGCTTCTTGTATGGAACCATGCACCACGGCATTAAACTGTAAGTGGAGTCTCCCCATAGCCACTCCCCATCTTGGAACAGTTGTTTGGACTCCTTATGGGCACGCGACTCTTTGAACGCTGTTGAGTCATGGACACTCCCTGGTGGCCCTAGAACATAGTCAATTATGTGTAAATTTGGGAGTGTTACTAACTAGGAGTGGATTAGTTGTTAAAGCTTCAGCAATATGAAGACATACCATCAGGCTAAGGGAGTAGTTGGATTTGCGGTCGAAAAATTGTTCCCCATAGTGTCCAGGCTTCGTATGGAGAGGTATTAGTGTGCCGTCCACCATACAAAATCCTGGTCTCCAAGTGCATGTCAGGGCACACCCACCCGACCTGGCTCCACCTGCCTTCACCCGGTACCCCGCTCACCCTTCACCATTGTTTCTCACTTCTTGTTCTTCCTTTTGTCCTTCTGTTCTTTTACTCTCTTGCTCTTTCTTCTATCTTTATCTACATGGATGACATTTCCCCTTATCTATGTATTATCGACCCACCCGTGATGCGTGCACGACACACCCAGCCCCGGACGACCTGGACGGCCTCACGGTGCAACCCAGCACGCGCATGTGCAGCACACACCCTTGGGATCCCCCACGGGGACACCCAGATGACTGCGGCTGTATGCGGGATGACGTGGCAAACCTCATGTGACCCAAGCTGCATGTACATAAAAGTACCTGGGGTGGGAACCGAAGAAGTAACCTTCTTCTCACAGTTCCCACTTCAGGTAAGTAGCATAGCTTCCCTTTTAATAACAACTCACAGTTCCACTTCAGTCTGAGTGGCCAGGGATCATCGTCCCAGATCGGGCCCGTCACTACGCATGCCCGCTCTACACCTCGCGACGGCCTCAGTGCCGGGCATTACACCTGGGCCCCCTCGACCCCGGACGCGTCCCTGACAGCGTGACATGAGACCCGCTCAACCCAATCAGATGCTTCACGCTTCTCCAGCACAGTGGGCCAGTGGATTGCCTGATCATGGAGAGGCAGAAAGGCCGAAACTATCCGTCTTGTAGATTTAACCACTGCTCCGGCACTGCAGCCTGCCCATTGTGCAACTGCATCAACCGATGCACCATTCCCAAATTTACCAAATCGGTACAGTGCTATGGAAAGCTGATGTGATACAGGAGCTTGTTCTATGTTAGAGTTGTTGTAAAATATGGGATGATCTTCAATAAGGGATAGGAGAATGTCAAAAGAATGAGGTGAGATGTGCAGGTTATGACGAAAGCGCCATGCATCGTCCTCCTTGTAGCACTGAAGCACAAAAGAAAGCTGGCTGCACTTAGGCACATGATGGGGGAAGAGGACTCTGGTGGTAAGGAGGCTGAGAAGAAATTGCCAGACACGTCGGATGGCTTCAGTGTGGGAGTGATGGAGTGCAGCCCAGGTTTCAACAAGGTCCCCAGAAGTTAGCCTAGATGAGCAAGAAGATAGGGGTGAATGAGGATGTTGGGGAGATAAGCTGCTAGAATTGCTGGTGGTAGATGTGAAAATACTAGCGTAGTTTAACTCAGTCTCAAGCTGAATAGTGTGGAGAACTGGTTAACATTACCTAGCGTAGTTTAACTAAAGATAATACACATTTAGATATGAAGGGAAATCAGAAAGAAAGAAAGTAGTACTGACCTCAGTCTCAAGCTGAATAGCGTGGAGAACTGAGGAAAAAGGAAATGAATAGAAAGAGTGGGTATGTCCATATAGT